TATTTGGTTGGAGAATTTTGGAATAGAGGTGGCATATCGCTGAGAGTATTTGCAGAGCTAGCTCCAACAGTATACTTGATAGGATAGGTATATTTTGAGTTGACAATAACTTGAATATCTGATCCCATTGGGCATTGTGCGGAAAGTCCTTTGACAAATTGAGTTTGGGACCAAGCTGGTCTTTCCAATGAAGTTGATGCAGATCCACATTTCAAGACAACTGTTTGAACAGATGAAGTTGGCAAAACTTCAATTTGAGTCCACCAATCATTACTTCCACTAATGACATTGACCTTGTATGAGGAAGTTGAACCAGAATTTGATCCACCATTATTTGAAGAGCATGAAGGTTTTTGGCCATTGACAAGGAATGCATTAACCTTGGTCAATCCAGTTTTAATAACATTCATGGTTGCTGCACTTGTGGTGAATGTGAACATTCCTTCATTGTTGATACCCATAGCTCTTTCCCATAAATCAGATGGACCTGAATTTCTCAAATTAAATCCACGGAATCCACTAGCATATAAACAATCCAAATTCTGATATTATAAATAATTCCACAATATTTCAATAATTCGAATATTCATTGTTATATAAAAAATTACTCACCTTAATCAATTCATTAACAATAGCAGCTTGTCCATCAGCTCCCCATCCACAACTAGTAACACCAACATCACTCAAAATCCACTCAAATGGTAAAGAACCACCCCAAGCTTGTGTCATCTTGTTCAAATTTTCATCAATCTTACTCTTGACCATTGAAATTCCCTCACTCAAAGATTTTACACCATATGGCCACAATGATCCATCTTGTTTCTTAGCACATGATGCATCTCCAGAATTCACAACATGCATCAACATGGCACGAGCATTCAATTTGGAATCTACAGAGCTAAAGAATGAATAGTCCTGAGCTGATTTCCACAATCCTGGAGTACTCACAACCACTGAATTTGGAGCCAGACTCTTAAATGTTTGAATTCTATTCAATAATGATTGAGTTCCTTGAGAAGATTTGAATAAATTCAAAACAACATCAACATCCCATTCTGGTTCCAAATTTACAATGGCAAAAGAGTTTCCAATAGCACTAGCAATTTCTCTATCAAAAGCAAGAGCTAATTCGAATTGTCCTCTGAGTCCATTATCTCCAAAATGATAAGATTGACTTTCCAATAATATTTCCAATAAAATAAGTTAATCAAAACCTACATGAATGGAACAATTCCTCTTGAAATCAAATTGGAAATTTTGCTTTTAACTTGTGGGGCATCTTTCCAAGCAGCATAACCAACCCACAAAGTTTCGACTGGTTTCGAACCTCCGTTTTTAAAATAAACTGTTGCTTCTCCTGTTTGTGGATTAGGCCATAAAAAGTATGGTTGTGTGGATGGAACTAATCCTTCAGCAGAACTGAGCAAGAAACAAGCAGCGAAAATACAATAAATAACCAGTAAGAAAGTGGACGAAACTTGTTTTTTCATTTTTTTAAACATTGATGACTTTCGACAAGATGATTATAATCACAAACTGACCAAAAAGGTATCTCAATAAGATAATGTGCACACACTCCACAACTTGTGAAACATTTCTGCAAATCAATGATTCGAATAATAAAGAATTTATATTTACATATTTACAATGAGGAAAATGAATGGAAATTTCAATTTTCAGAATTATTGGAACGCTGCTTGATGCTATTCATCAACAAATCTCTTGGATTTGTTATAATTTTGGTGCTAGTTGGAGTTTTCTTGAGTTTCTTTCCATTTCTAATACTTTCCAATAGTGTATCTCTTGGATCTTGAGGTTTCTCTTCAGATTTAATCTTACTCAACTCTATAATCTTCTTTTTCAATTTCAATAGTTGAGTTTCATGTTCCAATTCCTTCAAACGTTGCTCAATTTCCCTCAATTGCTTTTTGTAAACTTTTCTAGCAGGTTTTAATTTTACTTGAAATTGTAAAGTTTGACCCATCTTTACAATTTGTTGAACAAATTGTTCCCATTCCAATTCATCATTCAATGTCTTGTAATTGCCATCTTCCATCTTTACCTTCACCACAAGAATCTCAAACTCTTTCAATGATGATTCTTGTAAAAATTGTTCTCTATAAAATTCCGCAATTATCAATTCTCTGAAAGATTCCAAGGATTTTAATAAGAGAGGATCGTAGAGTTTTGTGGTGGTCCAGATTTGATTCGTGTTTGGTTTATTGAGAATGATATGCATGATTGGATTGTACATTTTTTTTTTGATTGTTGTTGTGTTGAAGAATGTTATTCGAAAGTGGTATTTATTCATATGGGAAATGTTCCTTGTTCTTTTTTATTGCCAAATGGCGTATCTAGGGTGACAATCTCGTGTGGCAATCTTAAGATTACTTTCAATGAATTCACTGCTTGTAACATTAAATAGTTCCAAGTTCTTAAAAGTTTCTTCTTTTGAAATTTGCTCTTTTTTGAACAAAACTATCAACAGTACCTTCCAATGATTCATTTCAAAGTCAAATATTGATAGAAATGAATATTTTTGAAAGCTCTATTGATATGTATTCCTAATTTCCATCTCGTTTTTCAAACATTGCCAATTCACACGTTTCCCACTCTTGCTTGTTTTGCTTTGTTCACGTGAACATTTGCTCTTCCGAAAATAAATTGGCGTCATCACGTTTGAATTCACAACAAATAATGAAAATCCTTTTAAATACCTTGCTCAAGCAAACTTTCTCGATTTTCAAATCACAAAAAAAACAGACAATCAGTGATCTGCTTTATTAATATATCTACTGCTATTTATTAATATATTATTAATATTAGAAAAGAATGCATTCTATTAATTATTCTATTCTATTCGTTCCAGAAATTGCATGTCAAATATTGAGTTTCATTCCAAATGATGCAATTTTGATCATGTTGAGAAGAATGGTTGGTTTGTGTCATCGAGCATGTGATGGAATTACTTCTCAACAATCCTATATTAGGAAAATGTTGAGAGAAAGGGAAGAATTGACTTGTTGTACAGTTAAAGATATTGAATGTGTTGGAAATTATTTGGGATTGAAGAAATTTGCAATGGATGCCAAGCTGATACTGTCAGGTGTTGATCAGCTGAAGGAAAAGCATGTGTCACTTATCAATCGTTTTACAGAACTCGAATTTGAAGGATGTGAAATTAATCCAAGAATTTTACTCTCCATTCTCAATCCACATGATTGCAATTTAAGAAAATTGCATTTCAGCAATAGCCAATGTGACACAAGTCAACTGCCAAAGAGACAACCTGTCAGAATTACCCCAACCTTATCATCCATCTCATTTAAGAATGTTTACCAAAGAGAACACAATCCATTCAATTCGATCGTTCAATTCTTGGATATGAAATCATCCCAATATAGAAAACTCGTCTTTAACTCTCCAATTTCTGAAGAAGATTGTAAATTAGTTCAAGCAAGTATTGGAAATCTCAGAAATGTCAAATTCCTCAACCAAAAACAAAATTTCAAAGTACCACCTTGTGCCAAAAATATGGAAAGTATCAGTGTACCATCTATTGAACATGTACATTCCAATCCATGTACCTTGAAAGTTGATTACCTTGGTTCAGTTGACAAGATACTGCCAAGTGTCAAGAAATTGTCAGTTGGTGACTTTGATTTTGATTTCAAGGACAAGGGGTTAGAATGAAGCAAATTGCTAAAATGTTTCCAAATTGTGAAGAGTTGACCATTTCTGAAAGTTGTTTCAAATTATTTCACATTGCTAAATATGCATTGCAGGAGATTCCATCCAAGATTAATCAGATTAATTTGATTCACTCTCCTGAATCTCATCCTTTCGTGTGTGGAAGCATTTCTTTTGCATTTAGATTACTCTTTCCAAATGCAAAGGTTTCTTTTAAACCATTCGAAAGTAGTAGAAAGAAGAGAAAGAATTTCATCATGTTAAATGACTTGAGTGAAGAGCTATTTCCAAAAGATTATTCCCTCATCACTTTACAAAATCAAGTTTACAAACAAATCAACAATTTTGTAGAGCATCCACTTCCAGAATTTCCAGTTGACCAACTTATGATTGATTATTGTGAATGTGTTTTGAACTCTCCAGCAGAACATTCTCAACAAAACAGAACTAAACTGGTCCAATTAATTGATTCCATCAACAGAAAAGGAAGTTTCAAGTTGGCCAAAAGATCAGTTCTTGACAAATATAGTGAAGTTATTCAGACCTATTCCAGTTTAGTAGGAGAAGAAGATGAATTATTCAACAAGGCTGTAGTTGCTTGGAACAGAGCATCCAATCATCTTGAGGAGTTATCAGTCAATTCTTCACTCTATGACAGAATGGGAGAATTTCTATTGGAATTGAATCAAATTGTTGAGGAAATGTTGAAAGAAGCTGAAATGATGAATCTTCCAAGAAAGATTCTTCTCAGAGCACTTTGGTATTCTGATGAATTTGTGGAATGTTATGATGATCTAAATTTCGAATAAACTCAAATATTACAAATTGCTATTCAAGTGTTATTTATCATCAATATTCTAAATAGTTTCCAATAATACTGCTTTGTTTTCCACCAAAATGGATTATTAAAAAGCTTTTAGATTTTATTTAATATTGCATTCTTCAAATGTGTCACGAGTTCTCTTCTTTGAAAAATTCTTAATAACTACCTTTTTTGGTAATTGAGGATACTTGTAATCACGCCAATCAAGTCCTAAAGGAATGGAATAGTCCATACTTTGGAATCCGTATTCTCTCTCAATTATTCATTTCTGGACAATCGACATGGAGAATGAAACCAAGCTTTTCTCCAAACTGTCTTGGAACTAAACTAATTTGGCCAGTGATTGAGAATTTAACCTTTCGTCCACTTTCTTTCAGATCAATGATTAGAAATTGTTTAATGTGGGATACAATTTCGTTGGGAAGTGAATTTGCAAATCCAGATCTTGTAAAATAGGTAAAATTGCACAATTCCTGAATTTTCTCTTCCTTAAACAATTTTGAATAACTCTTATATGGACTATTCACAAACTCAATTGAACTTTCGAATACATTTTCTGCAGGATTTTTAACTGTAAAATACTCAACCTCCTTCTCCAATCCCAAGAATGCCTGTTGCCACTCCTTACTCCCAATTACAGTAAAATGTGTTGGCAACAAGAATGCATTATACTCAACCGTAGAGTGCGATTCTCCTACCTCTCCCAACAATTCCCTAACTTTAGTAATTAATCCCTTCGGTCCATAATGTTCTCTAATAATTTCCACAATCTTTGAATCAACACTCATATAAACATGTCCCCAAAATCTTTCACCCAACTCTGGATTTCTCCACCTCAACACTCCCCAATTTCTTGTTTCCTTCTCAATCCTTTCCAATACACTTTGATCCAAATCAAAACTCAGCACTGTCTCTCTCGGAAGATAAAAAATCGTACTATAATATGGAGAGGTATAAGAATAACAAGGAGAGGTTGGAGTATAAGTTGGTGAATATGCTGGTGAAGTTGGAGCATAGACGGGTGTAGTTGGTGAATAGCTCGGTGAAGTTGGTGAATAGCTTGGAGAACCTCCACTGTAATACTCTGTTTGCTGTTGTTTGGCAGCTTCTGAAAGACTAGTTGGACTCCATGAATAGTACGATGTTTGCTGTTGTGTAGAGACTTCTTGTGGTGGTGGTGGTGGTGATGAAGAAGGTGGCAATGAGAAAGAATCACCCTGTACTTGTGAAGTATGATTTTGCATTTTTTTTTTTGAATTATTGTAAAATTTTAGAATAGTTCATCATCATTACAATGAGTGTTGGTGATGATTGGAACTTGTCATGAAATTGGTGAATGTGGTGAAGTTGATTTTGACTAATCAACAGAGGAGAATGATGGTAAAAAAAACAGTTTACAAATGTGTTTTTGAAAGATTTACAGTTGAAAGTGTTGGAAACTTATGGATATGAAATTGTATGTGGTTTTACACTAAAAGCAATTAGGTGTCCTAATATGAAAAGCTGTACAAATTAAACAGTATGGTATTCTACCTCCAATACTTTACTGTCCATATGTTCATGTTCTATACTTGAAATAAGTTAGTTGTCGTAATTTTCTTGAATTGGAAATTGTGATTGGCACTTGACATTTATTAATATTGAGGATATAATCACCGGCTACGAAGATTGCATTCTTGATGGTTATGTGTGCATGATCTGCTCCTCAAGTATACTGGTTACAGAACTGGCTGCCAAAAGTCAACAAACGGATTTCACAATAAAAGAAACGTGCTGAATGAACAGACTGATAAAATTCAACAATTTTCAAATGTGGAATGTATAATAATTTTTCATCGTTATTGATATCCATTTTGGGAAAGTCCTTAGTTGACTCCATACGTGTGAGAGATACTCGGGGTCAACTTTTTAAATCTTTTGATTTTTATCAGGATATCGAGAAGTATTACCAGAATGTAAGTTGAAAGACCCTCGGATTATATAAAATCCAAAATTACAATCCTCATCCTCATTCTCACCATATTATTAATACCTCCATGTTAAAAAGTTAAAAAATTAATTTCCACATTGAAAAAAACAAATTCACTCCTCCTCCACAACAACAATAACAAATTAAGCAACACATTTGCATTACTTCTCTCCAAATTCATCTCTTCTCACCTTACACAATGGAAAACGAAACAAAGAAACCAATCGAAACAAGCATTGAATCTTCACCTCCTCTCAAACGCCAGCAATCCTCTCTCGACGATTCCTTTCGTAAACATCAAAAACAGCCAAAAACCTTCACAGTCCACTGCTGTTTCTTCAAACTCGAATTGAATTTCATTAAAATCTTTGCAATGGTTGCCATGGTCCTCAATACCATTACTTTCCTCATTCTCCTTGGTTTGCTGATTTATAGTGAAAATAGTCAGATGAATGAGGATATTGATTTGTTGGCTACTAGAGCGAAGGTATCTACGTATACTGCCTATATTCAAGCTTATACGTTGGTGGCTGCCTATTCGGGAAATGAGGGATATTTGGCTTATTATAATAATTATTCGAAAGTGAATGATGAGTTGACTGAAAATATGCTTCAAAAGATACCTCAGAGTATTTCGCAGCAGTATAGAAATAATTTGCAGGGAATTGTTAATTATTTGACTGATACTGATTCTCAAGCTGTTTCGAATATTAGAGATGGAAACTTTACGGAAGCTGTTCGATTGCTTACTTCCGCCACTTATATCGCAAGAAGAAACACTTTTAGAACTGCACAAGATGTTGTACTTGATTATGTACTTGCTTCTCAAGAACAAGTGTCAAAAATCACTAATGCTATGTCCATAACTTCATTATCAATTATTTGCTTGGCAGTTGTAGTTACAGTTCCAGTCATTATCTTTGTTTTTGGGTTGGCTATTAGATCAGACTCCAACAATGTTCAAAAATTAAGAGAAGCACTAGCAGTTGACATTTCACACACCATGAATAATGACAGATTGAGAAATCTCTTTAAGAATCATTGTAAGAAGGAATTTAACTCTGAAAACTTTGAATTCCTTGAAAAAGTTCAGCAGTACAAGCGATTGTGTGAATATCAAATTGAATTGGTTCAAACATTGAGTGAAGAAACTGAAAGTTCTAATAGTTTAGGTAGCGTTTCTTTCGAATTATCTGAAGTTTCCAATAACGCAACTCCTTCCACCATCTCTGTTGTTGATCAGTCTTCCAAATCCAATACTTCTCTCAGTGTTGGTCAACCAACAACCAAGAGAAAGAAAAATCTTTCAACTACTCAAGAACTCGAAACTGAATTAGAAGTTGTTGAAGCAAAGAAATTCCAATTAGCTCAGGAAATATATGAAGAATTCCTGAATGTTAATGGCCCTAAATCTGTAAATATTGATAAGAAGTCCACACATGATGTTTTGTTTCAAATTGAATTGTATAAGAATCGTCAAATTTCGTCGCTTCCAGACGATTTGTTTGATTTCTTGGAGAAGGAAATTGAAATTGTAATGTTGGATTCTCATTACAGGTTCAAACTTTCGATGGAATTCCTCAAGGAAATGAGAGTTAAAAAGATTCATGGTTTGGTTATGAAACATCAAAATTCTCAATAAAATTGTAAATTATTCGAAAGGTTTCATCTCCTTCTAGCAAAAATTGAAATGAAAGTTCCCAATCGAAGAGAACTGGAAATTCCTCTATAAACCACTTTAAAATCATTCACATCAGTCAAATCAACCTGATGCACAAACAGTCTCCTATAATTCGAATCTTCCCCAAAATTTTGACTAAATATTCCTCTCATCACTTCCATAGTTTCTTTTAAATTTCCATTCGACGCTTGAAACTTTTCAAAATAATTCGAAATTGGATCCAAAACTAGTTTCTTTTTAAACAAATCCATTTTTGTTAACATGATTGAAATGTCAGCTCTCTCAAAAAGTTTCGTTGTTTGAATTTCATTGTATAAATGAAAAGCCTCATCAAGTCTATTCATTCCAGTCAGTGGATTGATTAGATTGTAATCTGAAATTGGAATGAAGAACATTATAACATCAATAGAGTTGGAAAATTGATGAATCCACTTTCTTCTTTCATTCAATTGACCTGTAATGTCAATAAATTCAAACTCATCCCTCCGAATTGAAATAATTCCCTTATCGTCTGGATGATGAGATTTGAGCAAATCTTGGTTGAGTGGCTTGTAATCATTGGAAGTAATTCTATTGAAAGCATCAAGTGTGAAAAAACTGAAATTTTTTGAATGAAATTTGAACTTATGACAAACATACTATTGAATATTATCCAAATATCTAATATTTGTCGATCTTAATAATGAATTGTAAAATTCGTTCATTACTTCCTTTTTTCCATAATTCACAATTTTGGAATAAATTGAAATAATTTTGGAATTCAATTGTTTCTGCTCTCGACAATCATTTATCAACTCATCCAATAATTTACCATCTTCGTCACCTTCCCAATTATAAACCAAATCAAAATGTTCCTCATGATAATGATGATGTTCATAATTTTCATGAATTTTCCTCTTCAATCTTTCAAAATATTTCCATTCCCATTTTACAAAAACTTTGATTCCTCTACAAATATACATGTACACATTGAGCGTCAGATTTCTATTCTTCTCTGAAAAGAGACCCTCTGCCTTTTGTTGAAAAGTCAATGGACGTGTAAGTTCTGTATCATCAAGTCCAGCAAGATTACTATTCGAAATTTGATTCACTCTATGAGACATTGATAACATGGTTCGAATCATGAAATCATCAGCTTCCATATCAAGAGCATTCATTAGAAAGGTTTTAATTCCGCAATTTCTTGGTCCCATCAATAATATTCGAAGAGGTCTCGTTGTTTTTTGTAATTGTTCAAGTTGGAGCTGATTGTTGTTGGTGGAGACAAGTTGTGCTGATAAATTTCCGTACAGTTGATTATCTATTTGTTTACTTTTCAATTTTTGCTGTCTGTAGCTTGCACTTGTTGTTCGTGTTGTGGAAGAACTGGCATTGGTCATTTTGTTTTTTTCAACTTTAGTTTGTGCCCTTTTCAGGAAGATATTGAAAAGTGACAATGATCAAACCTCAGTGAATCCAGTTGAAGATGTTGAATTTCGCCACAGAAACGCTTCTTTCATATTAACAACAACAGTAAATATATACAAACTAGATTATTTATTTAATAATGACTTTAAATTATTGAGAGGAAAGAGAAAGGGTATTGGTTGCAGTGTAACCAGCAGATTTCATGTCCAAGTATTGACCAGTTGGGTCAGACCACATTTCTAACAAGTTGGTGTAAAGAGGAGATAAGAAGTTACCAGATTGACCGAGTGGAATGATGAATGAAGCTTGATTGCCTCGCCAATCAACAACTTGTCTATAAGAAACACCCCATCTTGAATTGAGGGCAGGATATTGAGTTTCACCAACATTAATGGTTGAAGAACCACCAACAGTAGTACGAGTAGCTCCAGCCAAACATTTGAGAACAGTATTATCCATTACCGGGTTAGGGAATTCAGATTCGTGAATATCAGAACCCCACAATGGAATAGAACCGTAAGTGGCTTCAAGAGCATCAATGGCATTTTCAAAGCTGTCAATAGCGAACAACATACAAGTAGTGTTGTGATAATTTTCACAAGCACTATCACCATTCTTCAAGGCATTGTAAAGATATGGACCGAAAGACCATCTATTGACAGTTTCAACCTTGGTGAGGTTACCCATAATCTTGTACCACATTTCAAAGATGGAAGCAGATTGAGAGTACAAAATTTCATCACCGTCCCAATTAATCAACTTTTCTCTCAACTTTTCCTTATTTTCAGTGAGATTTCTGAACTTTGGAATAGCTTCAAAAACAAACTTGAATTGATCAAAGACTGGTGAGTGAACGTCGTGTTGCATCTTCTTCATGTATTCAAAATTGAGTGGAGTTCCCTTTTCAATAGCAGTTTCAATCAATGAGACAATTCTGCTAGCTCTATAGAAAGAGTACCAATCTTGGGTAATACTGTACTTGTAACCAACAGGAGTAACTCTGTTGTTTGCAGAAGCAATGTAATCCTTCTTTGGATTGTAAACGCTTGGCTTTTCAGCAGCTGGAATAAATCCTTGCCAATCATAGCTACCATCACCAATAACTGGGAATCTACCATTGTGACCTTCCTTTCTAATTGGAACCAAACCAGCCAAATAGTAACCAATGTTACCACTCTTGTCAGCAAAGACAAAGTTTTGGGATGGGGAAACGAACAAGGAGACAACATCAACAAATGAGTTCCAATCCTTAGCTTCTCTGTTCAACTTGAGGAAAGCTTGGAGTGTGGTATCATTAGTGTAGGTAGTCAAAGACTTCAAACACAAAACGTTACCATCAACTTGGTAGTGGTCATTAATAACTGGACCGTAGACAGATTCCTTAACAGTAATAGTCTTGGCAGCAGCTCCCTTAACATTAATAGTTTCGGTACGAGTTTCATATTGGAGAACTTTACCATTGTAGTTGTAAGTTTTACCTTCTTCAACTTCGGACATGACGTACAAATCTTGAGCATCAACAAGACCAGTAGTAACACCCCATGAAATGAAATCATTCTTACCAATAACAATACCTGGAAGACCAACAAAAGTAGAACCAATAACATTGTGAGTTGGACCTTCCAAATGAGCCAAATACCAAATACCTGGAGCAGTCAAATCCAAATGAGGATCGTTAGCCAACAATGATCCATTGTTTGCTGTAATCTTGGTTCCGAGAACCCAATTGTTTGAGGCCTTGTTACCAGTGATATCTGGAGCAACCATACCCTTCAAAACTGATCTGACAGCTTGTTTACCCCATTCACCAGATTCTTCCAATGAAGCGAACATTTCTTCCATGACAGACATGGTCAAATTGTGAATAGCCTTTGGAATAAAAGCAGCAGAATCATCTTGTTGAGCCTTTTCAATCTTTTCTCTTTCTTCAACTGGAACGTTTTGCAAATTCATTTCTTCCAAACTCAAAATAGTTGGCATATCAGTTGGGTAGAAAGGAACCAATTCGTTAACTCTGTCCTTTGTGATATTTCTTTGCATCATCTTGAATCTCCAAACTTCCTTTTCCATATTATCAGAAAGAGAGAATGAAACAAACTTCATATAAGCAATAACATCACTTGGAGTCCATTCAACTGGTTTAGTGTTGAGGAGAACAAATTCAGGTTGAAGTGGTGGATTACTATTAATATAAGAGTTAATACCATCACAATATGCTTGAATGAATGAAAGAGTTTCAGCATCAATGGTTGGTAAAATGTTGGCAGCAGAACGAGCAAATCCGAGAGTTCTGAACCAACTGTCAACATTGACAGCATCAGCACCAGCAACTTCAGCCAAAATACCATTTGACAATCTACGATTAAATTCCAATTGCCACAAACGATCTTGAGCAACAGCTACACCTTGTGCGAAATATAAATCATAATCGTGTGAAGCCTTGATGTGAACAACACCATTACTTTCACGTGAAATTGTAGGAGCAGAAGATCCCTTTGGTGTAAACTTTGGAAGTTTAAGAGTACCGTTATAAGTTGGGTAGGTTTGTTGTTGCAATGGAACGACAACAACTGTGAAAAGTACCAAAATGATGAAACATAAAACAGCAATAGCATTGGCAGCAATCTTCAAAAAGCCGACAACAAACTTGGAAAATTTGCTTTCTTCTTCCTCCTCTTCTTCGTCATCTTCATCATCTTCTTCATCATCAAAATCATCTTCTTCATTTCCTTGTCTGGAATCAGAATATGCATTGTATTGATTTACTTCTGATGAACATAAAGCAGCAACAATAGCGGAAATTCCCTTCTTACCAGAGTGTCGTGCTCTAGTCTTGAAAAACTTGTAAATATTGTACAAGTGATAAATACAGAAGAAGAATGTAGCGCCTTCAAGAAGTAACATAAATATAAATTCAGCAAATCCACATTGGAAAAGCAAATGTGAATGAAGCACACCAACAACAACACAACATCCAATACTCAATAATAAAATAATTGATAATATTATCGCACCAACAATATTCACCACTCTATTTCTAGCAATCTTTTGGAGCACATTGAGTTGTTTACTCGATTCCAACCCATCTCCACCATCGCCGTGCGTTCCGTACGAAGACATTTTTTCTAGAATCAATTTTCTTCAACAATAATTTATTTAAAATTATTTTAAAAAGATATTTTTTCAAAGCATCTTCCCATCAGTCTCAAATACACAATCACATAGATTTTAGTTGCGCGCCAAAATTTTCAAGAGAGCCTCTCTTGCATTTGTTGAATGGATCATGTTGATGCTCTTAATGATTGATAGGGAGCACACACGTGTGGGAGGAATGAAAAAAGGTTCAATATTGATCAATCATTGGGCGCACCTGTGTGTAGTTTTTGATAATGCACAGAGAAATAAAGATGGAGAACACGAAGGAAATTGCAATATCTACATCCAAATAATTTTCAATATTAATTGATGATTTCATGAGGAGAAGTAATGGACTTGTGAACAGATTGTGCTTACTACTGCGGAATTTTCAATTAATAACTCCCACTCATCTCCGAACAATTGAATTTCAAGGAAAATGGGAGATGAGGTGCAAGTTTGAACGAAAATTGAAACAGAGATCAAGAATATTCAATCCTTTACCAATCACATTATTGTTTATTATCACTTGTAGTATCATTATTCTTTTCACATGAACACAATGAAAGAAACTTCTTTCCATACACCATTTCGAATGCATTCCTATTGAAAGTAATGTAACATGAGAGAATGGAAACTGCATTCAACATGGTATCCATGAAAATATTTCTATTGAGTCCCCAGAAAAGTCCCATCGAATCGAAACCAAACACGTACGAAACTAACATGAAGAGTGAAACAATCCAACCAATAAGGAAGAAGACCGTTTCTAATAGAATGAATTTGGTGAAACGATACTCAATAATTGAGCTAGTATCTGAGGTTTTTCTGAGGGAAAGTAAAATCTTGATTCCATAAAATGCAAAGCCAACTACAAATGTAAAGAGATAGATCAGTACAGCAACTGTCAAGAAGATATAACCAGTAGATGAGTTCTTCACAACAATCAAAATGATTGCACTCACAATTCCTGATATTAACATGCCAATGTAACAAATTGTCAAGATTACAACATTCAATTTTGACAATTGACTTGAAAAGGGAGCAGAGGATGTCTTTCTCTTTGCCAAATCAATCACATGAGCCCATGAAATAACCAATGCAGAATATCCACAACATGCCAAACCAATTGAAATCGATCTAAAAATTCCCGAATAGAAAGAATTGAAAAATCCATTAAAAACACTAAAATTAAATAGAAATCTGAAACAGTTTTCCAACATTCCAAAGAATGCAGATAATGTAAAGAAAATTGGAGGTTGTGTTACAATATCTAAAAAATGTCTAATGAAATAGAGAGGTTTCTTACAATTAGTTTCCATTAATCTAATATCATTTCTCTGTTTGAATGAGGAAATTCTCTCCACAATTCTCGGTACCACCAAAACCAATGAATAAAACAATGAACAACTGCCATATAATAGAGTAAATATCACAACACATATTCTATAGGTACATAATAATTGCCATCCCTGATAATAATCGTAGCATTGAAAACCAATGGTTTTGGAGCTAGATCCATAATCACACCAACATGAAACTGGAATGTTGAGAGGGGCTGAATCAAGTGTTGACCTTTCGAATAAATCTTTAAAATAAAAGGTGAGAATGGATTGAAGTTTAACTTTGGAAATGTAAGTCTTTGCATCAGAATAAACTTCATTGAAATTATTCTTTCTATATCTAGCAAACGAATTGATAAAGTAATCTGTTTGGAAAAAGTAATATTCAAGGAATGGTAAATGACGTCTCTCCACATAGCTATCTCCATTACAATGCCTATTCGAAACTCGATTGAAATTCTCCAAGAAATTCAACGATGAATTTGCAATTGAAAATGCATCACATTGACCCAACATTAGTTTTTCTCTAAATATTTCACTTGTCGAATTAATTGATGATGAATTTCTTCCCTCAGTATTACAATAAAAACAATAATTCCACATGACTCCAAGTGTAGTGAGCTGAGTCTTATTCGAAAGGTTCCATTCCTTGTCATTGGAACACAGGAAATCAACACAAGAGAATGAACCATCCAATAATGAACTGATCAATTGAGAGTCCTTATAGAAATCTTGTGGTGCATTTCCAATCGTTGGCAATTTACAATAATCATAGAAGGGAGTATCGAGAGTGAACATGAAAGGATAGTAGAATTGGTTGACTGGAGTGTGTTTGAGACATTCGTATTGTGGGTAGTAGAATGAAGTAACGGTTGTCAAGTTGCTGTTGTTGGTTGATTGGTAACTATTCGAAACAACAAGCAAGAGTAAAGTAATGATGAATAAACTATTCGAAAGTATTGTTGACATTCTTTTTGAATGATTAATAAACCCTTTACTCTTACTTTCTTTCAATCATTTCAAACAAAATGTACGTACTAGGGACAGTTTAAATTAATTTGTAAAATACCATCTCTTTCCATTTACAAACAAGATTCTACAATTTCAACTTGGTTTCGTACAAATTGTTAGAAATAAGAGGATTGCCGCCCTACTGGATCGGCATTATTATCCTTTAAGATATGATGATGCATCTTTGTGGATTCGTAAATGCATTTCTTTCGAATAACTAAAACAAATTTCAGTAAATATTTCCGTAATAATTTTTACAAACAACAAACACTTCTGCGTTCTTCGCATCTGACATCTCTGAATGGTGATCAATAGTATTCCAGCAAGAAGAATACTGAACTCAATAACACTTTCTATGAACAACTTCATATCCAAATTCTTCATAATTCTCTTTCGAAAGCCACATATCATGTTCAATAAAACTCGCAAGAATCGAACCACCAATCCAAACAGAATATTTCCTCTTAGGAGGAGCAATAATCTTAACATTCATTGCAGATGGAGCTAGTGCAGTCAGTTCCTTGGTCAATAGTTCAGAAATTCCCTCAAACATTGTATTTCCACCTGATATATGAATGTTACTGAACAAATTCTTTCTCATTTCAATATTACATTTACCAATTGAGCTGAGAATAGTTTCATGAATGGAGGCACATTCTAATTCCATCAAATTTGGTTGGAAAAGAACTTCTGTGCATTTGAATCGTTCTTTATCAATTGGAATGATAGACCCATCTGGTAGTTCATATTCTCTTTGAATAGATAAAGATGTTTCATTTACCATTTCAGTATTGAAATCAAGAGAAATATAACAGTGCTTCTCCTTAATATCTCTAAAGATTCTTCTTTCGTTTGTTAAGGATTGGAGTTGAGGAAACCCTTTCCCCTTCAACATTTCCATTAAACAATCAGTAATGTCACTGCCTGCCAATTCTAAACTCACAATTGCATCTGAAACGGCAAATCCATCATTAATTGGAACAGCATGTGTAATTCCATCTCTTGAATCCATAACCATTCCATTAGTCTTTCCAGATGAATACAATGCCAATACAGCTTGATTAGCAACATACATTGCTGGAACTCTTTTTAAATTAATTGAATACTTTCTTACAAATTATTAGAGAATGCTTTAATAAATTTAATGATCTAGCAAAACAAGAACTAATTCGTACAATGTGAAGAACATTTGAAGGGTAATTAGCTCAGGTATGAGAATAATCCAATATTTCTTTTGAATTCTGCATACCATTCTTTTCGATTCTTACAAAGAATATTGTAGAATTTCGAATGAGCCATTCCAAATCTTGTCAATGAAAATGGATCTTCAATAAATTCCATAATTAAAATCCAATATTCATCTGCAATATCTTCAAATTTCATCAGCAGTGGTTGTAAAATATTTTTCACTTTTTCCTTTCCAATTTTTGGTTTTTCCAAAAGAGAAAAGACACGTTCAGGTGTATTGTAATACAATAGGATATTGGTGAAGAATACATATTCATCATTATGGCTTAACCATTCTCTTATTCCATCGATGCTTTCTTCATTGGAATTTGGTTTTCTCAATTTCTTTGGACGAACATATTCTTCATATTCATTTTCGAATACTTTTTCCAATAATTCAATAGGAATGCTATTTTGATGTTCGAAATGAGCACTCAATTCTGCAATCAAAAGTGGATGAATGAATGTGAAAGTGTACTCTGCAACTGATTGGTAAGCTTCTCCCAACTCAATCAAGTTAGGAAATTCAACATATTCCTCCACTTCATCAGAGTTTTCCTGAGTTAGTATGATTGTACTGTCTTGTCTAAATGTGCCAATACTACACAACAATTCATCTAATTGGGTTGAATCAGACCAAGTTTCTGATAATCCGAATTTAGCTGCAAATTTTGCTAATTCACCGGCAGCTCTCAAGCGGAAACTGTTAATATAAAATCTGCTATCTAATTCTAACAAATCTTGTTTGTAGGAAGATGGATCTTCTGTTTCATCGGAGACAAGTTTCTCAGCTATTTACAAAGTATTAAATAATAAAGTAAAAAAGTAGATGCATACCCAAATCTTCAAATTGGTCCAGATTGACCATTAGCACGGTAACGTCTACACCCATTTTTTTCTTGTTTTTTGATCTCGAAGTTCGTGTTAAATTCGTTTACTTTACAATTTCTTTTTATTCAATGAATCGCAAAGTGCTGTCCTCCAATCCGGAAACAGCAATAAAACTAGCATTAGGTCCAAAGCGAATGCTTGATGGAGAACAGGTGTTTGGAACTGTTGTATTAATGAGTTCAGTCCAAACCTTAGCTTGATAAACTCCAACAGTACCATCAGTACAGGTTGCACCTAGATAAATACCAGAATAGTCGAAGGAAGCATTGCTAACTGGTGAATTGAATTGCAATGTGTGCAGAGGTACCACTTTTCTTAAATCCCAAATACGAACAGTCTTATCCTTTGATGAAGAAGCGAGATAGTAACCATTTTCAGAGAATGAAAGTGAGGTAACTTCTCCAGAGTGTCCTTGTAATGTAGCAGCTACTTGTTGAGACTTGACGTCCCAAATCTTTACAGCATTATTTTGAAGACCAGTACCAAATAATAAACCATCTGGATGGAATTGAATACAAGTATATCCTGATTCATCATTGCTACTCTTTAACAAACTAGTTCCAGTTTCAATTTCACAGAAAGACCATGTCTGATCGAGAGATGATGTCAAGAAGTAGTGACCAGATTGATGCAAGGCAAGTCCAGTAACACGTTCCAAATGAAGTTTTTCCATAGTGTGAAGACAGGTAGAATCCTTAAGAGACCATATTTTAACATCTCTATTGTGACTTGAAAAGGCAAATTCAGGAGTATTGTGGAAAATGGCACAATTTACAGGTCCAGAATTAGAATTCAACTCTCCAATACAAGTATTATATTGCTTATCAAAAACTGAAATTGATCCATCTCTACCTCCAGTTAAAATCAATGAATTTAAAACGTCAATGGATTGAATACCCTTTCCTTGATGGAGTCTGTATTCACTATTTAACAAACGAGTGTTGGAATTTGACATTTCCTCTGGTGATTTAAGAGATGGTGAAATAGTTCTTTGTTTTCTATTTGATGAGAGAATTTCTGCAGTATTTGTAAGTCTTTCTGAAACAGTCTCTGAGAGAGTATTAGAAGTTTCATCTTCCATATTATTTTGATTTTTTCTGAGAATACTCTTTGTGTCATCATTATCCTTCATTAATCTTGCAATAACTCTGCAAGCAGCATCATGTTGATAAAGTGAGTGTGAAAGTTCCTTTCTTGATTTATCCAATTGTTGTCTCAAAGTAAAAGTTTCCAACATTACAGAGTCCCATTCATTTTGGAATGTTTGTAACATGCTTGGAATACTGGCAATAGCTTGACTAGGCTTCACCGATGATTCAGTGCCTTTCTTATCTATTAAAACAATTATTCAGATGAACAATAATACAAGATGATCAATGATGAGAGAAATTAAAGATCCGATACCTACAAATTACATCAATTAAATCATTAGGAGTTAAATCTTGTCCAGTAATTGGACACTTTCCGTGTTCTTCAATATACTTTAAGATCAAACTCTTTTCAAACAAGTGTCCAGTCTTTTTAGAAATTACAGGATGAAGTGGTGCTGTTTCACTAACTAGAATCCGCATCACACAATACAAACAACAACAAGGATTAATAACACAACACATTAGAACAATCTTCAAAAACATCTCCTACATACTATTGCAATACATTTTTTTAACTTTAATTTTTCAATGAAGAACCTTCTCTCTTGAAGGTGAAGCAAAAAACTCAAAATTCAAATCCTCACATTAAAATTCTTCTTCAGCAACCATCTTCCTAACATACATATCAAATTATATCTATCCTCTTGTTCAATATGATGACAATTAATTCATCATCACCATCACAAGAAGCAAGAAGAGAAAAGGAAAATATTATTTGGCGCCAACCTATCATTTCCAAAAAATGCCCAACCATTTACATGAAGCAACACCAACAATAATAACGGGCAAAGAAGTTGGCGAAGCTTCTTCTTTACTTCAGCAACAACAGCAACAGCATCAACTGACGGTCAATACAAGTGGTATTCATGGTACTACAACATTGCAACAACAACAAGGAGGTGGAAATAATACTCCACCATCTTCAACGAGTTGTGGTAGTAGCAGCATTAGTAATAATAATAATACACAATTGAAAACACCAAATACACGAAGAAAGAGAAAGCCTGGTAATAATAATACACCACTGTTATCATCGTCGGGAGGTATTGTTGTTGGAGGAAGGAGAGCTGTTGTATCACCATCTGATTATTCACCTACTTCGTCTTCTTGTTGTTCTCCTTGTATGCTACAAACATCATCATCTGATCAGTGGTTTTCACTTGTTCAAGAATTGGATCGATCTCCTAAAAAGAAGATTTCCAACATTTTTCAACAAGCTAGCAATGATAAATTGTATAAATTGTATCAACAAGTTACTGTGAATAAGGATACATTTGGTAATTTCTGGAACAATAATCAAGCCTCTGGAGAAGTGTCACATAATTTAATTATGGAATTATCTTTGAGATTGAGATCAATTTTATACGATTCATTTGTAACAAATCATGTATTGTACGATGATGACATTTCTTTATTGCCATATTTCCAAATGAGTGAATTTCACACATTGGAAAAAGATAGGGATTTATTAGAAAATATGCATTTGCAAAATGATGAAAATACAAATATTGTGGATCTCTACAAGTATAATCAAATTGATCAAATGATCATTTCTAATTTATATAATCCTACAACATCTATAAATGCTATCTATGACGAGGAAAAATTGGATGCTCTCTCCAAAATGCAAGATGCCAGCTCTATGGTATTACCAATGTCTGATTCTGAATCTGAACAAACACCAACTGTGCCATCAACATCAAAGCCAAGAAAAAAGATAAAACTCAGCACTTTACAGGATAAGGATTCAGATCCAGATTCTTGGAATATAATTGATACAGAGATGGCTCAAAAGGTAAATACTGTAGAAATACTTCCATCAAAGGATTTGGATATTTATTTAGATTTGAAGGAAAAAATTCAACAAGAGAATCAAAAAGAAATTAAAAATGTAGATATTTTCGACAGGGAAGAAAGATGGAATTTATCAACAGCACAAGTTAGACTTCCAAAATTAGTAAGTTTGAATATAGCTTATTTGAATTTTAACAATAATTTAAAAAGAAACTAAGAGGAGAAAAATCAACTCAAAAATGTATCCACGAGAACTCTCTAAGCTCATTCTATTTTGAAAACCTAAGTAGTAATAGTAGATGTATTTTCCCAGAATATACATATGATGAGACATTGCCAGATTATGGTGAAAGTCTCTCAAATTCACATTTAACATCGATAGCAACACGAAACAACTCAAAAGATTTTGCAAAACAACAATTAAGTATAATTTCCAATCTAGGATATAAATTGGGATTACGAGATGTGTCAACCATTAAGAAAATATATAGCCAATCTCACAAAGCTCAACAGGAACCAAAACTTCAGAACTTGGCCCAAACTATTCTCAAAAATTCTTGCAATAGTGGAAGTAATAATTTATTGCAAACATTGCAAATGAGTAGAGAGCCAACAAGTCCACCACCACCAGGAAAGAAACAAATCTCATCCATTTCCAATGAAGATGACACATTTATTTATTCGCCAAGCAATACTCTAGTTAAACAAAATGTAGATAAGATTATTCAATTAAGAGAAAAGAAAAAGAACCTTCTCATTCCCCTTAAAGCAGTAAGTGCAAGCTCTGAAGGTTCAGCTAGTAGTTCGAGCCCAGATGAAATGTTAGAGCAAAATCTTTCCAAAGAGAATGCACATTCTGCTCTCAGTTGCATTACATCAATGATTTTATGTCATGAAGGATTTGAAGGAGCTAAAGCAGGTGCCCTCAATGTGCTGACAGATGTTTTAGAATCATATATTTGCTCATTTGGAAATATTTTATCAACAAATGCTTCTTCTGGTCTGGAAGCAGAAGAGGCATTGTTAAAATCTTGCGAGGAAACGTTTGGTAGAAATGTTAGTGTTACTGATTTACAAAATTTGAAGAATGGAGTTGTTTCTCATATGAATGAAACTGCAAACAAGCTTTCGATTGTTGAAACAAAGCTCAATAATAGAACCCACAAACCTAAGAAGCAACAAGCAGCTCCAAAGACCAAATTACTCGAGATTAAGACAATTCCAAAACAAAATGATGAGGATGAAATTGCTCAATTGACTTCACCTAATGCTGCTCTTGATGCTGATTTTTCATTGGAAATCGAAGAAACTGGAAAGAAGAGAAATCGAGATATTTATGAGGAGGATATCCCACTCGATGAATTGGAGAATTTGAAATAAATAATTTAATTGTATTTTTTGAATCGAGTTATTCTTTGGTTGCTTCAACAGCTTCCTCTTCCTTATCGTCACGGAATGTATTATCTTCACCCTTAACTTCATAACTAGAACTTTCTTCAGTCCATTCCTTAATGGCTTCCCATTTCCAACCACCCATACCATTGAAAACAAGTCTTTGAGTGTGATACTTTTCGAGGGCTGGTCTGTGTGAAATAGTGATACAAGTAATACCATTCTTGGCACATCTTCCGTATAATTCTTGTTCAGAGTCGGCAGAAATACATGAGGTACATTCGTCCAAAATGGCATACTTTGGCTTGTGGTAGAAAAGACGAACCATGGCCAATTTTTGTTGTTCACCTCTTGACAAGGTGTCCCAATCTTGTTTACCATCAAATCCATCTGAGTGACGTCCTGCCAAATAACCAATACTAAAGTCATCCAAAAGTTCCTTCAAATTAGAATCTTTCCATCCATCCTTCAATTGCGTATCAGGATAGATAATTTGACTACGAAGAGATCCAATAACATTGTATGGCTTTTGAGGTAAGTAGAAGATTTCCTTGTGCAAACCTTGAGCATTTGAACCCTTAGCTTGTGGTTTGTAGACAATACCACTGTGAAGAGGCCACAAAGAACCCAAAATTCTAAACAATGATGATTTACCAGCTCCATTTGGACCAGTAATAACAATGTGTTGATTCTTACCAACATTGAAAGATAAATTACGAGCCAATGTAATATTATCTGGTGTTCTGATAATGACATTGTCAAATTTGATTTCATCACTTTCAAGAATTTCACCTCCTGAACCACCAGCCTTGGCAGACTTTAACTTAAAGTTAACATTATCAGAGTTACCATGCTTGAGTTCATCCATGACTTGATACAACAAGTGGACACGTTGTGTCATACCTGACAATTTCAAAATCTTTCTGAAAAGTTCAATGATTTTACCCAAAGCAAAGAATTCAAATGCAACAACAGAGATTAAATATCTCAATTGACCCATAAGTTTGTCCTTTGGCAATGGACGTAATCTACCAAAGAAGACTGGAATACCAACAATGACTGAGGTAACAGCATGAGGAGAATATTTGGTAAAGTAATCATTAACAACACCGAATAAGAAATTCTTGTTAATGACATAGTCACTGTATGATGTCAATTCTTCGAATTGTTTTTCAATCTTCAAACGTTCAGTTTCTTCACCAGCATAGAAGGCAACAAGTTCGGCATTATTCTTACATCTATTGTGAATGGATCTGAATTTACCTTCCTTATTTTGAACTTCAGATGACATCTTTGTAAAGTTTGGTGTGACCATACCCAAAACACCAAAGGCAATGACGACATATGAAATAATACTGAGTGGACCACCAGAACCAATCAATCTAGTAAGCTCGTAAGTATACAATAAAACTTCTACAATTGGATTCAAGAGATCCATAAATAATTCAGAGAATTGTTTGCAGAAAACTTCAACATCTTGAGTAATTCTTTGATCTGGAGCACCAACTCTCTTATCCAAATTCAAAATCTTATAGTAAACCATATCTGTATAATAACGATCATGAATATCCATAGTCAAATTCTTTCTCATTCTCAAAGCAAGTGTTTCAATAAGTGATGTAACGGATGGATTGACCAGAGATTGTAAGATTAAAATACCTGTAATTTGGAGTAATCTATAAATACAAGTTGCAGAATCTCTGGCAACTAAACTAGCCATCAAGTCACCACTGACACTGTTGTTTCTATTAACAATATATGTTTGGAAGATAACAAGGGAAGCAAGGCCAACCATAATCCATATTTCTCTTCCATTGGCAGGATCTGTTTTATATTTCATTGCACTAGAATTTCCTGCTCCATTTGGATTAAAAAGACCAATTTTAACCAAACTCCAGAACTTTTTCAAAGTGGAATCTTTTGATGTATTTGAGGAACGTGGTTTGTTGTGTGCTGGTAAATTCTTCTTCTTCTTTTTTAACAAGTAGGATGAACCAAACTTGACAGCAACAGCAAGTGCAATTGCAATGTATGTATATTTACTTGTGAGTACTTTCCTAGCGGTGAGTCCATCAAACGAATGAATCATATCAAGAATCATTTGTTCAAGCCAATAATCACTCTTGGTTGGCAATTCTACTTTTGAGTGTGTTGCAGGCATTCTTATTTAAATAATGTAGTACTACTATATAAATTATATTGATGATGTATAATATCGAAAATACAATCTTTCGTGATGATATCAAAATCACTCGTCGGGTTTTGTTACTATAAAATCTTCTCCTGTTCTACTTTGTCTACACACACAGAGAGAGAAATGATGTTGTTGTTATTGTTCTTGATGATATCCTCTCCGCACAAAATGATAATGTGATGATTGATGAAAACACAGAATCAACGAGAGAGAATTTTTTTTTTCGATGTTTAGATTTTAATTTTCCGTCGCCAATCGCTGAAAAATTGCTTGAAGGACATCAACGGGAAATTCAGGAGAGAGAATCTTTGTACAGGTTGTGAAGATTTTGTAAAGGGTGGTCCAGTTTGAGTTTTGTTTTATTAAGAGTATAATTGAAAACATTTTACAATAATCTATGGAATAGAATTTTCTTTAGCTTTAAACGTGCGTTCCAATTCAATTCCTTGCTGAAATCAGCAAAAACTTTTTCTCTTGTTATATTGGACAAGAAGGGAAGGGATGAGTTGCTGAGAATTTTGTTGGAAGAATTATTTTAAATATCATATTCTCTTTCCTTTTCCAAATCTCCAACTTGAAACCAATCATGTATCAAGTCACTTGGTGTATTATTTCATGAATTATTTTGAAAATGTTTGTTGCAGTATTGAGAGTGTTTGATTTTTCAAGCAGGATATTTCTTCCTCATTAATTGGGCTATCTGATGTTGTAGAACTTCGAGGAGTTATCGTGCAAATTTCTTGGTTGGAAATTGTTTTCTTGAAATTACGAAGCGTATTATTAAGAAAAGCTGCCGATGGAAAATCCTTCTTCTTTGATACATTTTCAGAAGTGGGCGAAGAGTTTTCAGAAGTTATAACTTGATCTGTTGAGTTGTTGGTGGGAGAAATTGTATGGGTTTGATTATTTACAGTAATAGGGGGATATAATTTAGGGGTAGATGGTGTTTTGAATGAATTATTAGAAATGAGGTTCAATAACTCTTCAGCAGGAACTCCATTATTTAACAATACCGACTGAATTTCATCATAGATGTACCCATAAACTTTCTGCACTCTTCCATATTTCCTTGCAAGGACAGTAAGGGCTAGGAAATCTTGTTTGAGATGCCCTAAAATTTCGCTAACAGATACTAAATGAGAAAAATTAGACAATGCTTCCAAATGAATTTCTGCAGCTAGAGCAAAACCAAAAATATTGGTAGGTAAAATGTATGGGAATAGATCATCCTTGCTTAGTTCAGTAGTCGTATTTGCAAGATTGAGCATTTCTTTGAAAAATAACTCTCTCTTTTCTTGGCTATTTGCTTTTGAATAGAGTACTCGGAGTGATTCTATTCTTGTTTTGGTAAAACTAGATACATCCACTATGCGAGACAAGTTGAGAAAACCAGGTGAATGCACAAGCTTTTGATGGTGTTGTTTCATAAATTGAAGAATGCATTGAAGAACTGCTGACTCAGCTTGTGCTGTGTTTTCATTCAAATCACGATCCACCAATTGCTTCAATTCAGGAGGTAATCTTTTCCCAGTAGATAACTTGAAAGGTATTCCTATATAATCTCCAAAAGTGAGACTTGTCCATTTGTATCTATTATCAAAATAAAATAATTTAGTTATTCCACTCCCTTTGTTCAAATTTTCAAAGGCAAGTCCTATCAGCTCGTTATGGGAATTAAAATTCAATTCAGAATATTTTGATAGGTAATACTCTACTGGTGACATGAACCATTGTGACATTTGATCCTCTCCCTCAGCACCAGAAAAGTAAGCTAAATTATTATATGTACAAATATTTAGATAGTTATCGTAATCTTCAAAAACTTGATGTAGCTCACTTTTTGCTTCATTGAAGGCAGCAATAGCAGCATCCCTTCTTCCAAACCGTTGATCACACAATGACTGTATTGATAGAAATAATGCCTTAATACTGGTTGCATTAGTGTTTTGATTCAGAATATTCTCAGAAAAGAGCATGTTTTCAAAATTTTGAGGGGTAATGAATGGTAGTCCCATACAAACCAAGTCCATATAGACATTGAACGTTTGTCTCTTGATACTTTTCTTAATTAGTCCCTCTGTGATTGCAATTTGAGGTTCTTCAATTGTAGACGCTGCTCTCCTCATTGATCGTTTGCTGTTATTATTATTCTGGTTATTACCCCTACTATCTCTACTAGTAGTGCGATCTGTTGATGATGATGAGGCTAGATTTCTTTCTTTTGTTTTTGTATCCATGTAAATACACTTTCTGTGATGAGTAACACATTCAGAGCATTTCGGAAATTCCTTTGAGCATCGACGATGTAGCTTTCTACAAGAGACACATGCAGCCTTGGGTTGAAAACCATTTTCTTCATCACCCTTTGCATCAGCAGCTAAATTAACTTGAATAAATTCGGAACTATATAAAATTCCACCACTCGTTGATGTGGAATAACTATTCTTCATCCTAATACCTAATGTTCCACAAATATACAAAAAAGCAATAGGTTTAATCAAAACGTTGAATTGTTTGTGAAAGATAATTTAAATTCCTCAAGTCAAATTGTGATGATCCACCAAAAGAACAATTCTTCTCAACGCACAAGTATTATTATTACTGATGATGATGAACAAAGAGAAGGAGCTCTAACGACAATTTTTTAAATTGATGATGTTGGAATTTTACTTTGAGATTTTAATAAAGGAAAGATTACAATTAAGTTTTCAGACCAATCAATTTACCAATGAAATAATGTATTTATTTTGTAAATTTGTACTCACAAGGAGAGAATGCACACTTTAGAGTAGTGCAAATTAATGTGTTATTATCGCTCGATAATCTTTGAAAAACTTAAATTGAACCTAATTTTGAGCAACTGGTTGATTGACAGAGTAAATTGGAGTTTGGTCTTGTTGTGGATATTCAAATTCGTCTTCATCTCTCAACATTTGATGTTTCTTCAATGAGAGTGAATAACCCTTCTTCTTCAAAACAAAAACAGCAATTCCACTTCCAATGACAAGAGCAATAGCAGCCATGACAACAATTGCACCAATAACACCAAAGACAATGGCCAAAGCATCAGAACCATTGGATGGTCCATTTGGAATTTCATTCTTGGTATTATTTTGAGCATCAATGAGTGGATCTTCAACAGATGAAACATCAGGTTGTGGACCTGGTCCAGGACCTGGTCTTCCTCCAGATGGGCCTGGTCTTGGTGGTCTGCCTCCAGATGGGAATGGACGAGGTGGTCTTCCAGATCTATCAGGTCTTGGTGGTCTTTCACCTATTAAGGATGAAGTTGATTCTTGTGGTTGAGGACGTGGGCCTGGTCTTTCACCAGAATGTTCTGGATAAGGACGAGGTGGTCTTCCCGATTGGTCTGGTTGTGGACCTGGTCTTGGTCTTCTTCCTGAATGATCTGGTCTTGGTGGTCTTTCACCAGAGTGAGCTGGTCTTGGATGTGGTCTCTCACCAGAGTGTTCAGGTCTTGGATGTGGTCTTCTTCCTGAATGATCTGGTCTTGGTGGTCTTCCTCCAGATGGGAATGGACGAGGTGGCAAACCTGAACGATCTGGTCTTGGTGGACGAGGTCTGTTTCCTTGTTCAAGTCTATCAGAGTGTTCGTCATCTTCAGAAGATGGTTCTGGTCTTGGATGTGGACGAGGTGGTCTTCCAGAATGATCTGGATGTGGACCTGGTCTTCTTCCTGAGTGGTCTGGTCTTGGTGGTCTACCTCCAGATGGGAAAGGTCTTGGATGTGGTCTTTCACCTGAACGTTCTGGATGAGGTCTTGGTGGACGAGGTCTATTTTCACTTTGACCATCTTGTTCATCAGAACGTGGTGGTAATCCTGATTGACCAGGATGTGGACCAGGTCTTGGTGGTCTTCTTCCTGAATGATCTGGTTGTGGACCTGGTGGATGTGGTCTCTCACCAGAATGATCTGGTCTTGGTCTTCTTCCTGAATGATCTGGACGTGGTGGTCTTCCTCCAGATGGGAATGGGCGAGGTGGTCGCCCTCCAGAATGATCTGGATGTGGTCTTGGTGGTCTACCTGAAGGTAAAGGTCTTGGTGGTCTCTTATTGTTGTTTTCCTGTTGTTCGTCTTGAGCATGTGAAAGTGAGACGACAAACATGAGTACAACTACAAGAGCCAAAACAATCAATCGTTTAAGATGATTCATTTTGAGAATTTGTTGTTGGGTTCTTGAGAGTTTGTTTCGTTTTTTTTTGGGTGTTTGGAAATTGGTTTAGTTTTCTTTCTATTGGTACGAAATGTACGCAGATATGAAGGTTTTTATTGCAGTAAGTTTCTTTCACATGTTGTCATGTAGCGCACAGAACTTGAGCTTGGAGAGGGAATGGAATTCTATAGAGTTCGTCGCCATGTTCTTACAGGTCTAGGAAGTCTATTCGAATCCACAATTTGGCTATCGGAAACCCAAAATTTAGCAATTGACCTTTCTGATTAAATCAAACAACTTTCCAATAAGAATTTATGTTTAAAACAGCACCACATCAAATTCGTATCCTAATCCTCACATAGTTCAAACAAGAACTTGAAACAAATAGAATAAATTTTAAGAGCTAACTTTATTAATTCAACACTTCTCATTAACCTCAAGAATATTGACCAAATAATCCTCCAAATATTAAGCGATTCCTCTATTCGAAATTCAAAACAATTCCAAATTTCCAAAACCAAAAAAAAAATGCTCAACACAATTTGCCAATCACCCTCTACCAAACTCTCTCCAGGGAAGAAATTCAAACTTTCCCTCCAAAACCAAAACCAAAACAATAAACAACCACTCCACATTGTCGGAACCATCAATGCATTTACAGCCTTGTTAGCAGAAGAATGTGGTCATCAGGCAATTTATTTGAGTGGAAGTGGTGTGGCCACAGCTAGTTTTGGATTACCAGACATGGGAATGACTAATTTGAGTGATGTTTTGGAGGATGCAAGGAGAATTACATCATGTACTAATTTGCCATTACTTGTGGATGTGGATACTGGTATGTGTTTTTATGGAATTGATATTTTAATTATTATATTTATTATATTATATTTAATATTATATTTATATTGAATGGAAATAAATATTAATTTTGAAAAAGGATTTGGAGGAGTTTTGAATGTGATGAGGTGTGTAAGAGAGATGGAACGAGTTGGAGTAGCAGCTATTCATATTGAGGATCAAATTCAAAGTGTGAAACGTTGTGGACATTTACCTAATAAGCAAATAGTTAGTACGGAGGAAATGGTGGAGAAAATTAAGGCAGCTTGTGAAGCTAGGGTGGATTCGGATTTTGTCATTATTGCTAGAACTGATGCGTTGGCAGTTGAAGGATTGGAAAAGGCAATTGAAAGAGCAAAACAGTATGTGAATGCTGGTGCAGATATGTTGTTCCCTGAAGCATGCACAACTCTGGAAGAGTATAAAGCCTTTGTAGAGCAAGTAAATGTTCCAATTTTGGCCAATATTACAGAATTTGGTAAGTATTATTTCGAATATTTCAAAGATTTGAATTTCAATATTTCAATATCTAAATTTTAGGTAAAACACCTCTGTTTACTGGAGAAGAATTGGCTAGTGTTGGTGTTTCAATGGTTCTCCACCCATTGAGTGCATTTAGAGCTATGGCTAAAGCTGCAAAGAATGTGTACGAATCAATTTCCAAGAATGGAACTGTTGAACCTGTACTTTCTACAATGCAAACTAGAAGCGAGCTCTACGAAATTATAGAATATAAAAAGTATGAAGAAAAGATGGAAATGAAATAATGTAATTATTTACAAATATTGGAATCTATTTACAATATTATTTTTTGAAATTTAACAAATCACAAAGAAGTGAATCAAGCTCCTTGTCATCCTTCTCCAATTCAGAATCATCTGCAAAGGAATGAATCAATTTTCTATCAATCAACACACCACTAGAATCAAATTCAACTCCTTCCTCTTTCAATAACCTTGTCTTTTTTACAATTTCATCTCCCTCGGTTTTCCCCATAAATCCTCCAATATGAAACGTATTGGATTTTATAACACGATGACAAGGAATTTCAGGAGCAAATGGATTTCTCTTCAATGCCTGACCAACTGCTTGTGACGATTTACAATCCAAGTAATTGGCCAACCCGGCATAAGTTGTAACCCGACCCGAAGGAATTCTAGTTAATGCAACATACACTCTTTTCTGAAAAGTGGTGAGTTTTTGAATTTTTGAATTGATTTGATTAATTTCTTCCTTCTTTTTTGCATAGGGATGGGATACGATTGATGTTGTTAATTTAGTTCTGCTCGGTGCAGGTTTTGGCATTTTTTTGGTTTGTGTATGAGAACGAAGTTCGAGTGGATACTGGAAGTATCAAGAATTTCACATAGAAAATAGACATTTTATAAGGTCTCCACTAGAACATCTGAAAGTTTTGGTTTTCCAATCATATTTTCTAAATTGTTATTTCCATCTTTGAGTAAGAATAAAAATCTGGTATTGGAAGTCTTGTTTCCATTTTCAATTTCATTTCCTCCGTAAATGATAATTCTTCTACTATTTTCATCGAAAATTATTGATGAAGAATTGAGAGGTGGCATCTGAGCTGGATTTTCTACTGAATTGAATAATTGTAAAACTTCACTCAAATCGTACCATCTCTGAGCAAGAATGTCAAAAACAATACACTGAGAGGAAGGAATTGGTGTCAATGCTTGTTCACAACCTCCATAAATGAACATGTAACGATCGTCAATTAAGCACATACAATGTCCATAAACTGGTTTAATTGGCTTAGAGGAGGCGTATTTGTAGACAGTCCATTGGTTTTCTGAAAAACTGTACTGACACAATTCATTGGTCAATTCTCCAATAACATTTAGAACACCACCAAATACAAACATGGAATCTGCCTTCTTGCAATATGCACAGGTGGAAAAGGAACGACCTAGAATAGGTAAGTCTGGTACCAACCTATTTTCCCATTTACTAGTGGTGCAATTGTAAACATAAATACAATCGTTTGATATTAATTCATAGTCATCTATATATTGACCTCCATAGACATGGATAGTGTTTGTTTGTGGTCTATAGGTGGCAACTTGACCTTTCAAATGTGGAGAAGGGATATTAGGATTGAGTGTATCTTTGAAATTATAACAAGTCCACTGTCTATTTTGTAATGAAAAAGTAAATATTTTCAATGTTTGTTCCACATCATGTGAAACACCTCCCAAAATATAAATTAAATTATCCTTATCATTGTAAATACATGAATGACTTGTCTTTGAAGAAGTTGGTGAACAATTGAAAATAGTCTCCACATTTTCATCATTTTCCACTTTCCATTTGAATAGATGATTCAAACTCTTTAAAAGAGCAATGTATCCTAGTTTCCCATTTCTCACTCTTCAAATCCAAACATGAGAATGAAGTATCCAAATAACTCGACAAGACATTATCATTCACTTCAGAAACATCAATCTTCAATCCATCCGAATCAATCCAATGATTCAATCCAATCTCCTTCTCACTATTCTCATCATTAACATATCTTCCACTCAATAAATTATAATCCAAAGGTCTAATTTCAACCTTTGCTCCTCCCCATACTAAAATACTTCTCATATTCGGAACGTAGACCATCTGATGAGAGGAAGTTGTCATCGGAACACGTGGAATACATTCTAACAATGGAAAATTCTTCAACATTAATGATGATGATAATATTTCCTTATTATTATTGTTATTATTTAAATCATTCTTATCATTCATCATGGAAATGGCTTCATAAACTTGAGATTGGAGAACATGTTGGGTTGGAATTAATTTTACTCTATCAATGTCGATGGGACTCTTTTCAAATGCAAAGAAACTCTTATTACCATTGTTAATAATAGGAGCTGAAGGATTAATATCGGAAGTTGAATTGGGTAGAGCGGATGATGATGGTGATGAATTTTCTAGAGTTTCATCTTGATTCATTTTTTTAAAGGAATATTTAATTTAAATTTTATTAAATTGTAAATATTTAAATAATATTTATTTTCAATACAAGTCAACCTGCCTTATACCATATATCTAGGTCCTAACCTATCTTTTAGATGGTTACCCTCAATATCTTCTCATTGTGCAATGGAACAATTTTGTTGTGTTACAATACTATTTTACGCGCTTTGCTTGGCTCATCAAAATTCAGTCAAAACAAATTGGAAGCATTCTAGAAAAACGATTTTTGAAAAATCTCAAACCAAAAAAAAAAGTCCCACACCAAATCTTTGAAAATGATTCAAGATTTTAACGGAGCAGCTGCTGTAACAAGAAGAAGAGGAAATAATCGTGCTCTAGTTGATTATCACCGATTGGGAAAGCATTCTGTGATTTCAAGCATGTTGATGATTGCAATAGTGCTGCTGATGATGATAGTGAATGGAATGGATAATATGGTGAAGGCTGATTCGTGTAATATTGGCGAGTTGGGCAGAGTTTCAAAATGGTTTCGTGTTAATAATGAAACGGCACTGAGTGAATTATTCTTCTTACCATCTGCCTTGTCAGAGTTGGCTGGTGTCAATTTGATCTTTGCAGCTCCAATTCCTGAAGGAAACAGTTCCGAACCAATCATTGAATTTGAGGCGACAAAGAATTGTGAAGGGAGATGCTTTTCAATGATTGATAACTCGACTTATTACTTGATGGATTCGTATGAATTTTACTTCCCGAGGGAATCTTTCAATAATTCACACAATGTGACAATGGGTTTTATTGTTTGGGATAAAATTGGTGTATTGAATGTGGATCCAAAATCTATGAGAATTCTAGTAAGAAACAAGGAGGAAATAATAGATTCTTCCAGTTTCAAAGATGGTTTGCAATTTGATTTGGGTGCACTTGAAAAATGGAACATTGAAAATATTACTATTCAAATTGTGTCTAATAGTAAGCCAATTGAGAAGGAAATTCAAATGGGAGAGAATGTTGATTTATCCTATCATTCTTCCTTCTCATTGCCACTCACTCAATTTCCTGATAGAAGAATGAGATTATTATTTTCACAACCAAGCATTCCAATTCAATTTAATCTTAACCCTTACAATTCCAAAGATATGAAATTCCACCGTTTTAGAAATCGAGAGTATATCTTCCTGGATGCATTTTCATTCACTTTCAAAACAGATAATGGAACAGCAAATATTCCAGATTATATTTCAAGACTTACCATCAAGTATACTTTTGAATCGATTAACAACACAAGAACAGATATTAATGGAAAACAAGTGAATTTACTAGATGATAGTTTATTGGTAGCTACACAATTCGAAGGAGTCTTTTACGAATCTAGCTATACTAAACTTGCCTCCAACACATCTGAAATTTTGCAATTCGAATTGAATCCAATTAAGAATCAAACTGTCCTATCAATCATGGGTCAAACAGAATTCAAACCATCCCCGGTCATCCACAAAGTTTACGAACAAATCAATGGTACTATCAAGGTGGGAGAAAATATTTACTTTGCAATTCCAATCTCAAATTCAAGAAAGCTCGTTATGGAAGGTAATTTCAATACCCTCTCAAAATCTGATGAAACAAAACTGGAAATTTATATCCAAGATGATGTTTATGATAGCATTCCATTGCCATCTCCTGTTAGCTTTTCAGAAAAGTTTACCTTATTACCAAAACAAGAAAAGAGAAAATTCAACTTACCAATTTCAGAAACCACCAAAAATATCGCATTCCTTTTGCAATGTTCAAGTACTGATCCATCTGAGCAGTGTTCATTCTCATTCCAAGTTTATACTCCAAGTCCAGTGAATGATCTAGTTGTTCCTCTTTCAGTTTCGTTTAGTATAATTGGAGCTTTACTGGTGGCTGGACTAATCATTTCAGTGACCACTATTTATTGTAGAATTTATAGAAAGAAATCCTACGTTAATTTGATATAATACATTTTATAATATTTATTTTACTTTTAATTATTTAATTTTGTAAATAATTTCTATTTTTAATTATTAAAAAAAATGAGAAGAAATTATCATCACAATTCATCATCCAATTCTTCATACAATAATTCCTCGGGACGAAGTAATAACAAGAATAATTACTCGACATCATCATATGGTTCCTACAATAAGAAGAGAAATTATGATGATTATGGAAAATACAATAAAGATGAATATAATCATGATGGAAAGAAACAGAATTACTCTTCTTCATCATCTTCTCATCACAATGATAGAGGAAGTTACAATAAGAGGAATAAAATTGGAGCAAGTAAATGTAGAGACTTGGAGGATGCCTTTCCATTCCGTGATTATAAATTAGCCAAGTTGGCTGGTTTGGATTATAAGAGTTTCGTTCCAGAAGAATCACAACTTTTAATGATGAATTGGATTTTGGATGTAAGAGATGAAAATTGTCCATTACTCAGCTATTCAAAGAAGAGTAGAAGTAAGAATACTCTTATAGATGGTTTTGCTGGAGTTGGAGCTACAAGTTTATTATTAATTAGAAAGAGTGGATCCTTTGATAATATTGTGGCTGTAGAAAATAATAGAGAAATATTTGAATGTTTGAAAGATAATTTGAAATCCTTCAAATTTAATGATTTGGTAAATTGTGTAAATCAGGATTTCATGGATTGGATGAGGGAATCCTACTCAAAAGTAGAATATTTCAAATCTATAATATATGTTGACATTGACCTCTTTTCAAAGACAAAATTATTCGAATCTGCTGAGGACAAAACTAATTCACTTTGTGAAATGAGTAGAGAGATTTTGGAAGATTTAGAATGTCCCTTACTTATTTTCAGAGGTAGAGACGAAGAATCAGAAGCTCTGGTGAAACAAATAGAGGGAAAATGCAAAACGAGAAAAATCATTGAAAATAGAAACATTCAAGATGGCCATACAATGGTAGCTATATTGCCAATTCTCGAATCAGATACAGATAAGGAAACGGATTTGGATAAGAATGGTCTTCCAACTGTACTCTCCCAAAAACAATTCAGTTATGTTTGGTTCAATTCTGCTGGAGATATCAAGAAGAGATTTATTCAAATTCTTTCAAAACAAATGCTCAGGAAATGTTTCAAGCAACAAGAAATTGTACAAAACAAGATTGGAAAAATTATAGAACAATACGAGAAGGATCAGGAAATTTATGATCAACTTTACAACTTGTTTCAGAACGAAATATTCAAATCACGTGAATATCTTCAAGAAAATCCTGTGAATTTAACCAAAATGACATCTGATTCATCTGTTGATACGTCATATAGAGCAAACAATAGATCGAGTAAGATTAAGGAAATTCTTCCAAGCAATGCAAAAATAAGAAACATGTTAGACATTGGATGTTCAGAAGGATCCATTACTGCTGTAGTTGGTACTGAATTGGGATTAAGTAAGGAAAACATTCACGGCTGCGATGTCAGAGATATTGGAAAGAGTTACACAACAGGATTTACCTTTACACTCATCAGTGAGGATAATAATAAGCTTCCCTATGAGTCTAATTCGTTTTCTCTTGTGGTAGCCCTTATGTCTCTTCATCACATTAAGAATGTAGAGGAGACCATCAAGGAAATTCACAGAGTTTTAGAACCTGGTGGTGTATTCATTATTAGAGAACACGATTGCACACCCACAGAGATTTCACTCGTGTTGGACATTATGCACGGACTGTACTCTATGGTTTGGTCTTCTCCTAGAGAAATGCCAAATTTTTGCACTGAATACTATGCAGAATATAGATCTAGAGAAGAGTGGTCCAATCTCATTAGCTCTCTCAAATATCAAGATGGTGAAAAATTATATGGATTTGAAGTGGACTATAGTGAAGATGTAGATCAGATATCACAACAAACATCCTCATCATCTTCTTATAGAAGAAATCAAGATATTAGAAATCCATTTCGTTCCTATCATTCAGTTTTCATTAAAAAGGAGCTTTAAAAAACTAAGTACTTGAGATCTTTATGATTTCAATGAAACAAAAACGAAATGTTTATTATGTGTTTGAAGAAATTGGTACATGTTCTATCACCATGACAAGAAAATGATATGAAGCCATCCAAACCTTCAAAATTAAAGTTTCGAACGTGTTAGGTTAGTTTTCATGTTTAAAAAAATGTCAATCTCTTTACCAACAGAAATTCTAATAGAAATATTTACATTCCTCTCCGTGAAACATCTTGGAAGTATTCTCTCTATCGACAAATCAACTCACGATCAATTAATTAATTCCGAAATATTTTGGAGGAATCTGCTGGAAGGTTATTCGAAATTAATTGTAATTATTGTGAAAGTACCACTTAAAATCATTCACGATCATTCGAGCAGAGAATTACACAGTCGCCAAAATGAACCTTCTCGAACTATTCGAATTAAAACAAGAGGAAATCATCAAATCCAAAAAAAATCATGCCACCATTCAAAAAGTAATTAGTTCACTAGAGAATGAGAAAAAAACAATACGACTCCGATTTGAAAAATCACAAATGATGCTAGTGGAACCTCTCACTGAACAATTTAATAAGGAAATTGAAGATATGAAAAAGAAATCTTCTCGAATTGAGGCTCATTTACAAAGTTTACAATCAATTATTGATTAGAGAAGCATGATATGATCATTTCGAATATATATTAAGGTGAACACATTTATTCTCACTATTTCATTTCAAAATTACAAAATTTTCAAAATTGTTTCATCTCCTTCACCTTACCACTTCTTACCAAAATAAGAGTCAACCTTCTTACAGACCTTCTTTCTCTTAGCACAGACCTTCTTTTGAGCATACTTCTTACAGACCTTCTTTCCACCAGTCAACTTGTGCTTCTTACAAATTCTCTTTCCCTTTGACTTTTTAACACACTTCTTCCAATGCTTCTTATGGATACACTTGGAAGGAATGGTCTTATATTGACAACAGTACTTCTTCTTATTGTACTTGATACACTTGCTCAAAGTCTTCTTGTGCTTACAGAATTTGATAGTCTTATGCTTGGCACAATAATGCTTAGTCTTATATTGACAACACTTCTTGAAAGTCTTCTTTTGCTTACAATACTTAATCTTCTTATATTGACAACACTTCTTAGCATAGGAGACAACCTTACACTTCTTAACATATTTGCACTTGGCTGGAGCATATGAATCAGTGGTGTACTTGTCACAGACCTTCTTCTTTTCACACTTCTTAATTGGAACCTTCTTGAATTTCTTACAGACCTTCTTGGTAGCATGTTTGACACACTTGGTGACATTTTCATACTTGGCACAATACTTCTTGCTTGCCTTCTTAGCACAGACCTTCTTACTTCCATAAGAATCGCAAACCTTCCAGTACTTCTTCTTAGCACAAGTAGTCTTCTTGTATGCATGCTTAACACACTTCTTAATTGGCTTACTGTACTTGTCACACTTGGAGAACTTTTTGTATTTCAAGCATTTTCCAGCACCAACAATAGCATACTTATCACAGACCTTCTTTTGACCAACAATCTTATGTTTCAAACACTTTCCATTGACATACTTGTGAGCAACACATTTCTTCTTGCACACTCTCTTAACAGGTGGCTTGTAACTGTCTGGCTTTGGAGCATAACTGTCAGGCTTTGGAGCATAGCTGTCAGTTGCTTGTACAACTGCAATGAAGAGTAGAATTGCAATTGCTGCAATAATTAAACTTGTTTTCATTTTGTTTTTTTTGTTGTTTTCTAATAGTTTGCTGGAAATCGAACTATTTAAGGCAGAATTGAATCAATTTGTATTTGGTCTTTGGAGTGAAATAGTAAATACATCTAGTTTCTATAATGTATTAATAAATAGATTTTACCGTTTTATTGAATTTGTAGAGAAAGGTAATTAGGGGCATCCAGAAATCTCCCTTTATAAGGAAAGACATTTGAGATTTGGAATGAGCTGGCCATTACAATGAAATATTTGGAGAGTTTTGAATTGAATTATTTACTTAAATATATATCAACGTTCAATGGGAAGGAATTATCGTAAAACCTTGAGAATCAATCAGAATCTAATTGAGACTGAATACATTCTTTCTCAATGAGAAATGTTAGGAACAAAATGTGAAAAGAGAATGAGCCAAACCAATACAATGAAAGATCGTTGGGTTTATTATTGAAATGTTGATTAACTAGACGTACAATTCTTTTCAAATGTCCAATCTTTTTAATACCAATCTTGTCTTTTAGATCTTGCGTTGTAAAGTCTTTAATCTGATAGAGATGAATTAATTTTTTCTTTTGGAATGCTTTGAGATGTTCCAACATGTTACCCTCCTTTAACATATGTTCGATAGTTGTTGACTTATCGAGCTGATCTTGATCAGAATCCGAAAGTGCATCATCTAAATGTGCTGTCAAGTCATGGCAACTTCCCCTCTGTGAAGAAGATAAACCAGATGGTTGTTGCGGATTATCACTTCCCAACTCGATGACTTTCTCTAAAATATATGTCTTGTATTCAGTTGACTTTCTGAATTGTGGTAATATTTCAATATCTATCTGATACTCAATAAGATTGAAAATATTCTTTATAATTGATTCAATCTTGAGTGAAATTAATTGATGATTTGAAATGACTTTTGTACAGGTTAATTGTTGATAGAGATCAAAAGCTTGTTGAATTGCTTGGCTTGGTAAATTCAAGGACTTGTTACTATTTACATTGATAAACTCTCTATAAAATTCTATGAAACTATCTACAGTATATACATTATTATTACAATTTCTGATGAAGAGAATACACTCCATCAATTCGCTATTCCTTCTATTTACAAGATAACCTTTGAGAACATTGAGTGATTCGTGTTTGTGTTCCACTCCTGAAGATTCCAACAGAGAGTCAAGAGATCTGAAGGAGGAGAGCAACCTGTGAATACTTTCAGTCACCCTTGTCGACATGTTCTTTTTGAATTATTAATATCTGTCAAACTCCTGAGTACATTCATAAAAGTTTACAGAGTGTCCTCACCGCATCATCCTGAGAATCACTGAAAAATCCTGCCATGGCAAATATTAGACGAATTAGTAAGAAAAATCAGTTCTTCAGCTCCAAATTGTAAGGGCTTTTTTAACCGTACTATCTAGAAAAGTATAATATTGGAAAAAATTATGTCATCTCTACAAATTGCTTGTCGCTATCATTGAGTGATTGCTGAAGTTTGTTCTTTGTTTTCCATCTCCAATTTTTCTGCCATCTTTCTCAAGTCATGAAGATAAACCTTTGCAAATCTCTCAAAGTAAAAGTTGGCTCCATTCCAAACAGAAACCAAGAATACACTTGTCAACACAGCCACATGAACCCAAAAATGGTCAAACATAAATTTTATAGGAATCAAAGTACACATATGAAATAAAAATTGTAAAGAAATGAATCCTAAAAGTCTATGTTCCTTTCCATACAACTTGTCACTCAATGTTTGAATGAACGCTTTAGACTTGATAAGGTAATTGTAGCTGGTTTGAATATTATTTTGTTTTTGTAGATATTCTCTGTCAAGGAAATGTGTCTTGATTGTATAGCTTAATTGCCAAAATATGAATAAGCAAATGTGAGGTACGTAAATGTCAACCAATGATACATAACAATCTTCATTGACACAAATAGAGTAGCTCTCCCCAATTGGTGTTATAATTTTTGGTGTTTGAGTGTTGTCATTAAACATTAACCACCTCAACGCAAATGTTACAATGGCTGGGAAGATGTGTATAAAGACTGAAGTTACCTTTTCAATCGAATGAAATACCAATGAATTTCTCCACATTACAATGGCAATTGCAAGAGGTCCACTGCTGTTTACAAAGTTCAGTAAAAACAGGTGAGGACTGTTTGTATAAAATCCCAAATAAAAGATCAAGATAAAGTTGGCCAAATAGCAAAAATCTAACATAAAGTAGTGGAATCCCATTCCATGATAGTGAAAGAATCTAATCACCATCAGAATTACACTCATTACAATGTAATAATCTGGTAATAGGTAGGGATATTTTGCCAAGAGGAAAGTTGAAGAAACCATAATCAAAACACCAATTGTAAATGCATACTTGTCCTTGGTCTTGACATTCTCTGGCTGATTCATTTCCCTTACTAATGTTTCCTTCTTTTGTTTGAGTTGTAACTTTTGATTTTCCAATTCTCTTTTCAAATTATTAGAAATTCCTTGAAACTTGTTGACAAGGGATTTCTTCCTATCGGAAAAGGCATCATTAATTCTCATCCACAAATCAATTAGTTCCTCTTCTTGATTTTGTAAGGAAGATCCAACCGTTTCCCAATCATAATAAGCATATTCTTCTTCATCTTCAACAACCAACTGATCAGACAATGTATCTTCATCTTCACTAGAACCATAATGATCAGCCATTCCTTCCTTCCCTTGATCCATTCGTTGATCCATTCTCTCCTCCGAATCAAAGTTATTGTTTGTAATTTCTATTTCTTCTTGCTTTTCCATTTTTTTAAGTTCATCTCCAATACTTGATCATTTTTAAAATTATCATTGCCGTATGATATTTATTATTATCAAATTAATTACTTGATCAAATGGTATCGGAAGGTACTTTTTCATGATTGCTATGAATTGTTCTCCATGGCAATATTTTCTTTTCTAAATATTCTCTTCAAAATTGTTATTCTTTCTTCAAATTATTTTCATAGGGTGAGTGTATAATTTTGTGTTGGAGATGATTATATTCCAGATAATAGTACTGCTGTGAATATTGAACCAGGAAGCCAACCTAGTATTGTCAACAGTATGGTACAAACATCCACCATTCCACAAACAAAATAATAATTCGTACAACATCCAATTCCAGTCTCAGTGTGCTCAGCCTCAACCTTTCTCTTCTCATAATACATCAATAGACAAGGAACAGCAGGTGGGAATAGAAAGACAAACACCCATCCAACAAATAATAAACGAGTTCTAAAGATCTTCATGTCACTATGCAGGCTATACTTGTTAGTCATTTTTTTGATTTAAAGTTCAGAGTACTATGAACACAAGTTCTCCACACTTGAAAACTGAATTGAAATAGGATAACAAAAAATGGATAATTGAAATGATAATAAATTAAACACTCAAGCAGTTGTGTAAATTTATTGGTTTGTGAACAACCAGTCAGTCAACTTTTCGAGACTTTCCTTATACTTCTTCTTCTTGTCAGCTGGCTTCAGTTCCTTGTCATCCAAGTATCTGTAAAGTTCTTCACTGACAACAACAACTTCATAGTTGATAGCCTTAGTATCAAGATCGTGAATTTCGTGGAGAGTAACCTTGATAGCACCATCTTCAGAGTGGTAGTGTTTCTTGAACTTGACAATAGTTCCCTTGAATCTGTAAGGGCTTGGTGGGTTCTTCAACAATTCAGTATTGAGAGTATTATTTTGGTTATCCCAAGTATTAATACATCCACTCAAGAATGAATCAATTTCTGCCTTCTTTTCGTCTTGTTCAACTTCATTTGGAACATAACTAGCAATGGTAATCTTGAAATCGTTCAATTCTGTTCGTCCCTTGGTTATTGGAGTAACATAGTTCAAAGTGTAATAATTCCTAGTGTGTTCGTTCTTCTTGATTTGTTCCAACTTTCCTGTTGACTTGTTAACTTCAAAGGTGATAGTTTCATTCTTTTCAGCCATAACTTGTTGACCATCTTCTTCCTTTTCAACTTGCTTTCCAAAGTAAATAGCAACAATGGTAGCATCTTCATCAGGAATGTATTTAAGATTACTCTTCAACTTTTCATAGAATGAACCTTCAACAATTCTGTTAAAATGATATTTAACATCTCTTCCGTGCTTCAATTCCAACAATTCAAAAATCTTCAAAGAATCCTTAGTAGATTTGAAAGCCAATAATTGTCCGTATAAAGCTTTAACACTCAAAATTTCAGAATCATTCTTTCTCATTTCAATATCAACAAGTTTGTGAGCGATTTTTTCTAACATGTCAGCCTTTGTATGTTCATTCATCAAAGTCATTTCCTTGTGATGTGTGTTGTGTTCACCACTGGCATTAGCTTCAACATCATGAGCATCATTCATGACGGATGCTTGGAGATCAGTGGCAGTGCTTTGTTTATCCTCAGTAACTTCTTCGGCATCACCTTCCTTCTTCAAAACCATTCTCTTGAAAGTGTGGTTTGGTTGACTTGAGTAAACAGCCAATGAAGTGAATGGCTTCAAGACAATATCATATTCAGTACCAATATTTTCAATTTCAGAATCTTCAGAATCTAATTGTTCTTTAAGTTCTGGAATGACCAAAGTACTGAAAGTTTCAGAGAAGTGAGTCATGGAGAAAGTGTTCAATCTACCAATAACTAATTCTTCAGCCTTGGCAACACTTTCCTCGGAAGCACCACCAATGACAACTTTCATATTCTTGACGCTATACCAAGTAATACCAGTTTGTTTTTTGACCTCATTAGAGAAAGAACCCTTTTCTCCGACAAGGAAACGTGGATCAACTCTAGCTGGTATTTCAACGCTTCTTTCGTGTGTGTAGTGAGGTGGATGAATGGTTTTATCGGTAGAGAATGTTGATTTCTTATCGGTTGGTGTCTTCTTCTTCAAATTTCCGCTAAATGATGAAGTAGTAGAGGTAGTGGTAGTGGTTGTTGGTTTCTTCTTAGTCATAGAAGAACCAAAAACTGTATTTTGAACTGATGTTGGTGCTACACCTTTTTGTTTTCTACCTCCTCTTTGTTTCTTGGTACTAACAGCCCAGTCAGCAGAGTCGAATTCTTCTTCGGTTTGTTGTTGTTCGTGATTTACATCATCTTCGATGACGACAGCCTTTTCTAAATGAGCCATGTTGTTGTTGTTGCTGTTGAAAAACTTTTTGGTTTTTTAAAGAGGCTTGTTGTGAAAAACCGAGAGGATAGCGTGAGAAAATATTTTTTTCAAAACGAAAATGAATGCGTTTTACAAAAAGACAGCTATAAAAAATCATTTTCTTTGAACTGTATGTTTGGGTACACGTGAGAGTGACACAGAGTGGATGATAGTTGTGTTTCAGTGCAAGTTTAGTTTGGAGTGAAAATTTGAATTTATTTGTTTTCTGATATGAATCTCTGGTTTTGGCTCTTGTTGGTGCACGGTTAAAAAAAAATTAGGTTCAACAAAATCGCCAACCAATAAATTAATTGTTGAAATCCGATTTTTAATTACTAGATGTTCATAGGTTGACATTAAAAAAGAATACATGGAAAAGGACCATAAAATAATAATGATATTACTTGGATAGATTTAAACCAGTAAAAAAGTTACGCCGTAAGGGAGTCGAACCCTTGACCTTCAGCGTGTAAAGCTGACGATCTAACCAACTGATCTAACGGCGCTTATAATCAATAACTAAATATGTACTTGACATTCGCTTTGGTTAAGGACAGTGTATTGAAAGGTCAGTAAATTGGAGAAGAGGAAGTATTTAAGAGGATAGTGAGATTGCTTTTGATTTTGATAGGTTATGAAATGATATGTTGTACTACATCTGCTTTCTGATTTCAAGTTCACATTAATCTATTGATCGGTGAATAATTTCATGGATTGACTGCATGCTTCACCAAGAAGAAGCTTTTCTGCAAGGATTGGAGAATCGATTTTGAGTCAATGACATCTTTCAGTCCTCATTGGATTCCAAAAAGTGAATATTTAAAGAATTTGGATCATTTGCTGCTCATCGAAAGTGTTTGTGATTTCTTTCAAACCCCTTAAAGATGATTGGATGAAACATAAAGTCTTTATTGGTATTAGACAAACTAATTTGGCAATCTATTTTACAATTCCAATGTTTGCTGATTGGTTGAAGTACAATCCAATTCCAAAACATTCGTTCTCATCCAATAATCATCAACCAAAGAAGAATTGTAAAATATTTTGTTGACAAGTTCGTAATTTTGAGCAAGCAAAAATTCTTGTTCCCACCCTGCAAGTGACCGTCAAAAATCTATATTTACCATAAAAATGGGACGGTTAAACGAATCAAACTTTCTTGTGTTGGAAAATAACATTTAAAAACAAGGCTTTCCACTCTCCTCAAAAAAACATCACAAAAAAATCATGTCCACCACCACTACCACCACTTCAAGCACCACAACCGTTAATTCTCTAATGATGAACAGAAATTCCAATTGCTCGCCAGCCTCCTCATCCTCCTCAACCATTCCAAAGGGATTATTTGAGGAAATGAATAGCATGGAAGAATTTACCACTCCAAACTTGATCATTTCCACTACTCCTACAAGTAGTACTACTAACATGCAGCAAGGTAATAAAAACATATCTGGCAATTTGATGAGGAATTCTCTTCCTCCCCCACCACCACCAATGATTATGAATATGTTCAATCAGGGATTTCAGTATAATACGAGTGTGAATGGTTCCTCTACAACATTGATATCTCCATTTACAAGCATGCCACCTCCAAAGTTTGCAAATATGCAACAGAAAGCAAACCAATCCACTACTGTGAGCAAGACAAGTTCAGTTTCCAATAATTGTATTTCTGCATCATCAACAATAGCACCAAAGGGTCCTTGTTGGGGAAGATTGAGACTTGTTGGTGAAGCATGTAGTGATGCTCCACCTGAATTTCTCCTTTCTGACACCAAAATTAATATTGGAAGAGGTTTGAACAGCCATGTCAAGATTGTGTCGAATACTTTATCAAAATTTGTTTCAAGAAACCATGCAGATATTGTCAAGATGAATGATTACACCTTTTTGATTTCAGATTTGGGAAGCACCAATGGAACTTTATTGAATGGTAAAAAGATTGGCAAGGATACTGATTTGAAACATGGTGATTTGATAATTATTACGGGAGGAGTGAAAGCTTTGGTTGGAGATTATATAATTCTTGAGAATGGAAAGAGAAGAAGTGATTTCTCAACTGAGCAAGAATGGAAATGTGCCCTGATTGGAAATGTCAAGAATGCATTCATGTACAAATTTGAAATGCTCCAAAATCAATTCATTCCAAAAAACTTGAACCCAACCAAATCAGCAATTAATCTCAAGGTTGATGAAGAGTTTACAGAGCCACCAGTTGTAGTCACTCCAAAATCTACCCAACCACAGCCATTAACCGGCAAGAGGGTGAGAGAAGAGAAAGAAGAATCAGTTGACTTTGAATCAGGTTCAAAGAAGCTGAAGGAAGAAAAGTTCAACAAATTCGCTCAAGATTGTTGTAATGAATTCAGCTGCACAATTTGTTGTAATTTAATGTATGAACCAACTGTCTTGGAATGTGGGCACAACTTTTGCAGAAAATGTCTGCATGATTGGTTGGCCAAGAATAAGTCCTGTCCTTTGTGCAGAAAGAAGTTGAGCCAATCTTCAGCTCCAAACAGAGCCGTTGAAACTTTACTGAAAATCTATGTTGAAAATTGTGCTCCAGAGGAAGATGTCAAAGACTACGAAGAAAGGATCAAGGCAATCAAAATTAAAGATGATGAAAACTTTGCAAAACTTGCAACTCTAGTTGAAAATGCCAAGATTAAGAAGATTAAATTCTTGGACATTACAGTCAGATGGAAATTGGAAGAGAAGAGAACTTTCAAGACTGGAGTGAAGCAGTATTTTGGAAAGTGCAGAGACGAATTTTGTAAATTAGTGGGAATCACAGAGAATTATGTCATTAATTGCAATAATGAACAATTACTGATTGCCTGCGAGAATTTAGAACTTCCAGTTGCCTACATGATTGTTGGGCAAGAAATCAAGACAATGAGAAGAGTCATTGACTTTGATCAAACAAGACAGAATCTTGTAACCTTTTGGAATGCCAAGGATAATATCTTATAAAATTGTAAATAAATTTATTGATTTCATGAAAAGAGTTCAGCCTTTTTATCGTTTTGGTAAGCTCCTTTTCAACCCTTGGGTTGATTGTTTTTCAGTCAAGAACATCACTAATATTCAATAAAACATATGCTAGTGATAGATTTATTGACCTGTCGTTAAAATTACCTTTTCAATTGAACAGAAGAATGTCGATATTTCTAAGATCGGTTTGAATTTTTGAAATCATTTGCAAACATTGTAAACGATTGAATCAGTCTATTGAAGACAATGTTCTGTTTGAAACCTTTTGAATTTAATTGAAATTGAAACGGAAACTTTAGCCAAAATTGGCTTTCTAATCATCTTCTTCACCTTCTTCATCGTCTTCGTCATCATAGTCATATTCTTCATCTTCTTCATCTTCTTCACTGTTGACAGAATACATGCCAACAAGCTCCACTTTTGCTATTTCTAACTTCTGACGTACTCGGTTGTTATGACAGTCAATTATTATATTACCACTCTGAGTGAGGAACTCCTCAATTGAGTATAACATTTCGGGTGGACTAAACACACTGACTTTATACTTCTCTTGGTCAAGCAATTCTTCCATAATTTGGAATAATGAGGTTGTGATAATTCTTAATACGCTCATCTTTCCTTCATCATCTATAAACTCGTCAATGAATGAAATCATAGCCTGTAAGAAAAAAACATCATTAAATAGGTCAAAAATCTTGTTTGGAAAGTATGGATAAACAATACAGAGCAATACTAAATATGATATTTTGCCTTCTCGTATTTCCTTAATAAAAAGTGGAATTCTCTGTTCGATTTTTTTGATAATTGGTGTATTTGGTTTTGTTAGAATCTCATTAACTAGTAAATATTCAATAAGGGGTACTATTTCCTCCTTTCCGATCTTGTTAGTATCAAAGAATAATTCAAATATTATATGGCTAACTTTTTCAGTAAATTCTCTATTGCCCATACAGAGCCCAAGCACTACTCTGAATATTTCAGTCGGTATAGTTTGGTACATTAGATATTTCGGTAGATTTTCCACAAGGTAGAAATATTCATCATAAACCTCCTGAACAAAGTGTTTGGGATCAACTTTTAGTGCTACTATCAATCCACTATACCATCGCATGATTGTCAAATATTGTGAATTATCAAGTGATCTCATATCTTTGAATGTGCCTTTCATTTGTGAAATAATTCGTTCTGTGTCCAGATTAAAGAATGGATCATATAAGGGGTCATCTACAGCATTTCTGAATAAATCAAACTTGGTAAACTGGTAAAAAAAATTTCTATCTGTCACAGTAAATTCAAAAATCTTATCTATCATTTTGTGTATATGTTTAGACAGTATTGTCCGATTCGCTATATCAGAGTCGTACATGGAAAAGCAGACTAGAAGTAGCTCATCCATTTTTGTTATCTTTTCTTCGTTAATACATATATTTAAGGTTTTCTCCAAATTATCGGCACGTATTGAACGCATTTTACGCACTAAAATAGTTATGGCTTTAACAATTGGTTCCTTCAAAGAGATTTGTGCAAGATGATAGAAATCAATAAATGTTGCAATAATTTTTGACTCTTCCAATCTCGTAAAATGTTCCTCTTCCACTTCATCGTCCATACGGCTTGGAGTAATAACTGTTGAAATTCTGATTAATGCATCAATTAAATGAATCGCCAGTTTAGTTTCCTCAATTTCAGCTGGACAAACTTTCAATGTATCAAAAAATAACTGGATATATTGGGATCCAAAAAGAATAGATGGTGATAAGAGTGGCTTTGATGAGATAACAAATACTGCATTTGCTATTTTCAAGATAATCTTCCAAACAGGTGTTCCCTGTGAAATCTCTCCCAAAGGAACAATATCTGTTGGTTTCAAATTCTCAATCTGTTTTACATCTCGATTAGTTAATAATTCCAATTTTTTAATGGCTTCCTCGCCAAGAAATGTGCATAAGTGATGCATTCTATTGTCACTATCAGAAAATAGAGGATATTCTCCAAGTTCATATACAAGTTCCAAAAATTCAAATCCTAATTCTTTTGTATGATCCCATTCATGCCAATACCATTGATTGAATGGTAAATTTTCATAAATTCCTGCGAATAACTCTATAATATCTTCTCTTGGCTTCCATTCTTGATTATTTTGGTTGGATTTTCTCATTTGGTGGTGAATATATTTGAAATAGTCCAACACTAATTGAATGAATTTTTCACAGTATCCACCCTTAGAAACTTGCAAAGATTTGTCTTTCAAATCCCCTAATACCCACATCAGCAAGTTAGCTACACAAATCATCTCATTAGAAACCATATCCATATCTTGAATTTTCAAATACTTTTCAACAATTTTTAATGCTTCTTCCACTTCCAAAAAGTTATCAATATTATTCACAGTTAAAGTCAAATGAAAAGCCATCATGAATTTAATTAATTTTTTCCAAATAGTATCATCATCGTCCTTGATAGAAAATATAATATCAAAATTATTTAACTCTTGTTTCGTCTTTGCAAATATTTGATAATCAGCAACAACTTCAGCTGTATTCTCTAAACATTTGATAAATTCCTCATTGTTTAACGTGATTACCTTGCTCCGAAGGCATTCAATCGCTTTGGAGAGTAATTCACTTTCTAGTGGATTCATTTTTTAATCAAAAACTTTTATGAAGAAGAATAAATTACAATATTTGTTGTACTTAGTGGTTTAAAAATTTAAAAGTCCAATGCAAACACAGTTTATTGGAATTGTAACCTTTTGGAATGCCAAGGATAATCTCTTATAAAATTGTAAATACATTTATTATTGGTTTCTTGAAATGACATTTTGAATGATTTTTTGAACTTCTTGAGAAATTACTTGTTCAACAGTGCAAGTTTTGATACTTTGGTCATTTGACAAGATTTCATCTTTCCAATTTCCAATAACTCTTAAAATTATAGACTCTACTTCATTTTTGATAAAAAGAGAGTTTTGGAGGTTCACAACATTTCCAAGCGCTTCCTCAACAAATTGCTTGATAATAACTTGAGATTCTTGTTGAATTTCTTCGGTCTCGATTGTTTTCTGTTTGATTTCCATACTTTCAGTTTGCCATTTTGAAATTACAATCTTTACAATTTCTTCAACTTCTTTCTGAATTATTAATTTGTTGCTTTCATCTTTAGCAATCTTGTTATGGTACTCCCAGTTGGAGATTACATTCTTGAAAATTCTTTCAACTTCTTGCTCAATAATAACTCTTGTTTCTACTTCTGCTTCACCTTCACTTGTCTTTTCTGAATTCAATGGAGAATCAACATTTTCCTCTTTTTTAAACAATTGGAAATCTATAACTCTTTGAATTATAGAATTGACTTCTGCAGAAATAAGTAAGCAATCTTTCTTTTTGACTTGGTGTGAAATTACATTTTGAATAATGTCACAAACAACTTTTTGAACTTCGAGCTTGTTGCTTTGAGAGTAAATAACATTTTCAATAATTTGAGAGACGTAAGTTTCAATGGATTTCTTTGTCTCTTGGAATTGAATGACATTGGATACAATTGACTCTACCACCTTTGATATTTCAGCTTGGTTTCTTTCTTGTTGTAATTTGGTATTTTGGTGATTAATAACATTGAAAATAATGTCTCTGGTCACTATTTCAATATCTTGTTTGTCTTCTTGAGTTCTTATTACATTATAGATAATATTGGAGACTAATGAGTTGATTGTTTGAGTTTGAACTACGGTTTTAAGAATTTGAGTCACTTCCTTTTCAATAAACAATCGTATCTTCTTTTCTTCCAGTATTGTTCCCTGAGTGACAACTACTTTCATCAAAATCTCTTCTACTGTCTTTTCAATATTTTGTTTAGTTTCTTGAGTATGAATTACATTTGAAAATATTTGGTCAACTTCATTCTTGATGCACAGAGTATTTTGATGATTAACAACATTTTCAAATACATTGCTGACTACTCTTTCAATATATTGTCTTGTTTCTTGGGTGTGAAGAACGTTTTGACAAATTTCAAAAGCTGTTTTTTCAATTTGTTGCTTTGTTGTTTGGTGAAGGATGACTCTGTCCAAAATTGATTGAACTTGCCTTGAAACATATTCCCTATTTTGCTTATCAATTTGTGTTGCAATAACATTTTTAAGTGTGAGAGAAACCACTCTCTCAATTTCTTGTCTTGTCTCATTGTAATGGATTATGCTCTTCAAAATTTGATCCACCTCTTGGGAAATAAACTTAGCATTCCTCTTTTTTCTTTCAATTTCATTTTGATTTCTAATTACTGCATCACAAATATTGCGAACGAAGCCTTGAATTGCTTGTCTAGTATTGCATGCAAAAATTACTCTTTTAACAATTTGATCCATCTCCTTGGAAATGTACACCCTAACTCTCTTTCTGTGTAAATCTTCTTGATTCTCTATCACATTTCTACAAATCAAATAAACCATCTTCCTTATTTCTTGGGTGCTTACTAACTCCTCCTTATCCAAATATTGAACAACAAAATCAAGTCTCTTTTTAACCACTTCCGAAATGTTACAAAATGAAAATCAACCATTACTTACATGATACTTTTGGTGTGATAACACCTCTAACATTTCCGATACTTCCTGATGAAATTTCCAAAGGTGTTAAAGGTTGTTTTTGAGGTTGAATATCTTCCACAACAGTTCCTGTTGATGTCTTTTCTGAAATAATTGATTGATTCAAACCCACTTGGTGCTGGCTTTTTGCTAAATTGTCCTCAAATTCATCGAATTCCTCATCCAATGTCATTATCTTAAATCGTCCTTCATTGTAAGCATTTCGTCTTTCATTTTGGAATTTTAGCAATTTGTTAAAGCTTTCGAAAGATGTCTTTCCTTCATACCATCTCTTTCTTGTTGTGCATCTCTCCTTGGCTCTATAAATATCAATATAAGGACGATTAAATAAATCAAGAATATGAACTGACAGGTAGTGGTATTAATAACTTACTCTAAATTTGCTAATTTTGCGAGTTCAGCCTTTTTATCGTCTCTAGCGTTTTGATAAGCCTCCTTTTCAAGGGCAGATAGAAGACTGTCATTGGCCAATACTTTTTTTGTTGGTGACAATGGAAATGGAGTGTCATCATCGGCACTTGTAGATATTGAGGCAATTAGAGGAATTTGATAGGACTTGACTGTCTCCATTAAATTATTCCATTCTTTTAATTTCCTTGCCTTTTCTTGTAGTTCTTGTTTTTTAGCTTCCTCATTGGCAATTTTATCACAAATTATTTTACGCTGTAAACGATCAACACATCGTTCATGTCCCTTTTTACTCTTCTCAAGAATTTGTTGCTTCTTCCTCATTGGTGAGTGAGGAGGTTGATAACTTTCTAGCTCCGATAATTGGGAGGTATCCAAGTTGAGCGACATGGTGTTGTTGCTGATGTTGATAGAAATTACGATCCGACCTTAATATTCAATTTACCGGTGGACAAAGTCGTTGTATTTTATTTTGAAAAATCTTTTGTTTTTCTCTCTTGAAATTACTGTAGTTTTTCAATCTCACTTATTAGGAACTTTAGTTTGTTGTTACAGTAAAGGGATCAATCAACCCTTTGTGCCATTCTCCGAGCTTCAATAATCTTATCTTGTCAACATATTTCAAATACTCTTCTATTTTGTGAACCTGTGACACATTTAAAAGTTGTTTTGAATAGAAGATTTGAGTTTCTTATCTAAAGCCTTATAGTGATGTACATCTTCCGTGAGTTCTTCGACTGTACTTTGGATTCGTGACACTTGAGAAACAATGTCAGTAGTTTTGGTTTCTTGTTTTCTTCTGATTGCTTCTGCTTTTTGTAATCGCCAACCTTTCCTTAAGAATTCATTTTCCTTAGCCTCTCTCACTTTTCTCAAATTCTTCATTTCTCTTTCTTGCATTTGCTTTTTTCTACATTCCATTTCATAAATTAGTTTGGCTTGAATGAATTCAAGTTTGAGGGCCTCCTCATCAAGTTGAAGATAAGCAGTATGAGCTTGGCTCTCTGCTATTTGTTGAGTTATTTGAACAATTTGATTTTTAAGGTCTTGAATCTTTTGATATTCAGTACCAATTCTCTCATCAAACCTTTGAATTTTAGCCCGAGCCATGCTCAATTCTCTCTGTTCAATCGGGCTGATGAAAAACTTGTTCATATTGAAAGAGGATTTTCCTGTTGACCCTGTCATGAAAGATACTTGATCACTGAATTTATCCAAGTGTTCCAAATCACCTTCCTTCAATCCCTCTTCATTCTCATCTCCATCCTCAAAATGTTCTTCAACCTCATTGAAACGGGTTTGTTTTGTTGCTTGTTCAGTCATTTTTTTGTAGTGGTTTTGAATTCAATTTTGGCGGGAAAATGTGGCGTTGTTTTTTATTGTTTATTAAAACTTTGTGTAACTGGTCGAGGTGGTTGAGGAGTTTGTTGGTGAGACAAAATTGTTTGAGGAATCATATTATGACTCATTGGATTAATTAGGTTTTGGGGAGGAAGTGGCATTTGATTGCCTGAATTTTGACCTACCAAGGAGGATGGGAATTGTGAAAAGTTGTCATTTGGAGGAATGTAGGAATAAGGTTGTGGTGGAGATGAACTACGTGGGAAAACACTATTAGGTCCACAATCAGGAGAATCTGGAGATGTTGGTGAAAGACCATCACCATTAAGAGATTGGTCAAGAGTGAGTGGAGATTGGTCTGTAACAGATGAAATATCATCACCATTAGAAAGATCATTATGGAAATAATCATTTTCCTTCTTCTTTCTAGCAACAATATAAAATTCTTCAGATTCATAAACTATAGAATTATCTGAAAGGGTTGCCTTTCCTTCACTATTTGTAGCAAAGTTCTCAGGAACTGGAACAGCACTTTCTGGATTGAGATTGGTATTGTAAATAACTCTGAGTTTAAAAGGTTTTCTTCCATAGTGGAATGAGCAAACCTTATACATGAGTCTCCATTCAATTTCTCTAAAATTAAGTGGGAACATGGTTCTCAAATACTTTACAATTTCAACAGCCTGTTCAGGCACGGCCATCCATTGTCTATCTGAACCTTGAATCATCAAGTGGAAAGTGAAATGACTTTCATTGAATTGATTGGTAAAATTCAAAGGAATTCTCAACAAAATGTCATACTTGTATGGGCTGGAGCAAAGTTCCTTTGGGAAGAAGGAAATGTACGTTCTCTTTTTTCTGCTTGGTTTGATAAAGAGCTCCATCTTCTGAGAGAGGGAATTAGCTACTACTGTTGGTGAGCTTGTTATAACAGGAGATGCTTCATTACTCTTTACACTTTTTTTTGAACTCCCAAATGGTGAGCTTGTTGGGCTTGATTTATCCTTCTTCTTCTTTGCTGGGATTAATTTTGGTCTGGGTGAGTTACTTTCACCTGATGAACTTCCTTGTTGTCTTGGTGAGGAATTGGGAAAGCTTTTAGTGGCTTTGTGTTGAGGAATTTTCAAATTATGAGGTAAGTGGTCAAAGCCTGAAGAACGATTTTGAGATGTAAATGGAATATCTGATTCTGACAAGTTGGAGTATAAATCAGATAGAACTGAACAAGCATGTTGAGCCAATTCCTGTTCTAATTCAGTAATAAGGGTTTTGTGTTTTTTAGCTTCTGCTATTTGAATACCTGTGGCTGAGTGAACGTTTCTTCTGGTGGTACTGGCTCCTTTTGAGATGAGTAATTTTGATGTTGAAACTCTTCCTGAAAAACAAGACCAATGATATGGTGAATATTGGTAGTTATCTGTCATATCGATAGGCATTGATATTGTTTCATTGAAGAATTCTATTGCTAAATCGAATCCATTCATTGCAGCAATATGCAACAAGGAAAATCCACACTTATCACGTAGCCCCTTTACATATTGTTGAATATTAGCCAAGCCCATATTTTGGGAGTGGTTACTCTTGACCCTCTTTGGTCCAGTTGGACTTGTTGTGCTAGATGCTGCATTTGAGCTTTCGTCTTCATTTGATAGTGCTCTCTTGGTACTTCTTGAAGGTGATTCTTCACATAGAGGTGAAGGAGTAGTTGAATTTGAGGAAAAAGGAGAATCACTTTCAATAGACTTTGGTGTTCCAATAGTAAGCTTTTTCAGGTTATTATGAATTCTGACTGTAACTATTTCTAAATTTTCACACAAGACATCTTGCCCTCTGGTGACAGTGACATACTGTGCTCCACTTATGTATTCAACGATTATCTTGTCAATATAAATATTCTTGATTGATACTCTTTTTCTTTCATCTCCCTTTGTCAATTCGACAATAAAATCAATATCTGATTTGTCTCTTGTTGGAGTAACAAAGAAATCACGGTTAAACTCAAGTACAACAACCTTGTTCTTTCTTTCGGCTCTTTCAATATGGAGTGGAAACATTGTAGAAATGCTTCTAGATTCTATAAGCCCATAATTATTATCAATACTCAAAACATTATTACTGAACTTGGTTATGGTAAGATAATTTGACATTTGTATAGATAATCTAAGTCTAAAAGTATTAGATCGTGAGCTACTTTGTTTGAATCTCTCAATGTTGGACCTATCAATTAATAACTGATTGAAAGAAGCCTGAAGCTTTTCTTCTGAGACTGATTCCAATACCAATGAATTCATAGTATTATTTTTTACATTGAGTTGATAAGGGTAGGCATCCTCCATGGAGTTTTCATTATCCTCGTGAGTAATCATATCAATCTTAAATCTTAATTTACTTTCAATAGCGTCCATTTCAAGGATAAATTGCTCCCAAGTCATGGCTGAAAACAATTTTTCGTCAACTACCAAAGAATTTGTTTCTAAAAATTCTTCCATTCCATTTTCTGGTTGGAAACAAGTACCAACACTTAATTTGAATAAAAGGAAAAATATACAAATCTTAAGTCTTACTATTCTCAAGTTTGCTCTAAATTTGATAGATAACATATGATCTCCCTTCTTGTTGAAATTTGGAGAAATACCTTCCTTGATAATTTCAATATCTGGTTCTGAAGTTAACATTCCAAACAAGGTATGCAATACTTGTGTCATTCCCTCAAGTCTTCTTCCATTGATGAAATACTCATTTACAAGCTTATTCCATTCATCTTGCAATCTTAATTTTGTTTCTTCGTTCTTCATAGTTTTTTCATCAAAGGCAAGCATAGTTTCCATTATTCTGTGAGAAATTAATTTTAATAGTCCTTCACAGACAACCATGTTTGACGGAAGTACTATCATACTAGACTTTTCAGTTGGTGAGATATTTCTTGATTCTTCTTGTGGAAGAACAACAGGTCGTTGATTCGAGTATTTAGGTTGGTTCACAAAGGAAGTTGGAGGATTATTTGGATATGGACCCATGTAGGATTGTGGTGAAATGAGTTTAGATGATCTATTCTTCATAGAATTATTTTGGTCTTGAGATTGATGCAGTTGATTCAAAATAGAGCTGGTATGAACTTGTTGATTATTTTGTGGGGCCACACTCAGAGGTTTAGCCTTGTTAGTATTCAAACTCATTGCAACTTTTGGTTGTCTGTTATCATTATATACTTGATGTATTGGTTTTTCAGTAGTTGGAGGTTTAGAATTTTGTTGGAATTGAGCGTTTGAACTACTTGGATAAATGTTCAAGGATTGAGAAAATAACAATCCAAACTGTTGTAGAGATGGTAAATTGTCTTCATTTTGGGCACGTTGTTGTTGATTGTAATTCTGGGGCATGTTTGAAAGACGCACATGTTGTTGATTCATTTGTGAATGCATCATTTGGATATTACCATTATTAGTAGGAGGATTTTGATTAAACATTGGTTGTTGCTTAGATGAGTATGAAAAATCAGAAGGTGGAGGTGGTGGAAGATGTTCTCGATTGTTACTATCATTTGATACCATCGATGGGCTCATCATTGTATTATTGTTAGCCATACTATTTCCCAGCAAGTAAGGATTATTATTTGGATAGACAGCAGAATTTCCCAAATTACTATTATTAGTATTCTGTGGATAAATTTGGTTAGGGGAGCTGGTTGTCATTTGAGATAGTGAAGGAAGTGATGGAAGAACATTGTGATGTGAAGATTGTTGGTTATAAGTAGAGAATGCATTTGATGATGATATTGATTCCATTCTACTATTATTATTCTGAGAATTATGTTGTTGAGCGAATCCTTGTTGTTGTTGGTGATGAATAAAACTAGAGGGATGTATATTGTTAGCTGAAGTAGATTCTCTGGTGGTGGTAGTGGAAGAGGAAGGAGAAGGTTTGGAATAGAATGAATTATCAACAATACCCACCATCGTAGTACTACCTTGTTGGTTCATAGAAGTTTCCATAGTGAAATTATTGATACCATTGTTGCTACTATTAGAATTACTAGTATCGGTAATAATCGTATTGTTATTCATAATATTAATATTATTAGATGATGAATTGGGAATAGAATTGTTACTAATGTTCATAATAATAGAAGAAAGGCTTTGAAATTTTAATTATTGTGATGATGAGAGAAACTCTCAGATTTGCAAATATACCGTTGTATATTCAATAATTTTAGAAGAAGAATGTAAAATATTTCAACTTCAAATATCAACAATTAGCCTTCGACTTGTTTTGAAAAACCTCGCACAACAAACAACAGCGTGTTCAAAAAATATTTTTTCTTTTTTTCACAAATTCAATTAAATGGTGACGCTGAAGAACATGTCGTCCATTGTTGGAGCGGAAAATCTAAAAAAAAAGCTGTAAATTACAGACCAATCATTATCAGCAACTCCAAGTGGAATCTGATTCGGCCATTATCATCAATTATTAATAATACTTTTTAATATTTTGAAAGTTAAATTTCATAAAATTAGATTTAATTTATTGGATCAATGACAAGCTTTGGTAGAATTATTGGGATCGGAGTTGATATGGCTTCAATAAGTAGAATGCATCAATTGCTTGCCAAGCACGGAGAAAAATTTGTAAAGAGAATATTTCATCCTTCCGAAATTCAACAATGTCCTCTCGTTTTTTCAGAGGCTTTTGCAACATGTTCAATAGTGAATAATAATACCACATCAGATTTGGAACTTTTGAAAAAACAACAATTACGGATATCTCAATATTATGCCTCTAGATGGGCTGCAAAGGAAGCAACAATTAAAGCGCTAGGAGTTAGTGGAATTGGAAGTAAACAAATGTTTGTCTACAAAAATCATCAAGCTAATTTACAAATTTTGAATAATAGTATCACAAAACTGTATCCACCTTTATTAAAGTTGGAAGGGAGTGAAATTAACAAAATTATTAAAATTGCATTAGAAGAGAAACATGCAAATGATTATGTGACACATTTATCATTGTCACATGAGGGAGACTTAGCTATTGCGAATGTAATTATTGAGGCTATATATACAATGGACGAAATAAATAGAAATAAGTAGGCTGTTAGAATACGAATAGATTACGAAAGATCAAAGGCTAATGCTCCTGATTCTTCATCTTCATACTCTAGTTTGGCATATTCGAGACGTGTCTGAATGGTAGTATATAGGAATAGCCACCATTCCTCAATAGGAACCTGGTTATTAAGGATTGCTGAATAAATTTCTTCGGAATTGACATCACACCATATCTTATACCATACAGTGTTCTGATACCTAGGCTCTTTAGAAAGTAAAATCTTTACAGAGAGTAACATTAGTCTAAAGTAATCTTCTAAGAAACTCTGTGATTGTTGCTTATTTTTCAAATTATTATTAAAGGATTTTCTCTCGTATCCAACCACTTGTTCCTTTAAGATTTCTAAATTATGTTCAAATTTATCCGATAAAAGCTTATTCCACTCCTCAAATATCTTACTATCTATAACATCAGCACTCGATGTATTGGAAACAGGAGAAGGTTGTTGAGGCACCAATTTTTCAGTGTTTCTTGGAGTACCAACCCTAGGTGTTCGTGGAGATTCCATACTTTGAATTCTTAGTATTTGTAAATCCTCTCGAGTTTGGTCAAGAATTCGTTGAAGTTCCTCCAAATCATGCCTTAGCTTGGCATTCTCAATTCTAAGTTGTGATGTTTCATCTCCGTCCGCTACTTGAAGAAGCTCATCTGCCGGTTCCAAATCTAGATATTCTCTTGGTGTAGAATCATTGCTCGATGAGATACTATCATCACTAATTTCCATTGGAGCTCTCCAACCAATTCCATGAACAACTCTATCATATTCTCGTTTCATTTTGTTTACAGTATCGGTGAGATTTTCTACATTTTCTCTAGCCTCGTAATAGAGCTGTTCTGTATATTCCACGTGATTGAGGAGAGCATTTTCATTTTCTCTTGCATTCGCAAGCTTGAGCTCGAGTAGTTTGTTTTGTTCTGTCAACTCTTTCATTTGTTGATCACTCTTTTCTATTTTTTCTGTCATTTCATCTAGGTTGTCACATACAGTTTGATACTTATTTCTAAGTTCTGCTGAGGCCATCCAACCATTGTCTAAAATTAATTTTTTAGAAGATTCCGCCTTCTTCAATAATGCAATTCTATTACTACTCTCCTTATCTCCAATTGATTCCGATGGCTCACTCTCTTCCTTTTGTAGATCCTTTTCCTTAGTGATGTGTAATAATTTTTCTCTCGAATTGTTCAATTCCAATTTTAAAGTATCTCTTTCGTACTTGTATTGATTTTTCTTTGCCTTTAAGGCTGATACTTGTTCCTTAATATTTGCCATTTCATCATGAAGAAATTGATTTTCTCTCTCAAGGGCTTGATTTTCCAATTCCTTTTCGGAGACTCGGTTTTTTTGTCTCTTTACTTCCTCTGTCAGTTGAAGAGAGAGTGTTATTACCTTCTTAATTTCGGTATCCTCAAGAATGGAATTCCTCATTGGATGATGTTGTTGAGAGGCAGTAAGGAGAGGAGAACTGGGTGATGATTTATTTCCTCCAGAGAGGATGGAGCCTTTTCTTGATGAAGGAGTTGATGATGATATATCCAACTGATTTAATCCCTTCCTTTTTGAATTATTATTTTCTATTAATTGATGAAGAGTGTTACTACTGCCATTATCATTTATCGTTAAGAAAGGACCCGAATACTCTGTCCCATTTTCATTTGGAGGATACATATTCAGAGTGAAGATTTACAAAATCCAAAATCCTCTCTAAATTATAATTTAATCTTTTTGATAAAGCAAGAAGAAGAAATACTGTAAATTTGCGAAAAGGGTTATTGTGAGTTTGTTTTTTTAATAAAACTGTTGTGCATTGGTGGAGGATCTTAAAATGCTTCAGTTCGGCTTAATGCCTTCATTAATATGATTGAGGGTGATGGTAGTCAACAGTTATTTTCATCTCTCTGTTCTCTTTTACATTTCACGACTATAATTGAGACTCTGTAATTTTAACTGTATTATGCAGGAAGAAGATTATCAAAAGAGTTGTTTAATTGCCAATATGATCATCTCTTTCCTTTGACATTTTTCTTTAATTCGTTCGTTAACAGAGTAATTAATGTTTACAAAATTAATTATTAATTGAATATTTCAATTAATAAAAATAACAATCTATTATTTGATCAAAATATTTCGGAACCAGCCTAAAGGAATCAACTTCCGTCTCTAATAAATAAACAAAAGCTTTCGGAATTTGATTAAATTAAAAAAAAATTGGAAAACAATGAGCGCTGAAGACTACAAAAACCAAGGAAATCAAGCTTTGAAGGAAGGAAAGGACGAAGAAGCCATCAAACTCTATACTTTGGGTCTTCAAGTTGATCCAAATCATCACGTTTTATTATCTAATAGAGCTGCTGTTTATTTAAAGTTGAGCAGATTTGAACAAGCTTTGAAGGATGCTTCCTTGTGTGTTGAACAACAACCAGCATTCTCTAAAGGATTCCTGAGAAAAGGACAAGCTTTATATGCTCTTAAAAGATATGAAGAAGCTTTGGATACATTACAAGAAGGATTAAGAGTTGAACCAAATAATGCACAAATCAAGAGTGTGATGACCGAAGTTGAAAATCTCTTGATGCAACAAGCACCAAGTGACGCTGCTTTACCATTCCTCAAAGTATTCAATGATCCAAATATGTTCGGAAAGATTGAAAACCATCCTGAACTTTCTAAACATCTTCAAGAAAAGGATTACGTTGATGCATTGAAAGAAATTCAAGCAAGTCCAGAAAATTTGCAAAAACACATTTCCGATCCTAGAATTATGTCCACAATTATTTTCTTGATGCAAGTCAATCCTGAAATGGAAGAAAAGATAAGAGCTGATAGAGGCAGAAAGGAAGAAGAAGAAAGACAAAGACGTAAGGAAGAGGAACGTAAAAAGAAGGAAGATGAACAAAAGAAACTCGAAGAAATTAATCAACAGCCAGCCATGATTGAAAAGAATCTTGGTAACGAATATTATAAGAAGAAGGATTTCGAAAAGGCTTTGTTCCACTATGACAAGGCTATTACATTGGATCCAACAAATATGATTCTCTATTTAAATAAGGCTGCCGTATATATGGAACAAGGTGATTTTGAAACTTGTATTAAACAAGCTGAAGAAGCTATCCAAGTTGGTAAGACAAATCATGCCGATTTCAACGAAATTGCTAAGGGATATGCCAGAATTGGTAATGCTTATTTCAGACAACAAAACTATACTCAAGCTCTTCATTTTTATACCGAATCTTTGACTGAACATAGAAACCCAGAAGTTATAAAGAAGAAGCAAGAATGTGAAAAGATTATGAAGAAATTAGAAGAAGAAGCATACATTAATCCGGAAATTGCCACCCAACATAAGAATGCTGGTAATCAACACTTTAAGGAAAAAAGATTCCCAGAAGCCATGAAGGAATACAATGAAGCTGCCAAGAGAAATCCAAAGGATGCCACCATTTTCAGCAATAGAGCTGCCTGTTATATCAAGTTGGGTGAATTTGCCTATGGTTTGAAAGACGCTGAAAAGGCTATTGAAATTGATCCAAACTTTGTCAAGGCATACATTAGAAAGGCTCAATGCCATGTTGCCTGTAAGGAATATCACAAGGCCCTTGCTACCTATGATCAAGCCAGCAAGATTGATCCAAACAATGAAGAAATCAAGAATGGAGTTGCTCACGTCATGGATATTATTCAACATGGTTCTGGTGAAAGAGACGAACAAAGAATTCAAAATGCCATGAAGGATCCAGAAATTGCTGGCATTCTTCAAGACCCAGTCATGCAAACTGTATTGAGAGATTTCCAAACTGACCCAGCTAGTGCTCAAAAGCATTTGAAGAACCCAGACATTTTTGGTAAGATTCAAAAGTTGATTGCCAGTGGTGTCATTCAAACTAAATAAATGTACAAAATGTAAAAATTTCAAAAAAAAAACAATCCTTAACCTGTTGCTTCTTCTTCCTCAACATCATTGCCATTAAGGTTTTATTTGTGAGAATGAAGAAGAATTGGAACTTTCCAATAACCCTTCCAATAACATTTTTGATCCCTTTTTACACACTCTTTTGGGGCGTCCCAAGTGGACTTTGTCCGGACTTGAAGAAATTGAAAAAAAATGGCCAAACGTAAAAAGTCCACCAAAAAGTCAACAACCACTACTACAAACTCTCAACAAGAACAACCGTTAGATTCACTAGACTACTCCGATGACATTCTTCTTCAATCAACAGACAAAATAACACCATTTGTTGCAATTCATCAGAATAATTTATTACAATCAAGTTCGGCTCCTGATATAAATGAAGCTTTTAGTGAAGAATCGAGTCATCATCATGTTAAGGAACAACATGAAAGTAAATTACTAGATACTATTAATGTAGGTTGATTTAAAGTTTTTTGAATATATATTCAGGTACTTTAGAAAGTTGATCCGGATTATGCTCCACACCTTCATCACCATCATCACGTGAAGGAACATCATGAATTTGTCACTTCTCAAGATCCACCTCATGTTTATTATGTTGGTGGCGATGAGGATATTATTGATGATGAGGATGAGGATGAATCTGCAAAACTCTACAATAAGGACGGAGAGGATGAAGTTCAAGCAGTTGATGTAACAAAACGATATGAAAGAAAACAAAGTCTAAAACAAAGATTGAAGAACTTTTCGATAAGAGACATTATTGTGAAATGGAGATACTCAATTGTGTATTCTTTATATTTATTATTTATGAGTGCACTTGCTGCCTTTTTATTTGGATGGTCAATTTACAAGAGAGGAAAAATTGAAGAAATTTGGTTTTTAGCTTTGGAAGGTTTTTGTACTTTTGCAATTTGTTATGAATGTGTTTTGAGCATATTTTTATATAAGAGACAATTTTACAAGAAACTCATTGTTTGGTGCAATTTATTCGTTTCCATATCAGCAATTGTAATTTTCTCATTGCTTCTTTATTGTTTCATTGAGAAGGAGGAGAATTACTTTTGGAATAACGTTGCTTTCGCTCAGGAAGCCGTCATTGGTTTGCATTGTTGCGTAAATGCATTCAGAATTATTGTATATATTTTACAAATTAGAAGAGGAGGAGGTATTGTAAGAAATAACTTTATTGTGCTTGATGTGACAAACAATGATAATACTGGTGCCTCTCCATCAGCAGCTCACTTGGCTGAAACTACTGAACACCGTTACGGAACTTCTCAAGTTTAAATTTTAAACTATACCAGTAACTTTATATAAATATTTACAAATTAGAATTTATTATTTTTAAAACAAAACTGTTTTGTACAATTTACAAATGTGGAAGTTAAAAATTGCAATCTTTTGGTTATCGTTTCTTCAGAAGAAAATGGCCAATTATTGTTGGTCCATCATTGCATCATCACTAGCAGGAGCATAGTCAGTAATTCTTGAAAGGACTTCTTCCAATTGTTTCTCATTCTTTGTCTTTTCTCTACAACAAATAAGAGCCAAGAAGAAACCAATAACACAACAACCTAAATAAGCATAAATCAGATAAAAAAAGAAGTATTGGATATATCTGAGATTGGTAATAGCACCACTGAAAATAATATCCATGGCAGTTGACCTAGAATAAGAATTAAATGCTCTTTGAGAAAATTGGTTAACAACTACAGAGGAAAGCAAAATTAAACCAGTGTTAAACATGAGTGAGTTCATCATGGTATCACCCTTCTTCATTGGGTGAATAGCAAACAATGGAATTCTACTTGTGATGGCAGCATTACCAGCCAAAACAGTGAAAATAAGATAAACTGTAAAGAACCAGAAACTCAAACCTCCCAAAATTGGGAAACCTATTGTCAAATCATCCAACCAGTTGAAAACAACATTGAGCATACCATTTGGTGGATAGATGATGGCCCAATAAACAATCAAGTGAATAATCCAAGTGAGTGAGACCAAACAACAAATAATACCCAAAATGAGATAAATAATTGGTAAAATAACAGAACCACCAGCATGGAAGAAACTAGTGTGTATAACCTTCCATTCCTCTTCAAGTCTGTAGGCAGCAATCTTGAAATCGTTCAAAACTCTACGATCCTTAAGAGTAATCTTTCCTTCATCTTGAGCTTCTTGAAGTTTGGTTCCGATGTCGATCAATCTTCTAGATTGTTTCATAAGTCTAGCCTTAGCCTCAATAAATTCAGAACTCTTAATTCTCTTTGGTTTAAAGATGAAAGCCTTAATGAGAGTAACTGGAAGAGCTGTCATACCACAACCACTGCAAGTAATAAAGACAAAATATCCGAGGAAGAGAATTACGGCAATAATGTAAATAACAATCGAGACAAAGATGGATAAAGTCTTGTTAACAGCCTAATTAAAATGTTAGAAGAAGAATAATATCAAAATAATAACATACAAAGGTTGGCGTTGCTCTATAGTAGGCATCATATAAAGTATCGGCTGGTTGTGTGGCTGTATATTGTTTAAATGGAATATCAGCATAACCCAAAAACCAGTAACTGACCAAAGTGAGTGTAGCAACAACAATGAAAGTTACAACTGTAGCACAAATTCCCCATTTGATTTGATGTAAAAAGCTAGATAGAGTTTCAGAATTTCATCATCATTAATTGAAAATAATTTTCACCTACCTCTTTTCTGGGTCTTCGGATTCATAATAAAAGATGAAGAATGGGAGGATCAAAACCACAAATACAGCAACAAATCCATAGAAAACTTGCCATGTGATTTGGAAAGCGTAGGTAAGATCTCCCTCTAGTCTTGCATTAGCCACATCCAACGGAAGTAAAAACACTGAACAAACAGCAAGAGCAAAAGCGAAAATAACAACTAATTTTGGACACCAAGCTTTTCCTCTATCATCACTACTCATAAAGTAGCACAGATAAATAATAGCTGAAACAATACTGAAAACTCCTCCCAGTACTCCAAATATTATGAGAATAACGTTCAAGGCTGTTGTTTCCATTTTTTAAAATTTAACTTTTTCTTGCAATTACAGTGATTTTTTCATCTATCCTTCTGATTGGAACCTGTCCATAGAATGTGTCCCTTTTTTCACTGAGTGTTCTTCACACACAAAGAGAATTTGATGATGAGGATATTAGTAGACAGACTACTGTTGAACGTTGAATGGATGAATAAATATATTGGAATTGGTTCAATATTCTATTTTCCTTGAATCAGGATTTTGTTGGTCGTGAAGAAATTAATAGAGGCAAACTCTCTGCCTTTCAATACTATTTTTACGAAACGTCTAAAATTGAATAGTTTTCTCGTACTCTACGGATTATATATTTACAAAAAGACTTTTATTTTTCTTAGGGCTCGGATAATGGTACAATTATTGCTTCTTTTCGAGATCTTCCAAGATCAACTTTCTGAAGAACAATGATTGAGCAGCAAGAATGACTCTGTGACCGTGGGTGGTCTTATCGTCAGAACCTTGGATTTCTTGTTGAGTTTCAGTTTTCTAATTTAAATAAATTCATCATCGTCATCATACAATTTTTAAATATTATTGATGATTATTTTTGATCAGAACGTGATGGCTAGTGAGAGATACTTACTGGGGCGTCAGACATTTTTTTTGTGTGTTGTTAGTTCACCTCCAGTTGTACCGTCGAGATGGTTAAAGATAGACGGCTTCCTTCACCAGCGTAATTTTAGCGATGATTTTAATTGGTGGGAGGGTTACAAAAACCATTAGTTTTTAGCAGAGTTCAAACATCACAGAAGTTAAGTGTTACATCAAAATTGATGTGAAATTGTAAAGTTGTAATCTGAGTAATGTTCATCTCCACGTTTGTTTTATTGTTACCACATATTCGATCACTGATGTAAGTCTGTTGTGCTCGCATTATCTTCACATTTTAATAGCTGGAGGTAAAGTCTCTCTTATCCTACTGCAGCTATTCTATTGTGTTCATCTTATAGAATAGCATCGGGGAGAATATGTTTCTTAACAATATAGGACTGCAGAGTTTTCAGTGTTTCAATCGGAATATGGTTATAGGCATGGACTGAATAATGAGGTTGAATGTTAAATCTCTTTACATTTTTCAAATTGTCTTGTAAGAATAAACATAATGCGTAGGTGAAAGGATTTTTACAGTTTCTGCAGGATTGTAATTCCAATTGTTCAAGATTAGTCAAGTTCGCCAATTGTTTGCCAGCTTCATCTCCTATATCTACTTGTACGCTCAGAGTTTTGAGAGATGTTAATTTACACACTTCCACAAAGTTTGAAAAATTCAAACTACCACTTATTTCCAAATATTCCAAACTATCAATGTTGTTTAACCGATCTAACCAAACAATCTCATCATCAAAGCTTTCACTCAATATCAAAGTTTTGAGACTTGTAAACGTTTCAATCGTTTCTATAATATCAGGTTCTGTTTTTGTACTATACAAGTTGAGGTATTTTAAATTGGGGAGAGCATTAGCTAGATGTTTGAATTCATCAGCATATAGACAGTCATCTTGCATTCTAAAGCACTCTAACTTTTTACAGTGAGCTAGGGATTTGAAAAATTCTGGAACGGAGTGATTACATGGTTTTTGACTTCCTTGTAAACCTCTCAAGTCACAATCCAGTATTTTCAAATTTTTCCACATCCCAATATCCTTCAAGTGCTTAGATGAGTAAGAATATACTGTTTTGTACTCCTCTAATAGAGGCAAATATTGAGCTAGTTTTGGTGTCAGGAAATGATCTAGACCTCTACTCTCGATTTTTTTGCATTTTCTATTACTTTTAGCTAGTGCACTCGCTAGCGTATCTCTATAATTGTATGATCGAGGGATAAATTTTACAAAATCAGGAGTTTCCCAGTGAATAAAGCCAATTCTCAATTCCTCAAAATTTGGAAATACTTCAAAGCACTTTTCAATTGCTTCCCAAAATGTTTCCAATTGACTAAATTTTAGAATTTTTAGACTATCACAAATGTATCTATTTTTTACCTTAAAATTATCCAATCTCCTCAAAAGTTTCTTTTTTAATTCAACATCAGCTTCCCTCACTATGGTTGCCACCTTCTTCTCAGTATCTGTAAACTTGTAAGGACAAAAGCACAACTTTTTAATGAGTGGAATCTCTAAATTGTGAGATCCAAAAGGCAGTTGGGCAGCACAAAGGAATGAAATTTCATCAACAATGCTATTTTTTGCCTCTGTCAAGTCTCCATAGACATACAATAAACGTACAGTTTCATCCGATAATCTTCCATACCAAGTTTTAAAGAATTTACTCCAAATAATTTTTCCTTTTGATACACATGATTGAAATTCTCCCCCAAAATACCCCAATATATGAATAATATTGTCGGGTGTTAACATTTTAAAAGAAGGTTTTACCATCTTATTGGCAGAAGAAGAAGTGAGGGATAATGTAGGGATTTTTAAAAGAGCAGATGCAGATGAGGACCTACTTAAATCCTTACCCGTATTGGTAGGACTTGAAGAATTTAGAGTGGATATATTATTGAGTTGCCTTCCCTCTATTGAGGATGATGACTTGTTGGTTCTGAGATTGGAAGCCGAGTGGCTTGTCTTTAAACTGGGAACAAGTTTTTTGACCACCATCAGAGAATCATCTGATGACGAGTCGTAATAATCTCGTTCTCCAACATGAATTGTCATGTATGATTTCTTTCCCAATATGCTTGATGATGATGGAGGTCGAATGACTTTGCTGGTTGTGGGTCTTTTCATTTTTTTTCTCTCTCTGAAAACTTCTGATGCATGTTCTTACTTGCCTTATTATATCATTGAGAAGTTTTAAATGGTAGTATTGGGCATCTCTCTTTGAGTTGAATTAGAATAGTTGTATTGCATTTCAATTCATTGGTTTGACCAATATTTAATAAATAAAGAGAATGATAAATGGCCATAACATTAATGTTGACCACCAAACTAGTTACAGTATTCAACAAAATTACTGTAAGAATAATGTACAGTAATAGCTCAGTTAACAGTTACTCTTTCAATACAAAAGAACCAATTTCGTCGAGAGATTCCACTTTTACCAGTTCATACTCTTGAATGTTCGAGAAATCACTAAAGATGAAATGCCCTTTAAATAATTGAGTAGGATTCTCCAAAAGTAAAGGAAACCAAATAGCATCATCTACCCACATTTTCTCATAGGGAATACCTTGAAAATCGAACCATTCTGGTTTCATCTCTTCACTCTCCGTAATTTCACCAGTATAATCTGGTGATGAATAAACATGAACTTCCAAGACTGATGATTCTATGTGTGGATCAAATTCGAAAATAATTAAACCTCTCTTGATTAAATTAGTAGCACAAATTCCTGCTTCCTCCATTAATTCTCTCTCTGCGGCATGTTTTATGGATAAATCTTGAGCTTCAACCTTTCCTCCGAATCCATTAAATTTATTCATTCCAAATCCTCTTTTTTTCAATCCGAGCAAGAGCTTCCTCTTCTCTTGTTGTTGAATAAATACGAGTGTGAGAGGTTTAATCTTCTTCTTGCTTAACAAATCAGCATTGAAAAACTTTGACATTTTTTTGATGAACAACTTGAAATCTTCCCACAATATAAATTGATGACATTACCAAATCTTTTTGACTACTGTAATACGATATGGCTAACAGACATCCAACAACTCCTCACTACCGTATTTTCAATGGTCCCACTTCCTTTTACTGTTTATCCTATTTTCTCTTCATCTTTGACTGTGAGTAAAATAATCATTTTCACAAAGTATCTTGATCAAATGCTTAGAACTTATCCGTACATAACACAACATTATTCCACTCAACAATGTCTTTTTTCACCAGTTAAAAAATGCCCACGCCTCGAGGAAGCCAACACCATCACCACCAACGAGAGAGTCAACAAATAGTGGGCTCATCACCATCCGGAATAACGACACCGTTTAGTGTGAATCAGCCCATTCATATTAGTCCTGCAACACCATCTTCACTTCAAAGAAATCATCAAAATATGAATAATTCGGGTATGAATAACAATTCATCTTCATCATATGCAAGTGATAGTAATAATAATAATCATCATGGAGGTAAGAAGAGCCCTGGATTGCTTCAACATCTCCATAATTTGATGAGTGGAACTATTGAAAATATGGATTCATCATCTTCATTGAATTTACCGTCTGTATCCCCAATTTTAAAACCTCAAATTTCACCAATACTTAATCCAGCAGCAACATCACCTCTTTTAAGATCAATATCTCCAAGTATTCCCATAAAAGTACCATTCTCTATTAATGATATGTTGGTTGAGGAAGATGAATGTGGATCTCATGATACTGATGATTCTGATGATTTGACTTACAATGAAATTCAAAGTATTAATTATCCAATGGGTATGAAAAGTGGTGCATATGGATACAGTTCTCAATATTTGTGTTCCCCACCTAATCATCACCATATTATTCATGCCACACCAAGAATTCTTTCACCTCCTCGATCACCTCCACCAATTATTGATTCAGATAGAACTGATAATTCTTGTAATAATAATAATACTAGTAACAATAGTAGCAATAATAGTGCCACATCAATGCACCCACCACTTCCATCATTCAAGTCAACCTCAAATCAACCCTTTCGACTTTCTGGTAGAAATGCTTCTCTTATCAATAAGCGAGGATCCCAACTAAATACAGTAGGACATCAAAGAAGTTCCTCACTCGATGTTGGTTCTGTGATGGATCATCACCAGAGTTTTCGAAACAATCACCTTCCTATCCACTCAAATAACTCATTCATCCCTAATCCAACCAAAAATAATTCTCAAATGCCAGAAACACCAAATTGTATTTTAGAAACATCCCAACTACTGAGACCTAATAGCAGTGAGAAGGTAACACATCATTCTCCTCATTCCGATTATGATTATTCAACAGATGATACATCAAGCCCAACATCATCAACTTCTTCTACTCCAAGATCTTCAGCTTCATCATCACAGAAAAAGAGACCCAATCTCAGGATTGATACCAAGTCGAATGGAAAAACAATACCTCTTCAACCAATCACAACCTCTTCTCCTAAAGTTTCACCAAGAAATGAACAAATTACACCACAGAAAAACATAATCAATTTGGAACAAGTTGATGCATATATCAAGAATAATTCATCACAGAAAAATAGTAGCGCTAAAAAGACATTTCCGAGTGTTTTTAAAAATGATTTTGATGATGATGATTATGCCATGTTAGCAGATTATCCAGTTAGGAGTCGATCTGTTTCTCCTCCTTCAACGAGAAGAAGCAGTTTCAGCTTTAAAAAAACACCAACCAATTCGGAAAAATCAGACAATCATCAAACACCTCTGACAACAACAAAGGATGATGACTTGGATTCAAATTATACAACGCCACCTAATAGGAAAAGTTTTTCTAATGAGGATGGAGAATTTAGTAGTGAAGAACGATACGTGACTCCACCTTCATCTGGTGATCATAAAATGGAGCCACAGACGGAAGTTAAAGGTTATAGAATTCGTGGATATGTTCCTACTTTTCAAGATTTACCATCTCCAATGGGATCTTTAATGATGAAATGTCAAACACCTGTAGTTTTTAAAAGCAAAATGCATGCAGAAACCTTCTCAGCGTCTTACAGTCATATGAAATATTATGCTAGAAGAAAGAAAAAGTATTTAATGATGGCAGTGGAAAAGGAATCATCAATTATGGAGGACGAATTTAACTCTTTACGAGAAGATTTTATTGAAGGAAATAATATTATGAAGAGAACAAAGAAATTGGATGAAATGTCATTTTCAGAAATGATTCATACCGAGCAATTCGACAAGAATCCTTATAGTTCCGAGGAAGAAACTGAAACAGTAAATCCTAATCAAATGTTCTTTTTAGGAAAAAGAACAGATGAGAAGATTGCTAGGTTCCTTTGGAGAAAAATGATAGTATCTATTGAACAATTACATACCGATTTAAAGGCCTTTATTCATGAACTGGAAGAGGCTGCTGAAAATCATGAACCAATAATGAGTGATGATTGGCACGTAGCAGAAATGAAACGATTGGCTCATCAAATTATTGAAGCAGAGGTTTCTAAACTTATTCAACAGGTTTATATGAAAGAGCTCAATGACATGTTGTCTCAATTGAGAGGAAGGAAGGAAGAATCTATTATTGAATCTATTCAAACAAGCTTTATTATGAAAGAATTGAAAAAGCTCATATTTATTTATAGTAGAGTGAACAGAATTATTGCAGTTTACAATAGAATTCCAGAAAAGCTCAAAGTGCTTAGCATTGATGGAAGAAAGAGAAGCGCAAGTGAGGCAAGAACAAAGGGAGGTATACCTAGAGTGAATACACCACCAGTTGGATTGAATCAATTTTCCAAGCTATCTTTCCTCGAGTCAACTCTGACTAAAAAGTCAGGCTCCTCCTCAGATTTGATTCGTGAATCTACAGTTACAGATAAGCAAAATTTGAAAATTAACAAACTCCTTAAAAAGTGGGCTGAGGAAAGTACAACTGTCATTACTCCTCGATCTGACCAAAGTAGCATTAGTACACCCTCAGATTCTGTTGTTACAATTGATTCTACTCCTCAATCACCTCAAGATACTTTATTCTGTAGAATTTGTGAAAAGGCTATTGAGGTTAGTAACTTTACAGCTCACACACAAACTTGTGCAAAGTCTCACGAAATGAACATGAGAAGAATTAGTTGTGATCAAAAGTTTAAACAACTTCTTCATGAGATTAGAAAGAGAAGAAGAGAGGAGACATTTGGAGAATTGTATTCATACATCAAGGAATCTTATCACTCCAAAACAAAAGCCGACTTACAGCATGCAATAGATCACTTAAAGTCTCTCAAAGAAAAATTATCTCTCAAAGATGAACTAAAGGGTTACCAAAGCACGGAGACACAAACAGTCATCTCCTCTATTGAACTTGCTGAAGAGAAAATCAAAACACTTCACGAATATACTGAAGACTTTAAGAAGGTTTCAATTTTGGATTTCACTCTAATCAAACCAATCTCTAAAGGTGCCTATGGAAAGGTTTACCTTGCTAGGAAAACTTCAACACCAGACATTTATGCAATCAAGGTCATTGAGAAACAATACATTTTCAACCACAAGAACATTGCCTATTTGAAGAATAAGGATAAGATTCTCTCCGAACGTGCTGTCCTGCAACAATTGATGAGAAGTAATCATGACTCCAAGTGCATTGTCAATTTTTATTACTCATTTGCTGGTAAGAAATACTTCTTCATTGTTATGGAGTATTGTTCTGGAGGAAGTTTGGATTGCCTACTTGAAGATCAGATTAACAAACATCAGGCAGCATTTGATATTGATAAGGTTAGAAAGATTGTTGCTGAAATTGTATTGGCTCTCTTGGAATTACATGCTGCCAAGATTGTTCATCGTGATTTGAAACCTGACAATATGCTTGTAGATAGCATGGGAAGATTGAAACTTACTGATTTTGGTTTAAGTGAAATTGGTATTATGGACAGAGAAGAAAAGGCAGTAACCAGTAGCAAACCAAGAACTCCTAATCCATCATCTCCACCTCATCCTGCCAGTTTTGTTACCAGTCCTAATGCAAGCATTGAAAGCGAGTCAGATTCAGATGATATGGTTCAGGTCCCTGGAACTCCAGATTACATTGCACCTGAAATTTTATTTGGTGAAGAACATAGCTATGCTGTCGACTATTGGTCTTTGGGATGTATCACATATGAGCTATTGTTTGGTGTTCCTCCTTTCAATGCTGACACTGTCGAGGACATTTTCAATAATATCCTGTCAGGTAGTTACGAATGGCCAGAAGAATTGCCAGAAGAGTTCCAAACTTCAGGTGTTGAAGACTTTGTCAAGAAACTACTTGATCAAAACCCAAAAACCAGATTAGGAGGAGAAATCATTAAGGAACACCCATTTTTAAAGCCTATCGATTGGGACACTCTATTACAAGAACAATTGTTCACACCTGTTGGCGAGCCTGAGGATACTTCAAGATTTTCACCAAGAAAGAACAATTACCCAGTCACTCCAACCACAAGTGGTATAATGAGCCCATTCGACGGAGCAACAAGCTTTAACAGTGATGGCAGCTCATTGGGATCACCAAGTCCAGTACGTCCTGGTCCATTCTCTCACAACAGTTTAATAATGAGTCCTATTGGTCATTCTCTTACCAACTTTCAACAGCTATCAACATCTATTGATTTTTCATTCAGCTCATCAACTCAAGCTCTCAAAGAGTTGAACATTAAGGAATACAATGAATATCTCAGAAAGTCTTTGAATAATTCGGCCAGAAGTTCTATAAGTACAGGCAGTGTAAAAAGATCTTTAAATTTTTCAAATATGTAATAAATTTAATCCGTCTTTTTACTAAGAATATTTACACAGGTGGAACACCAAATAACTTTCTGAACTGTTCGTAAAGAGGCAAGCTCAACAAAAAGTGAGGACATAATCTGGCATATGAAGGAAGGAATCCTCTGAACAAAACTCTGTAACCCTCAGTCTTAACACTCTTAACTACACAATCGATAATACCATTATATTTTCCTCCCTTTAGCACTTCTCCTGTTGGGGAAATGGTTTTCAATTTGGCATCATTCATATACTTGGTCTTGATGACATCAACTGGTGAAATAGTCACAGCTGTACAGAGACTAGAGATAAGGGCACTCCAAAGATGTGTAACATGGTTATCTGAGAAGGTGTGGCCGAATAAATTACTCTTCAATAATAAATATTTGGAATGATCGTAAGAGCTCAATTGTGCAGCTGTCAAAACCGAAGCTCTGACCATTGTGACTATGGATCCTTTGTAAAGAGCTGTAAATCCCTCATCCCTTGCAATTTTCCACAATGCATCCACTGTATTCTTATTTTTAACAGTACTTGCTGATCCTGTTATTCCCGATGATTGAAATCTAATTTTCACAACATCTAAAGGATTCATTAATGCACTTCCAACTGCACCACTTATCAAACCAGCAAATGCCTTCATTCCAAGTGATAATTGCTTTGTATTTCCATCATTCAACATAGCCAATGAATCCTTAATAGGATCATATAATCCAATTCTAAAACTCGAATATAATAAACTCCTTGTGAATGAAACTCCCAATCCAATTGTCCACAATTTATGAACTCCTCCTTCTTTTTTCACAATATCTGAAGCTACTTGAAGCATTTTAGTATTTCCTCCTTCAATGGTTTGCATTCTGGTTTTAATTAATTCCATAGGATTAACAATCGCAGTTGCTGTGGCTGCTGCAATACCTGCGGCAAGGAAAACTCTTGCCAAATGTTCTAAGGATTGTTTATTTCCTCGGTGATTGTCGGTCGAAGAGGATGAAGAATTGCATGATGGATGTGGAGTCGATGAAGAGGAAGATGAGGATCTTGGTAGTAAGTGTTCTTGCATTTTTTTTTGCTTGTGAAAACCAAAATTGGAAAATTTGGCGAATTGACTAATTTGTAAAATAATTGTAAACTCTAGGTAATTAGCAGAAAAATCAATCGCCATTATTATTGAATGATTAACTGACAATCTTGAAAAAAAACATCACCACTGTTGCCTTGTTTCGATTCTCCTCTTGCAAATTGCTTCAAATTACTCAGGAAATAATTCAAAGATTTGGTTGTTTCATTCTTTTTAAAAAGAACGTATTGCCATCCTCCTCCTGCTACCTCATTAAAGTCTGGGGTGAATGGTTCAAAGAGGTATCTATCCTTGTACTGTTTGAATTTGTGAACTACCTCTCCTATGAATACTGCCCCAGAGTCTGACATTAAAACTGTTCCTCTCGAAGTAGACCTAATCTTTCTGAAATGTCCATATTGGTAATAGCGTTCCTCAATTTCAGTAAATTCCTTGACAGGTCCTTCTATACCACATTGTTTCAGATCATTGTATCCACTTGCCCATACATGACCATTTTCTAGTAAAATTACAGTGTGAATATATCCACATTTAATATTGGCAATCCTTTCCGATGGTGAGAATTGTTTTAGAGCTAGTTTCAACTCGTTACCTCCTGTTTGAATACCCCCACAAGTTCCATTTGAATCATCTCCATTAAGATAGAATCTATTGTCCTCAGTCACCAATGCAACACTAACAGGACTAGCAGCAATCAATCTAAATGGTGAATCAATATGATCAATAGGAACATTTTCTGAATCAAAATACAGCTTGTGACCTTCTGTATAAACTACCATCTTTGATGATTGAAGCGATGTCTCTATTAACTTGATTCTGTCCTTTACAAATCGTGTATCAATAATCAATTTTCCTTCATCGCTCTTTAGTACGATCAATATTCCATTTATCATTTCAAAATAAAAACATGATGAATCACAAACTACCCGATGTATATCATAACACTTTAAATCAGGATCAGTTCCACTCACATCAAATCCAATATCAACCAACTTTCTAATATCAAAAATATAGAAAGGACAAGCCGATGATGATAATTGATCCTTCTCAAATGGCATATGAAACACCTTGAATGAATGAAGCACTTTCAATGCAACATGTCTATTCAGAACCAACAAATTTTGGGTCGTATGAAACAATAACAATCTATTTCCCAACCAAACAGCCTTACTTTCAAAAGGTAATTCAATCAAAGACCATCCCGAATCATTAATCTCTTTCGTATCATAAATATCATCACTCGATGTTGCTACCCAATATTTAACCATTGCCTGACCTGCAGAAAAAAAGTTCGGATAGAATGTATCAAGTGGATATTGACGATGAACTCGATAATGTTGAGGCATTTTTTTTTAATTAGTTTTAATTGATTTCGAGAGTTTACAATGAAGTTCATCTTACAGAGTTCGTTCATATTTTTATAATACTAATATTTAATGAATCAAGAAGAAAAGTGAATGAACAAGAATCTGAGTGAATATGTGAATGATTGTGAAAAATCCAAGAGATCAATTTTACAAAATGCTCCTGCCCTATGAATTTCGTCTTGAAAATTTTCATTGTAAAAACTCACAATTCACATTACAGTTCCACATTCAAAAAGGGCAATAAACACTTTTCATGTGAATCTGTAAAAATCAACAGATTTTCCATTCGTTTCTTCTTTCATTCCTCATAAAAATCAACAAGAACATAAAAGAATCTTTTGTCAACTTGAAACAAGGATGAAAAAAATGCAAAGTGATGAATCTTCTCCGAACGGAGTTGATTTTATTGATAATACCAATAGTAACTCATATGAAGAGGATGGAGCAGTAGCAAGACTCGGAGGAGAGCAACAATATTCAAGTTATCAACAGGAAAATCATTTAATTATTTCCTCCGAAAATAATCAATTTGAAAATGATTATGAAAATCATGAGAATGATGGTGATGATGAGGAGAATTTTGATAAGAATGATGAGAATATTGAAGGTGGAAAACAGAAAAAACATTGGGTTAGAAGAGTTTTCATCTTTGTCGAGTATCCAATCTCGACGTGGTTTATCATGTTTGCAGAATTGTGTGAAAGATTTGCGTTTTATGGTTTCAAGACAATTCTCAGTTTATACTTGTTGAATTATTTGAAATTTGATCAGGATGCATCAACGAGTATTGTTCACGCATTTGTCTTTTTTGCATATTGTAAGTTTTTCAAGTATTTCAATTATTTCAATAGCAATTTTTGAAAAGTGACACCAATTTTGGGAGCCTTCTTGGCAGATGCTTTAATTGGTAAATATTGGACCATTGTTTTGCTTTTATGTAAGTATTACTCATTATTTCTCAATAGATTCCAATAATTTAAAGTGGTTTACTGTAGTGGTCAGACTGTGATTAGTGTCACTGCCATTGAAGGAGTGACAGGAACTCCACCTCATTGGTGGGGTTGCATGCTAGGTCTCTTCCTTGTAGGTGTTGGAACAGGTGGTATCAAACCCAATGTTTCATCCATTGGAGCTGATCAATTCAGAGAAGATCAACGAGAATTAATTTCCTCCTTCTTTTCAATTTTTTACTTTTCCATTAACATTGGTTCAACTGTTAGTTCATTCGTAACTCCAATCATCAGATCACAATTTGGATATGCTGTGGCTTTCTTTGTTCCATTGGGTTTGTTATTAGTGGCAACTGTCATTTTCACAATTGGTAAATGTTGGTACAGAGTTGTAAAACCAAGTGGATTGAAGAATAATCCAGTTTTGAAGTTTTTTAGAGTGGTATTTACTGCAGTGAGAGGTGGTGGAGGAGGTGAAAGACCTAGCTCACCACTCAGTAGTGATGAAACTTCAGTTCTCGTTCAACATACTCCAATAGACGAAACCAAAAAGAATGAAACTCTAAATTCCAATGAAAAGAATGATCACTGGCTTGATAGAGCTAGAGGTAAATGCACTGAAAAGGAAGTGAATGATGCCAAATGTGTCTATAGAGTGTGCATTACTTTATTACCAATTACTGTTTTCTGGTCTTTATTCGATCAACATTCGAGTAGATTTGTGTTTCAAGCTGAAATGATGAATAGAAGAGTTGGAAGTTATGTATTTGGAAGTGATCAAATTACAACCATTAATCCAATCCTAGTTATTGGACTCGTCATTGTTTTCGATCGATTCATTTACAAGCTCATTTCCAAATTTGTAAGTATTTCACAATTTCCATTTTCTCAATTTTTTTAAAAACAATTTCACAATCTTTCCAAATTATCAATATCATTTTTCCAACTATAGTACTACCTAACACCACTCCGTAAAATAGGTATTGGAATGGTCATTGCATCCATGTCATTTGTCGCAGCAGCCATCGTTGAAATCTTTGTCCGTATGTATCCACGTCAAATCCACGTTGCCTGGCAACTTCCTCAATACATTCTACTAAGCATTGCCGAAATCTTTGTCTCAGTCACTGGTTTAGAATTTGCCTACTCTCAATCCCCAAAGGAAATGAAATCCCTCCTCCAATCCTACTATCTCTTAACTGTGAGTATGGGAAATGTAATTGTTGTGGTGGTGGCGAGTATTCCAATGGGAACTTTGAAGGAATTCCCATTGAAACAAGTTTATGAGTTTTCATTCTTTGCCTTGTTAATGTTGGTTGGATTGGTGTTTCATTTGGTTATGGCAAATATGTATAAATATAGAAAGATTGAGAAGGAGGTTAGTTTGGAAGAGGAAGAAAAATAATTGTAAAGTAGTTTCGAATAAAAAGAAGAGAAAAGTTATACAATAGAATGTTGAGATACATAGATGATAAATATTAGAAAGTGTGTGAAAGTGTGAAATAGACAAGTTCAATATCAAAGAACTCCATAATCTGAAAGAAAGGAATATCAAAATGATATTCGAAATGAATGTGAACGATTCGAAATGCAAAGGTTACATAAAACTCGAGAGCGAAACATTTCTCCACCCAATTTTCGTCAAGTTTAGTTTGTTAGTTTTTGCTGAACTAGAAAGCGAACCATTACATTTCGGATTATTGATCTGTGTTCACCAGTGTGAACTCTCATTTTTGCACAACTAAAGAACAACCAACAAGAAACAAAGTCAAGTACAATATTGTAACAGAACCTTTAATGTCAAGTAACTTGTGAGCTCCTGCCACTTGTCATTTAAAAAAAAATTAACAACAACAAAATGAGAAAGATTGTTACTTCTCTCACTTGTTTACTACTTCTCTTCCTACTTGCATTATCCATCAATGCTGCCACCACCGATCCAATTGTTGACACTAAACAAGGTAAAGTTCGTGGTTACTTTCCAAATCCAACAACCAGAGCATTTACTGGTATAAGATTTGCAAGCTCAACTGCTGGATCCAATCGTTTTAAACCTCCAATCAATGTTGCTGATGTCATTTCTCCAACAATCTTTAATGCTACCAATTATGGAAATGTTTGTGTCCAATCAGATTCAAGTGGAAACAATTATGATCAAGCACAAAGTGAAGATTGTTTGTTTTTGAATGTTTGGACACCTGCTGATGCTAATGTTACAAATAAGTATCCTGTTTTCTTTTGGATTCATGGAGGAGCTTTCAAATATGGAACGTAAGTTGTCGAGTTGACTTGATTTTGTAATGTGTGAAAAAGTGGTAATATGTATCAAGGAGATTATTGGACACAAGTTAGTCAACAAGTTGGTTCACCAATTGTTGTGGTTACTTTCAATTATAGATTGGGAATTTTAGGATTTCTTTCTGATTCACTTTTTAAGACTGAAAATGGTTTGACAACTGGCAATTTGGGACTTTTGGATCAATTATCTGCATTGACTTGGGTTAGAAAGAATATTGATAACTTTGGTGGTGATTCTAGTAAGATTACAATTGGTGGAGAAAGTGCTGGAGGTGTCAGTACTCTCATTCTCTTGACAAGTCCATTATTAGGTAAAGTCAAAGGTGCTATTGCCCAAAGTGGATCATTCCTTCCATGGTTAATCCAACAAAGTGTTGATGATGCCAATGTTATTTCAGGAAAATTCAAGACTGCTGTCGGCTGTTCATCATTGAATTGTCTCAGAAATTTGCCAACAAGCACTATTCTCTCCTATCAAGATGGTTCCACAGATTTGTTCGTTCCAGTTATTGATAATTATGTTACCAATGATACAATTTATAACAACTTTTTGATTGGTAATTACAAGCAAGTTCCAACAATTATTGGAACTACTTACAATGAAACAACTCAATGGACTTGTGGATATCCAAGTGATTTATCATCTACTGCTCAACGTGGAGTTCTCAATTCTGTATTTGGAAAGGATAAGGTTAATACCTTCTGGAGTTCTTTGCCAACTTATTATCCAAATGTTGGTTATGATAACAATTTACAATATTTCAATGTTTATTTTAGTGATGCTGAAATGCATTGTAATGCAAGACATGCTGCTTCTCTCTTTACCAAGTTTGTTACCAAAGTTTACTTGTACACTTTCAACTACTTTATTGATTATCCATTATTTGACGAAACTTGTTATGGTGCATCACATGCAACAGAGCTACCATTCTTCTTCCCATCTGTCATGAAAGTGAGATTAACTTCAAAGTTTTACACCTTCACTGATGAAGAAACCAACTTCTCCAAGCAATTGATCAGATATTGGTCCAATTTTATTGTCAGTTCAAATGTTAACAACAATGCAGCATCTTCCAACTTGGCTGCTGATATGGTTACTTGGCCAGCTTATACAGTTTGTAATAATAAGAGAAATATGTTGAAGAAGGGTGCCTTGTCTATTACAAATAATTTGTATAGCACTGTTTGTCCATTCTGGAATGGCATTACTGATTTCCCTGTTCAAACATGTTAATAATCAATTGAAAAAAACAAATTTATTTATTATTAATAAAATATTTTAACTTGGAATGGGATGGAATTGGATCAGAATTAATGATGATTTGCCAATTCTTTGGAAATATTAAATAACATATAAACAAATAAATTATTTTTTAATGATACAATTATACATTGTGTGTATATGGGTACAAGTTGATACAGAATAATGTTGACATTAGGATGACAATTACCAAAACTCCAAAAACAATTCAATGGATAAATAAATAAATAATTTGGTCATCCAACTGTATAAATAGCAGCATATTGTCATCATTATGTTATCAACACCATAGATTCATGTTGTTGATGATTTATCTCTTTCTGTTGGAGAGAGCATTGGCCAATTCATTTTGCAATAAGATTTGGGCCTTACGTTCACCAGAACTTTGAGTGTTACGAAGAGTACGAGTAATTTCACGAGCCTTATCAAAGTAAACTCCTTGCAATTGGTTACGCAAGTAATTTTCCATCTTTTGAATCATGTTACCCATGTTAACAATATGGCTATTGTATGCATTATCAAAAGAACAAGTTTGATCTTCTTGTTTTTGAACACTACCTGAGAGATCCAATTGTCCATCTTGAGTGGCCATACTCAAAATAATAGTAGTGGTGAGTTTGTACAAGGCAGTTTTAGAATCTTGTGGTTGAACTTCAACAACGTGAATAGAGTCCCAAACACCCTTTTCGACACCTCTCAAACCAGAACCATCCTTTTTGAAGAGAACAGCACAAGCAAATCCTCCATCCATAACTTCCCACATATAAACACTAGAGATACCTCCTTCATAGTATTGTTCACAATATGATTGGAAAATATCGTTGGCCTTCTTTTCCAAATCTCTTAAATCTTCAGGTGGCAAAATACCATCCTCCAAAGGTGGGTCATACTTGTTAGAGTGTGGACTTCTGTAGGAATCACCATCTCTGTTATAATCGCAGACAAGATAATCCTTTCCAGTTTCAGCACATTTACGAATTTTCAATGGACAATCAACAGTTTGCAAAAGATCATCAGTTAAATGTGGTGCCAATTCAGTAACAAAACTCAAGTTGGTTTCCAATTGAGCAGGTGGGAGTCTTCTGAAAAGATCAAGAGCAGAATTAAGCTGACTATCTTCGGATGCCATGTTGATGATGATGATTTAAATATTTAGTCGCGCACAAGAGAGAAAACCGCTGCTCAATGACGAGAGAAAGATATTTTTTTGATGATTAAAAATTTTTTAAATTAAATCCTTTTTCACTCAATCAACACATCAATAATTTTGGCTGGATGGCAGTGGTTTGTCTGGCATCAAGTGTTCTGGAGAGTGATTTGTTAAGTGTCGAACGAGTTGTTGCTGAGAAATTTTATTGACGAGTGCCGTTTTATTTTACTTCCAAGTGCTGCCATGATGAACATTTTTATGGCCTGCCTTGATGATCAGGTAGAGTTGGGTAATGTTTACATAAATCTGGTCATTATCCAGTTCAGAACAGTTCTATTGGAATGTAACATCACTTCTTGCTGGCGATTGAAGCAAATTACTTTCCACCAAAAACTAGCTTGAGCATTGCTTCCCGCCAAAAAACGGTTTTTTAATTGATAAAAATTTAAAAAAAAATGGAAACTGGATTTTTCGAAGACTCCCATAATTCAAAGGAACACACAAGGATGAGTGGTGAAAAGCCTTCATCGATTACTCCTCTCACAATCAGACAATTACTGGGTAGAAAGACGGTAAGCGAAAAGTTTATTGTCGATGGAAAGGAATTGTATATTGTTGAAGTGTTGGGAATGGTAACATCAATCAACAGCAGGAATGGATTTACCACAATTCAAATTGATGATTGTACCGGAAAGTTGGATGTAAAAGTATTTGATGAATCTGTGAATAATAATCCATTTTTGAAGAGTGAAGTTGAACAAATTCAGTATGTATTATTATATATTCACAAATGTTGATTATTTATCATCATCATTAATTGTTCTTGTCATGATTTGAAAATAATTATTAATTGTGTTTATTATTTCAATAATCAACAATGTAGAGTCAACAAATTTGTCAAAGCTTTCGGATTAGTTAGTGAATATAAAGATAGACTTTCAATTAAAGCACAAATGGTCAGACGAGTTGAAGATGCCAATGAAATTTATTTCCACATGCTTGAATGTATTCAAGTACATTTATTTAATACAGTTGGGCTTCCAGAAAAGTCTACCCAATCCAATCGTGACACTATGAATACTTCTACTCTTGATAATGGTTACAACTTTAGTTCATCAGCTTCTACAAGTAATGCTACTTATAATGCAAGCAGTAGCAATTTTTCAAATGTTCAAAGAGTGAAGGATGATATTGTTGAAGTCGCCAAAACTGTAGTCATGAATGGTAATAGAAGAACTGGTGTCACTAAGGCTGACATCTTGGCACCTCTCTATGAAGCTTACAATGAGGATGATTTGGAACAAGCTTTTGGACTTTTAGTTAATGATGGTATTCTTTTCAATACCCTTGATGAAGAACATTTTACTATTAATTTTTAATTGTGTAAATACCATGATGAGTAATTGTGGAATTTATTAAATCTAAGCACCTAATTTATAATATAATACATCTAGGTTTCTTTTTCGTCTTTTTTTCCTTTTCTTGATTACTTTCTAATATTTTCTTCATACTTTCAATGTAATCACATTCAACCACTTGCCTTACAATCATTTCAAACGAATCATAGATATTCTCATTAGTTACTGTTGAAGTGGCAACATATTTGATAAATGTTTTCTGACAAAATTGTTCAATTTCTTGATTGCTGACTTGTACCTTAGACAGATCGAGATCATTCTAATTTTCAAATATTATGTAATTCATTGATAAAATTCTTGAATAAAATACGCACCTTATTTCCCACAAGTATCATTGGAATATTATGTGGAATATCCTCCGACTGCACACAATCCTTCATTCTCAATATCTTTTCATAGTGTCTGGTTGTGGCACTGATGAAAGAATTTCTGTTATCTAGAGAAAAGATGAGCAGGAAACCCAAACATTTCTTAAAGTAAATATCCTCGACTGCATTCATGAGTTCTTGACCTGATGTGCTTATTAATTGAACTGTTACATTTGAGTTGTCAATTGAAATGGTTTGATAGAATCGAGATTCATCTGTTGGATCGTAAGCTGATGGTCTTGAAACTGTTCAAGGAAGGAAAATTGAAATATTGGAAACTGAAAGAACATACCTCTCACTTTCTTTGATTTTGTAAACTCAACACACAAGCTAGCTTTCCCTAATATTTATTAATAAAAAGTTCAACTCTCAAACATACCCACACCTGCATCTCCAACTAATCCTATCGAATAGACTTTCTCCTCTTCAGCTGGTTCTTGAACAATGGGCACAGCAGCTGCTGGGGAATTGTTCTTTACTCTGACCATATTTTTATTGTGAAAGAAGTGCAATAACCAAAGAAATTTTAGTTTATTATCAACCATTCCATGTCACATGTTTAGCCAATTCAGTCAAACATGATAGAATTTGAACAATTCTTCAATTCAAAAGTTTCCATTTCCAATAAAAATATCAGATTGCATTATTTACAATTATTTACAAGGTAATTTTACAAAGTAGGAAATCTGCATTGAAATCCAGATCCACACAGGATTAAATAATTTACATAGTTTCCTTTTTCAATTTAGTCATTTCCAAGCAAAATTTTCCAACCTTGTACTGTTCAGTTGTGGCATATGCTTCTTTATATTTCCATCCAACATTTGACTTGCAATTTACACAGTACACATCACAGACAACATGTAAACCAGTCATTAATTGTCTCTCTTCCAATGGTCCATTAGAAACATTCACTCTATATTCCGAATATTATCATTATATTAATATTGAAATATTAAAATGATCAGTTAATTGAAACAGTAAATTGAAAAGAATTGAAATATGAGAATAATTCATAATACCTACGCCTTGTTAAACAAGTAGGCTTTTCCATAACGTCCATGGAAATGCTTGGAAATGATTTCATCATTCATGCAGAGGTGAGAATTACAATTGGAACAAACATAAACCGATGGTCCATCGAGATATCTTAAGAAGAGTCTTCCCATTTTCTAATCTAGTTCTTCTTTAATAAGAGTGTTGTTATTGTTCTTTGTTAGTTATTATTTACTTTTCAATATTAAATATACAGATGATAATTGGATTGTGGTTAATCTTATGAATTGTTTGATTGAAAACAATGGAAGAGTTTGAATGTGTATGGATTATTTAAAATTCAAACGTTGCTGTGGTATGTTGATGATGTTTTCAAACCGAAAAACTCAATCACAAAGAACTCTTATTCAAAATCTTTTTTTAAAATAGATTTGTACCATATCTAGAGATGTTGGCTTGACAAAGGAGTGGATTTGAATAGTGGCAACAGGATATTTTTGTAAATTAACATGCAAGCGCCGTTAGATCAGTTGGTTAGATCGTCAGCTTTACACGCTGAAGGTCAAGGGTTCGACTCCCTTACGGCGTAACTTTTTATTGTGTCAGTGCCAAACAAGTGAAATAATTAACAATTTAATTTAATATTTACATTTTAGTTATTATTTTATTGTCATGATAATTCTTGGATTTGAAAGCTGTTTTTCTTTCCAATTACCCATTCCATTTATGATTGATCGATTCATTATTAACATTTGATTTCTGGCATTTACTTTCTATTGTTACCACCGAGAATGTAGAGCAAACGAACGAAAATGTTGACCATATCCATGTAGAGAGAAATTGAAGAGTTGATGTAATCTGGCTTTTGGATCATGTGGTTTGGAGTACCTCTCATGGTTTCAGATTCAACATAATTCTTATAATTTTCACCCTTCATTCTGACCTTTTGGGTTTCGTACAAGATGAACATACCGAACAACAACAAACCACCATAGAGAGCAATAGCTTCAGTAGCTTGCAAAGTTCTAGTCATTGTGGCTGGGAGAACCAATGGAGCCAAGCTTGACAAGAAGACAACAGCCAAACCAGCCAACAATGGACCACCCATAGAAAGGAACTTGTCTTGTTCAGCATTGATAGCAACATAGGACAAGGCACCAAAGATACCAGCAGTGTAGAGAGCAGCTCTCATGATAATTTCTGGTCTATACATTAAACCAACATAACAGAGTGACAAACCAACAATTCCGTTGAAGGCAGTCAACATGGTATGCTTCAATGCACTATTAGTATTAATATCGAGAGATCTAGTGATCATGTTTGTTCCAATCATACCACCACCAAAGACGAGCAAATGCATCCATGGATTCATATTCAAAATTCTAAAAACTAAGCCAGATTTGTAAGCACCAACAGCAAAGAGAGTTGTAAGAGCAACGTTCAAGGCAACATATTTGTAAGTACCACTCATGTATTGTTGAACAATTGGATTCAAACCAGTTCTAGCCATGTCTGGTTGAACAAGTCTTTGTTGGGCCAATTCTGATGTATTACCATATCTTCCGATAGCTTGTGTAGGTTCATTCATAGTCTTGTTGAGAAGGTAACCAGTACCAATCAATAAACCACCAGTAACAAGAGTTTTAACAAGCGGAGAAAAAGTAGAGCTGGAAGCAGTACCAGAGAAGGTTCTGACACTATTATTCAACATTTTGTGACCAGCTGGATTTAAACGAGCATTAAATGATGCCGATGATGATGAGGCATAACGACGGAAGTTTCTAAACATTTTTTTTGATTGAATTGAAAAAAATAATTTCTCGCGTTTCCGTTCTTAAATGATTCTGATAAAATATTTGTTGCGAGCTATTTTTATCATCTAAGAGTTGAAGAAAGGTCCGCGTTCTATTAAGATCGTCCTTGCAATGATAGACGAACACGAATTTTATTAGTGAGGTAAATGTGAGTTTTTGATTGTGCGTACAAAATGAAGGAGGAATTATGCTTCATCTTGATGGAATTGTTATATATCGTAAGGCAAAAGAAGGAGTTTGATTGAGGTATCGGAAAAGATTCAATTTGTTTCTAATTTTTAAAATTGTGATTCAAATACTAATAAATTTAAATCCTAATAGCAACATAGATTACCCATTGCTCAGAGATTAATCTTATATCTTACTGAAAGTTTACAATCATCAATAATTTTATTTTTAAAACAATAAAAAATAACATTATGCAAACTGATTCAGATTTGGTGGAAAATTATGAAAGAGCCTCCAAAAAGCAAAAAACCACCATTAATATTCTCACATCGGAGATTGATAATTTAATTGAATATGTTGAGAGTTGTAAAAATCAAATACAAAATGAAGGTTAGTTATTTAAATAATGTGTTTCAAAAATTGAAACTCTTTAGGAAAGAGCATAAAAGATATTGGAAAGGATGTTATTACTCATATTAAAAACACTCATACTAAATTTCAACAGGCTCATAAAGAGTTTCATTCACAACTTTCGAAATTTGGAAAAACAATTAATGAAAAATTCCCTCCCGATCAGGAGAAGATTATTCAAGACAAGGTGAAACTCTCTGAGGATATAATCAATCAAATTATTGCTGAACACTTTTTCAGAGAAGGAAATACAGATGTTGGAGAATTATTCGAAAAGGAGGCTGGTGTTACAGTCTCTAATGATTTTAAGGAACAATTTAGAGAATTGAATGCCATTAGTCAATCTCTTAAAAGAAAGGAAATTAGTAGAGCCCTTGAATGGTGTAATTGTCACATTGAAAAGGCTCGGAATCATGATAAAGTTGATGAAAAAGAATTTAGAGATTTGAGGATGTTAGCATTTCAATTGCACAAGCTTCAATATGTTGAATTACTGGTACAGAATGATTCCAAGAAGGCTATTCAATATGCTAGAGATAATTTACAATCCTTCTCCGATCAAAATATTGAGGAAATTAAATATTTAATGGGAAGCATTCTTTACTCTGGAAGAGACAAGTTACTCAAATCTGAAAGATATAGACCTTTACTTGATGAATCACTGTGGACTGAAGTACTTCGATTATTTAAGAAAATTGGATGTAGAAGAATCAACCAAGCTATGGAATCTCCTCTTTATGTTTCCATTACTGCAGGTTATCAAGCTGTGCCTACATTGATCAAATTGGCTAGTGTGACACAAGGAATGGATTTAAGGACATCTTCAGAACAATTAGCTATTGAGATTGATTTGGATGACGAATTCCAATATCATTCTATATTTTCATGTCCAGTTACAAAAGAACAAACCACTCCAGAAAATCCTCCACTATTGCTTCCTTGCAATCATGTGCTAGCAGAATCTTCTGTAAAGAAAATCCTCTCCACCACAAGAAGCGCTCCAAAGTTCAAGTGCCCATATTGTCCTTCTGTTTCAGAGCTTGTGCATTGTAAGGTTGTCCATTTCTAAAATGAATTCCATAGATATTATGTAAATAATGTAAATATCCACATGAATGACTCCAATAGTAGTATTGAATAATCTTAGATAAATGCTACGTGATTGTTGATAATTGAATGAACTCAACTAATTACCATTTATGTTCTTTGCCAATGTAATATTTGGGTTGTTTGTTGTGTGGAATTGTAATGATGTTTATTTTCTAACAACATAGGCCTTTCCATGGTTAACTGTACCTGGATTATAGGTAGTGTGACCAATTGTACCTCTCATTCCAGGAGTTACTTCATAAGCAACCTTATCAGAATTAGTTCTATAGTTTCCACCTCTCATACCAGAAGTCATGACGAATGCCTTATCAGCACTGGTTCTATAGTTACCTCCTCTCATACCTGGTGTCATAACAAAGGCTTTGATATCAGAGTTTGTTCTGTAATTTCCACCTCTCATGCCAGATGTCATGACGAATGCCTTGTCAGAACTGGTTCTGTAATTTCCGCCTCTCATACCTGGTGTCATAACAAAGGCTTTAATATCAGAATTTGTTCTATAGTTACCTCCTCTCATTCCTGATGTAATGACGAATGCCTTATCAGAACTGGTTCTGTAATTTCCACCTCTCATACCTGGTGTCATGACGAATGCTTTAATATCAGAGTTTGTTCTGTAATTTCCACCTCTCATACCTGGTGTCATAACAAAGGCTTTAATATCAGAGTTTGTTCTATAGTTACCTCCTCTCATGCCAGATGTCATGACAAATGCCTTGTCAGAACTGGTTCTGTAATTTCCACCTCTCATGCCTGGAGTCATAACAAAGGCTTTAATATCAGAGTTTGTTCTGTAATTTCCACCTCTCATGCCAGATGTCATGACAAATGCTTTATCAGAATGAGTTCTATAGTTTCCACCTTTCATGCCTGGAGTAACAACAAAAGCCTTTCCATGAGACTTGGTATCAGGATTGTAAGAACCAGTACGAGATTGACTAGATGAAACTACATGAGCAAGCTTATCAGCAAGAAGATCAAAAACTTCATCAGCCAATTCTTCCTCCTTCAAATTTTCAACATATCTGTATCTCAAACCAGCAGGTGATGTTGCTTGAGTAAAAGCAATCATCAACATGCAACATGCAAAAAGCAAGGCAAGAATTGCCACCTTTGAAATCATTTTTTTTCGTATAGTCAATTTGGTTATGCACACACCTTAAATTTATTTCCATTTGTTGTTGTAGTTTTTGAGATTGTAAACGGAGAACAGAGAAGAACATGATCGAAAATGTAAGTTTTGGAGTTTGGTTGTGTAGCCTGTGCTTGAACAGTTTTCATCTCGCCAAACAAGGGTGTTTGGGAGTTTCTCAGAAATTGTACAACTGGCAATTTTTCCAATGCACAACTAATTTGAATTAAATTCGGTAGTGTGAACACAAGAGTACAAAGTCAACCAAAGAAATTCCTTATATTTATCATCTTATGAAATTGGAAGGCCACCACAATGCTACGAGTTAAAGAGGACTTGACTCCAACTTTGACACATATCAAGAAGGAAACAACCTTAGTGATATCAATAAAAAACTTTTTAATAATGTAAATAGTGTATCGTAATGATACCAAATTTATTCAATGTAATGTAATAATTTTGGTATCATTAAATAATCTCAATAAGTAATTTGTGATTATTTCAATTTTTGAAGGTAGTAAGGATTGGGGTTTTGATCGATTCGGTTTACTTCTTCTTACCACCCTTCTTCTTCTTACCAGAATCACTTGATTCGGAAGCTTCAACACTAGCTGAGGCACCAGCAATTCTGAATTGGAAATCTCCCTTTGTGGATGAGTTCAATTCATTAATAAGCTTGTCATATTCACCTGGACAAATTTCAATACTAATAGTACAACCGGTATCAGTATAGTTTTGGCCAACGACTTTGGCATGTTTGTGACAAGTTCCAAGAGCTGATAGATTCAATTAATATTGTAATTCATTATGTAATTGAATTGTTATTATCATTCTCATTATAAAAACATACCTTGACCAGCAACGTGATGCTTGACGTCAATTTCAGCTTCAATTTGTGACTTTTTCAATGGAATCTTTTCAACCAACTTGCTGTGAATGGAAGCAACTTGTTTATCAGCTGGCATGAATGGATCAATATTCTATATTAAAATCAAATATTAAAATCATCACAGTCTGGTCAATAAAAACCTACATATTTGACAGAATCCAAAGCACTTTCAATACGGGTGAGAGGATGGCAAATATTAGTCTTTGGATCAATGTAATTTTGATGGATAAAGTAACTATTATGAAAATTCATCATTAAAATTCATATTATAATTTTAAACTACTACTTACATCATTTGCTTTCTCTTTTGATCAACTTTTTCTTTACGTTCTTGAGTAGACATGTGATATTCACCATCAGCAATAATCTTGGTAATAACTTCTTTAACATTTGTTGTTCCGAAAACAGCCTTTAATGATTCATCTTTAACTTTATCACCTTTGGCATAATTGGAGAAAATTTCATCAGTATAAATAACATCATCAACTCCCATCTTTCCCTCACGATGAGCAATCACTGTATTTGGCTTAACCAACACTTCAAAGGTTGCCTCGCCCTTCTTAAATTTGACAATACTAAAATCCTTGGACATTTTTTAAAAGTTTAAAGATTTTTTAAAAATAGTTTTTTCAATTTTATTTTGATGATCATTTTCAGAATTGTCTCAAAAGTTGGCAGGGGGGCAGAAAGTGAAGAAAAATGTTGAGTAAAGGAAAAAATGAACAATAAACAAATATTTTGTAATCTGTAGTTTATTTTTGAGTTTGACATTTTTTTCAGCAAGAAAAGTAACTCAATGAATTCATACACTATTAAACTTTGTAATCAGCTACCACGAAATGGTAGAATTATTTAAATTAAATCGTCTTTTTTAACAGTAAACAAGATTTAGAACGATTTGAGAATAGCTATTTTTTTGTTTTTGCTCATATCTCAAGAACGAATGTTGGTTATCAACCTCAAAATAGTAAAGTAACAACCAAGCGAAAAACACTGATTTTTAAAATTACGCAGCTACCACGAAAGAAAGGTTAAAATGTTTCATATCTTCAAATATTGGAGTAAATACAATTTAAAATGATTTGAGGATAGCTATTTTTTTAATTCACCATATTTATTGTTTTTGAAACTTCCTAATCAGTCAATATTTTTATGGCTCAAAATTTAAATAAGAAATTTACTTGTTCACAACATCTGCCTCATAAAAACAAATTATTCCAGGACAAGTAATCTATTAACATATATAATAATGCAATAAAATCTATACAATATTATTATATATTATGTTCGTCCCAGAATGGACTAGTTTGTTTAATTTCTCTTAAAATAGATTATTTATTTAATATTTAAATCAATAATAGTAAAATTCAAGTATTTTATGATAAGTTATGAAGCGATTGTAGTTTAGCATTCTATATTGATTGTAAAAACATATATCAACTTGGAATCACTTTGAAGAATCTCAACATTTTCGCTGGGCTGATACCAACTTTCCGCCCCCCTGAAAGTTGGCGTCACTGTGTTACAGAGCCTTTATTTGGTTACATTGTTTTATTTACAATGTTTCAGAGAGTTTATTTTGTTGAATGTAATGAATGAGGTCAGTTTTGTTGAAAATTGATTCCATTTCATTTTGATTAATTTATTTGGGTATTAATTTTGTTTAAAATTGACCAGCAATAAATCCAACAACAATGCTGACGAGAATACCAGCAGTAGCAAACATAATTCTGGTAGTTCCTAATTTAATATCAAATGATTCCTTAATCTATAGAGTTTTCAATTGGTCCCATTCAAAATATTTCAATAACAATTATTTCAGTAATATAAAATTTAACATACCTTTTGAGAAACTAAAAACGAAAGAGTATATCTTGTGACAACATCTCTAATAATTTGTGGATCATTCAATTCCTTTTCCATATCTACAATTGACATAAAGTGAAGAGTTTTAGAATTTTTGCCACCATTTGCCAAATCCAAATCATTTAATGAAACAGTTTGATCCAGAGATTGAGCATGATAGACATAGTGAGTAATATTTAAATTTCCATGTGTAAAATCAAAATCCACAACTGGGGATATCACTTGAGCCACTTGAAATTTAGGATCAGTTTTCAATAATTCATATCCATGTCCACATCTAGTTAATAAGAAATTTTCAATTTCTCTATGTAAATCAATTTCCGAATTATTTGGAAGTGTAATTTTTGGAAGTGTACAATTTCCATTAGCATCACGTAATAAAATATAATTTCCTCTATTTGTTTGTGGGAGAATGACAATACAGGTTGAATTTTGTTGTTGTTGTTGTTGAGTATGTAAATTTGCATTTAGATTTGAAATGATAGGTCTCTGTAATTTGTTCATACTTGTCGAAAAGGAACATTTACATTCCGATGAGAGTTTCTTCATCAATCTATTGTTATTATTCATCGATAAACATATTGATGATGATTTTCTTGCATTCAAGTATAAATTCCTAATTGAAGTGTTGAGCATTTTTATTTTTCTTGGTTTTTGGTTTTTTCATTCGAATTACTTGTCGAGCTGCTACTTGAAGCTGGTTTGCTCTTCTCAATGCTAGCCGTTGTGGGTTGGATGGCAGCAAGGGAACATGTGACAGTTTCATCATAGATACTCTTATTGTTGAATTCTCTTTGGAATTTTTCTGCTAATTCGAGGGAAACGAATTCAGCAAGTAAGGTGATTTTTCTTGGACCTCTTCCAGTTGTTGTTCCCATATTGGTCATTCTCACTCTGGCTACTTCCTTCAAATCAGTGAATACCTTTTCCTTTTGTTTCACTCCAATATTGTTACTATTGTTACTATATGTTAAACCCTCAATTTCCACGCCATAAAGTTCAGATTTACCATTCCATCCTCCTTTTTGTTCCTTCTTTTTCTTTGGTATCTCCTTGTTGATGACAGGAACTGGTTTTGGTTGAGGAGGTGGTTGTGGTTTTTGTTGCTCTTGCAATGCAAGCAACCGTTTTAGTTCCTTCTTTCGTTCCAGATCTTCCTTTTTCTTCTCCTTCTTGTATTGATTGATAATATCATCCTTCTTAACTTCCAATTGTTGCTCCACAACTGTTACTGGAATAGTGACCAAACAAATAGGACAAGTGAAAATAGAATCATGATTGAGAATATTTTCTTTCCATGATGCATCAAATACAATTGGAGAATCAGAGCCTGAAAGTGGTTCATTTTCTGGTTGAGTTGGTGTTTCTTCACCTCCGCTTGTCACACCTCTGTCATCTCTATCCATCAATACCAAATAACGATCATATCTGTCTCTACACTTGTGATAAAACCAAGTTTTCAAACAATTGGTATGGAAAATATGATAACATGGCAATTTGATAAAGGCCTCACTTCCAGAAAATCCATCCAAACAAACAGAACATCTGCTAACCTCCAATTGTCTTGCATTTTCATTGTTCAAATATTCTCTCGCTTCCTCTAATAAATTATAAACAGGTGGAGAGCATGAAAAATCCTCTGATTCGGAAATTAATTGTTGAGCCTTCTTATACAAATAGGAAAGCATGTAATTACATTGAACTTCGGATAAACCTCTTCTCCAAGGAATTGATATAAAATAATTTTGATCCTCACTCGATCCTTTTCTATTCGAACTAACCTCCTTCAACAAACATGATGGATACTCATCAAGATTTGAAATATTAAAACAAATTTGCAATGATACAAATTGTGTCGCATCGTCCAATCCAGTACTTGGAGAAATTGTAATAAAAAGTTTCAATGGTTTCCCTTCATTATAATCCTCCGAATCCAAGTAATTATCAACTTTTAAAAGACCTTCTTCCTCTGGATACAAGGCTCTCAACATTTCAACTTCAATTGTGATTAAATCTCTTCCGATCAATCCGTCCATTTTTTCTATTTTTTTAAATACAAAATTAAATTTCAATTTTCAAATAATAATGAAAATTAGTTTCACACCCAAAATCAATTAATTTATTTGATGTAATGATAACATTGTTGAATATCCTATTAGTTTTCTTCATGTTCAATGAGAAAACAATTTCCGAATAGCAAAAAAATGCCTGCACTCATTGAGTTGGATGATGGTGAGGGAATGTTGATCGTTTCTCATCACCAGCAACAAGATAGGAATGAGAAGAAGAGGGTTAGTAATCGGAAGGTCATTGGGAAGGGATCTATCCTTTCGGCCAAGAATGAGACTGATACATCATCAAGAAATCAAAAGATTGCTTTTAATCAATTTTCAACTAGGAGAAATGTTGGAGAGAAGAAGGATTCGTACAAAATAATTGCAAATTCGATATATGTGGATGCTAATTGGAATGAATATTTGGAGAATTCATTGATAATGAATTTGATTAGCCAATTTTTGGAATTGAAAGATTTGTTGCAGTGTATGGTTTATGTTTCCAAGTCGTGGCAAGATTTTGTGTTGGAAAAGTTCTCTGCAAAATTCAAGGAGCAATACGAATTGGAAAATGAATTGTATTTTTATAGAAAGCTTAGGATTGATGTTGGGACGAGTGATTTTATGGACTCTTCTCAACAGCAAGAGGAAATGGAAGATGAGGAAGATTCGAGAAGAGTGAAATTTTCTGTGGAAAAGGAAGGAAGGGAAATTATTCCACCAGAATTGAAATATGATAGAAATTCGAAAGGTAAATTCCTCTTTTCTCCAATGGACAAGCCAGAAAGATATGCACTCTTTGTGAGATACACATGCCTGAATAGAGCTAGAGAAGCTATTCAAAAATATATCAATTATCTTTTGGATGAATACTCTCAATGTTCTGGAAAGGATGCTAAAAATTTTAGACAATTCATTGGTTGGAATGATTGGAATGTATTTGAAAGAAAGAATTTCCACCAGTCACTTTTGGAACAAGCCAAGATATGGTATGCATTTTCATATTCATGCGAAATTTCCAAGAAACTCACAGAACTTTTTGACATGAGCAAGGATGTAGTAATATTCAGTGGTACATTTGCAAATTTTGATATTGAAATTAGAGTTGAAAAATCAGGAAAGACTAGGGTTGTTTTCGATGATGTTGCTCAATTTGAAGAATTTCCAATGAAAACTATGGAAAATTATAATTCCATTACATGGTTCGATGAGGAGAGATTTGTTTCCAAGCAGCAAAATTCAAAGAGTTTTGATATGGTTGATTAAGCAAAAATACTTTGAAATGCATGCATATGTTATTGATGGTAAAAAACTGATTGAGAATTCGACAGAATATTTTTGCATTCTGTTAATTCATTAATGGATGGAAGAGTTTTTTGACTTGTTTGAATTGTTGATGAGGTAGAATGAGATGCATGCTGATATGGTGTTGATAAATTATCAGTATGATGAGATGGTGTTGAAAAATGATGAGAGGTTGGATAAAGCATGTTTGTGTGATTTAACATGTTAGTAGCATGTGGTACATCTACATGCCCTATGGGTTCATTTGTTGCATGATGATTATTATTATTGGACATGTCAGGAGCATGTAAGGTTGGAATTTGTTTTACCTTTTTGGATGGTTTATGATGGCTCCCAGGATCCTCATTAATTGCATGTTGCAATGAAAACACAACTGTATTTGGCTTTCCAGACACAAAAGGATTATGGGGATCATAATTATGTACTAGTAACCCTCCAGATCGAGGTGTATTAGCCCTCCTGCCTCGTTTTCTCCCAGAGTCCATGTCTACACACTTGTCCTCTCTGTTTAAGGAAATGCACCTTGTGCATGGTCGTGTATTTGAGCACTTTTTGTGAGCAGATTTACAAGCTGTGCATGCCTTGTTGGTTCGTTTTGGCTTGATGATTTCTGCATTCTGAGGAGTGAATGTAAGGAAAGATGTTGCTGCTAGTGTACTGCTTGCTTCGGCATGCCCAACTTGTTGAGATGAAATGGTTCCACTACTTGATGTTGTTGTTGTACTATTGAGTGATGAGCTAGATTTACATGGTTCAAGATGTGGAGAAGAAACAATCATGTTTGGGGTAGCAGCATCCGATATTTCTATAACAGTTGAGGAATTGTTATTTGCATGTGGTTCAACATGATGCTGCTCTTGAGATTTTTGAGGTGGACTAGTTGGAGATGGTCGAAGAGGGAGAAATAAGCAGTTATTCTCATCACTATTATCGGTATATGTTGATATTGATGTGGTAGATGAAGAGGGAGAATCAACACAACGACGAGGAGGACTGTCAACAACAGCAGAATTTACTATTGAGGAATTTATAGACATGAGGCCTTTGATTATATTGATTGTAGTGCCAGCAGTAGTAGTAGTATTGAGGAAGGGAAACTGAGGTAGTGATGGTGAGGAGTTTCTTTTTGTGAGAGCACTTAGAAAATGCCAAATGATTCGAAGGCAAACCCACTCCAATGTTTGGCTCTTTTTGTATCGCTATTGCTATCGTAATGATGTGATTACCTTTACCTTATTTGTGTTTTGATGGCTGGACTTGTTAAAATTCAAGCAATTAAGGCCGAATTAAACCATAAAAGAACTTTAAATAGACGTTTGCTTCTTTCACGCAAGGCATTAAGGAAAACCTTGATAAGTTTTTATACAAACTGTTAAACAAGAAGGAAGCGATTGCTTGCCTTGCTTACTTGCTGTGTACTTGGCAAGTGTAGTACCGTTGATTAATGTTCACGTACTAAAATGGTGAGGATTGGATTTGGTAATGAACTACGTTTTGGGCAAAGTTCTGTTTTGTTAATCTGTTTGCTTGTAAAGTGCACAATAAGAATTGTTTTCCTTAATTTCGGTAACAATTCCTCAAAGGAATCTCTTCCTCTTGATGGATATTAGAAAACACTAACCTCAATAAAGAACTAATAGTCAATTTAACTATATTTATATTATTAGTTCAACTTGCAGTTAATAATGGAAAATCCTTACAACTCTTAATCCAAGTGCTGAGAGAAAATTATGCAACAATTTTAGGTCGCATAAGCAAATACCTATTCGAATTACTAATCAGTTAAGGAGCGATCTAAGCTTCCCGAGTAGGTGAATAACAAAACAGATTAGGAACGGAATAAATAGGATCATCCTTTTCCTCCTCTCTTAAACGTGTTTCCATAGTTGCGGGATTGTTCCTCTTTTAGGATTCCCCTCGTATTGCTGCTGTTGGTTCTCTTCACTCATCTTCTCATCTTGACCTTCATCCTCTTGATCAACTTCCTGATCATCCTCAATCTTGTTCTTCCTCTTTCTTTTATTGATCTTCAAAAACATCCTAGGACAAGTTAATATTCCTTTTGAGACAATTCTTAAAGAATGGAAATTTCAAATATCAGAGTTCTTGTTGATGCAAGCATTGTTTTTAATGGAACCAAACATCTTTAGAATCCTAATATCCTCAAAATTATCGAATATCATTGCTGAATATGAATTTCCACCAAGGTAGTTCGTCATGAGTCTGGTAAGCTTTGAGTCTCGGTATGGTATATAAGATATATTCTCTTTTTCCCTGCGCCCGATGGTGTGAGCAATAACCCAGAGACATTTTTGATACCTTTGTAATTTAATGTAATGTCTATCCTCTTGATGATCACTAATTGGTATATCAAATATTTCAAACATGCTCTTTTTCACAGAATTGTCTTCTATCTGTTCCACAAAAAGTCTACATCCGTATATTAAACGTCTGCTAGTCAGTGAACATGCTGTTATATAGGCTAGATTATTTAAACAGGCATTCTCTAATTCCTTACAAATTTCCTCAATATTGTTTACAGATTTTCTATCACAATTCAATAAATTCAAGTGGCCAGGATTTTCTCTAAATTCCCTTATTTTAATCAATCTATCAGAACTATTCCATTTTTTAGAAGAATCATATAATTCATCTCCATAAATAGCATACAATTCCATTCCTAGTGTAAAATCTTTTTTTCTCTTTTTCAAGATTTCAATTAAAGAGTCAAAACTTTTAAATACCAAGTCATTTTCTCCTCTATTTTTGAATTAATGGAAGTGAATGAGCTAATTACATACAAGAACCTATGTTTCCTATCGCCTAATACAATTAGAATATCTCCCACAACTCACACTAATAAACATACCTTTACATAAAATAGCCAAGCATCCATCATAACCATCCACCACTTTTTCAATTATTGGCTTAATATGATTTTCAAATATCAAACAATTATAATAGGGTCTGTTTATGAATGATTTCAATTATTAATATTAAAATTATTATTAATATTATTTGTACATACTTCACACAAGTTGCAATTCCTTGTTGAGGAAGAAGATTAACAACATTTTGATCATCTTTTATAACTTCCGAATCAAACAAGGCTATTGTTTGAAAGGATTTAATAGCATGTTGAATTTTCATTGAATTAAAACAAGTCATCCAGCTTGAATAAATTCCCTCCGTAAAACTATCATCCAATATTAATATTACATGACCATGAAAAGCCATTATTTTTATTAGGATCAAAATTTCTTATTGGTGTGGATTGATGAATAAAGTTTAGACAGTTTTAATAGTTAAATATTAATAATTGTTAAATAAATATTAAAATGCATTTATTAATTTGGCTCTTTTGTGCAATTTTGTATCCAGTTTTAAACTTTGAAAACCTCACGGCATACCAGTGTATGCACTAGAGTCGTCGTGCATATGTTTCAAGGTTTTAATTGTGTTGCTTTTTATTTTGAGAGGGATTAATAGAGATTTTCTCCTATGATAGGTTTGTTAGAAACACTGGTTACAAATCTCGTTTGTTACAAAAAAGGCACTTACATTCCCAAAGATTCAAACAACTGAATACCCAACAACACAATCTCATATATTCAAAAATATTCATAAGAATGCAATAGAACTCAATTAATTATCCTTGTGCAACTAACATGTTCATTTGCTAAGAAAAGACGACTCTGCCTGAGAATTAATGAAGAGGTTAGAGTTTATTTACAATGGGTTATTTACAGGTTAATCCTTTGATTTTCTCTTAGCCAAAATGATGAGAATTCTCAAAAAGATTGCAATGAAATCAATGAATAATTGATAACTCATTTTAACGAGGTCATTGTCACCAGCATGTAGTCTTTCAATAATGAGCTGTGTGTCAAAAACAATGAAACCACAAAACATGAAAAGTCCTCCATAAATTGACAAAATATCATACAGTGCAAAACTTCCAAATACGAAACTAAATAAAAGAGTCCACATTAAAACTGAGAGGAAACTTGACAAAATACCACCCAAGTACAGCATGCTTCTACGTTTAGAAAAATGAGCAAAAACTGAAAAACATGCAAATACTACACAAGTTGCTCCAAGAGCAAATATTGGAAGGTTTGGATCAATTTCTTCCATAATCATTCTGATTGCAGGTCCAATTTCCAATCCAATAGTCAAACCAAATAATAACAATCCAGCCAAAGAGCTCGTAACTGCCACATAAATCATAAATCCGAAAGCAACAATTGTATAAAGAAGAGATGGTTCTAATCTGAAATAAACTGCCAAACCAGATCCCAACGTACTCATCAAAACTGTACCAGCCAAAATTAAATAAATACTTCTCAACTTGTGTCTCACTTGATGTTCAATACCCGAAAAGTTTCCAATAGCTTGCCAATTAATTTCTTGTTGTGGATAAAAACCAGGACCCTTCAATGGTTCTAATTGTGATTCCAAATCAACATTTTCCTTGTTAATATTATTATTTGTATAATTATTTTGTTGTGAAGGTAATTCCTGTTGCTCATCATCCGCACTATTGTGATGATCATCGGAAGGAGAAGCAACCGACATCATTTCACGTTCTTGTTGAATTGTTGCCATTTTTTTTTAGATATTATTTTTAAATTATTTTATTAAGGCCTTTATTTGTAATAATATTAATTGTAATCAAAAACGTGTTTTTAGGATGAGAACTTGTTGGGATTTCTTAAAGAACTTGATGAATTAGTAGATCTCGTGTGATATTTTTCTTATTTCTAATTATTGATTTACGAATATTGTAAAAGAATTAATACCAAAATTGCTTACTATTAGTTGACAAGCTCATTTAATAATACAATTCCGAATTGAAATCCAATCAAAAAAAATACAAATAACAAAACAGCAGTGTCATCATCATGGTAGTTTTCATTCATTACGATCAACAACTCTCAACGATACATCACTTGCCCTCTGAATTATTTACTATTCATATATTCCGATATTTGGATGGGAAGGAATTATTTGCAAGCTTATCTTTGGTTTGCAAATATTGGAATCAGTTAGTAATGCGGACAAGAACGAGTATTGTATCATGTGATGATGATTTGGAATCTTTTGTTTCATGTTGTAAATTGGGGAAATTTAAATATATTGAAAAGCTGTGTTTCTTCTCTAAAAATCAACCCGAAGAAGTAAACAAACAATTGATGGAAATATTTCGGAATGATGATGATAACGATACTTGGGACAGTTTGAATGAATTGAATTTATCAGATTTCTATCGGTTGTATTTTGAGAAAATTGATGACAATATTATTGAGAGTATTAGTATGAGTCGATTGGCAAAACAATTAAATAGTTTGAAATTGGGTGGAAATCAAATTGAGGAGAAGGGTGCAAAATTATTATCTGGAGGATCATTTGATAAACTCACGTATTTGGATTTGAATCATAACATGTTGGGAATTGAGGGAATGAAAGCTCTGATGAGCAGTGATGGACTTGTCTCTGTTCAGACCCTTCTGCTAAAGTATAATCATATTGAGAGTGAGGGTCTCAAATATCTTGTGGATGGAAAATTATCTCACATAACTCATCTCAATTTATCTTGCAATAGAATTGATTGTAAAGGTGCCAAATTCATTTCAGAAGCTAAAATTCTTAATGGATTGACTTTTCTGGATTTGAGTCATAATAATATTGGTTCAAATGGAGTCAAGTCAATTGTGGATAGCAAGTTAATGAGTAATTTGAGGAATTTACATTTGGAATATAATTCTATTGGAAATGATTCACTGAAACATATTGCCAATAGTAATAATCTTGGCAATTTAACCTTTCTAAATATTAGATGCAATGAATTGGATTGGAATATCAAACTTCCAATGCCTCTATTCAAATTATCAAACTTGACAACACTCGATATTAGTCATAATGATATTCTATTCGAAGTGAAGAAGAGCCTTATTAACAACTTTCCNCATTTGAAAAGAATTACAGTGGATACTTAAGGCTTGAATAACTTTCTCTTACTGATAACAATAATAGTCTTGTTATCCTTTCTAATAGTCTTGATCTTGATTCTATTGTATGTCTTTGGATTGATAAGTTTGACAAGTACAGGATTTGATCTGACAATACTCGACAAGATTGGTACCTTGCTAAACGTACCAAACCTGAATGCAATTTTAGTTTTGAGGGAAATAGTCTTTTTGGAGGCAGGTTGTGGAGGCTGTTGTTGCTTTGCATTCTTTTTGGATGGTGTTGGAACTTTTTGATCGGATGTTGATGTATTCTTATTATTTGATGTTGTAGGAGTGCTACTACCACTCGTCTTTACACCACCCGAAGAAGAAGATGAAACAGAGTTTGTTGTTGTATCCAATTCTTGCAATGCAAGAACTTTCTGAGGGTGCTGATTGGTCGAAGGTGAACTGGAAGGAGGCATTGTGTTGACGTTTTTTTTCAAATTGGTTTTTCGAAAAGGAGGGAAATGATAAAAATAGAAAGGCAACACATTCAAGAAAATGGAAGACACCTTTGATAGATTTCAAATTGATTTGTTATTTGAAAGGGAACGAAGAAAATTGTTTTGATGATTTTCATCAAGGTGCATATTGCTGTGATGGCATCGGAATGAAAAAGATGCTTATTGAGGTTGAACAATCGGAATGAAATTATCTTATGAATAATAGAAAAAGAAATTTTCTATAATTGGAAAGAATAGGGTTGCTGGTTGAGGAATTTAAAGTTCGGAATCAAAAGCTTAATTCCGAAATCTAACAATAGTTTTGGCTCTTTTCTTTAAATATTCACACAATGTTAAGGTGGTTGCAATTTAAAGATCAAAAAAATTGAAACAAAATGTCATTTGACGGAGCAATTGGAATTGACTTGGGTACTACTTATTCATGTGTTGGTGTTTATATGGGAGATAATGTAGAGATTATACCCAATGATCAAGGTAATAGAACTACACCCTCCTATGTTGCATTCACCGATGATGAACGTTTGATTGGTGATGCTGCCAAAAATCAAGTTGCAATGAATCCTCATAATACAGTGTTTGATGCTAAACGTCTGATTGGTAGAAAATTCAGTGATACAAGTGTTCAGAATGATATTAAGCATTGGCCTTTCAAAGTAATTACCAAAGGAGATGATAAACCATATATTCAGTTGAGTACAAGGGAGAATCTCATATTTTCACACCAGAACAAATCTCATCCATGGTCTTGACCAAAATGAAAGATATTGCAGAACAATACGTTGGAAAGAAGGTCCAAAAGGCAGTTGTCACTGTTCCAGCTTACTTTAACGATTCTCAAAGACAAGCCACTAAGGATGCAGGTCAAATTGCAGGTCTAGAAGTTTTGAGAATTATCAATGAACCAACAGCTGCTGCAATTGCCTATGGGTTAAATAAGAAGGATGAGAAGTATGTTTTGATTTTCGATTTGGGTGGTGGTACATTTGATGTATCAATCCTAAATATTGAAGATGGTGTTTTTGAGGTGAAAGCTACTGCTGGTGATACTCACTTGGGTGGTGAAGATTTCGATTCAAGAATGGTGGAATACTGCTGTACAGAATTCAAGAGAAAGTATAGAAGAGACGTTCATGATAATCCAAGAGCTTTGAGAAGATTGAGAACTGCTTGTGAAAGAACAAAGAGAAACTTGTCATCTGCCTCCACTTCAACTATCAATGTTGATTCAATTGTTGATGGAATTGACTTGGACATTCCAATGACTAGAGCCAAATTCGAACAATTGAATATGGATATGTTCAGAAATTGTTTCGAACCAGTTAAGAAGGTTCTCCAAGATTCTGGTTTGGACAAGGCACAAATTGATGATGTTGTCTTGGTCGGTGGTTCAACTCGTATTCCAAAGGTTCAAGAAATGCTTAAGGAATTCTTCAATGGTAAGGAGCTCTGTAAGTCCATCAATCCTGATGAAGCTGTTGCTTATGGTGCTGCTGTTCAAGCTGGTGTTTTGACTGGTAAGGAAACTAAGGTACTTTTGATTGATGTGACTCCTTTGAGTTTGGGTATTGAAACTGCTGGTGGTGTAATGGCTAAATTGATTGAGAGAAATACAACTATTCCATGTAAGAAATCAGAAATGTTTACCACCTACTCTGATAATCAAACAGCTGTCACTATTCAAGTTTTTGAAGGTGAGAGAACATTAACAAAGGATAATCACTTGTTGGGTAAATTCAATTTGGAAGGAATTCCACCTGCACCAAGAGGCGTACCAAAGATTGAAGTTTTCTTTGAAATTGACTCTAATGGTATCATGAAAGTTGGAGCAAAGGACACTTCATCTGGTAAAACTCAAAACATTACAATTACCAATGAGAAGGGTCGTCTCAGTAAGGAGGAAATTGAAGAAATGTTGAGAAAGGCCAAAGACATGGAACAAGAAGATAAGGAAATGAGAGAAAAGATTGATTCCAAGAATCAATTCGAATCCTACGCCTACCAAATGAAATCAACAACAGAAGATCCAAATCTATCTGGTAAACTCTCAGAATCTGACAAGAATGTCATCAAGAAGGCCTGTGAAGAAGCAATGAATTGGATTGACAATAATAACATGGCCTCAAAGGACGAAATTGAAAGAAGAAAGAAGGATTTGGAAAACAAATGTGCTCCAATTATCACCAAATTATATCAAGGAGAAGCTCAACAACAACAAACACCAGGAGGTTATGGCCCTTCTAGTGGCAGTGGACCAACTACTTCGAGCACAGCTCAACCAAAGTTTGAAGATGTGGATATCGACTAATTTAAGAACTTGTAAATAAAATGATAGCAAATTAAAACTAATTACATGTAATTTTTTAATTAATTCCATAACCTTAAGGTTTTGGAAATTATTTTAGTTCCGTTTTCAGAATATTTGGCGACAGTGACCAATTAAAAGAAATGTCCGACAACAGAAGAATATCTTTGCTTAAAAGAAAAAATATGCTCAAATGTTTATCCGGCTTCTGTAGGAAACACACAAAGCTGCCATCGATGGCAGTACTGCTTCTACTGTTTTCTTGTCTACTCTTCATTATTCGAAACTCGGAAGAAGCTCCATTAGAATTTAAACAAGAAATAATTGCAGGTGGCCCCAAATATAATTACAGTTTCAGCTCAGGTCAACAGTCTCTCATCAACTCTGCTATCCTCTACATTGCTACTGCAGTAAAAATCATTCAATTTAATCAGAAAACTGGAGAAATTATTACACTCATGGGATGTGAGGATTCTGTATTCGAAAGGTGTGATACTGCAGACAGTCTGGAGAAGAAAAACGATACCAAAGCAACCAATCTCTACTACCCACTTTCCTATTTTTATGTTTTGGAAGATTTGACAAGTGGAAACAAGACGATTTATGTTTCTGGATTCAAGCAAATTATTAAAATTGACAATGATGGATTAGTCAGTGTTTTTGCAGGATATTTTGGAGCATTAGAGAGAGGGGATGGAGGATTAGCTACGAAAGCTAGGTTTCTTTCGATTAATTCCTTGTGGGTTGACCAAAATGGAATTGTCTTTGTTTGTGATTATACAGATTATAGAATTAGAAGAATTGGCTTGGATGGAATAATTTCAACATTTGCTGGTAGTGATGGTTTAGTAACTCAAACTAAATTAGATGGTTTTGCCAATGAAACAGTTTTGAGTAGTCCAAAGAAAATTGTTGGAATGGAGAATTACCTTTTTGTGATTGATTCATTTTCCACTTTTAAAATTGAAATGAAAAGTGGTTGGTTGACAGTTATTAGTGGAAGAGAATTTAAGGGAGGAACTCAGTATCAAGTGAATGGACTAGCAATTAATGCTTCCTTGAATGATGCAGCTGGAATTTCAGTAACAAGTGATGGAACGATTTTGGTTTCACTTGGCAGTCAATTGTTGAAAATTAAGGATGGAATTATTTCATCATTTGTGAATTTGGCTCAGTATGTCAGTACTGATGTTAATTTATTCTCTGGAAATTATGTGAATGACATTTGTATGATTGGTAGAGTGGATTTGGTGAGTGGAGAGCTCACTCGTTTATACGATTGTGAATATGGATCTTTTTCTGATTTTATTGATGGAAAATTTATGAGATTTAATTCAATTTCTGCAATGACTCTCAATGAAACAAGTAGATTATTGTACATTGCAGATGATTTGACCAAGAAATTGAAAATTAATGTATTGAATATTGATACAAACCAAGTTGTGAAATATTCACTTTCTAATAAGATTTCGAACGAATCATGTACTGTTCCTGGTGCCTCCACAAATGTAATTTCCACAATAGAAAACCCAAGTGGTCTAATTCTTAATAATGAAAAACTCCTCGTGGCAAGCAATGTGGGACTAAAGTTTAATTTACAACAATTTTCGTTAAATACCAACGGAAACAATTGCATGTATGCAGGTTCCATAACTTCTGACAGACTATTCGCCAATACGAATGCTTCCAGAATCATTCTTAATAATCCAATGGGTATTCACTGCTCTACAGATTTTACTCAAATATACATTGCAGGTAAGTCTTTCACATGTGTTCCTTGCAATTCAAAAATGTCAAACAGACACTGATAATCATAGAATATTAGAATATAATCCATCTACTTTGCAGGTTCAATTGGTAGCTGGAACAGGAGAGCCAGGTTATGGAGGAGATGGTAATTTAGCAATCCATGCTCAATTAAATAGACCCTATTCTGTTTACTATGATAAATCTGATGATTTTCTATTGATAGCAGATACTGGAAATCATAGAATTAGAAAAATTACGAAAGATGGAATAATCAACACTATAGTAGGAACTGGAATTGCTGGATTCAATGGAGATTCTCTTCATCCCCTTAATACTCATTTGAATTCTCCACAGTATGCTACAAGTAAAAGAATTGGAATCTTGATATCTGATACCCTTAATCATAGAGTTAGAATTGTGCCCTACACCAATGCATCCACAGTTTCTACACTTGTTGGATTGGGTTCGTCAGGTTCTACCATTGTGGAAAATAATCCAAGACAAACAGAGCTCAATTCACCTTCTGGAATTGAAGTTATACGAAATGGATTCTTTTTTTATGATATTTACATTGCTGGTATGTTATTTCATTCAAGTCTCATTCAATTCTAATTTGTTCAATTTTTTTTCATATAGATTCATCAAATCATCGAATTCTCCAGGTGAAATATCAAAATGTGAAACAAGATTCTCAAGGTTTTTTGATTCCTGAAGGAACAATTAGTACTTTGGCTGGGACAACTGTGGCAGGATATAATGGAGATGGAATTACGGCTAAAACAGCCAAATTATTCAATCCAACATCGATAACAGTTCATTCCAATGGTTTTTTAATTGCAGATTCGTATAATAATAGGATTCGTTTTGTTTCACGGACTGGATTCATTTATTCAAAGGTTTCTAATGATGATGGCAATACTATTGGATTTCCATTTGGTGTTTGCTCAATAGTAAGTGATGGAAGTTTCTTCTTTACAGAGAATAATAATATACGAAAGTTGGACACTCTATTGTTAACCCCAGTTGGAGGAATTGGTGATGGAATGAGTGTTTATAATGCTAATGTTTATCCAGCTAAAATGGTTAAAACATCCAATAATGAACTGGTAATATCCGAATCGAATACGAATCGAATAAGATTAGTTGATAATAGTGGTATAATTCGAACAATAGCTGGAACTGGAAAGTTTGGATTTTCAGGTGATGGCAGCATTGGTATTTTAGCAAATCTAAGATCACCAACTGGATTAGCCATAAATCCAATAACTAAGGATATTGTTTTTTCAGACACGAGTAATCATCGTATTAGAAAGTTGACTAAAAAAGATGATCATTATGAAATTTCTACAATTGCTGGATCTGGAGAGGAAGGTTTCAGTTCTGGCACTGATCCTCTACAAGTTAAATTATCCTACCCAAGAGCTGTCTCCTTCCTTAGTAATGGAGACTTGGTGATTGGTGACACGCTTAATTATATGCTTAGAATTGTTTCCAAAGGGAAAATTAGAACAACAGTTAATCATGATGGCATCCTTTCAGATATTCAGGTCACTAGCGATAACACAATTTACCTTGCATTGTACGATACCATTATGAGATTAACTCCAATGTGTAATGAGGGTTATCAATTAGATTCTAATAGAACTGAATGTTTGGCTGTATGCTTTGGGATTCCTGATAATGAAACCTTGTCAGTTTGTCACAACCATGGTGCTTGTGTGTCACCAAACAAGTGTCAATGTCAAGAAAAATACACGGGCAGTCAATGTGAAATTCCAATTTGTTATGGAATTACAGCAAACAATTCTCAAGTATGCTCCAATAATAATGGAACCTGTAGTGAACCTGATTCATGTCGATGCAATGATGGTTATTATGGTTTCCAATGTGAAAATGCAATTTGTTTCTCCAAACTAATTGGAGATTCGTGTGGAGGAAGCGAACGTGGAATTTGCACCTCGAGAAACAAGTGCTCATGTAAGGGAAGTTTCATTGGAGAGGAGTGCCAGCTCAGTTCATGTTCTGGAATCAGCGAAAAGGATCCACATGTTTGTTATGGAAGAGGAGTTTGCAAAACTACAGGAGATTGTGAATGTAATTTTGGATATTCTGGAAATAATTGTCAAGATGGTGGACAAATCATTGCCTTTATTGTGAGTTTCATTGCTGTGCTATTCCTTTGCATTGCACTCGTTGTGGCCATTACCTTTTTCAGCTCCATACTTATTAAGAAGAATAGAGCCCAACGAAAGATTATTCAAGTTGACTTGGCATTGGATGAAAGACTCATTATCAACTCGTATCATTTGGAACCAATTGCTGAGGAACTCAAAGAAAATGATTTTATCATTCCACTTCAAAAATTAGGAATGGAAAAACCAATGAAAAGATTGGGTGAGGGCGGAGTAGGGAGTGTCTATCAAACCATGTGGTCTGGAATGATTGTTGCTGTCAAAGTCTTTGATTTGAATAATGTCAATATTTCAGAGGAAGATTTCAGAGTGGAAGCAATTTTATTAAGCAAACTCCGACATCCAAATATTATCAATTTTTATGGAGTTTCTACCTCACCAACGAAACGATACATTGTCATGGAATGTTTGGAACAAAGTTTGGATAAGGTAATTTTAAAATTGGAATCCAAAACATTGGCCCTTCCACTTGTGGAAAAGATTAAAATGTTAATTTCCATTTCGAATGGTGTGGAATATTTACACAATTTGAAACCGAGAAAGATTATTCATAGGTATGTGTGTTCAAGTTTTGAATTGAGATTTTTTAATTTTTTGAAATAGAGATTTGAAACCACAAAATATTCTATTAGATTCGAATGAAAATTGTAAAGTTTGTGATTTTGGATTGAGTAGATTATTATCACAAGGAACCAAAAATTCAATTACTAATAATATTGGATCAGTTTTTTACATGAGTCCAGAAATGAATGATATTCAGTCAATTGATCCAGAAAATGCAACTGCTGTCGATATTTACAGTCTGTCAATAATCATGTGGCAACTCTTATTTGAAGTGAGAGATCCGTATATGAGTGGAATTCCCTCAGTTTTGGAAAAATTAGGATTGGAAACTAAACCAGAGTACATGTCACCTTACAAGTTATCTAGAATGGTCTGTGAAAAGAATTTAAGGCCAATTATACCATTCGAATCTTTGGATTCGTGTGAGGAGTGGTGTGAAATGTTTATGGAGGATGAATCAGCTGATTTTGCTATTGTGTATGAGTTGACCAAGCTCATTAAAAGATGTTGGGATCACAATCCAAAGGAGAGACCAAGTATTGAAGAATTAGCTCAACAATTATATACTTTGCAAGATGAGTTATTGGAATATAATCAGTAATAAACTGCCAATGTCCCATATTATTAACAGTTTCGAACAAGCTTTGTCAAACTAGAAAATGCACACAGATTCGAATAAAAAAAAATGAAAGAAGATACAATGACCTTGCTGGATTTACCTCCAGAAATACGCTATTGCATCTTTAGGTACCTCTCTCCCTTTGAATTGACCACACCACTAACCAACACATATCGATTTTACCATTCCATCGAACTCTACCAACAATTTGAAGAATTACAAAACTACATGTTAATCAACAAGAACCTTTTTTATGATATCTTGATGAATGATGATTTATCGTTGGTCATGAAAAACATGTGGCACATGATTATAGAAAATTGTGAATATTGTGTAATTTATGGAACAGAGAGGAATGTTTCGAATAATGGATTAGATTTGGTGGAAGGAAATATGCAGAAAATTAGAAAATTATTTAGTATGATGAATGATGCAAAAACATTTATTCGATTTTTTAAACTAGATATTCGACTGTGTCATTATTTTGAAAGTTTGATCAATGGAGAAAATGATTCTGAAATTGAATTGGAAAGGTTTCGTTCCAGATTGGATAGAATTCCAAGTTTGACTCAAGATTCCAAGAATGCTTCAAGAATAATGGAGAATTGTTATCACGTTTTGAAATCTAATTTTCCAAACCAAATCGAATATATTACAAAGAATGGATGTGTAGATTCTAATGAGAAAAATCAAAGAATTTCTCAATTGATTCGTGCAATATTTGATAGAAAGTTTGTGGATGTTCAATTAACAACCACTGGAATGACACGATTATGTATGATTTTAGCATTTGTTGAGCTACTCGCGGACAAGAATGACCCTTTAATTGACAAGATTATACGGTATACAATTACTGATAACGACAGGTTGGACGAAACTAAAAAATCAGAAACCCTACTGAGATTATTTGCTGGTGAATATGGTTTCATTGAATCAATATTTGTTAGGAGAGATTTTGAAAGAATTCAAAAACTTGCCGATTCAATACCAAACAATTATCAAAAATCAACTTTAATTTGGATTGTGGTGAAAGATATGATTTCAGTATATTTTAAACACTTGGAATTTTTTGACAAGAATGATTGTTTGGAAGATTTATTGAAGCTTATCATTAGATTTCTCAATTCTGTTGGCTCCCCTTTCAAAAAGCACAATATATTATATATGATGGAGCTTTTATCTGTAAATGTGCAAAATAATCTTACCAGTTGTAAATCTATTGCCTTGGAATCATTTGTAAAGATTTATGATTGTTTTCTTACTACGAAATCCTTACAGATTGAGAAAGAAAATGAGCTATTGGAAGAATTTCTTGTCATATTTTCTCAAAAAACTGAGCTATTCGAAAAGATGTTGGAAAAGGATGAATTTAGCAAAACTTTGGAACTAGTTTGTGATAATGGAACAATTTTTACAAAGATTTTAAGTCAAGTCGTTGAGTTTGATCCCAGATGCAAGTGTTACTCATTGACTGATAAAAAGGTGAAATTTTCCATTTTCCAATCTAGCATGGACAGTCTAAAGAAAACCCTTGGAGAGGAGAAGCTTAAGTATGAAATGGAGAGGAATGGATTCAGACAATTGATAAATTCCATTGTTAAACAATGTGGCGCGTACAAGAATTCCAATCCTATGAAAATAATGATCACTAAAATTGATAAGTATTTAACATTCTAACCCACATTTATAAAATTTTCAAATCTCAATTTTGGTCTGATTGTGTCTTTGAGCAATGATTTTTCAATTATTTAAAAGAGTTAGGTGGCTCCTAATCTGACGGTTTGTGCAATGTCTGATTGAAACCAAATCAAAGTGAGCAATTAAGCTCAAACCCTGATCCCTACAAAAAATTGAGTTAATAGTAAGGCAACCCGTGGCTGCTTTCAGCTATTAAACTGAAAAGAACAGATACTTCACTCGATCAAAGCCAATTGGCCGAGAAAGATGGTTTTGAGATACTGCATACGGAACATAGTATTTATTCTGTTTGTTGTGAAGTGAAGAATGACAAAATGTTTGTGGTATTTTAATAAATTCTAACTATTGATATTGAACATGTAGCGAATCTTAATTAATCATTATTTATGATGAGCAGTGCTGCTCAATGAAGCTGTTTGGAAAGAATGTGGGAAACTGGATTTAGAAAAAGAGAATTTTAAAAAACAAAAAGACTACAGCACCACAGGTTCCCAAGTTGTCTCCAACCTCAGTACTGATGTGGCTCGACGATGCTTAACTTCTCAAATCGGACGGGATGAGGTGCATTCATCGTGATATGGCCGTAGCCATTCAATGCCTTAAATTGTGAAATATCAACTTGACTAATTCTGTTTGTTCGTGATGTGAAAAATCATTTTGATTTGAAAATTAAAGACTAAAATCTGTTCAAAAAATGCTTTCACTTCGTCGTTCTATTCTCACACAATCCATTCCCAAGACATTTACCAGTATTTCCGCTTCTTCAAAATATTCAACTATTCGAAACTTGTCAAGGGCTGAATCTGTCAAATTGAAAGAATTAAAAGAAGGGCAAATCTGGTCTTATCACCACAGACCTCAAGATACATCCTCTCGATTAATTATTTACAAAATAGACCATATTAATGGAAAAGATATAATTCACATTACAGTTGATGGATTAAATTTTTCTGGAAAGAACATTATAATTTACCATTTACCATTTGAAAGAGAATATTTTGAACAGGACATTACTGAATTAATTGGACATTGTACTGAAAAGCCTGCCAATGAAACAATTGAAGGATATAAATATTGGAAAGAGGATTCAGGAAAGGCATGGTCAAAGACTGTTGCTGAGTGTATTGAAATGATAGAGAAAATCTATAAAGATCGAAATATTGAAATAAAGTAAATGCAAAGTTCATATCCAAAAATGATTCTCCCATGCCGGGAATTGAACCCGGACCTCCTGGGTGAAAGCCAGGTATCCTAGCCATTGGACTACACGGGAATCTTGTTAATGTTGAAATTTAGCCTTAAATAAATATGAAAATCTAAGAAGTGAAGATTAGGTTTGTAATGAGGAATAGCTGCTGATATTTAACATTTTCTAGATTCTTAGGGCCTTACGAACTGCCCACAAGATAATTCTCCACTGTTCCTTTATGAACCAAGTGAAGAGTTAAAAAAGTTTGACAAAATCTTGTACGGACTTTCAAGAGAAAAAATATTCACCACAGCTGTTGCTTCTCTAATACATAAATTTTGCTGTGTTTCATCACATTTTTGATTACAATCTCTCTCTCGAATCACTCTTTGAGTAGTGCTACTAACAAAGCTCTTACTATTTTTTCATTAACGGAACATATTGTTGCCGATTGTAGAGGATCAACTATTTGATCACAATATATTCAAACAAATAATAATAATAATATAATATTACCTTTAAATATGAGAAGATTTTTTGCTTCCAATAGCGAACAGGCTGTTAACGAGAATCTAACAGGTGATAATACAGATGATTCATCAGTCAATGATGATGACGTAGAGGATGGCGTACAAATTCATCCACTTTCATCAAGTACTACCTCTAATACGCACAACAATAACAATAATACTAGTATTCACCACTCTGAATCTGTTTCAACCCTTCCACAACATCATGAAAATTTACGACCAATTAGAAGTGATAGCAACATGGCCAATAATAACGATTCATCAACCGATGATGGAACATCAAATACAATAATTGGATCATCAATTATTAACAATTACTATGAAACTAATAGAACAACACAAAGTAATAGCGTTGTGAGTCAAGATGTTAAAATGTCCAAAGTACTTCTCAGTCCTGCTCTTCTTCCTGGTGAAGAAATTATCGACAAGGATACTCAGGTGTTTGAGTGGAATGGACATACTTCACCTCAGAGAGTTGCTTGGCATCAAGGTGTTTTATTCATTACAAATTATAGACTTATTTTCAAGCCTGCAACACAATCAACCTATGATGATGTTCCTCATCAATTCCAAGGAAGTGATATTCCTCTATGTACCATCTCTAAATTGGAAAAGATTGGAGGTAAAACAAATTCTACTAAGGACTATTCCTATCTCATTGAAATTTTCACTAAAAATTTCCAACATGTGAAATTTGCATTCGTTCCAACAAGAGGAACCAGAGGAAGAATTTTCAGAACAATTAGAGATGATAGAAATCCAGAACATTTCTTTGCTTACAAATATAGACTTACTATTCCTCCACCTACTACTAATACTATTGGTGAAGCTACTTCTCCAACAGGTGTGGAAAGTCCATCAAATGGATCTTCATCAAATGGTATACCAAGTATTTTACCAACACCATCTTCTGAACCTGTTGATGGCTGGAGAGTGTACGATTTGGTTAAGGAATATACAAGACAAGGAGTTCTTAGTAATAATAATGTAACACCTCAAAATACTTCTCACCGACAAATCAAAACTCCACCTTCTAACATGTCTAAACAAAACTGGAGAATTTGTACTTTGAATCAAAATTACAAGATTTGTGACACCTATCCAAGTCTTTTCCTTGTTCCAAACAATTTATCTGATGAAGAAGTTAAGGCTGCTGCAGAATTCAGATCGAGAGGCAGAATTCCAGTTTTGAGTTGGTATGATCCTGAGACTGAACTTTCATTAACCAGATGTGCTCAACCAATGATTGGTCTTAATTTTACTGGTAAAATAACAAAGAAGCATATTGGTGATTATAGAACTATTGAATCTATTATGCAAGCCAGTGAAAAGACTCAACAAAGATTAATGATTGTCGATTTGCGTCCAAGAGCTAATGCTGAAGCTAATCGTGTCATTAAAGGTGCTGGTTATGAAAAGAATTATAAGAATTGCGAACTTAGATTCATGAATATTGAAAATATTCACGTGGTTAGAAATTCCTTTGCTAGATTGGCTGATGTTTGCCACGATTTCGGAGGTGTTGAATTGAATTGGCATAGCAAGGTTGAAAGCACACAATGGTTAGAACATATTCGTTCAATTTTGACAGCTGCCCATTTTTGTGTTGATGTATTTTTCAGAGAACGTACATCTGTACTTACTCACTGTTCTGATGGTTGGGATAGAACCAGTCAAGTTGTTTGCCTCTTCCAAATTATGGCAGATCCATACTGTAGAACCATGGAAGGTTTTGCTGTTCTCATTGAAAAGGAATGGTGTGCATTTGGTCACCAGTTCCAAAAGAGAATTGGTCACGGTAGTCGTCAAACTTTCTACACTGATGAACGTGGTCCTATTTTTGTTCAATTTATTGATTGCGTTTATCAAATGATGCGTCAACATCCAACTGCATTTGAGTTTAACGAACTTTTCTTGATTTTCGTCCTTGATAATTTGTATTCTTGTAGATTTGGTAACTTTATTTTCGATAATGAAAGAGAAAGAGTCAAATACAAGATTTATGAAAAGACTCATTCTATGTGGACATACTTGTTGAATAGAAACGTCCTTGTTGAATATGAAGGTTGTGGTACCAACTATCTTAATCCTTTCTATGATCCTGATAATACAACCTATGTAATATATCCAGATTTAAGACATAGTTCTATACAGTTATGGTCCACATATTGGCTTAGATATGCAAAGGATCCAAATGGATACGAATATTATGGTTATACACCTTTGCATACTCTTCAAATCAGAGCAAATGAAATTATTGCTGATATGAATAAGCTTCAAGAAATTAAGGCTCTTTCAGAAAGCAAAAACGAAGCTACTGTTCAAACATTCCAAAGAGAATTCAAAAACATGTGGGAAGAAATTCAAAGACTCAAGAAGAAGAATGAAGAACTGGAAGAAAAATATAAGCGTGATACTGAAGCATTAATTGATTTGTGCGAAAAGCAAAAGGAAGAACTCTCCAATTATGCTAACACTCAACAAAATCTGTAATTGTAACAATAATAACTTATTGGTTTATCCTCTGTAATTTTTTCAGTATTCTTTTATTGACTTAGCTATTATAAAAAACCATTTCTTATTGACTTAACATTCTCAAAAAACCAATAATCGCCTCTTCCTTCTTTTCAGTTGATACTTTATGGTTTGGTTGGGCAAGTAAATATTTCAATCGATTTCTCATTCTTCTGATTAACAAAGTTGTAAAGTGATCTCTGCCACCAACGTTTCCGAGTCTGTTTTGCATAATGCTCAATCTGTCATTCTTGTATTGTTCAAAGGCAAAATTTCTTAGTGAAACATTTCTTAGATATTCTGAAATAAGAGTTGATGCCGTTCTAGCAATTACTCCATTATCTTGGCTAGTTTTTGGTGTAACTGGAAGATTGAAATTGGGTACTTCTGCCTTCTTTTCTCTTTTGACAGTATTTCTATCGATAATTTTTGAAAACCTCATATCGTCAAGTAGCTGATCAGATTGAACCTTGAAACCTCTCGTCTTGTAGACAAAATCTACGAATTTTTCCTGTCTCTTCTCCTTTGGTATTTCAATTGGTTCGAATAAATATTGAGGTGGTATCTTTTCAGTAAGAGGAATTTCCTTGACAGGTTGACTGTGTAAAATCAATTCATTATTAATAAATAATCTTTCATTTCCTAAAAATTCCTCAGTAAGCTCTTCACGTTTCTTCTCTATTATTCCCTTTTTGCAAACCAAGTTAATTCCTTCATCCTTGATCTTGATTTTACCAAGATGCTCACTCACAATTTTTTCAATTGTTTTCTCTCGTTGAATCTCGAACCTCTCCACACTATTTTGAAAAATAATATCATTCTCCTCATCCGTCAAATCTCTTTCCTCATCAACATTTAAAATGGTATCCCTATCAAGAAAGCATCTATTAATGCAGATACTTTTCAGTAAAATACTATCCTTACTCTTGCATTGATCTACAAGGGTTAGAAATTTAATCTTTTCAATCAACAAGCTCATTTTGAATAAAAAATTGAATACTGAAATAGGTTCAACTCTCTCCTTGTCTTCTCTAACCAATAATTCTTTAAAAATCGATGCCATATTCTTCAAATCATATGGAATAGTCAACTTTCTTTCACAAGTTCCATGATAGTCCATCAATGACCAATAACTAATTTCCACATGATTTCCTCTCTCTGTTATTTTCATCCCTATATCAAAATATACTTCTTCTTGTCCATCAGTGTTCACTTTTTCATTATTCCCTTCATCAAAACTTCTATTAACTACTACTTGTTTCCATAGAGTTTCATAAAACAATACAAAACACTTTTCAAAGCCTTGCTCCAAGCCTTCAAGTGGTTTGATTACTTGTTTTTCAAATTCTATATAATAATTATCGACCACTCTTTGCAGAGGAATGGTTGCAAAGGCTTCACTGGATTGAATTAATCGATTACTAGCCAAATTAATTTCCCTCTCCACAATTTTCGTCATCACTCGTTGTTCACGAGTTGTAAATTCCGAATTATTCTTCTTATCATGATCATCTAATAATTTAGCAATTTCATCTTGTAATTCTGTTCTACATTGTTGAATTTGCTCCTCCTTATTCATGCTATTTTTTTTAATAATTATTAAATAATTATTAAATATTATTTTAATAATTTAATAGTTACAGTATTATTAATTTAATAATATATTTACAATGTCATTCCTGACAAAATTAATCAAATCAGCAGTCAATCTCTGCGAATTAACCAACTCTGATTTTCCACCATTCAAACTCGAACAAATTCTATAGATTTTATATTGTCCCGAACAAGGACCATACACTAAACAGTACTGAGCAAGTAATTGATAATCTTGTTCATTCTCGAGCAGCTTCCGAACAACATACAAATTCACGCACGATCTTACATAGAATCCCTTCGTTGAGAAACTCCTTTGATAATCCTCATGACTCACCGAATGGAAATCAATTCGGAATTGATGAGCATCTTGAGTGAAATCATCTCGTGATTGAAATGGGATTGGATAGGAAATAGAGGTTGGTGGAGCTAGGAAGAGATGGGAATGTTCTGCAGCCAGTGATTGTCCCATTTTGTTTAATTATGTATCGAATTTAGGAAGAAGAATATTGAACTGTATTCGAAACAGTTCTTAATATATTGTAAGCTAGTTAAATTCCAAGTTTGAGTAGAAAAAAATGTTTCAACACGATACTAGTGATGATAATCGCCAATTATCACTAACGGAATGGATGAGAGTGATCAGTGTTGATGAATTGATCAACATTTTAAAAAGGGAATTTCCATCAAAACAGAGGTACAATGATGATCAAGAAAAGATTCCTCCTCTTGATTTTCTATTGATTGGCTCGAGGGCTTTAATAGAATACTATCAGGATACTAATTTAGAGATGTTTGATGATACACTCTATAGAAATCACTTTATTATGAAGCAGAGTCGGAAGAGATTTTTGAATATTGATAAAAGTGATTGGGATTTGGTGTGTATGGATATTGGATCATTGAAAGAGTTATTGATATCGAGTAGTGGTAAGGTTATTCGAGAGGTGAGAATTAATTACTTGATCAAGGTTCAGAATTTCACCCATGAAAATTTGAATGATGACAGCGAAGAGGAAGTAACTTTGAGAATTAATGAAATTTTGCCAAAAGATTGGAAGGAAATATCTGTTTGCCTTCAATTGAATTGTGGATCGATTATTGAGATTGAATATTGCAATGATTAAAATCGTTTGAAATATTGGAAAAGGTTTCGGTACCTTTCTTTAAAAAAGCATTTTTAGCGCCATTAAGCTTATTGGAAGTATTGAAAAGATCCCACCTTTGTCAAAATATTGAGATGGAAAAATGGAAAATTCACTTGAATGATTTTTCACTCATTAGGATGATTAATAAGCTCGAGAATGCATTTCTCAACCCTCCATTTGACACTGCTACCGATCCACTTGATTTTATATACTATGATAGGTTGATCAAAGTGACAGTATTACAAACACTCTTCAAATCCCATCAAAATACCGATAGTGAATTGTTTAGAGAAATTTCTATTAATATTGTTTCACAGATTGTCACCAATAATTATCCTTACAATATTACAAAAGATATGCTCTGTGATGAGATATTACCATCTAATATGAAACGATTGAAGGATGTTTTCAAAACATCTCCCATCAAGAGGAAGTTAAAATCGACTGATGATATTGAATTCTATCAAGAATCATGGGATTATATTGCTCAGCAGGTTTGTGGATTTATCCTTCCAAGATTTAATACTTGGATGGATATTGATAATCTCGATGAGCACATTCTACTTGCTGTTCAAAAAATCTGTTGCTCCAACCACGACAATAAGATTTTCACATGTGTTGTAGATAATATTGCAGAATTAGCTGGAAAAGTTCACAAAATTCTGTATCAACCTTTGATTTTGAAAAAGTTCTTTAAGGATCAGGAAATTGATTTTAAACTTATCAATTCAGATGATACTAGTTTAGCATTTGATATTTCTTCTTTGGAAGGAGTTAAGATACAGAAACAATACTTCTCCACTGATATTGTGCTTAATATCATGAGCTACTTATCTGGAAAAGAATTGAATTTCATGTCAATGTTAAGCAAGGAGTGGTCAACTCTATTATCCAATAATCTAGTATGGAGATACATTCACAAGTTAAGAACTAGCCTACCTCAAGAGGTTTCTTCCAGAATTGGTAATTGGAAATTCTTCACCGTATTGAACAATGCCAACTTGCTTCAACTTCCACACCAAGCTCAACTCACAAAGATTGTGAGTGCTTTTAAACCTCATTTCTCGAATAATCCCTGTGTATTCAACCAATTTATAACCAACATATTTTCCAATACCTGTATAATAGACCACTCAACCAGTCACGAATATTCCTACGATAAACTAGATGCCACACTTTTTATTCACTGGCCAAGTAAGGAGGCGACTAGGTTATCATTTTCCATTTCATATGACAATGATAATGAATTTAGAGGTTGCAGTAAGAGCAATTATGTACCACCAGCTCTCCATTTGTCCCTAAGTGATGAAAATTACTCATTCGGTGGCATGTCTCTCTTTCAAAGCTCACTCAGTGATGCATCTCCTTTCATTGGAAGATACTTTGCCACAGAAATGAATGGAAAGATGGCCACCTGCTTTCTCATTTGTTTAATAACTCTATCCTTTGGCGAGGAGTGGCTTAACAAGATTTACCAATACTAACATTATTAATCCCTTGAAAGCCAAATGACGTCATCAAATAATCCATTGATCATGATAAGGTTAAAATATTTTTTATTTGAGAACCACATCAAATCAGGTTTTTACGATCAGATCCACTCTTCTACCTCTAGATCTATCCACAAAGACAAGCTGGGCTACTGTAGGGAGGTAGCTGTGATGGTTCTCTGCCACAGCGTCAGGCAAAGGGATGGTTCTTCAGACTCATTCCTCTGTTAGCAATATGGTGACGATGTTCTGTCTGCGCCAATAGCGGTGTGACCATAGTACCTCCCCATGAATAAGGAGAAACTAGGGTCCTAATGAAAGGTGAACCGGTTGAGGCAGGATAACTGAGCAAATCATAGCCTTCACACTGTAGGATGGTCAGATTGCAGAACTGAGCATGAGCTAACAGAGAGTGAAATCTGGGAGTCAGACTAATGTTTTTAATTTTTCTTTAATTTTTCTAATTTACATTGGAAACCTAAATTATGTGGGAAACCGTAGAGCTCAAAAAACGATCAGAAAAGATTAACTGGGCAAGAATTCTATTAATTGCTCCTTCCAATGTTGGTAAAAGTAGTCTTGCCATTACTTTAAACTGGGGGTCGAACCCACGACCACAAGGTTAAGAGCCTGTTCACTAAAACAACAACTAATAATAATCACATGAATGTGTTTGTGAGCAAGAAAAATTAAATTCTATTTTATTTTTATTTTTTTATTTAAATAATTTTTATTTTATGCTAAAATTCTAAATAAAAAGTCATCATAACCTTCAGAATACTAACATCTTTCATTCGGATGTTTATGATGACAATTCCCCGTGACTGTGCAGTTGAAAATACTTGAGGCAACTTGTTCAAGAATGGAATCCGAATTGAGGAGTATTATTCAATTTGTAATCTGTTCTAAAATTATGAACAACGAAAAAGAATCACCATCATGGCTACAAGTTAGAGAATCAGCAACGAAATATGAGATCATCACAGTACTATCATCATTTAAATAGCAAATGTTTGAATGATTTCGATATAGAACAATCACAAAAAAAACTAATATTCATTATTTCACTATGCCTACTGAAGTTGTACAATTGCAACAACAACAAGGAACTGGTGTTGCCACCAAACAATCAACTGAGGAAAGAAGACACGTTTTTAAAAGAAAGAATAAGAAAGTAAAGAAGGAGAATGAAGTTGCAATCAAAGATGCAAGAGAACCTAACATTAAGTTTTATCACCACTTAAAGATTCTTCAAATATTTGGTTGGAATTTGATTTTTGTAGGAATTGGAGCTATTGGATGTATGGCTTATGGTTTAATTCCTGTCATGTAAGTTTTTCTAGTGAAATTTCAATAATCTGACTTGCATTTTCAGTTGTCAATGGATTTTAGGTGATTTAATTGATGCCTTTTTCCTCAATGCTGGAACTGCAACTGTGGATCAATTGAAAGATGCTGTCGCTCAAACAGCTATCAAATTGACAATTATTACATTTTGTGGTATGGTTGCCTTTGCCATGCAACATTTCTTCTTGCAATTGAGTAATGCTCGTTTGGGTACTGCTCTCAGAGAGGCCTATATGAAGGCCCTCGCCAAGCAAGAAATGAGTTTCTTTGATATTAAGAAATTGGGTGCATTGACAGTTGTCTTATCTGAAGATATTCCAAAAATTCAAGATGTTTACACCAACGAATTGTATCTCTACCTTCAAGAAATTATTCAATTTATTGTTGGTTTCATTTTGGCAATGTGTGTCAATTGGAAAATGGCATTGATCCTAGTTAGTACATCACCATTAACTTTTATCAATTACATGATCATGTCCACCATCTCTACACTCATCACAAAGAGAATTAATAGATTGACTGAAAATTCTGCTGCTGTTTCCAATGAAATTACAGGTTGTATCAAGACAATTCGTTCAATGGCTGGAGAATTAAAGGAAATTGAAAGATTTAAATTGGATTTATTCAAGATTAATAGAAATGGTATTTATAAGGGAATGGCTCACTCTTTCGCTTATGGATGGGCTGCTATGGTTACTTATGGAACTATTGCGTTGGCCTTTTGGTTTGGTGGTGATATGGTAGCTGAAAAACAAGCCACACTCGGTTCGATATTCAAAGTTTTTGGTATGCTTTATTTGGGTGTTATCAGTTTGACTAGATCAGCAACTTTTTATCCTCATTATGGTAAAGCATTCGTTTCTGAAACAACCTTGTTGAAGGTTGTTTTGAGAAAGCCAGATATTCCATTCATGGGAGGAGTTCAACCTGAAAATATTGAAGGAAACATTGTTATTGATAATGTTGATTTTGCCTATCCTTCCAGACCGAATACTCTTGTTATGAAGGACTTTAGTTTGGATATCAAAAAGGGTCAAACCATTGCTTTAGTTGGTCCATCTGGTTCTGGTAAATCAACAATTGTTGGTTTATTGGAAAGATTCTACAAACCAGTTAAGGGAAAGATTTATTTGGATGGAGTCGATTTGGAAACTATCGATCCAATGTACTTACACAAGGTGATTGGTATTGTAGGACAAGAACCAGTTCTCTTTGCTGGATCTATCAAGTATAATATTGCCTACTCAATTGGATTGGAAAATTGTACTCCTGAACAAATTGAAAATGCTGCCAAACAAGCTAATGCTCACAACTTTATTATGGATTTACCTGATAAGTATGAAACCCAACTTGGTGAAAAGGGTGTTTCTTTATCTGGTGGTCAAAAGCAAAGAATTGCCATAGCTAGAGCCTTATTGCAAAATCCAAAGATTTTACTTTTGGATGAAGCTACCTCTGCTCTAGATACTGAATCTGAAAGTTTGGTTCAAGCTGCTTTGGATCAATTGATGAAGGGAAGAACTACCATTTGTATTGCTCACAGATTGACAACTGTCATTAACTCAGATGTTATCTGTGTCTTGGTTAAAGGCGTCATGAAAGAAAAGGGTAAACATAGTGAACTCGTCAAGATTCCAAATGGTATCTATAGAAACTTGGCTGAAAAGCAAATGGTTATCACTGAGGAACAGGTCAACGATGTTGAAGATGTCATGGACGTCTTGGTGGATGACGATCATCACGACTCTGCTCACGAAGAACAACAGCAATAATGTTGAAAGCAGGATTTTGACATTGAAAATTTGTAAATATCTCACAACTTGTAAATAAACTAAATCACATACTTTTTAATTGACATGTTTACATTTCCTTAAAGAAACGTTTTGAGACAATAAAATGAAACTGGAAATGGAAGTAATAATTTTGAAATTCATCTTGTTACAACTGAAAACTATTTTATTATATTAGAAAGAAGCAAATCAAAGCAACCAATAATCCAACAATAAAGTTATTAGCTCTAGAGATAGAACCAACAGAGAGCTTGGAATTATTTCCAGAACTATTGGATGGTGTTGTGCTAGATTGTGGAATTGGATCTGGAGCTGGCAATGCACTGAAAGTAATTAATCCCAATGGATCAGAGTCTGGATTAGTGACAGGTGAAGCTGAACAGACCTTTTCATTGAAATAAACAATATCACTAGTTCCATTAATTCCCTGTAATGATTTGACATCGGTAGTTTCCTTAACAAATCTCAAATTATCAATAATAACTTCTCTGAAAATAGCACTGTTCCATGGTTGGACTGTGTAAATGGTGATTGTTTGAAGGCTTTGTTGGCCAGTAAATCCAGGAACGGCAGAAAGTGGAATTCTCACTCTAGTTACTCTTTGATCATCAATCATGAAATGTTGAATGTAAGAGTTGGTGATTGGTTCAAGATTTCCAATTGCAACAGATGAACCCTTAGCAGAATCGTATTTGAAAAAGGCAATACCCAATTGAACTGGTCCTCCACTCTTGGCCTTGGCAAAGAATTCAAAGTACTTGTATTGAGCAGTGTCAATAGAAGGCATTGGGCTTCCAGTGTGATGGTAAATTTGAATAGCTCCTCTTTGAGTACCAAATAGAATAGAAGTAGCACCACAAATTGGAGATTCAGTATATGAATAATTAACATAGGTCTGGTTTGTGTCAATATTATCTGTGTATGAGTAAATATCCCAATCAGGCCATCCAGTAATATCAGTCTTTTCAGAATAAATATTTAAAGCTCCAGGGACAGCATCACACGGTTTGGCAGTTGAAATAGTAGGTGGAAGAGAACAATTAGGAAGACCATCTCTCTTACCGTTATTACAATAAATTTGAGCTCTCAAATGACCATTTGGATTTTGACTTGTTGATAATTTCACAAAAACTTCACCTTTCAAAAGTGAAACATATTCATCATAAGTGTATTGGAGAGTGAAACGTGAAACAGTGTAAGGACTAATCTTGTAAGGTCTTTGAACAATTCTCTTTTCAGCACCTGGCAACCCAATTCCAACTTCAACCTTAGTAACAATTGAAGACAAGTCATGATAAACACTAAAATCGACAGTTCTCTTAACAGGATTGGCAAAAGCAAAGACATAACCAGATCCAGTATTGGTATTGACAGATTTCACAAGGTTTTGTTGACAAGTTTGCAAAACACCGGCATATCTCTCTTCACGAATGTTTCTTTGCAAAAGAGTGGCATAATTGGTTGGATAATCAAATTTGGTAGGCGAGCATGAGTTGCTAGGACATGTTGCCTTAATAGTAATTGAAATACCATCATATGCATAATCACTGAAACCACGCCATTCTTCCCAGGCATCCAATCCGGCTCTATTTTCCAATTTAATGTACAAATGTTGAGAGTAACTTTCGTAATAGTAGGAATCTGGATTATCCATCAAGGCAGAGAGAGAATCAACTGAACTCAAAGTTAATGGACTTTGTGACCAGGTTTTACGAACAACTTCAAAAGTTGATCCAGTTGGATATTGAATTGCAATAATGACCCAATCACTGTGAGCATTGGAACGGAGAGAAAGTTGCAATTGACTTGGTGTAGGAGTGTTGAAAGCCCATCTTAGAGTATATAAATTTCTCATGACAATATTTGACAATAATGCCAATACATTAGGTGAACCAGATGATGTTGCACCAATTACTGAAGATGAAGAGCCTCTCTTTAAATCAATTACTTTCATTCTCATGACACGCTTTGATGGATCAGAAAGATCAGGATAGTTGACACCATTGGAACCAGTATTTGAAGTACTAGAGAATTGTAAATTCAAAACTTCCAATTGTCCATAACTTTCAGGGAATACAGGACATTTAAAACCATTCCATTCAGATTTGGCTTCACATTTTGGATGAATAAGGAGGGAATCATTGCTAACAATCCAACCATTTGGTTTGAGTCCAGTTGATGAACCATCAACATCCAATACAGTTGTTCCTTTGTGTGAATCATAGAAAGAATCATATTGATAATAGACATTACTATCAATGAATTTCATATCAGCATACTTGTTCTTGGTTTGATGCTTAAATGGTGCGTAACTCAACCCAGAAAGCGAACCAGCAGCTCTGTATTGATCAGTCTTAAATCCAACAAAGGTAACATTTCTAACCAATTGAGGGCCACCATTATCATAGTGTTCCATACCTTTCAAAACTTCTTCAGAAGACCATTGCCCAGGTCTAGTTCTTCCTCCCTTATCAACTTGACTTCTCATTGAGGTGACTTCGCCAACATTTGCTGTTTCAGCAACAATATAACAATTCTCAAATAAAACAGGACCATTAGGTGGAGCATTCATACCAATTCTATTATCGTACAATCTACAATTTCTGAAAACCAAGTGAGCGGAACGAGACCAAATACCATATCCTCTATTCTTCCAAGCAACAAAATTTTCAAAAATAGCATCCACATAATCAGGAGCTACCCAATAATCAAGAACAGGATATGGACCTCTCAAAGGAACGAAAGCCTCCGGTTCAGTAGTTGTATCTGGCTTAACCATGTCATCAATATGGAGTGCATTTTCACCAGCACCATGAGCAACGTTATCCCTAAAGACACCAAGTGGTTGATTCCTTGGCCTGACATAATAGTTATTGGTACCGTATTTAGTTGCTGAGAGACCAGTTGGATTGGCTGGTTGAGTAAACCAATAGGAAAAACGACCTCCAACAGCATGGTTTCCAATAAATGTGTTATTGGCATTGGTAATCCAGAAAATTGCTGGTGATGATTCAGATTTGATTAATTGCTTGGTATCTTCATTGGGGACTGGAATTGCCTTTAAGCCTAAGTTTCCAATGAACGAATTGGACATTTCTGGACCATCTTCCAAGAAATATTGATGGCCTACAGTGTTGTAACAAACATTTCCTTGAATAATCAATCCATTAGTATCGTGAACAACGACACATCTTTGATAAGTGTCGTGAATGGAAGAATCTTTCAAATAGAAAGCTCCTGGATTGGAATTTGCGTGTTCTCCCCAAACGTGGAAGTGGATTGGGTATCTTCCCATAATTCCACTCAATCCCATTTTGGTAATTTCAATTCCTTTAATTTCACATTTGGAAGCAGTTGGACGAACCATAATATGTCCACCAAATAAACTAGTATCAGATGATGAATCACCTGTGAACACAATATTTCTATTCAAAACTGCAACTTCACACATCATGTCAGGTGCTTGACTAAAGTGAGTGTAATTCAATGGTGAGTTCAATTCAAAAGTGTAAGCATTGATAATTCTCTTAATGGTACGTTCTTCTGTTTGATCCTTAAAACCAAATCCACGTTTCCAAAGCAACGAGTCTCTAGTATCTTCATCCCAATTGTACAAATCAGAATAATCACTTGAAGCGATTACAATTTTATCACCAACTCTCCATTGAGTTGATTCGGAAACTTGAATAGTTGCTGATCCCTTGGTGACAGTTGTGGAAAGGGTTGTCCAAGATGGAGTGTAGACCTTACCGTGCATTTGAACTGTTGAGCCAGTCATGAGCACTAATCCCTTGTAACCTATTTTGTAACATTTTCAATAATAGTTTACAATGAAATATTTAACACATGAAATTAGAAAATGAAACATACCAGTTTCAGTAGAATCTGCTGGATCACTTCCAATAACATTATCAGTTGTTCTACCTCCATAGAAAGTAACAACAATCTTATTATTAATTGGACACGACAAACTTCCCATGATTAAACTTCCTCCACTCTCCACTCTAATAAATTCAACATTTAAATTCAAATTGGCATCGTTAAATATCAAACTAGTACCCGAACTAACAACGATGGAACGTAGAACGTTTGTTGTGGAAACATCGACGAGAACTTGTTGTCCACCTGTGAGGACAATATTTGCTGACTGAGTGTTGTAGTTGGAGAGTGTGGAAAAGTTGATGAGACCAGATTGTTGATGAGGACATTGTGGACTAACGAATGATAAAGATGAAAATGTAAGCGTGAGGAATACAAGTGCCAATACCAACAACAGTGGACTGCTGTTGAAGTTTGACATTTTTTAGTTGTTGATGATTGATGAAATTTAAAGCCCCTTACAAAGATGAAAGGTAATGGTTTGTTAGATCCACAAAGATCTTTTTTTGAATGTTGTACAACAGTTTTATAAAAATCATGTTTACAGTCTGCAATTTAATGAAGAGATGAATAATGTCATAACCCTTTTAAAATCTTGTATAATTCTCTGTGTTTATTTACATTTTCGTTCAAAATTTCGAATAGCTGTTAGCTGCTTAGATTCAATCCTAGGTGTTTCGTTTTGTTTTTTCAACATTCTTTTTCATTACAATGCAATGACCAGAATTAAGGCAATTGTACCAATTGAAATAGCACCAGTAGCAATAGCAGCACCAGTTAAATAAATCCATCTTTTGACCATGGCCCACTTTAACTTTTTACTACCCTTTTCGAATAGTTCACCTTGCTCTTTGAGAGAATCAGTTTCAACAATAATTTCATGCATCTTTTTGTGATTATCCAAAATCTTATCAATATTTACAATCATGACATTCTTTGTTTCTTCAATTGCATTTTGCAATTTGGTAATCTTGTCATTTTCTGGATTATTGTGGAATTCCAATAATTTAGTTAAATTCATCTTCTTCTTATCAGTATGATATTCATGGGACATTGAGTCAATCATCTTCCAACAAATTCTTTGTTTTCCTTCATGAGTTGAAATCACAACATGGAAAACATCACCCAAGCTTGAACGTTCTCTCTTAATGAAGAAGGTAAACATTTCATGAGTTAAAAGTAACTTGTCATAGGAAGAGATGGCTTGCTTATCCATCATTCTTGGAATGACCTTCTCTTCAATGACCCTTCTCAATGTCTTTTGACGAGAAGTTTCGGCAACAACTGAAACTTGATAGTTTCTTTCAGTGGTACTCTTAATAGAACCTTCGGCAACAAGAGCATAAGTAATAGCCATTTGTATCAGTTAGATCAGTATAATAATTTCTTTTCAATACAATGCAGTATTGTTGTTGTTTTGCTTTTTATTTGTGTGTTGAAAATTGTTTCCTTGAAATTTCTGGGTATTTATGCTGAATTTTATTGGTTGTTTTATTTTTAGCTGCAATTAGCACAGTTCATCATACTTCCTTCATTCAAGATGACGAAATTTTAACGTATTATGGCATTTGTAGATGGAACATATTTCAACAATATTACAATTTCAAGTTGGTGTTTGATGGTACATTCCGTAAGGTATATTGATTATTGGATAACTATCAACAATACATTGATTTTAAATATTCAAAATAATTATTCATCATCAAACCGAATTTTACTTCAGCTCTATTTTTATTGTGTGGTGTTCAAAAATTTTGACTTGAAAAAAATTCCACAACTTCTTCTCCACAAAAACCCTTCATAAATTTTTCAAAATGCGTATTGAGCAATGTTCCGTATCAGGTGCACCAATGTATCCTGGACATGGTATCACCTTTGTCAGAAACGATGGTAAAGTCTTTAGATTCTCCTCCAAGAAGGCCAGAAAACTCTTTGAACGTAGAGTTAATCCTAACAGATTGAGATGGACAAAGGCCTACCGTAGAAAGAACGGCAAGGAATTGTCTGTTGATAATACTTTTGAATTTGAAAAGAAGAGAAACGTTCCAGTCAAATACGACAGAGAACTCTACGCCAAGACTATCCACTCTATCAAGAGAGTCAACGAAATTCAAGAACAAAGACAAAGAGCCTACTACTTCAAGAGAATGGTTCCATCTCTCAAGGTTAGAAAGATGCAAATTGCTAGAGAGTTGAAGACTAATATTGATTTGATCTATGCTCCAGTTTCTGCTAAACGTTCTCAAGAAATGGCTGCTCTCAGAGAAAACCAAGCCATGTTGGATACCGAATTGAAATTACAAAATACTTCCAAGAAATCAACAAAGAGAAAGCAATCGGAGGATGATGATGTTGAAATTGTGGACAATGAATAAATCAGAGAAGGTGTAGGTATCTGTGGTAAGATAGACGAGAAGGAATTAAACAATCTAATGCCACACTATCGCGAGAAATGAAATGTGGCACTATGTGCACAATGCACGTAAAACCTTTATAAACTTTATTATTTCGTTAAATTATTATTAAATATTAAACAGGATTGAATAATCTCTTATTTGATTAAATAATTGAAGAAAACCCGCTCAAACAAATCGTTGTCATCTACGATTAATCAAACAACAAAAATAAAAAATGTCTTACGAAGAACCAGCAACTAATCTTGATAGAACTGTTACAGCAACACCTGCTGCTTTGTCGGAAGCCTCATCAGCAAAGGAGTATGCATCCTATCCTTCTGATTTTCTTGAATTATATCTCCAAAAGTGTTCCGATTACTCGATATCTACACCTGTAACAAGACTTCTTAAGGAATATAATGCAGTAAAAGAGAAAGGGTATGTTTTCTGTCTGTTTCATTTGGTTTAAAGAGTTGGGTCAATGAAATAATAGAAAGGAAATGAGACATTTAATATTGAATGGAAATTGTGTTTCAATGTTTGAAAAGAGATTACACAATCTGGATATTTTCCCAATTTGTGATACTTTGGAAATTTTACATACAGGATTTATTGTCAGTTGTGATTTATCTTATAATAATATTGGAGATAGTGGAGCAAACTCAATAGCAAGAATGTTAAAGATTAATAGCTCAATTCAGCATTTGTCTCTCAGATCAAATTCCATTTCAGAAAGAGGAGCCTCTGATATTGCAGATTCTCTAAAAGAAAATAGAAATTTATTATCATTTGATTTTAGTTACAATGCTATTGAGGATAAGGGAGGAATGAAAATGGCCGACATGTTGGAAGAAAATATTACTTTAAAATTTTTGAATTTGAGCAGTTGTGATCTGAAAACATCTTCAGTTATTAAATTAGCCATTTCTGTTCGTCATCATCCTTCCCTTCAAGAATTGAGAATTGGAAAAACACTTTGTAATTCAAAAAAAGAGGAAAGTCTGCAACACTTGGCAGAAATTTTTAGAGTTAATACCGTTATAAGATCATTAGATTTGAGTTTCCAATCCATATCTGATTCTGGTATCAATACATTTTTCCAAGGAATTAAATTGTGCAGAACACTCACTCATTTAAGGTTAGGAGCAAATTGTATTACAATGAGTGTTGATGTTATTGCTAAATATTTGGAAAATCCAAATTGTGCTATTCAACTGTTGGATTTATCTGCAAATAGAATTGATAGTGATGGAGGTATTCAAATTGCAAAGTGCTTAATCAAGAACAAAACACTGACCTATCTGGATCTTTCTGGAAATAATATTGGAGATGATAGTTTGACTTTTCTTGCCAAGACACTTGCCAGTAAGAATGAAGTATTATCCAAATTGTTCGTTGCAGGAAACAAATTTAACCAAAAAGTAAGTACCATTAAGATAACGTCTCAGCTAAAGCAAATCAATTAGTCAATCAAATCTTTTGACGATTTGGCCAAAGAAAGATATGATTTGGATGTAGATATTCACACATACAAAACTGACGACATTTTCTATTGTACAAAGAAGACAATCCCAGAAACACACCAATATGGAGACATTGATACTCTACCAGAACAAATTAGTGAAATTGAAAGGATTCTTGTTAGAGCATACACAGACAGTGGCTTACCTTCAACTAATCTTGACAGTATTAACAATTAGATATTAAAACAATAACAATTAATTTGAACCATCGCTTCCGAACAATAACACACTAAAGTAGATACAAGTCATGGATTGAAGATTTTCTTGCCTGTTCAATGAATAATGATTTGGTATGTTTTTTATCAACATCACCAATGAATTCAGTGGTTGATGTCTTTCAAGTTATTCTTCTCCTGCTGTTAAATCCAGCATTCACCTATCAACAAGTCATCACACAGCAGCTTTGTAAAAAAATCATCAAAAAAAAATTAAGTGGCTAGTCTTACCCTTCCCCGTTTTCACGTGAAACTGATAAGCCTTTCCTCTTTAAAAGATTTTTAAATTATTTGATCATCATCATCAACAACAACAAATTTATTTAAAATGGTTAAAACTGTAGTTTGCGATAACGGTACTGGTTTCGTTAAGTGTGGTTTTGCTGGTGATAACTTCCCAAAGGCTACTTTCCCAGCTATGGTTGGTCGTCCACTCTTGCGTGCCGAAGAATCTATTGGAGATGTTGAATTGAAGGATATTATGGTCGGTGATGAATGTGCAAAGCTCAGAGCTGCTCTTGAAGTCTCCTATCCATTGACCAATGGTATTGTTACTAACTTTGAAGACATGATCCACTTGTGGGATTATACTTGGGATCGTTTAAAGGTTGACCCAAAGGACAGTCAAATCCTCTTGACTGAACCACCTATGAATCCAAAAGAAAAGACAAAGAAGGTTGTTGAAACCATGTTTGAACATTACGGATTCCAAGGATTGTACATTTCTATTCAAGCTGTCTTGACTTTGTACGCTCAAGGTCTCGTCACTGGTGTCGTTGTTGACTCTGGTGATGGTGTCACTCACACAGTTCCTGTCTATGATGGTTTCAGTTTGGAACATTTAGTCAAGAGATTGAATTTGGCTGGTAGAGATGTTACCGACCACTTAATCAAACTCTTGTTGATGCGTGGTTATTCATTCAACAGAACTGCTGACTTTGAAACAGTTCGTCAAATCAAGGAAAAGTATTGTTATGTTGGTTATGATATGGCTTTGGAAAATAAGCTTGCTTTGGAAACTACTGTTCTTATGAAGAAATATACTTTGCCTGATGGTAGAGTTATTAAGATTGGTGCTGAACGTTTCCAAGCTCCAGAATGTCTTTTCAATCCTGCTCTCAGTGATAAAGAAGAAGGTGGTATGCACTTGCAAGTGTTCGAAACTATTAACAAGGCTGATATTGACTTGCGTACTGACTTTTACTCACACATTGTCTTGTCTGGTGGTACTACTATGTATCCTGGTCTCCCATCTCGTTTGGAAAAGGAAATTACTGATCTCTATTTGAAGAATATTCTCAGAGGTAACGAAGAAGGTTTGAGCAAGTTCAAGTTGAAGATTGAAGATCCTCCACGTAGAAAGCACATGGTCTTCTTGGGTGGTGCTGTCCTTGCTGAAATCATGAAGGATAGTGGTGCTAATTTCTGGTTGACAAAGAAGGAATATGATGAACAAGGTTGTGCCAGAGCTATCAAGAAGATTAGACCAAACTTCTAATTTCCCAATTTTCCCCTTTTCCCATTTTTCTTAATTTATCATTACACCTGTACAAAATATCAAGAATTAATATACGTTAATTCTATCTTATTTATTTAAATATTGTGTTAAATTTTATTTTTTAAAAAAATTGTTAAAAATATTTTTTTTTTTATTTTTTTTTAAATTAATGCATTTAGAATTTTTAAGAACGAACTATTAGCTAATTTTTAATTTAAATCGGATGGGACATGAGTTTAGCTATTCAATTATATCTTTAAGTTTCATCAATCAGTTTGTTTGCAAAGGTTACAAACAATTGAGAAGTACCTTTAGATGTTTCAAAGTGAGGACCCATTAGTAAGACTTTTCCCCTACCAGATCTACCATAGACTACACATGGTTTTCCAATCATGTCTGGCCACTCAATTTCACCACTCTCTACAATTGTCGCAAGAATGGAAATATTCGAATCATTTCCAACATTGAAAACTGGTCCATTTTGATAGTAAACTGTTGCCTCACTATTCTCCATGCTGTCTTCTGTTTGCTTACTCAAGCTCACTTTTATATTTCCTTTGAAATTACTCTTCTTTTTTGGAAGAATAAACTCGACATTTTCCAATAATTTCAACTCTGAAAAACATGCCAGATATCCTCCAGCACAAATTCCCAGATAAGAACCACCATCAGAAACAAACTTTTTAATGATGGCCAAACCTTCAGAGCCCAAGTCTTTTGCTTGTTTTTTGGCAGTTCCTCCAGGAATAACCACTAGACTAAACGATTCTTTTAACAAATCGGAAATGTCATACGAATAATGAAAAATAAAGAATGATCCAAGATGTTTCATTATTGATTTGGGACCTGATGCTTCCGGATATCTAACAAACATGAATGCTTTTCGTTTTTCATGATGTTGAGACATTTTTTACAAAATAATTTACAAAACTTGAACTTGTTAATAATTTTGTGTTTTAAATTGATTAAATATTAGCTCAAGTTTTACATTAAAATTTAAAAAAAGAAAACTTTGAATTCGACGAATAATTTAATATTATTAATAATTACATGATCCCCACTGGATTACCAGTTATGGTGTTATTAATAAAATATGTCAGACCTTTAAAATAATAATTTAAATTTATTCAAAATAAATTAAAGTTGGTTGTTAATGAAACGAGTAACCATATCCAACAAGTTGGCTGGTTGATCCATTGGACTCAAGTGACCAGCAAGGTTGACTTGAACTATTATTGTGTTAATATTAAAACTTAATTGAAATTAAACTTACCCTTATATAAATTTTGGTATTGCTTGACATAACCAACAATATTATTATTAATAGTCCATTGCTTTCTTGGAGCGTTATAGAATTGATTGGCATATTTCCATTTCATTTCTTCAATCCACTGTTTTTAGGGGAAATTATTAAGGAATTATTTAAAATTCATAAAAATTAATAAGGAATTGTTAAAATTCAACTTGGATGATATATCAAACTTACTTTGGTTTGAACCATATTGATGATAAGATCAACTTGTCCATTATATAAGATACCTCTGACACCTCTATCCAATAAACTTTCAACCTTATATTGAACAGACTTTGACATGTCAGCATATAAAGCAGAGTAAGCTTGAGCATCACAATCATTGTATGTGATACCAACAGTGTGCATCAATTCCTTAGTCTTTGGCAAGTTCAAGAAGGCAAGGTAATAATCAAAGTTATAATCTCCATATTCTCTGACATCATAAACATTGACACCTCCAGTGTAGTTATTCAGGGCAGACATGATCTTATCCCATGTAGAGGTAGCATCGAACCACTTTTGTTGCATGATCAATGATTCAACTTCCTTTTGGAGTCCTTGAATGTAGGATCTTTGCTTGAGATCAACAAGTCCCAAAGAATAGGCATATTCATCATAACTGGCCATTTGAATCTATTACAAAATAATGTTAAAATTCAAATTACAAATAGAAAACATACGAGAGGATGAGTCAAACCATCTCCAATACCGAATCCCTTAAGATTAATGGCAAAACCTTCATTGGCAATCTTGTAACTGATAGATGGAACATACTTTCCGGCATAACTTTCACCAAAGACATAGAATGGATTCTTAGAATATTGGTTGTACTTGGCCATAAATTGAATCAAGAGAGAATATAATTCATTAGCCATTTGTTCTTCATTGTGAATGTAACCATTTGGATTGGCCATGTGTGAGAAACCAGCTCCAAGAGGATTATCAACGAACAACAAGTGATAATGCTTATTCCAAGTATATTCATTTGGATAGAGTTCAAGAGTCTTCTTATTAATACGATATGGACCCATTTCGATAAGCATACCCTATTAAAATTTGAACAAAATAAAAAAATGTCAAAGAAAGTGTAGAGCTCGAATCAAACTAGGACAATGTCAATAACTTACAGTACAAGAGCTACAACCTGGACCACCTTGGAGCCACAAAATAATTGGAGCATTTTGATTACCATCCTGTCATTGTCAATTATTAAACAGAACTTGTCAATTTAGTACATTGTCAACAACTTACTTGAGCTTCAAAGAAAGCATAGTACATTTGTCCTCCAACAGTCTTGTTGACAGTGAAAAAACCACTATTAACAAATGGATTTTCTTGTTCCGATTTAATTGGACCCTTTCCTTCAACACTGATTGGCATGGAAGCAAAGACTGGATGAGAGGCCATTCTATTCAAATATCCATATTCATCATTTAATGTTCTTCCTCTCATAAAGACGGATTTTTTAATTTGTTCCTTTGTGAGTTTGTTAGCCATGGAAACTTGCAACATCATCATCACGGAGAGAATGATGGCAAGAGTAGAGATGATTACCCTTTTCATTTTTTTTTACTTAACTCAATTTTCAAAGTGATCACCAATAATAATATTAGGCGTCTCCCAGTAGGAGAATGTGGAGTTTCTGCGGATGAATAAAACATACAGGAGTTTATTCATCATCTATTAAAATTACTTCTGGCTCTGTAGTTGCAGTTGGTTTTTGGGGTGTTCTTGGGGGAGTGAATTCAGTAGGAGCCATTGAAGTGACCAGTTGTTGTAAACTGGTTTTTGATTGAGTTGGTGGTGCAATAATGGTTGGTGGTTGAGCAGGAGTGTAGTTGTGGAAGATGAATTCTTTTTTTGGTGATTTGGTATTGTTGGCTTGTTTGGATGGCGAGCTCGATATTTTCTTTGAAGGAGATTTCTTCTCAGGAGTTAGGTTGAGGGCAGGATTACCAACAAGTGGTAGAAGGTCAGTGGCCACTGATTGTAAAATAGGATTTTCAATGATTTGAGCGAGTGTGCTTGGTGGGATAGTGTTTTCTGAAGATGAGGATTGAATTGGTTTTGATGGAGTTGGAGGTTGCTTTTTTCTTCGTTTTGTTTCGGTTGGTGCAGATAAAAGTGGCTCTGTACTTTTAGTTTCTTTCTTTTTCTTCACTTCTGTCTTTTCTTTTTTTTCCTTCTTTTCCTTCTTGTCAGTTTTTTTATCTTTGGATTCAGTCTTTTCCTTCTTTTCGGATTTATCTTTCTTCTTTTCCTTTTTATCCTTCTTTTCCTTATTTTCCTTATCCTTTTTATCCTTCTTTTCACTCTTTTTCTCTTTCTTATCTTTCTTATCCTTCTTATCCTTCTTCTCTTTATCCTTTTTCTTTTCTTTAGGTTCTTCTCTTTCAATATTTTTGAATTTAACAAGGTCCACAAAGTATTCCTTTTGATACAGAGCATTAAGATTTTTCTTTGTACCCTTCTCTGTGACTACGCAACTGGAAGTAGATGGATGTTTGGAAAGATATTCTCTGATTCTAATTTTGTGTTCGATAAGGTTCTGATTATTGTTCAAAGACGACTTGTTCTTTCTGACTTTAGAAATTGCAAAGTATAGTGGAATAGCGTATTTGAGATGATTTTCAGATGGTTTTTCTTCTATTAGTGTAAAAAGCACATTAATTGCATTGGAAAGAATGTCTGGGAAGCAAATAGAGAGATGTTTGTCTTTCTCTAAAAGCTCGTGAATCATCCAATGAATCAAATCCATAAAGCTATCCATGGCCATTTTACGAGTGACAACTTCCAGGAAAGATTTGACCACAAATAATTTTCCTTCTCTGTGAAATCGTTTTTTCTCTTTGCTGGTTTTGTTAATTAAATATTTAGAGTTTTTGAAACTTACATGGGAGAAGGAACATCTAATTCAATGGTTGGGGGAGATGTCTTATTAATTCTCTTTTTAATAACTGAGGATAATACGTATTCTGCTGATGTCAAATCATTCCATGGGCCATTTTCTGATGCAAAACATTGCGAGATAGAGCCTACACATTTGAATAAATTAGGATTTGGTTTCACCATATTATAGTAAGACTCAACCACAACTCGCCAATGTTTAAAGTTTTCTTTGTTGATTGTAATTAGATTATTGATAATTGGACATGTGCAATAATAAGGATTTGATAACGTTACAATTTCACATAAATATGACTCATTAAAGATACGATCCTATTACAATAATGTCAAGCACTGAAAGGCAATACTACTTACATCTATTTGCTCTTTTCTATCCAATATTCCAAATCTACCACTATTAAAATAGAACCATGTGTCTTCATTGCTCTTCATCTTTAAGGATTTAAGATAAAGATTCATATATTCTACACTTGGGGCGTCCATCTTGTGTCTGATTCTGGCCATAAAGAACAGAAGATGATGATTCTTTTTGTCATGGTCATAAGCCTTTTGAAGATGATCAAAACATTCATTAGAAATTCTAGACTCTGAAAATGGAGCGAGGTACTGTTTAAAATATTTTCTACAGTCATGAACCGAAAATAATAGCATTCCAATCTTTTCATGAATTTTACCTTGCTCTTCTGGAACTGTGCAAAGTTTGAGAGCTATTGTGAAGCAATTCAAACATCTACGAGTAAAAATATCTAAATCTTTTTCGAAATCAGCATCATTATCGAGTCTCAAATGTTGTCTGTCAATCCCTTGCCTAAATAATACATCAGTTCTATTTGTTGTAATATCAACTAGATCCAACAGAAACTCTAGCACTGAATAATAGGAATTTGCAAGATTGATCCAAGAATTATAATTATCAGGTTTACAACATAGAGATTTTTCTAATTTGTATACGCAAGAGGAGAAGCGATATTCATCATCTCCAAAATATTCCTCGGGTTTTGGATTTGATTCTAATTCCTTAAGCAAATATTTGGCAATGTAAAGAGGTATTTCTTCATAGATATCTAACGAGGTAAGTGTGATAAAATAATAATTACAAACCTTTGTTCTCACATTCAAGATTGAGTGCAGGAAGAGTTACTACCTCTTCAAATACCAAATCTCCATCTATTAACTTTTCTATGGATGGCTTGATATCCTTACATGGTGTAGGAATAGTATCGAATGCATTGGAAATTCTTTTGATAAATGGTAATATTATCTGTCTCATGGAAGACTTTCCTTCAAGCTTGCTATCAAATGTTGGTTTCAAAATTCTAAAGAGGATTGCGTTTGCATCCTCATCAACTAATACTTTTGATGGTTTCTCACAATCTTTGAATTTTGTGTCAGGACCAGAATCGGTTAGATTAATTTTCATGTCAAAGGTCATGTAGATGACTGTTGAAATTTCAGCAAGGATTGAATTTTTTTCGCTTGTTAATGATTTGTCTGTTGCAGATTTTCCATACAATCTGTGTAATTCTTTTAGTAAGAAAATATTAAAGTTGCCTTAATAAAATTATTCGTATCTAATATTGTAAATATAAACTTACTAATTCTTCTGAGAGGATCAAATTCGTAGAGTACCTTTTTACGAACATGTGTCAAAAATTCTTTTCTTTCCTTTTCATTTGTAAACGGAGCTAAATGGTAAAATATCTTCAAGAATCTGCAAATCTCTTTCGTGTAAACACTGATGGAGCGCTTTCCAAGACCTAAAGAGTTTAGGAGATTGAGTATTTTGTAAGCTAAAGTATGTATAGGCTTGGTTTGCTTGATATCTTCATCGGGGAAAATAACTCTTTGAGTATATTGATCGATTTTTGCTATTGTACTTTGAATATCTGGATAGTCCAACATATCTGAAACATTTTTAGTAAAATAAGTAATAAAAAAATCTAAAATTGCTATTACTTGAACCTTGTCAAGTGTTTCTAGCTCACTAATATCTATATTGCCAAGTGCACTGCAAAGGATTTGAGCAAGTAGAGCATGGGATTTTTCAGGTAATGAAACAGTAAGTGGTTCGCTCACTGATTTCAAGGCAAGAGCACAATTACCATTTTCTCTCTGCTTTTTAATATTTTCCAGAATGATGTTAAAATTAAGCTCCAAAATCTTAGTTTCAATATTTTGTATTGTAATAATACTGTTCTTTGTACTGCTGAGGTTAATTAATATTTAGACAGAAACTTACCAATTAGGGAGTATTATATCTTTGTCTATCATTTGCTTAGATTGCTCGAACCATTGATTGGTGATAGCTGACTTTGAAGATCTCTCCACAAGTCCTCTAAGCCACAAAGCTCTGCATGATGTTGTCCTGTCAATTTTCTCTAGCATTCTGTCGGAGGTTAATAGCAATGTACCAAACTTGTTGAAAATCTTTCTTGCCATTTCGAAATATCCCAGGCCACCAGTTTCTTCATATTTATCGTATAAGAGTTCAGCAATGCAAAGATTGGTTTTAAAGGAATAGGAAATATTGTGCCTAGTAAGGGTGAATGCCATGTTGGACAACATTGAGGATAGATCTGCTGGCCATTTATATGACCATAATTCTCCACAAACTAACTCTAGAACGTGTTTAATGGTGTCTAACAATTTGAGTTTCAGCCCCCTGACTTTCTTGAGCCACTTCTTCAATGGTTCTAAAGAAATATCCTGACTTACTATTTCGGCCCTATTGTCAGAATTTGAATGTTGGGTACTATCCAAAGAGACAGGATCCATTCTTGTCAGCTTTAGAAAATCGTATGCAAGAGTTCCTGCTAAAGTTTTTGGCTTTTTTGAACTTGAAAATGTTAGTACAATAATTATTCTTAAATACTTACAGAGGAACTCCTAGATCATATCTCTTTCGTTTAAATCTTCTCAGTGACTCTTGTGCTTTTGGCTCATCAACAACTGTTTCCTCTACTACTTCATCGGTTGTTTCATTCGTCTCTGCTATGATATCCTTCTCCTCATACATAATCAATATCTCGCAATCAGACTTCATGTAAGCATAAATTTTCAGTAATTTTGTACAAATAAATTTCCAATCAAGTTCTGATATTTTAACAAGGCATTTGTGTGTTTCATCTTTCTCATCTTCGGGTATACAATAATTACACCATCCCTTATAGAGAGAATTGCTTAGAGCTGTGTTTTGAAAGAAAAGCAGATGATATGGGCTTGGGTGAATTTCTTTTTGAACAAAATTGGCTACCTTGTGGTCACTGCTTAATTTCAAAATATCTTTGGAAACAGAATCACATCCCTCAATATCACCAACAATGTATGACAACTCTAAAAGCAAGTTAAAGGCTGGGTAGTGATTAGGATTGAGTATTATAGTTTTTTCCAGTGCTAATTTGGCAGCTGCATGATCATTATTTTTAAAACAAGCCACACCATAATCATACCATAAGGACGTATCCTTATCTTCAATAGTGAGAGCTTTTGCAAGGGAAATTGATGCATCTGAATAATTCTTCTTGGCAAGGAAAATAGCTCCAAGGTTTTTAAGAGACAAATATTTCAAATAAATGAATGTGTTTTGTTTGATTTCAAAAAATTCTTTTTGTAACGGATCTACAAGAGCTTGATCCACGAATTCACGTTTCAAAACTTTGAAATAATAATCGATGGCTCTATCATAATCACGTTTAGAATGATAAGACAGAGCAGTGCAATATATACTTTTTGCAATTGACTCTTCTTTTTCAACTACAATATTTTGCGTTCCTTTCAAATAAACAGCTACTTGAGCAGCAAGACTCAATGACTTAGTTTCGGTTTGAGGTTGATTAGTTTCAGTTTCCACTTCTGTTTCTTCATTATCCTTTTGAAGGTCTGTTTGTTCTTCATTCAATAAATCTGCAACAACCATCATCGGATCTTGGATTTGTTCCGGTATGCCTTCTGCTGTTTCCTCTACTATAAACTTTGCGTCTTCATCCTCCATATCGTCATCATCGTCTTCCTCTTCATCATCGGAAAGGATTATCTCCTCATTATTGGCAATTTTTATTTCCTCTTCTTCTTCTTCGTCTTCTTCATCATCGTCTTCCATTAAATCAATTTCAATAGCATCATTTTCGTTGTTGGACATTTTTTTTAACTTTTTCTAAAAACCTATTTTTTGGTTTTTTAATTTAAAAAAGATTTGGCGCGAAAACGAGTTAGCGCCAACCAACTACACTTTAAAAAAATTGATCGAAACCGATAGGAGAAGGAAACAATTTTTCAATTCCTCTCCAAAATCTATCAATCCCTTTCTCTTCAGAGAAAAAATTTAATTAAAATCATACATACAATTTATTTAGTAAAAATAGGAGATGAGTAGAATAGAAAAACAGAATTACATTATTGAAGAGGAAGATGATGAAGATAGCTATAAGGATCTATCTTCCGAAGGGGAAGATGAACACGCTCCAGAGGATTTATTAGCCTCTGTAACAACTGTGGTTAAGGTTGATACAATCTCCAAGTCACCTGCCAAGGGTGGTGGAAGTTATGCCCAAATGTACAAAAACTCAAAAAAGTCTAATGAAAATTTACAACAACAAACAAAAAACAATTCCTCCTCAAAGGGTCAAAGTGTTAATCCAAGGATATGCTTAGTTAATGACTCTCTTGTTTCATTATCTGCTATTAAGAATACAAATATGAACTCATTTCCCCAGAGATATCAAGCTGATTTGACATGTTCATATAGTATTTCGGAATCAACATTGCCAGAACATCAAACCCAACAGGAGGTAGATGAGGAAGAAGAGGAAGAAGAAATGGAGTGCTCTGATTATGAAAATGAGCAACAAGACGAGAAGCAGGAAGATGAGGAAGAGAATAAGGAAGAATACAATGAAGAAACAGAAGAGGATCACCAAGAATACAATGAAGAATCTCAAGATGAGGATCAAGAAGAGGAAACCGATGAATTCAAGGAGTCTGAAGAGGTGCAGGATGAGGAAGAAGAGGAAGAGAATCAGGAAGAAGAAACAGACTTTCAAGTACGTGAAGTAACCAGGTCAACTAATAATTTAAATGCAAGAAATTCCAGCAGTTCATCTATAGCTAGGAGCTCCATTAGAACTAGTATCGCAGAAGATATGAGGTATTCCACTCAACACCAAAACTCAATTGCGTATGGAAGCGAGGATGACAGTGAAACAGATGAGCTTGCTGAAGAGAAAGAGCATATTGATGAGGAAATAGATGAAGCTGTGTTACCTCCCTCCAATTCAATGACCAAGAGTATGCTTAAACAATCGTTCTCTGAAAAGGTCATTTCTGAAGAGTCCTCACTTGCCAACACAATTAAAACTGAAATTGAAGGGACTGATGATGAAGAAGGAGATGGTTATAAGGATTTAGAGGAGTTGGAAACAGAGGTTCAAGATGATGCTGAAGATGAACTTCAAACCAACCATGTACATAGAAGTGTTGAAAAACATCAAGACAATTTACCAACCGTTGTTACTACACGCAACGAAGAAATGAAGCATCAGTCTTCTGACATGAAAGAAAACATTCTTCAGAGTATTTCTCTCTTCAAACAATACAAGGCGAATCAAGTTTCTCAAAGTGTTGTTGGATTAGATCACTCTTCAAAGAAGCTCAAAACACCAACAGACCAACCTTTAAGAGTTTCCAAAGTTTTGGAAATTCCAAAACCCAATATCAACCTTAACGAGTCAATTTCAGAAAATGATATGGATAAAATTAAGAAACAAAATCATTTACTACGAATGCAACTCTTAGAACAACAGAGAATGATAGAAGAAGGGAAAATTGTACTTCAGGAAAGAATTGAGCAAGAAATTGAAAGAGCAAAATCAGAAGCTTTGAAAGATTTCATTTCCTCAAAGAAACAACAAACTCCAACCCCTACAGAGCAAAAACCAGAGAAGAAAACTGTCAGAGATATGAAAAAGTCTGAGTCCCCAGAGAAGAGTGTTGAAACCATCAGAGTGAAAGAGTCTCCAAGAGCAACAATAGCCACCACGAAACCTAAAAAGAAGGAAGTTATTGAGATTCTCCCTGATGAATTTGAAAATACTGCTGATATGAAAAAGCAAATGGAAATGAGGAATAAGAAATTCTTAGAGGTTAGAAAGCAAAAGATAGAGAAAATTGAGGAAACCAAAAAGAAAGAGAAACCCCAACCAATTTCAACAGAAGCAAAGACAGCCGAAAATGGAATGATTTTGAAAAATATGAAACAACCAAATAAGACGAACAAACTGCTGATAAAGAATGCTCTTATCCATTTAACATTAGCAGGCGAGGTAAATAAGAAGGAACGAGAAGATGTGTTTGAGGCCATGAAAGAATACGAAGATACAAACCAAATGATAATACTTGTTAGAGAGGTTAATGTTCCAGCTTTCAGAGCTCTCTATGTTGTCGTAACTGATGGCCTTAATGCAAACGTTGGCAGTAGCACTTCAACTACAGACAGTAACAGGACAGACAATTCCTCTCGTTCAGAGTCACCAAATATTGAAAAGAGATCTGACCAAATACTGGTTAAGAAAATCATTGGAAAAGGGCCAAAATTCCTTACCGAGGATGTGGTTGATGTATTTTGTAGATACGATTCTGGTGGAAAGAAACTTTCAAAGCTTTCGAGTAGAACATTTGGAGTCACTACTGATGTTGTAGTTCTCAAATCAGCTGCCATTAAGAAAATAAAGAGGTAGTCTAATTTCTTATAAACTTTACTTATTTATTAATTACAAACAATCTCGAATAAACTGAAAACAAATACGGAAAGACAGGCGATCACTCCTGCTTGCACCAAGAAATTAAATCTTGGGTTTCCTGGGCTGATTTGGGCTAAAAAATTGGCAATTCCAACCTCATTAATGGTAGTACAAGTGGTGTTATTGTTGTCTTCTGATTGGACAACAGAATCATTAGATGTTTCTTGAGAGAGAACAGTTCCTAGAATAGTTTCTTCATTTGAATTGGATAGAGTTTCATCGAATACCTGTCTGGTTTCCTCAACAGTTTCGACAACATCTTGTTGAGATTCAATTACTTGATCTCCTTCCTCGATTAAAAGTACTGGAGAACTTGATGCTGATGAATCATCTGTATCAATTTCTTCACTTGCTAAAATACTCAAAGGCTCACGAGTTTGTGATGTTACTGAAGTTTCATGTGCCATGAAAGATTGTGTCATATTCTCAAACGGCTGTTCATTTTGATATGATTGATCCATGGTTGCATGAAACTCGACAATTTCCTCATGTGCAGTAACTGATTCGGCAATGAATCCTGTACTAACTTTGTTATGATACGACTCGGTAATTTCTTGTGTTGTTGGCAATTCGGTCATGCTACTAGTTGCCATAGTACTAGCATTTTGATTTTCTTCTTGATTTGATGTATTATAATTTGTAATGAGAATGAACGAATCTTCATCTTCTTGTGTACTAATATTATTATTTATCACCACAACGTTTCTAGAGCCTTCTGATGACAATAATTCATCATCGGCAACAAGACTTTCAATTGATGATGATGTAGTAGTCTGCTGATTATTATTTACATGCATACTTGATTCCTCATCACTCAAATAATCCTCCTTGATATTAAATCCTGCGAACATATTATATAATACAAAACCCTGTGGGGCTGAAATATTGTTATTATCGGTTTGAACCAAATGAAACTCTTTTTCAAGTCTGAGTGGACTTGAAACGTGTTATTTGTTTTTTGATTTTTTTAATATAAAAATAGCATTCTAGTTATGATCGAAATGCAAAGAGAATTTATTGTACAACATCAGAAAGTGGATAACAAACTTGATGTTTATGGAAAACAATAAGGAACGAATACACCCATCAAAATGAAATGTTTCTATTGATGAGGCTTGATGTTATTCACGTTGTAAACTAGAGTCTTCGTTATCAAACACGACAAAAGAACCAATCGGAAGAGTTTGAGAAAAAAATGAGTCAACTACTAAGTCACTCATCACGGGCTTTGGAAAATATTCTGATTACTGGATGTTCGAAAGGAATGTAGGTAATCAGTGTGAGTGTGTGGAATGTTAATGACATGTTCATACGAATATTTAGTGGATTAAAATTGGTGGAATTATTTTTGAAGGATGAAACTAAAAAAGTATTTGCCACTTGTAGAAATCCAGAAAATGCTACGAAATTGAATGAATTATTGGAAAAGTATCCGAGTCGTTTGGATATTGATATGATTGATGTTTCAAAGGAGGAGACTATTAAGAATTATGTTGAAAAAAGAAGGGATTCTGTTAAATTCAAAGTACTGATAAATAATGCAGGAACTTATTCCTTGGATCGATTTGAAAATCTCCAAAATGCTACCAAAGAAGGGATGCTGTCTGTATATGAAACTAACTGTATTGGACCAATGCTAATGATGCAACATTTGTATAATAATCAATGTTTTGAAAATGATGCAATTATTGCCAATATTTCGAGTGGTATGGCCAGTATTAATAGGACAAATAGGCCAAGAAAGAGAGTGAGCTATTGTACATCAAAGGCAGCATTGAATATGTTAACAAAAATGATTAGTATAGAGTTGGAAGGAGTTTACTGTTTTTGCATTCATCCTGGTTGGTATTATTCAGTTATTTTAATTTTATTTAATTCTTAATTATTTAAGGTTGGGTTAAAACGGACACAGGTTAGTAATTATTCGAATAGTATTTAATTTTATTATTTTAGGTGGAGAAAGAGCTCCATTATCTGTTGACGATGTAGGTCCATCAATTAAAAGTCTAATTGATGAGTTCAAACCCGAAACTCAGAATGGTAAATTCTTACAATATGACGGTGTTGAACTAAAGTGGTAAATAAATTATTTAATTAAGCAAGTTCAACAATTTTTTCTCCCACTAATTGTTCGATCAACATGACCTTTTCTTCATCTGAAAGGTTTGGAAGATCAGCAACCTTGACACTCTTTGGATAGGCAGTAAAAATGGTTTGAACAGCTTCCAAGAAGATTCCGTCCAAGTCCAAATGTTGGAGTTCAACTTCATGGTAAACTCTGGTATTTTGAGATGAATAAATAATTGAAAAGACTTCTTCTTCCTCTTCTTGGTTTTCAGATTTCTCCTCCGATAAATTATCAATAACAATGTGAGCAGTGTTAGCAGTGGCAAGTCTGACCTTCAACTTTGAAACAGTTGCCTCACTAATTTGTTGATCCTTATTTGATTTTTCTCTCAAAATTGAAAGACCACTCGACACATGTCTATCATGCATGAATTTCTTGACCATTTCATCTGCAGCTTGATCCATAGGAATTGAGTTCATAACAAGACCAACCATTTCAGAACACTTTAAAATGAATTCCTCTCTTCTTGGATCCTCACATTCAGCAATATTAGTTCCCATGTATTCTTTAAAGTCTTTTGGTAGAGCTGTTCTCAAGTCAACATGATTTTCTGTAGCCATTTGGAGAGCCAAAGGAAGGGCCTTTTCCAAGTAATCAGTCCAACTCATCAAATGTGAAGTGGAAACAGTAATGTGGAGGGAGTGCTGATCTTGTGATGTGACAGCTTGGTGAATAACACCCTTTGGAACATATAACATATCACCAGGTTTTAACAAGATTTCAAAGCATTCAAATCCTGCAACTTCTTCTTGAGTGAAATTCTTGGAACTGAATCTATCCAAATATTGTTGATTTTCAAGAGGTCTGTAAATCTTCCAATGCTTTTCACCTTCCAATTGAATGAGGAAAGCTTCAATATCATCGTAATGAGGAGCAAATCCTTGAGAACCAGCAGGTGTTAAATAAGCATTCAAACCAGCTCCTTGACCGAAATATTCTTCAAAATGACACAATAAAGACAACAAGACATCAGAGTGTTCTTGTGGTCTCAACATTCTAATGGAACACTTTTCATTTTCATATAAATCCCATACTAATGTTGGATCAGCAACATCATCCTTATTAGGATTCAATGTGAAACGACGTCCATTTCTATAGAGAGCCAAATCCAAATCGTAAGAATATCTAAGTTCATGATCCACAAGAGTTTTCTTAATTTCATCCAAACTGTATAATCCCTTGTAGTAATCTGGATATACTTCATTTCTTCTGATTACCAAAACTCTCTTCTCTACGAATTCTTGATATAATTTATCCATATCTATTGGTGCATAAACCCAGTCTAATACTGACTTTCCTTGAGCTCTGGAATCATTAGATTTTGGATTTTTCATCAATTCAATACCATCCTTTGGTGTATGCTTCATCACAAGTTGTTCCTTTTTAATTTCAGCTGGTTGAAGAATTGGTTCTTCTTCCTCCGATTCTGGTTCAATCATCAATGGTACATTACAATATTGTATTTCAACTTTTTTTTCAGCACTTGATGAAGATGATGCCTTCTTCTTCTCTTCACCACTTGTAGCAGTCTTACCACTACCTTGTTTGACCTTTTTCAATAATCTTTCGGAAACTGGGGCTGCACCTCTTTTCATTTTTTTCGATATTTATTATTCAACATTTTTTTATTCAAATTTGAACAAAATTCAAGTGCTCTTTGGTATCATCTACAGCCTAATTGCCTCCGAAGGATTGCCTTTATGCAAACATTGATAGGACTTTGATAAATGAAAAATGCTGATTCTTCACAGAGTTCACTAACAGCAATTTCTATCAATAGGAATTACTTGTATAATTTAAGGTTTCATAAATGAATCAATATACAAATATAATCCCACGACAGAACAAGATACAAGGATTCTTCTCATGATCACAATGGTGAATAACCCAGCGCACCACCAAACACAAATTCTCCAACCTAGCTATCTACAAGAACACAACCGAGCCATATTCTCAATATAAATTTCCTCACAGCGCCTCCAGCTCACCAAAAAGCTTCCCAACCCTTCCTTTTATAAGGATAGTCTTAATATCGAAGTATTTACCTTCCTTAAATGTGTAGCCGAATGTACATATTGAGGACTCGAATCGTGTTGAACATTGAGGACAAGACCGCCGAGCAATGTTTGCCCTCTCTCTCAATATAAAAAAAAGAGCAAAACCTAACTACCATTAATTCTCCTTTAAAATCTCATCAAGAATATTCATTCTACACCTCACACCAGATCAAGATGATACAAACCACTAAGGAATATGTTTTCACAATTTTGACCCTTCTCAGCAATTTATTTTCATTGATTATGCAAGCACTATCACTTCCACCTGAATATCTCAATGTGAGAAGAATGTCTTTGGATAACATAGAATATGAGGCCTCGCAGCATTTGGTGCATTCGAGATCATTGTCGATTCTTGGAGAGGTCATCGATGAGACTTCTGCCACTATCAACAACAACTCTCCACAACCATCCATTCAACATTCATCAACACTAACCAAATCAAATTCCTCACTCGAATTAAGTAGTAACAGATTTTCAGAAGCAACAATTGAAGATGAAGAAGAGGAAGAAGAATCATTGATTCCTGAATCCACCTGTGAAAATATAGAAGTAATTATACCAGTGAAATTTAAGGAAAGATTATCCCTCTCTAGTTTGAAATCGTGTAAGAGTGAGAGTTGTCTTCAGCTCACTGATATTCAAACAAACAAGTTAATCAACAGAGAAGAACCTGATGAAACACCAAAAGGAAGAAGAGAACCTCACTATCTCAAACTTCCTTCAATCGTTACTATTGAGAAATCGCTCCCTCAAGATAAATTCCATCAACATTTGATGAAGAAGACCTTTGTATTGAAAAAGTCCTTCTCAGAAAACCATTCATCAATAGAGCTACACAAGAGATTGCAAACCTTTAAATTTCCACCTTCTTCATCAACAAGCGAGTTGTGCAACTATGATTGAGGATCCAATGCCTATATGAGAGGTTTGTAGAATTGGCTGCTTTTTTAGGTTGTCTGGACCGAAATTCAAAAAAGAGAATTTTGCATTTATTTGACGACAATTACAGCTCCCGTAAAGCGAAGATTTATGCTTTGGAAAGGAAGCTTGTGTATAAAGTAGGACGAAGATCCTTCAATGGAATTAACAATCTTAATTTGCATTAAGGAATGAGCTAAAAATATTAAAAAATATTTGTAAGTTCAACTGTGTTAATTGTTATACATAACATTGGTATTTTTCTTGATATATTGACAATATAACTTAAGACTTTATTTCTTAGATTTCTTGATAATGGCAGCAACTTCCTTTTCATTAATAGTATCAATTCTTGGAATGCCTGAAACAGCAATACTACAGCTTATTCCCAAATCATCAACTTCGACGGCCTTGGTTGGTTTTTTCTTTTTAATGACAAAGTTTCTTACCTTTCTGTCTTCTTGTTCATTTCTCCATTCAATTAATTTGGCAAGTTTTGAGCTTGTTGAGGTGGATTTGAATTCTTCAATATATTTAACAGGAACGAGACCCACTTCATTCCATTCTTCGTAGAGATTGATCAAATTTCTGAACAAACTCTCTTCCTCATCATTGGCATAACCCTTTGTGCTATCGGTTCCGAAAATGGATGAAAGGGATTTTCTGGCACTGACCTTACTCAATACTTGATCCTTTTCGAAATTAGATGAAGATGTTGTCTTTTTCTTTTGTTCACTTGCTTCAAAGAGTGATAACAAGTCCATCTTTTGAATTAAATCATCTCCCTTATTATTGTTAATGAGTGTCGAAGTGCTGTTTCTAACATTGACTGCCATATCTTTAGAAGAACTGGAGCTGTAGTATTCTAACAATTCATTATTTAAATCTCTGATTTGAATAAAACTGTGCTTGATTCTTCTCAATTGTTTGACTGCTGGTGGATCTCCAGCATTGATTCCTTCACGATTTCTTTGAGTATTCATGAGGATTTTCAATGTTTCAAAATCTCTAGGAATGTAACTTTCTAAAATCTTTTGCTTTCTATCTGGATCACTATTTAAACCTGCCTTCTTGACCAAAACAAAATCAGTATTTGGTTTCTCAAAAACAATCAAAACATCTCCACGATGGAATGACATGACACCTTGTGAATCTGTTTGGCCAACTCCTTTACCATTGAAGAATCGGTGAGGTCTATATGTATTCATGGCTTGAGCAATGTAGAATCTCTCTTCGAGATCTCTTCCCTTCACTACTTCGAGACGAGATTCAGATGGAATATCTGATGATGATACTTTTGGAATTTCATCAGGATTAATCTCATTTGGATCCAATTCAACATCATTATATTTGGTTTTTTCTGTATTTTCACCACCTAAATGTTTCTTACTCTTGAAAAATCTTAAAAATCCTCCCTTCTTCTTTGGTTCAGTTTGTTGAGATGAGGATGATTGAAGAGTTGGAGAATCTTGATTCAACTTATTGGCACCTCCAGAATTTGATCTCTTACTCTTCCTCCTTTCCTCATTGGCTAACTTTTGAGTGAGATAGGACAAATTAGTATAGAATGGATAAGGAATGAGTCCACTGTTGTGTACAATGGCATACTCTAATGAAGTTGCATTCTTTGCATACTCGTGAATATTATCAGTTATTTGTGTAATGTACTTGACCTTCATATCAAAATCTGGAAAATCAAATACATAGACATCATCATGAGCAATTACTTGGAATGCATTATTCAGACCAACAATTTCCAAATTATCAAAAATAGAAAATGATGAATTAGTAGATGATAGAGAATCTGTGCTAGCTCTTCTATCCTTATCATTGGATGGTACAACGAGGGAGGTGTGACTTCCCACGAGAATTCCACCAACTGATGCAGTAGATGGAGTTGATAATAAATGACCACTTCCACCATATGCTGGACTTGTTGGGGTGGAGAGTGTGTTTCTTACTCTTGCCATTTGAGAATCAAAGCCAAATGAACCCATACCTAAAGACAATTCAGGAATGAATTTATCTGCAATATCTCTAAGCCAAGGATATGGTGATGAATCTAAATGAATTCTGCACAAGTACTTTTCTTGAACTGGTTCTTCTTCCTTTACCTTTTTCTTTTCATCGGTTTGTCTATATAAATTAGAATGTTAGAATAATGTTAACAGTTAGAGAAAATACATACGGAACTACTGGAGGTGGAGGAATACTGACTAGAATTAAATCATTAAACAAGTACAAGTTGACTTTTTGCAATTTCAAATGCTTCGAATAGGAAAAGAATTTTACATTTTTCAAAACTTCACATTGGAATTTTCTAGTATGTTTTTCCTTAAGTTCCTTTTCATCAATTCCATCCATTTTCATATCATCCTCAAAGAGAGTAAAGAGAGAAACGAGACGTTCCTCACTCTCATATGCTCTAATTTTCTCATTGACATAATCAGCAATATCTGAAACTGCTTTTAAGGCCTCAGTGAGAGAGGCAAAATCCTTGTGATATTGAGAAGTTTTTGATAAAAGTTCTGAAAGAAGCATCTTGTATCTTGGAATTCTCTGAACTGGTAAAATAAGGAACGAATTGAGTGCTCTATTATTGACTCCATGCAATCCACTCTTTTGTTGAGATGTTAAGAATTTATCCAATTCTGGATGTTCCTTTCTGGAAAAATAATTGATTAGTATTTCTATAAAGAAAAAAATTAAATACCTACTTGGCAACTCTCAATGCTGTAGCAATATTATTATATTGATTACAATAGGTTGTGTAACTCTTCATGAATGGTGCATATCTCAAAAAGATTTCACCAATTGTTTGTTCTGGTTTCTTTCCTGTTTGTTTTTCCTCTTCCATGAGCTTTTTCAAATCGGCCAATAATCTTCCATTTGTAATACCTGTGAACGAAACAACATTATTCCAATAATTATTTTAAAAAATTACATATTCGAAACAAGGATTCTAATTCGCACACACCGAACACTGAAAGAAATAACTTACGAATCGGACCCAAATCATTGAATACTTTAATATGAAGAGATTTGGAACAACCAACTTCTTCTCCTTTTTCTTGTAGTGGTTTCTCATAGACTACACTAAGAATTTCCAAATTGTTAACATATTCCTCTTCTGTTTCAATAATTTCTTCGAAAATCTTTTGTCTCTTTCTACTCGCTGCTGAACTCATATTGATGCTAATAAAGAGTAAAGATGTGTTGATAAATTATATATATCTATTGATAATGAAAGTGTGGTGAACGTGTCGTCACGATGATGCAGTTGTGTTATGGAGATGATGATCACTACTCTCGACTACTACTACTATTAGGAATAATATACTATTGTTACTGATATGATATAATGTACAGGAAATAGAAAGTGTAGCAAATATTGATGAATGGAGAAGTGTGTGAGGTTGTGTATTTTTTTCTGTTGAGTGCGCCAATCGGTGACAAATGACAAAATTTAAACGTCAAAGCATGGTTGTCATAAATAATCTTTTTATTTTCGATAATACTGTACAAAGTTAGGCCTATTGCATCATTAAAAACTTTTCAAACATATCCTTATTCATTGATGGTCTACCTTTCCATAAATCCTTAACAACTCTGTATGAAGGTTGAGGATTTTCTGTGAAATCAAAATGGGCATACATTAATCTTTCTACATCCTTCAAATCTACATATCCGTACCAATCAACAAACCATGGTAATTTTTGCATTTTCTTATTTTGGTAAACAATGACAACGTTTCCAGCATATTTGTGTCCTCCTAAATGGTTAACTCTTCTTAAAACAATATCAATTTGATTTTGAATACAGAAATCACGGAAAGCTTCATATAATCTTGGTCCACAATATCCACATCTTTGATCTCTTTGATGGTGACAACAAATCATAATAGTACTTTGTTTAACATTTCTCTCTATTTTAGATACATCAACTTCTGCACTGCTAGTTTGTCCACTCATTGCAAATGTTACAAGCTTTTCCAATTCAACTTCATCTACAACATTTGTAAATTTGATTTGTTCAGGTATCATGATAAATGTATTTCCTTCAATCTTTTCTCCATCATAAGCTTCAGCAATACTGATTTTTATCTTCTTCTTCTTTAAAAGAGTTGTTGCCTTACCAATCATTGGGAATTGAGTTTCTTCAGCATTTGCTTCCCATTCAGTAGCACGAACATTTGTTAAGAATAATAATAATGAATTATGTGGTGTAATTCTACCAACAAGTTTGTCTTGTGGATCTTTAAATTCCTCACGTTTAAAACCATATGCACATTCACAATCAACTCCTTGATTAATTGGTAAGCTTTCAGTGTAACTAATATCATAAAGATCATAAACACATTTTACAAGTTGCTTGAGAGCATTCAACTTTTGTGTTGTTTTATCGGAAGCTCCAACCAATCCGGATTCAATTTCCTTGGTAGCTTTTGAAAGCATATCTTCAATTTCCTCCTTTGTCATTGATTTCTTAATTTCACTACTATTATCATCAGATTTACCCATCAAATAACCCAACAAGAGGGTTGTACCAGCAAGAAATCCAGCTGTTAATAAACCAGAATCAATATTTTCAAACATAATGATTGTTCCGAATAATACAAAAAATCCTCTCCTATCCAAGTGTTGAGAAAATTTTTTTTAAATTGCCAAAATTAATTTTAATAATTTTCCATTTAGTAATTTTCAATATTAATATTAATAATATGGTGATGATGATACGGTACGAGTTTCGAAATCCTGGATCCAAAAATCATTGTAAATACCATGAACATATTTAAGATTCCTAAAGCCATGGTGTTGCGTATTAATTTTATATTATTAATTGGTGGAAGAACTTTGGGAGTAGGATAGGATGCAATAATTCAGGAGTAGCATCGGCCGAAGAAGAAATATTTCATGTTCTTAGTGCCTTTCTAATTGGAAGACATTAAGTGTGGATGGACACGTATCACTCATTCAGCTAAAATCTATTACCTCAATTCCAATTTCTCACTAATTCACACAATAAGATACCGATTTGCTCCTTCACTAAAAAGAGCATTTACACGTTAATTTCTCACATTCATATTGGAAGGAGTACTTCCCCAATCACAATAAAAAAAGTGCATAAAGGAGCTCTGCCTAGGAAGCTCCGATTGACTTGACACTCAACGACCACTATTGATTGCATCACACCTTCATTTTGATTTGGTTTTTTATTATCATCGACCAACAGCAACCGATCAGTATCATCATTACAGTGTACTGCACATTGTTTCAAACATTCCTCTTGCACAACTGTTTCAATTCTATTTGTGGTCGCTTCTCTTCTGCAATTTACAGTTATATTTCTTTATTTGTTCTCAAAGAAGATACCCATTTGTTTGAAACAAATTGCAAAGGAAAAAACCTACTTTTTCAACACGTTTCCCTATTTGTTGCACCTCGGTGGAAAATACAAAAAGTTACGACGACGACACAATTTATTATTTGCTTTAGAAAACTCTTGAGAGACCTATTGCAATTATATATCAACACGTGTGGTAGTTTTACTTGTTGGTGGTCCAAAAATTGATTGGAATTTTCATAACAATTTGAAAGAGAAGAAGAATAATTTCTCTCAATATTTTGAAATTATTATTAATAATTTGTATATAATATAATCATTAACAACAATAACTCATATGTATAATAATAATAATAATATTAGTAATAATTAAGCTTCTTGAATATAGTGTAATTTAAATATCATCATCATCATATAATAACAACAACATTATAATGGGATTGTGTTGCTCTTCTGCTGATACTGTAGATGATCATCATACGAATCATCCACTGGAGGATGATGAGGAACGTCATTCAATATCAAACTCTAATTTACAAAATACAACCCTAGAATCTATTAACATTAGTTTACATGGAAAAACCAATAGCAATACTGTAGCATCAGTAACATCAAGTCTTCGGAATCAACATTCCGTACATAGTAGCTCTGAAGAGGATCATGATCCGACCTCTCCAAAGAAGAATCAAAAGAGAAAGAAGAAGAATCGTTCAAAGAAGAGTTTAACCAGAAAGTTTTCAAAGTCAAGACAAGACGAATTAGCAGCTTCGTTTGAAAATTCACCAAGTAATAGTCCAAGAACAAATTACTATTATTACGAGGATATTGTCAATACAGCTGAGATGGAACATGATTCCGATGATCAACATCCATCCAATCATCATGTTTCTCTAAATCATCCAACGAATGGTGACTTAGAATCATTGAAAATATCATCCCTTGCTAATTCATCCTATTCATCAGCTGTGAAATATTCTAGTATTATGAAAGGAATTAATCCAGCACTGGGGTCTTTAGTATCAAGCAATAGTACGAGTAGTCATGGACATCACCATCATCATGTTCCTTCATCTCCTTCATTGTTGACATTAAGTTTACAACAGCAACAAATTAAACAACATATGGAGTCAATGAAGAGAAAGCAAGGAGCATCAAGAAGGACACTCTCAGAATATCAACAACCAAGCCATTTAGAGGTTACTTCGAGCACTTCAATGTTGAGTTTTAATGAAAAAAAGCCAGTGATTGATTCAAAGAAACAACAAATCTCTGATTTTAAAAAGCCATCATCCAGTAACTTGATTGTTAAATTGGAAGAATCTGATGAATCTGAAGAGGAAGATATGGACATTTCTGATGAAGATGAATCATTGGATTCTGTTCAACAATTTGCCAAGATTCAACAAGAAACTGGTACTATTAGAAAGCATCCACAAAAGGAAAAATCTAGTACACTTCCACCTAATAGTTTGGATTTGAGCTCTGGTACAAATTCTTGGTTTGCTATTCCAAACAATTTGCCTAAAGTGAATAAGGTGAAAACATCAAAATCAAATTCAAAGAATCAAGTTGACTCAGATACAACATTACTTTTTAAAGTTGTTTTTATTGGAGATGGAGAAGTTGGTAAAAGTTCATGTCTGTCAAGATTTGAAGGAAATACATTCTCTAGTTCAACAAGAAGAACAGTTGGTTTGGAGTTTACAACCAGATTTATTGATCATACAGCAAAAACACAAGCTAATAGCTTGACGGCAGCTTCTCCTCACATGACATCCACAAGTCCACAAGGAAGTATTTTGTTCACTAACAAACACAAAATTCAACTTCAATTTTGGGATATGGGATTCAGTAGTTATCAGGAAGAATCACTTTTCAGAGAATACTTGAAAGATATTCAATGTATTATCTGTGTTTATTCTATCAATTCAGTTTCTAGCTTTGAAAGGCTGAAGCAATTATGGAACACTCAAGTGCTTCCTCAATTAATTAAGAACCACTATCTACCACATGTTAAAATTGTTTTACTTGGAAATAAGACTGATCTTGACTGTGAACGAAGTGTTGACTTTATTCAAGGTCTTGAGTTTGCAAGAGCTATGAACAGAAGTATTTTGAATGCCATCTCATCATCTCCTTCTCCAACCACCATACCTCAAAAGGTTGCTAATGTTTTTGATGACAAATCTAATAATGAATTGAAATCATTCAAGAATGATCTTGGGGCTCTTTCAAATACCAATGTTGCAGCAAGTTTTGAGGATAACAGTCTAACAGGAAATTCAATTTCTTCTGTAGATGATTGTGACAGGATTGATGCAGTCAAATTTTTCGAATGTAGTGCAAAAACTGGTCAAAATCTTGAAACTTCCATTCAAACTTTGGCTCACGATTTAGATAATTACTTTTCCAATTATTTATTATAATTTAAAACACAAAAGAGAGGTGTAAATATTTTCGAACAATTTTGAAACAAAATAAATGTAAATTTATTATTGAACCAGCATTTACAGTGATGGATCTTTGGTTACTGAGTCTTTCTTTGTAGATTTGGATACATTTTTCAATTTTCCTTTGGAGTTTACCATTTCCAAATCGTCCATTTCTACATTGATAGTCTTCAACATCTTGAGCTTTTTTCTTGTCTTCTTACCTCCAGTGACACGGTCATGGAATCTGGTACGTAATTTGGTAAGAGTAGAGAGGAATAAATCATTGTTTGCACCATTCTTAATATTCATGAACAAATGGATATTGTAAAGAGCTTGACCTAAAACTCTATCAACATTCTTAAGAGAATTGAAGCAAAGAGAAAGTGAAGGGAAGTCGCAATCAGTTGATACTTGTCTCTTTTGACCATTTCTCAAGAATTCAACAGCATATGAGCTGAGGGACAAACTAGCCTTTTGAGAAATCTTTTCTACAAGGTCAAGATATGGCAACAATGATACATCCAAAATTACATTCTGATTACGGCAATTGAGTAATTGAGAAACACTAGTAAACATGTCATCATTACCACTGATAGCAACAAAGCTGCTAGTACCATAATACTTGAGCTTACTTTCATTGAGAGACTTGCAGAGACTGGATTCTTGATAAAGTTGTTCGAGATAGCTTTCTTCATGAGGGAAGGCAATATTAGATAATGGAAGAACATTATCAACAGTTTCCTTTTGATAATTCTTGCAATAAGATACTACAAATGTTGCAAATTCCTTGAGAACAATTCTATTGTAGTCATTCAATTGAGATAAGACATTTTCTGAGGAAATATCTGTCTTGCTATTAAGAGCAGCCTTACCACTGGTAATAATTTCCAAAGTGTCATTGGAATAATAATTTTCCAATTTGTATGGAGAAAGATCCCAATGAGATAATTTTCTGGCTTCGAAAAGCAAGTTCAACAAGATTAATAATTTTTCACCTAATAATTCAACCTTTTCTTCAGGTCTCATTGATGATTCGTCCAAAACATCTTTCCACTTTTGCAAATAAGTGTTGATGGCGCCAGTCTTTAACAAATGAATGAATAAGAAATTAGCTGGTTCATAATAGAAAAGACTATTGGCGAGCAAGGAGAACTCTCCCAAAGTACCATCTTCTTGAATGTAATTGTTTCTTCTCAAAAAGTCTAAAATAAATCTAAAGCACAATTTGTTTTGGAGTTCAGAATTTTCCAAAATTTGTCCAAGATAGAAAATCTTCTTGTTTACCAAACGAGAAAGATCGTCAGCTACAATTTGATATTTGGTGTCATCGGATTTAGCCCTATTGAGGAGAGTAAGCATCTTTAACAAGAAATTAGCTCTTAAACCCATAGCACCCTTGATCTTTGGAGTAACACCAGAGAGCAATCTGTTGGCTGTAACTTGAGGAATACCATAGAGAACAACTCTACCCTTGACATCGTAACCTCTACGACCAGAACGACCAGCACATTGTTGGAACATTGTCGTGGTCAAGTAAATTGAGTGACCAACCATGACTACAGTCTTACAAGGCATGTGAATACCAAGAGCTAAAGTAGAAGTAGAAATGACAACAGGTAAACATCTCAATCTGAAAAGTCTTTCAACTTCAGTGAGATATTCACTTGGGCAACTGTGGTGATGGACAGCAACACCAACTTCTAAACCTTCCTTAAGTTCGATTGGAATTTTAGTTCCGAATTGTTCAATACTTTGTAAACTGTAACGAATTTCCTTTTCAGATCTAACCTTTTCCAAGCTAGATGAATAGAGATGGAAATAGTTACCAAGTTGTGAATTGGCACGGGCTGTACGGAGATGGGTGGAAATCTTTTTGAGTAAATAATCACACATAGTTCTATCAAAGCTAAAGAAGATTGAAGGAGTTAGCTTTTCTTCTGCCAATCTAGTAACCAATTGAATAATATTGTCCTTCAACCAACCATCTGAACCGAACTTGTGTCTAGAAATAACCTTACTAGATGTAGTAGAAGCAGCATCCGATTCAGAAACATTGTCTGAAATTGATTGTTGAGACTTGTAATCTCCTTCCATGTTGTCAAAACTTAAACTAACATCCTTCAACAAGGTTCTAATAATACCTAACAAGAATTCATGATTCTCAGTTTCAGTTGAGAGTTTGATTAATTCTTCCTTCATAGTCTTGCCATAACTAGAGAATTGTTGTCTCTTGAAAAGTCCAAAGTTATTAAAGTATGAATCTGGATTGAAAGTAGCCAAGAATTTTTCAATAGCAGTAGAGATTGGCTTTCCTTGCTCCTTGAATGAGGTTTTGATTGCTGTAGCAACCTTGAAAAGAGTAAGACATTGGAGAGGAGAGAAGTTTTGAATCAATGAGAAAGAAACAGTATCAATAGAATTTGGATTAAGTGTGGCCATTGGATGGATTTCGGTGAATCTATCTGCAGAACTATCATAGTTATAGAATTCTAATGGACGAGGTCTTTCGTCGTGAACAACCAAGTCTACACCTTGTTGTTGATCGTTCAAGTAAGTGATGTGGCTTACAATTTCCTTGTTGTAATTTTCATTCAACCAATCTGCGAATTCCTTTGGATTACCAATAGAGGCACTGAGGGCAATAAATGGACATTCAAGAAGACTCAAAACATGTTCCCAAACTTGACCACTGGATGATGATTCGTTGATACAGTGAATTTCGTCGAGGATGATGTACTTCATTCTTCTCTTCCATTCTAGATTTTCTGGACTGGTCATCAAATGTTCTAAAGATTGTGGAACAGTGACGAGTACTTGACATGTAGTTACGTTAATCTTTTCGTCAGCAGTGTACATTCCCAACATACTGGAAACACCATAAGGTGAAGTATTGTTGTAAACCTTTTGGAATCTACTATAAACTTCAGCATAAGCTTGATTTACCAAGGCCTTTGTTGGACAGCAATAAACAATGATAGAATCATCAGATTCCCTCAAAACCTTTTCCATGGCAAAGAATGCAATAAATGTCTTACCAGAACTGGTTGGAGCACTAACCAGGATTGACTTATTTTGTAAAATTGATAAAATCATATTCTCTTGCCAAGGATCTGGTGTGAAACCAAGAGATTTAGCCGTTGGTATAACATAATTTTGAGAAATAGGTGTAGAAGGTTCATCTGTTGTTGATTCTTCTTCTGTTGTTGCCTTTTCATCCTTTCTGGTACGAGAAGGCTTTTCCTTCTTAGGATGTCCCTTTGGCTTGGCTCCCTTAGAGTCAATGGTTACAGTCTCTGGAATTTCAGCTGGAGGAATTTCAATATTTGTGGCAGAATCAATAATTGCATTGTTATAGAGAAGTTGGAATTCAGCTGATTCAGGCTTATCGTTGACAGAATCTTTAACATTGACAGTTTCAGCAGGAAGAGATTCAACTTCTAATTGTTGCATCAAATTATCCTTGATAAGAGAACCAAAAGTAATTTCTCCTTGATTGAATTTTTCAGAAATTCTGCTTGCAAATTTAACAAAGCCCAAATCACACATGAAATTGATCAAGGTTTGAATGACATCTTTGAGATCAATCTTTGAGATTGGTTTAACTTTTTCACCCTTCTTGTCCCCCTTTGCAGGCTTTTTGGCAGCAGCCTTTGTTGGTTTTTTATCCTTTTCTTGGGATGCTGATGTTGCCACAGACAATTCTGAAATGTAGGAATCATTAATCAATTGTGTAACAATTTCGTAGATCCTATTGGTAAGTTCAAAAGGCTCCCAGTACAAAGATAAATCCAAGTCAGCACCTCCAGACAAGTTGTCAATTTGTGGAATTGCATTAGGGTTTGCTTCCTTGAGGGCACCTTTCTTCTTATCGTCTTTCTTTTCTTTGGAGTCTTCGGATGGCTCTTCGTCAAAACTAAGGAATTTAACGCCCTTCTTTGGAGCAGATGATTGAGTTCTTCTCAAAGAGGTTTGAAGATCTTGTCTTTCAAGTAACAACTTTCTTGTCATAAATTGAAGCCTGAGGATAGAAAGTTGAACCCACAAATTTTCACAAGTTGTTCTTTGTTCTAGTAACAAAGTAGCAGCTGTGAAACTTTCAGAACTACTACTGGCACTCTTCTTATTTGCAGAGCTACCACCTTCAGTAGCTTGAATATTTTGTACAAGTCTAATATCCTTGAAAATACCTTCCAACAATAATTTGGTCAATGATTCATATTGTTCAATCTTTCCTCCGTGTTCTTTCAATTCGTCGGCCTTATTGTTATATTCGCTGAATTTTTGTTGGTATTCAGACAATTTTCCAGTAAGTTCATTAATTTCCTTTTCACGTTTCTTTGTGTTAGATTCAATCATCATCAATCTAACCTTTGTTGAAGGAGCTGCTGATGCAGCTGGAGTTGCTTGTTTTTCTTCCTTCTTATTAGGTTTAGCTGGTTTTCCACCCTTTGTTTGTTCGACAGGTTTGACTTCTTCAGCTACAACACCTGATGATTTAGCATTTTCAATAACCTTCTTATCGGATAAAGCCCTCATTGATTCGGAGTATCTGTGCAATCTCTTTTGAGCTTCTTGTACCTTGATCTTTTCCCATTCACTCTTTGGTCCAGAAAAATCGTTTGGAATTTGTTCTTCGACGTCCTTCTTTTGGGAATAGTTGACTTCTTGTTCTCTCACAGGGAAACATCTTTCAAAACTGAGTTCCTTAGCTTCTTCTTCTGTGAGTATTTCTTGTTCTTCTTTAACTTCGACAACTTCCTCAACTTGTTCTTCCTGAAGCCAGTCTTCCTTTTCCCAATCTTCCAATCCATCTTGTGCTTCTTCTACAATTTCTGGTTTAGGTTCTTCTTTAACAGGAGCTTGTTCAGTAATTATCTTTTCAGATTTGTGAGGAAGAGTAATATTTACGCCAGATACCAATCCATTGATTACATCTTGATTTAATGGTAGAATCTCTCTTAAAAGACACTCAGGATGTCTTGGTTTGTAATCCTCAGTTTCTGATCTTTTTGAAACTAAAGGATTTAATACCTTTTCCCACCATGAGGCATCCTTGGTTGACTTTGATGTTGTCAATAGAGACACCAAGGATTTAAATAGATTCTGAAGCTCTTTTGGTAAAAGTTCTGCTAAAAGGTGATCATCTGATGAATTATTTTCAAGTTTTTGAGCAACTCCTGAGCTCAATAAAATAGTCAGAACCTTCAAAAACAATCTAAAGTCCAAAAGATCATATAAATTATCTTCAATGTTTGTTTGCTTGAGAGAGTGGTAAAGGGATGTCAAAATTTTTTCTTGGAATGAGATTAATGATGTATCCAAGGAAACGTCTTCAATATGTTGTGCTCTGTCTTTGAGTGGAATAATGTTTTGAATAATATTAGTGAGAATAAATATCTTTGAGAGAGCCAATGCATTTGGAGTTGTTTGTTCAGAGAGAGAATCAATGGAGGCAATGGCTGAAAGGGTTAAACTTGACACAGAAACCTTTTTGGTAAGAGATGAATCCGAGAGCTCCTTTGAAATAATTTGCTCAATATTTGATTTAATTTCTGAGAAATGTTTTTCAGCTGCAAGCCCAATTTGAGAAGTCAATTTGAATACATTTTCTGACCTTTCTTCAGAGAAATTTTTTTCCAAAAACAATTCAACTTCTCTCAATTTGTAAGAGTTTGTCATGTTATCTCTAACAGCTGAACAGAAACCAATTACAGTATTTCCGTAAAAACATAAATCATAGGTCAAAATTACTTGTCTTACAAGGACAGTCTCTGTACAGAAAAGTTCGTCAATGATCGAATTTTGTGCCAATGTTGAAATAATAAATGATGGTTTTCTCTTTGTGATAAGATTTTCCCAATTACTTGATTTGTACCATGTATCGTTGAGGAAAGTAACAGTAAAAACATCTGACTTGGAATAATTCTCGGAAATTTTCTTCAATTGTGATGAAATAGCTTGTTTGGCAACCAAAAAGCTGTAAGCTAATGATTGGAAAGAAATTCCTAAATCTTGATGAATTTCATAAGCCAAATTCAACAAGAATGATGATTTGATACATTGACTTGTTCTAATATCTTCAAAAAAGACAATATCAATTCTCATATCACGATCCAACAAGTTTTTAACGAATGTTTCAACAAGGTATGTCAGGTGAAGAAGTTGACCACCATGTTTTAACCAATCCAATCTATAAAGACTTTCATTAGATTCATTTCTTCCGAAGGAGTCTCTTAAAAAGTGTGCTACTAATTGATCGCCATTAACAATAACCAAATCTAAACCTCCTTTAGCATCAATTAAATCATATTGATTAAAAGATATAATTTGTTTAATTTGGTCAAGTGATTGGATGGAAATATCGTGATGTTTCTTTGTTGGAAGTAATGATTGTTGCAACAATTCATCATCATCATCAATATCATCACCTTCGGCGATTTCTTCCAAAATTTGTTCAGTTGTTTCTTCTTCTTCTTCCTCTTCTATTTGATTTGAATTTTGATACTCTTCTTCCATGTTGTTGTTATTATTAAATTTACTTCTTGATAATAGAAGGTTCCGAAATGCTGCTAGTTGTTGTTGTGTTAAGTTTTTTTTAAACAATAAAATTTTGGATCTCTTTAAAACCTAAAAATATTCTCCCAAGCACTCATCACACTTGAGAATATTTTAGTTTTATTTTCGATTAATTGTACATGCTGAGTTTGAAATTTGCTTAATTTGATAATGAACAAGACAATAAAATTCAATCCAATTTTGTTAGGCTCTTCAAGTTACGGAATAACCAAGGCTGAAAAGTGTATTTGGAATATTTTTATGTTTCCAGCTTTTAGAGGAAATGGGTAAGAACAATTACCGCCAAAAAAATGCCTGCAACAAGATCTTCAAAGAAGGGTTTGTTTTTTTCATCATTAAAATTGTGATTAATTGAACATTTATCATCATGTGTGATGACAACTAAATTTATTGTAAAACTAATAGATGGTGGATCAAAGAAAAACAATGAGAAGGAAACTAAAAAGGAATCTTCATCATCGGATGATCAATCAGCCAAGTGGAATGTATTATTAAAGATGAGAAACTCTATTCAAAAGCAAAAAAAGAAGCAATCTAGCCTACTTTTATCTAATACTTTAAAAACACAATTCGCACCAAGTCCGAAGACAAATGACTCAGACAATGCATCTTGTATTTCATTAGACTTTGCAAGCTCAACTATAGAGGGTAATATTCAATCCATTCTAGCATCACATATTGCACAACTTAAAGTTGAATATTTGAGATGGAAAAGTTCACAAAAATCATTATCCGAAGCTACTCTTCCAATTGACAAAACAACCAATTCTAACATGTTCTTATCATGTCCTATAGAAAATAATTATTCGAATGTTGGAGAAGTTGATATGCTCATGGGAGCAACATTTAGAAAAGAGCAAGATACAACCGAACCAGAGAAAAAGAAAAGTCGAGCATTATTTGATGACAAATCAGATCAATCTCTTAGTCCTGAGGCATTCAAAAAATTAGTGGAATCAAACAAATCAAAAGCTCACGTTCTTATACAGGATGAAGCAGCAGGAAAAACAAAGTTCATATTAGATTCTCTTCTTTCTGGAGATTCATATTTACTCTACTTTGATTTTGCTATAGACATGAGAGAATTTGAAAGAAGACATCAATCTGTGAGTGGTAATTTTTATGTTGGAAATAAGTTTAGTGCTTCTAGCCCAAAAGGATCAAAAAGTTTAATTGGAAAAGCAGGATTTAAACATTATCCAAAAGCACAAAATTTAGTACATGAAACATTCTACGAGAATTTACTTCAAAAGTTTGGATCTGCCACCAAGAGTGGTAAAGAGAAACCAATGTACATGAATCCGACTGAGCATTGCAAAAATTTCTATATTGTTAGGAGAAGCTTTTTACTCTTAATATATGTGCACATGTTTGATCTGTTGGCATATTTACAGATGAAGAAAGATCGTAAGAAATTACTTGAATCAAGCCCAACTACTCCAACAGAATCCACTAACACGAGAAGAAGTACAAGGCAAAAAAAACCAGAAGAAAATTTATCTAAAGAAGATTTGGAAGAACAAGGTGATGCATCTCCAATGGATTATTATCTTTTTAGAAAGTTTGAAAATACTTCACTTTCTAAAATTTATACAACTATTCTATCTAATGTTAATACCAAGTTTACATCACAACAATTTTGCCAATATTTGACTGATTATCTTATTGGACACTCACAAAAGAGTGAAAGTGTAAATATTAATCTAGTATTTGATCAAATTCAAGAATTGGTGGATCACTCTAAGTTTTTGTATATATACAAGTCACGTTTCGATCATGATGGATGTCAAACGCAAGTACCTGAGGCATCTTATTATTCACATAATGTTTTCTCAAATATTTTCGGTAATAGTTCTGGAAATGGAAGCGAGTTATTGAGTGGAAACGGATCATCTAGTTATCAGCCAATCATTGAACCAGTAATGGATGCTATTCAATATTTTTCGAAACATGCAGAGGAGGGAGTTTCTAGAGTTTTAATAGGAAGAACATTTACAGAGACAGCTGGAACAGAGGTTGAAACTTCAACATCTTCAAGACCAAGAAGATCTACAACACTTCCAAAAGTCTATCTCAAGGAGAAAATTTCATTACTTCGAAAATTACCTCTGAAGCAGTATGAGCTTACCATTGTACCTGATATCTATAATTATAGTGAAAATGTTGAAAATATCAAGAAGGTATTTTCATATTATTTCCCATTAGTAGATATTTCTGAGCTGATTGAAAATAGTTTTGAAAAATTATTAACGGAAGAATGTACACCAACATTTAACAATCATATTCTTTTTGATACAATAATCTCTGGTCTGTTGAAGGATAAATTTACCAAGTTGAACTCTAAGAAAGCAAGTGACCTGGATCCAGAGCAAGAATGGCTTTCTAACGCACTCTCAAATATTCTTTTCATGACCTATCCAACAATATTTTCACAGAATGTACAACCTGAAAAAAAGAGAAAGAGAGCAGCAAAGAAAGAGGCTCCAGTTGACTTTGAAAATCTAGAACTTCCTGATGAAGATGAGGAAGAGTATCAAACAGAAGAAGAGGAGGAAAAAAAGCCAAAGAAATCTCCAAAAAAGAAGAGTACTCCTAAGAAAGAAACTAAGAAAAAGAAAGCAACACCAAAAAAAGAAAAGAAGGTGGAAAAAAAGGAGAAGGAAGAAATTAAGGAAGAGCAAATGGCAGAGAAAAAAGAAGAGCCTTCCACACCTGTAAAGGAAGAAACTGAAAGCAAAGAAGAACCAAAAGAGGAACCTTCCACTCCAAAATCTAAATCAAAGACCAAGAAAAGTCCAGGAAGAGGAAAAAAGAAATCAACACCAAAAAAGACTAAGTAATAATACACTAATATTTATTACAGATCTGTCAAAATGTCAAAGGTCTTTGCAACTCGTTTCAATGAAGATTTTTCTTCCTCACTAAATCCACAGTCTTTCATTATCAAATATTTGATGGCTGTTTTAGATGCAAGATACTTTTCAACAAGACTAATGTAAGGCTTTAGACAATATCCACTCAGATCCAATCTTAATGCATGTCTATTTTCACACAATCTTGTCAATATTTCAACAATCTCCTTCTCATTGACAAACTTTTGACAATCTGATAAATCAATTTGTAAAAACTTGAATGTTCTCAAAAGTGACATGAATTCATCTCTTTGCTCTTCACTTGCAAAGTATGATCCAGCTCTGTTCAAATAATATTTGAGTTGAAATTTGGATTCTGCAGGTGATGAAGGTGTAATTTTCATATCTTCTAACATGTGTTCCAACCAAATATCATCCTCAGTTGTTACATTACTGAGTGGCGATGAAACTTGAGAAAGACAATCCATATTTGATGTGAACGGTTTGAGATAGGGAATAGTAGGTGGAGTTTTGTTTCCAATCGTTGGAGATTCAAACATGTCTTTTGCAAATCGAGCTGATTTTGGTGTAATTCCCTCATTCATACGTGGTGAAGGAGAAACAGCTATAGAAAAGTTAGTTAAGGCAATGCTATTTCTTTTTGATGGACGTATACCACCACTTCTAGATGAGTTGACAGATGAAGATCTGGATCTTGGTAGAATTGGTGAATTAGCATCTCTTTCCAGTTTTGCATTAAAAAGTTTTCCGAGTATTTCTTCTTTCTTTCTTGGTGACATGTTGCATTTAATATTCAATTCGAATATTTGTGCAATATTAGAAACAATCAAGGCTCTTTCTCTTGCCATTATCATGGAATCTTGTGCTAGAGATGGAATACCATGAAAGGCTTCTTTAACTTTGAATAGCATATCAGGTTCAAAATAGCTCTTCAATTCTAACTTTTTACAATAATCCAAATAAACTGCCAAGTTATCAGAATCTGATCTTTGATTTCTAATAAGAGCATTATCTACTCTAATATGATCGCAAGGCTGAACTTCCTTAAATAATGTATCGATCATTCTACACAACATGAAACCATCAGCAATATTTTCATACAAATTCTGTTCAGGATTGTAATCTTCAGGAAGTAAATTTTGCAACCATTTAGAGAGTGCCTTTTCAGCAAAGAAGGTTTCTTCCTTTCTTCTCTCACTATCAATTTGTCCATTTCCATCATCTCCAACTCTAACATTGTAAGCACCAACTCCCATTCTCAATAAATTGAATATGCTTCTTCCTCTAATTTTATCAACGTATGACTCATCAATTGGGAAACCTTCTTGCTTCATGAGTAATACTAATTTGAGAGTTGGATCTGATTCTAGAATGAAACTCTTCTCTTCTGAAATATATTTTCTCAACATTTCACATTCTTCATTCAGATCTGAAACATCACCAGTTAATTGTTTGACTTGTGTATCAAGTTGCTCGATTTGCTTTTGGAGAGAAAGGTTCTTTTCTTGAGATTTTTCAATTTCCAAATCTTTTTCTTTGGCAATATCAGTGGAGAGTTGAATTTCCTTTTCCTTTTGCGAAATTTCATTATCCTTATCTGCCAATACTTGTTCTCTTATCTTGATATCCTTTTTCAGGCCATACACGGTACTCTCGAGCTCTTCATTTTCCTTATGAAGTTTGGATATGGAGCTCTTTTGCTCGAGAGAGTTACTCTCTAACCATTTGATCCTCTCTTCGAGTTGTAATTTTTCATCGTCCTGTTCCTTAATTCTCTTTAACAATTTCTCAATGTCCTTCTTTTGGGATTCGTTTGTTCTTTGATATTCTTGACTTTCACGTCTGGTTTCATGTAAATCATACACTGAACTGTTATGTTTCAATTGCAAAGCTTCAAATTGTTCCAACAGTGTTGCATGCTTTTTCAATACTTGATCCTTTTCTAATTCATTCATCTTTGATTGTTGATGATCAGAAACAAGGGTGTGATACTTTTCCATTTCCTGTTTCATCTCTTGTCGATATGATTCAAATTCTCGTGCCTGATCTTCAAACTTTCTCTTCATTTTGACCAAATCACTTTGAGAGTCAACCAATGAATTTTCCTTCTCTGTGAAATTTCTCTTGAGAATGACCATTTGATTGTATAAATCTTGTTTTTCATTATCTTTTTCTTCCAGCTCTGATTGCTTCTCTTTCAGATTGGCATTAACTCTATTGATTGTCTTGTTTTGTTGATCGATAATTGTCACGTATCCTTCATTATTACTCTTGAGAGTTTTGACCTCATTTCTCAGAGTTTCAATTTGTTTCTCTAACTTTTCCTTTGCAAGTTTGAGTTCGCTCGTTTCTAAAGTGTACATTTCAATCTTGTTATTCAGTGAGGAGATTTCATTCAATTTGGATTTCAATTTCTCCTCTGATTCGATTAAATTATTATTTGTGGAATTAATTTGTCTTTCTTTTTGCTTTAGTTCCTTTTCCACTTGTTCAATTCTATCATTCAATTCAGAATTTTGATTCTTATTGGTCATTAACTGTCTTTCAACATTCTTAATTTCCATACTCTTCATTTCCAGCTCAAATTTGAGATTTTCATTCTCCTTACTCTTAATCAATAGAGTTTGTCTTTCTCTATCCATCTCTCTCGTTAATTCCTGATACTGAACCATTAAACTATCTTTCACTTGATTCAGATAATCAATTTCTTCCACATTCTTTTCAATCCACATTTTCAATTGTTCAATTTCCCTCTCAGAATCATCGATAATTGTGTGAACTCCCTTCACAACTCTATCAAACTGTCTCTCACACAACGTATCCAATAAGAATCCAAATGAAGGATAAGTACCTTCCTCATCAATACTCATCTGCACTATTTCACTCAATGAAGTTTCGTCTGCTGATGCTGCTGCTGCTGCTGATGAATTGAACTGTTGTTGCTGCATGGAAATCATTCTATTCGATCTAGCAGAGTTTAATCCACTATGTAAACTTGTATTCATCATGACACGTGGAGAAACCATTTGTGGATTGTACCTTGGAGAAATGATTGGTGTCGAAGTTGATCGATACATTGGATAATGATTAAATCTTCTTGGAGTTTGGGGTGAAAGAAATCTTGAACCTGACGAAGAATTGTTGGAACGACTCGAGTTTAAATTATGCTGCTGACTGTGATTAACATTCGAATAGGTAGACGAAGCATTGTGAAGAGAATGATAAATGGGAGAAAGTGTTCTTTGTGAAGTATTTCCCATCATGATGGTGGAAGAACCATTTGAGAGAGTGGAATGAGTACTTCGGCTACTGTTTGGTGTTGTTTGAAGAGTGTTGTTATTGTTATTATTATTTGGATAATTATTGGAAATGTTTCGGATAGATTCTTCCTGATGATTTTTCATTAATTTTGACAGGGCAAGTGCAGGAACAGGTGATGATGAATAAATCTTGATATCATCTTTTAAATCCTCTTCATGTGATCCATTCTTGATAATAGCAATAGAAGGTGAAGAATTTGAAGAAGAAATATTATTCGAATCTTCTGAAAGTACATTCGAATCATCTTGAAGAGGCGTTAGCATACCAGAATCACCATTCGGAAAGACTATCTCCTTGTTAGATTTTGGTGTATGAATCGGCGAAGGAATTCCATCAGAAAAATCACTGGCATTGAGTAGTGACATTTTTTTTAATCTTATTCGAAATCTTGCAGTTGTTTAATTTGGTATCGAGTTGTGACAACTTTACGTGCATATGCCATCTATGAACAAGCAAGACCAATAACTTCGCTTGTCTTTTTAAAAAGGTTGAATTTCAATAAATTTAACAATTAATTACTAAATCAATCGAAAGAGATTTGAGAAAATTTTCATAACATTTTTTCAAACATTTTTTCAAGTGTTTGTAAAAAAATATTAATAGTGTTGGATGAGAATTTTGGATATTGTTGTAAATCGACAAATAGAGAGTGGTTTGTGAAATTACTCCCAATAGCCAAAAGTGAAAAAGAAAAGTTTTATTTAAAGTGTTGTTTTGGAAAAATACAATGGTCTCTTGTGCTTCTTAATAAGAAATTAAATTCGAAAGAAAATTCGAAAGTATGGATAAAAAACTTGAAAAGCTTAATGGTTCGGGTTGTAAGGGGAACGTGTTGATTTTGGAAGATTTGATTATTGAAAAGGTCTTTTGAAAATCAGAGAGAATGAACTTGTACGATTTGCAGATTTCATTATTGGAAACTGAAACTATTCTTGCTTTTTCAATCAAATGATTGTCATAATGTCTTGCCATTAACTGCCTATTACTTTCGTAGAGAGTTCAAAATAGTAACGTACGTTTCTGATAATACATGTGTATTCGAAATTGATCACAATAATTATTAGAAAGATAGAACACAATAATCATTTAAAAAACTGCCGAAACCAGATAACATGATAGCACACAGGTTATTTTATCATCATCAACTTACATCTGTTAACCAATATTATTCGAAACCAACCAATCCGAAACCAGCTCTAGTAATTACCTTTATCATCACTTGCACAAATGAAACTATTATCTTGTGATCAATTACTATCCTTCTCATCTTTTTTATCAATATCTATTTCCTCAAATGAAACTGTACAGAACAAGCAATCACTAAACGTCGTAGGCCTTAATAATTTTGTACGAAATGAGAAGACATGGATCCCAACATGCGGGATAGAATCTCTCAACATGTGGAGGAAACTTGGTCCTCAATATTTATATGTCTCATGTCCTAATATAGATAAAGGGAAACTGAACGAATCCAAACTGGAGTTGGTACTGTATTGGTTGTTTGTGTGGTTTTTGAGAAAAGAAACAATGAAGAAACGGCGACGCAATTATTCCCTTCTATTTCGTTACTTCTTTCGATTGAGTTTAGTCTTGTGTTTAGTCATCTTGTTTGCACATTCTAAACCATCAAACCAACAACATGTTTCACCAACATCATATTCAACATCATCATCATGCCTTCCTTCACTTCATACCGCCTCAGGAACTGCATGCACACCACTTTCGCCCAGAATTAAACTAATCCAATATAATTGGTTAGCAACAACGATGAACATTCAAATAGCAAAAGTTTTCCTCGAGGAAGTACTTGGAGTATGTGTCGATGTTGAGGAATATGGCGTGGATGAATCTCTTAGAGTGATGGAGAGTAGAGGAGATGAGGTTCCCTACGTCTTGTTAGAATTTTGGAAGTTAAATCATTTGGATGTTTACAGGTAAGAAATCTCAATTTTTACTTGATAAATAATTAAACTGTGATTGATTTTTGGATTGTTTTCTGGAATGGTGGAATAATAATTGAATGTTTCTTATTGAAATGTTTTAGAAAGTATGTGTTAAATGGACGAAATGTAATGGATATTGGAGATTTAGGTCCATTAGGACAAGTTGGATGGTATATTCCTAATTGGATGGCTATAGATAATCCACTGAGCTTGAATTATCGATACTATCGTACAGTGAATGCTACACGTTACATTAGTGGAGCAAAAACTTGGGTCAACTTTGATGAGCAGGTTATTAAAAATCTGAAATTGAATCTCGTTTTGGAATATCCTCCTCAGAATTACACTGAGAAGTTTCTGATTCAAGAGTTGAGAAATGCAGAACGGGAGAGAAAGCAGCTGGTTTCCTACTTTTTCACACCTCATCAATTATTCAGTAGACCTAATGCTCCACAACGTGTGACACTTCCACCATTTACTGCAGAATGTGTATCACCTCACAATGTGGAGAATAATTTGGTGGATTGTGATTTTGCCATGACTACTTACAGTAAACTGCAAACTAGGGCAGTGTTGAGTTTTCCTGAAAAAGTGCAAAACTTTTTGGAAAGGATGAAACTGACGAATGCTGACCAGATTGAACTGTTAGGCTTAGTTTCGTATGATAAAATGTCGAAAGAGGATGCTGCCTGTACTTGGATTTTGAAAGGCAATAATACAGAGAGATGGAAGAGTTGGATTTCAGAGCCACCTTTTCAACCGGAGAAGAGTAATGCCTTTATTATTTCAATGACTGTTGTGGGGTTTACACTTGCTATTATACTAATTGGTTTTTGTGTTTTTTGCTGTGGATTTTGCATTCGAAAGAATTCGATTAGAAAGAGAGAAAATAGATTGGCCCCAAAAGCACCACCTATTTGCATTGTTTTCACTCATATTCAGAATGCTTCACTGTTGTGGACTTTGGATTCAGATTTGATGAAGAAAGTTGTTACCATTCATCACAAAATTGTTCGAGACAATATTCGAAAGTTTAAAGGATATGAAGTGAAAACTCAATCAGACAGCTTTATGATTGCCTTCAGTGACCCAATAGAAGCAATTGGTTGTTGTTTTGCTATTCAGAATGATTTGTTGAAAGGAAATTGGACACCTGAAATGTTGGAATTTCCAGACATGAAAGAAGTCAAGTGGAATAATGAAATTATTTACAAAGGACCAAGAGTTAGAATGGGCCTTCATTATGGCAGTGAAGTGGAAGCTCATTTTGATCCAACCACCAAGAGATATGATTACTTTGGCACGACGGTCAACCAAGCATCTAGAACTGAAAATCAAGCTCAAGGAGGAAGAATTTACATTTGCTCAAATATTCACGACCACCTAAAGCATCAAATGGGAGGAGCTTCTCGTTGCAATATTTGCATGGATAAGGGGTTTCCCATTCATAAGGATCCAATCTTTCAATTCAAACAATTGCTTTACTCTGGAAAAATCCAATTCGAAAATATGGGAAACTTTATTTTGAAAGGATTGGAAGGTAATCACACTTTGTTTTGGATTATGGATACAACTTCCCCTCGAACTTCCTACATTCAACAATTCGAATTGTTGCCTCATGTTAGAATTGACTCTGGATTATCAGTTCCATTGTTGAGAGAGAAAATTGATAAGGAACGAATGGAATTGAAACAATCGTGTGCATCATGTATAAGTGATCCATCGAAATGGAATGAAAATGAGAAGAGTAAACTTCTGCATAGGCTTGTATTGTGGAATAATGATACCGAAGAAGAAAAGGATGCATGGACTGAATTGGAATTGAAGCATCTCATACCAATTGTCATCTCTCATTATCTTCCTGCTGAAATGGATAACATTGTTTCAGATAACAAAGAATATGCATATGAAGATACAATTATCCGTCCAGATAACAGGAAAAGACGAAATAGTGTCGCTCAACCCTGTAGAAAAGAGTCGCTTTCTTCTTCTAGTTCTATCGCAGTAATGTCATGCCCTGAAGAATTGATTCAATCTGGAGCATAAATTTATTGTTGGGCATTGATTAGAACATCTGATAGCCCTTGTGATACTGTACATTGGAGAAGGTTTCGTTTCATTGCAAGAATTGACTTGTTGCTCTTAAAATTCATACATAAAACCATAGTTGCTTCAGAGGTCAATTTACAAACAACTATTGGTAGGGAAGATTTGAGAACTGCCTTTGGATTATGTGGTTCATATAATTCATTATTTGAGTAAATAAAATAGGTATTGTTAGAATTGGTTCCTGTTGAGATGTGTAAATTATCACAATTCTTTAGAGGAGATTCGCTAAAGAATTCAGTAACATGATTATCCGTAACGCCCATCATTTGGTTTTTGCTTGTATGTGCCAGAATATGAGTCCAATTACCAGAGATGGTAGTAAGTGAAAATCCATCCAGAACAACTGATTCAATTGACTCAGATGCAATAGCTGCATTAGAGGTTTTAAATAATTTTCCACATTCTAATAATTAATGTTAAAATTTGGGTGTTATGATTAGAGCTTACCTGTTAGAATAGCTGTCATATTTCCAGAACAAGCAACGTCTCTTACTCTATACTTTCCATCTGCATTCCAAGTTTTAACGAATGTATAGCGAGAAAGTGTACTAGCAACAGTCAGTACAGTACTTGGGGGAACTGGTGGTGTCAAATCTGGTGTGTTTATAATTCCCAACTTTTGGATTGAGTATTTAATTTAAAGCTAATGACCTACCTGTCCATAATAGTTTGCACCTTTGAATAATATGAGTATTCGAATGAAATGGAAAGAATTGTCACTTACCTGTTGAAATAATAGTCCTATTATTAATACAAAAACACAAGTGTCTTCCTCCAACTCTAAAGTGAGTGATATGTGTAGGTTCATCAACAAATTCAGTCTCCAAATATTTTTTCAATCCAATTTCCACAAAATCATAAGTACAACTACTATTAGCAGTTCCAAACTTTTCAATACCACAATACCACAATCTATTACAGCTATCCAATACTGCAACAAATTGTTCTCCACACAACATGGCAACAGGTTCATCAGGGAAATAATTAAGTTTAACTTCTGGTGTGAGCGTCATTAGAATTGATAATTGCCTTCCAAGAGGATTAATAGAAGCCGAACTTGATCCATATACAAAGTCTCCATATAAAAAAGCTTCATTCCTAGTTGTCATTATCACTGTAAATTGTAGTCCAATATCAATAAATTTCAAAGCTTGATCTTTCGGGATTGATAATTTCTTTGCATTATCACTATCATATTTTGTAAACTTTTCAAACCCATCCAATTGCTTTGGTTCCGTTGATCCTGTCAATAATGCGCCATTCGTTGATTTGCCGCTAAAATAAATTTCATAATCATCACTTTCTGTCAAGGGTCTAATATTTGTTTTTAACCCAGATTCCAAATAATTTCTGTTATTATTTTTAATAAATTCTTTACCGATCAAATTATCACGTCCCTTGCCTTGTTCTAATTCTTCTCTGATTGCATCAACATGGGAACCTCTTGTTTCTTTTGATGATTTTGATGCCATTTTTTTATATTTTTATTTTTAGAAAAAAAGTTCATTTTCGATCACAACATTACTCAACTCATTCAGAATTTAAAAGTTACAAAATTGTAAGTTATCTATACTTCAAGCATAAATACTTCTTTCAATTCAATATAAACGAAATGTCGAAGAACTGCACTGGGAGATGATAGAATATAATCCATTACAAATAAATAACACAATATTCTATTGCATCATTTCCTTAATGAAACTCTCTAAATTCGCTGTAATGAGAGAATCTTTGGCGCGCAAGCTGGATTTGGTATAAAAAAGAAGATAAGGCTAGGCATCACGATCTTACATGACGAGAGAACGAAAAAAAATGGGCAAACATGTTCTTTCCGATACAACTTGTGCTGGCAACAACAACGTATTAATGCTGCTTCTGGAGGGAAGACGGAATGAACAAGAAGTAGGAGATGATGAATACACGATTAATCAAAGAAAGTTTGAAATACAAATGGATGAAATTTCATATTGTGATTTTATCATGTTTGATTCGAGAATTATGTGGTGGATTTGCTATTTTATATTGAATATTATGATTACGAGGAATATTAGTAGTAGTAGTTTTGTTGGATTACATTATTGGAAACGGTCCAGATTATCCATTATCACAAAATTAATACTTTTTGTATTTGTTATTAGCATGTTTATTGGTGCTGATAAGCTTGACAATCACGATTACGAAACTTATTATTTTGTGAGTGGATCGCCATTGGAAAACATGCAAACCCATCAGTATCAACATATTTCGTCGACTAGAAAAACAGTTGCCAGTTGTCTACCTGAAGATGCATCTTCAAGCCACTGTTCCTCTTTTTCACCAAGAATAACTCTTATTGAAAATAATTGGCTGGCGAGCTCGATGAATAATGCTCTTGCAACAATAATACTCGAGGAAAAATTAGGAGTTTGCGTTGATATTTTAAAACTAAATATTGTGGATTCTTTGGAACTTATGGAAAAGGAAGGAGCCACACGTCCAATTGCGTTGTTAGAATACTGGAAATTATCTAACTTTGAAAATTACAAGTAAGTGCATGCGCTGATCTTTCTAACAAGTAATCTTTTCATCTTAGAAAATATGTGGTTAATGGTAAACATATTACAGACATTGGCGATTTGGGTCCGAGTGGCCAAATTGGGTTTTTCATTCCAAATTTCATGAAGGATGCAGTTCAAAATAACTACAGATACTTTAGACTTTCAAACATGACAAGAATGGTCAGTGGCTCTAAAACTTGGGTGAATTATGATGATCAGATTATCAAGAATTTAAAGTTGAATTTGCAGTTGGAATATGCACCTGATAATGATACTGAAACCTATCTCATTGAAAATTTACAAAACGCTCAACAACAACGAAAAGAGATGGTTTCATATTTTTGGTTTCCACATCAATTATTCAGTAGACCTAATCCACCATCTAGAATCTATCTTCCTCAATTTACTGATAGCTGTCATACAGCTCACAATATTGCCAATGGATTGGTTGATTGTGATTACCCTTTGTCAACATATAGTAAGCTCCAAACGAGTGCTGTCTCTTCTCTCTCTTCAAGTGTTCAAAACTTTCTTAAAAATTTGAATTATAGAGGTAGAGATCAAGTAACCATGATGGGATATGTTGCTTACAATTCAATGACTTTAGAAGATGCTGCTTGTAAGTGGTTATCAAACCCAAACAATACAGCCAAGTGGAAAGCTTGGACTGCTGAGCCTGTATTACCAATTGAGAAGAGAAACGAATTCATTATTTCCATCAGTGTTGTCAGTTTTACTATTGCAATATTATTGGTTGGAATTTTTGTGTTCTTGATTGGATGGGTTGTTAGAAAGAATTCGATTAGAAAGAGAGAAAATCGTCTAGCTCCAAAAGTAGCTCCTATTTGCATTGTTTTCACTCACATACAAAATTCATCCTTAATGTGGACTTTAGATTCAGATTTGATGAAGAAAGTATTGGCCATTCACCATAGAATAGTGCGAGAAAATATTCGAAAGTTTAAAGGATATGAAGTGAAAACCCAATCAGACAGTTTTATGATCGCATTCAATGATCCAATAGAAGCACTAGGTTGCTGTTTTGCTATTCAAAACGGCTTATTGAAAGGACATTGGACACCTGAAATGTTGGAATTTCCAGACATGAAAGAAGTCAAGTGGAATAATGAAATTATTTACAAAGGACCAAGAGTTAAAATGGGCGTTCACTTTGGAAAAGAAATTGAATCCCAATTTGACCCAACCACCAAGAGATATGATTACTTTGGCACTGCAGTCAACCAAGCTGCAAGAACTGAAAGCAAATCACATGGTGGTAGAGTATATGTCAGTTCAGATGTCCAAAGTTTTATTAAGCACCGCGCCACAGCTCTTTCATCTACCAATAGTCTGCCTAAAGATACTCCTTTTATTACGACTTTCAAAGACGAACTAGAGCAATTTAAAGAACTAGTCCAAGATGGACAGATTCACTTTGATAATATGGGTAATTTTGAGCTCAAAGGCTTAGAGGGAACGCATACCCTTTACTGGGCCATTGATTCTAACTCACCAAGAAGGTACTATGTCCAACACTTTGAATTAGGAAACCAATTTAGAGAGTCTGTCTCAATGCTCACTTTACCAATCTATATTGAACCATGTGATAAAGAGAGGATAGAACTAAGGCAAGAGCTCTCCAAATGCCTTACTAATCCATCCCAAATTTCTAGTGAAGAAAAATCATTCCTCCTTCAAAGATTGATTCTATGGACAAACGAAATGAATAATGATGAGAAAATATGGCTTGATTTTCCAATCGTTGGTTTACTAGACTTTGCTATCAAAAAGATAAGAGAGAGTATTTCATCTATCTCTACACACAGCACCCAAACCCTCACTGATGATATTTCCATTGATATGAGTAAATGAATATGTGATTTGTATCTGTAAGGTTCTTAGTCTTTCCTGGTGCTGGATGAATATCAAAAAGTCACTTGATGCCGAAGTGGTATTAGTTTTTCTTTACAAGCAGGATTCACTCGTATTGAAGACAAGTATTTATCCATAAGCAGGTGACATGCTCATTGTATAAAACCACATGTGGTTTTTCGATTTCTAGAAAATTACGGCTTTAATGAACTCTTTTTTTTTGGAATATCTCTGACCTATAGTATGAGAATCAAACCAACTTAATTTTGAGATTCAGCCTGCATACATGATGCAAGTATCTCATGCATCTTAGATTCACTATACAACGTCGTTCTCATGCATAATGATCATGCATGCTCAGGTAACGCATGGATGTTAACGAAACTAACATCTGAATATTCAACACATGCAAAGCATGCTATCTGCTCTCACCCTTATTCAAAATAAAGTTTAAGGAAAGTGGATAAATCTCCTCAAACAATTTCATATGACTATATTCAAAGTAATTATTTGGCCACTTGGTTAAACCCAACTCGTTTCTCAAACCATAAAATCTTCTTTTAATGGTTGAAACACTGCAGCCCAATATTGTACTCGCCTGTTGTTGAGTTAAATGTAAAACTCTGAGTAATTCATCCTTTGAAATTGAATCAACACTCCTCTTGAAACTCTTTACATCAAAGGTTGGATTTGCCTTTACAATTGATACTGATGAATTATTATAGAAATCAAAAGTTGTATACTGTAATTGATGTTGATAATAGCCAGTTAAATCCAATTCCTTTCCATCTGTAGTTGTATAATAGGATACAGTCTCAATGGAATTACATTTAGAATCATTAGAATGTTGATTCTGAGAGGAGGATGGAGAAGATGGACTTGAGGAATTAGATCTAACATTCTCTCCTGACTTGACATTCTTGAATTGATACTTTCTCTTGATGGTTTTTCTTGGTTTTTTAATCTTTTCCTGTTGAATGTTGAATGTGGTGGTGCTGTTGTTTGAAGATGGAGGTGGTGAAACTTGCACGGACTTTTGAGCATGCATTGGAGAAACATTTTGTAGGGAAGTTGTTGATCGAGATGATGTTTCAATTCGTTGTTGCAATGAATAATTATTGTTCATAAATTGATGATATTCAGAAGTGGTTCCATTGCTATTCGATATTATTTCACCACATGTAGATGTGTTTAAATTGTTATTATATTTGGATGGAGAAGCATTAAATGGCATGTAAGATTGTTGGCCACCATCACCTCTTACTGATGTGCCACCAACATGTTGTTGTTGATAATGATTAGACATCCCAAATGTGGTTCGTTTCTTTGGAGAACAGGAGCTGTTACTATTTCTCCTTTGTGGCCTATTTTTTGAATTGTCTTGAACTGTGTTTTGTTGTGGTTGCGTCTCTTGATTAATTGGCTGTGAATTGTGGAAGAAGGGTTGTTGTTGAGTGGATGGTTGGATGTGACATGAGGAATTTTGAGAATTTTGTTTACATGTTGTAGTATTATGATTGAGTGAGGATATCGAATCTGTAGAATGGTGATGGTTCATAGGTGAAGCTGAATGGTTATTATTCTGCATGTTCACATGATGTTGAAATAAATTAGTTGCATGTTGGTTATTGCTGTTAATATTAGTATGGGGAGTTGTGCTCATGGTTATGAGAGAATTTTTGTTATCCTTATTGAGCATCTGCATGGGTAGCTCTTGTTTTGTTTCCATTTTGATTGAATCTGTGGCCGCTTGCGAGGAGGAATGGCCAGATGCATTGTTGTACATGTCCAGTCTTAACCTTGGTTCTATTGAGGAACTTGTTGAAATTACTGCCATCACATTTAATGGAGCTGTAGTGTTTTCTGAGTTTTGAAAAGCAAAATCTTCCTTATTGTATTGTTGAGGTTGTTGATAAATTAATGAATCTAGCTCTTTGTGATGAAAAGGATGATCACCTTTAAATTGTTGATGATCCTTGAATCGTTGATTTAGTTCTAATGCATCTCTAGGATAATGTTGTTGTGGCTGTTGAGATTGTTGTTCTCTCATACATATCGCTGAGAGTTGTTGAGAAGGTATTTGAGATTGGAACATTATTGTGTTGTGGTGTTTTTTTCGACTGTACAAGGTAAAAAACTCAATAGAAACAAGTGGTGTGGGCTCACAAAAATCGTAATTGAATGGTATCTAAACCAGTGAAGAGATGGAATTACATGTAGGGATCCAATTCGTGTCGCGTTAAAAAAACACACATTTTGATGGATTGTGATAGTACAATTTAAAGCGAGACTTTGATTCGTATTTATTGAATTGATGTAATGGACCATTAATGTCGAAAGATAATGTGTTTTGGGATATGCATTCGAATTTGGTCAATTTTCAAAATACCAGTTCGGTTTTTTCATAAACCATCAGGATCCATGAAAATCAAGATACAATCGCATAGTAGCTCTATCTCTTTCAACTCATCCTTATTGACTCTAAAATTACCTTGTTTTACATTCACAAATAAAATTCTAATCTCTATCTCAATGAAAACAACGACAACATCCTTATTCAATATTCTCCTTTCTAATACAAGAGTGTTGCAAATGTGCAATTGAGGAATCTCTGACCAGATGAGAAATTATAAAGAATCCTATACACCTTAAAAGGTATTTATTAAAAGCAAGCGGGACTACCTAATTTTCTTGGATCTGTTCCAGGAAGGAAAAGATTTTGGTCATTTTCAGTGCTGCTAACTTGAATGACTTGACAGCATCCTATAGTATGGCCATCTGGAAGAATTTGAACAGGTTCAAAGGTATGTCCCTTTTCTTGTAGAGCAGTGATAACTTGTCTATTGAAACCCTCTTCCATTTTGACTACATCTGAACCAGGTTGAGCATGAAGTCTTGGAAGTGCAACTGCGAGATTTGGTTGGACTTTAAACTTTTCAATTGAATAAAAAACTTCAATAATTGCACTGATAATTGTTGGTCCTCCTGAAGCTCCAATAATATACTTGACCCTATTTCCACTCTTATCAAGGAAAATAGCAGGTGACATTGAGCTCAATGGTCGTTTGCCTGGAGCAATAACATTAGCTGCAGATGGTGGTAATCCGAATTGATTTGGTTTGTGAAGATCTACTGTGAAATCATTCATTTGGTTATTAAAGACAATACCTGTTGATGCACTAGCAACCTTACTTCCAAAGTTATGGTTGACTGTAGTGGTCATGGCAACAGAGTTTCCATCTTCATCAATAACAGAGAAATGGGATGTACCCTTATCCTTAACAGGTGCATAATTATCTGAATAATAATGTGACCATGGGAATGTTCTTGATGGAGAAACCCTCTCAGATGCAATACTAGAGGCATAACTATCACTTAGTAATTGATTAATGATATATTTTGTAACATTTTCCTTAGGTAAGAAATTAACATCTCCTAGATTGGATCTATGTCCAAATCCAAATTTCAAAGCTTCCAAAATATAGTGATAGTTAAGACCCATTGGTGAATTATCACCAATCTTGAAATTATTCAAAATACTCAAAATAAACTTGATAACAGGTCCAGCAGATGGTGGTGGAGGTAAAATCACCTTAAAATCATTCAATTCCAATGTCATGTCTTTTTGAGAAATAATTGGATTTTCATCATAGAAAGGTCTTTCAGGTTGATAGTTCTTCAAATCATCCAATGTAATAATGCCACCTTGTTGTTGTATTTCTTCTACAATCTTTTGAGCAATTGGACCTTCATAGAGAATGTTTGGACCATCTGAAGCAATTTTCTCCAAAGTATTTGCCAAATCAGTTCTCTTAATTAATTCACCTTCATGATAAACTCTTCTCTTTCCATCAGAACCAATGGTTGTAAATTGTACCAATGTTGGGAATTTAAGAATATCATCCTGTGATAATCGCACAGCCAACAACGGCTCAACAATCCAACCATTTCTGGCAATATTGATAACATCAGTGAATAACTCCTTCCAAGGTAATTTACCATAGAGTTTGTGAGCTGTATGTAATCCTCTAATTTCTCCATAAACAGCAATGGACTTTCCACCAAATACGCTTTCATCATAATTATTTTCATACATATCCTGACTGGCAGCACTAGGAGCAGTTTCTCTTGAATTAATAAAATCCACAGTCTTTGTTTCATTCATGAAAATAGTAATAAATCCACCTCCACCTATTCCACTAGCAAATGGTCTAGTGACACCCAAACATAAAGCAACTACAATGGCTGCATCAACAGCATTTCCTTTCTTTTCCTTTATGACTTTCAATCCCATTTCGGAACAAATCGTACTATCACTTGCCACAGCGGCCCTAGTACCAGTTGGTTGTACTTCAGTTTGTGTCCTCGACAGTATAAAAATCAATCCCACTCCCAGTCCTAAAGCAACCAGTACTACAATGAAAAGTGGGCATGAAATATTAAAGAAATGGAATAGAAATTTTTGTTTTTTAGTTCCTTTAGCTTTGTAAATTGGTTGTTTCTCGAGGTTAGATAAATCACTAGAGCTAGAGCGATTACTATGATTGTCTGTATAATAGTCTTTTCCAATATCAGCTCTTTTTAATGTAGAAGGAGATACATTCCTCCTAATCAGTGTTGTGTCTTGTTGTTGATAATTGCCATTATTTATCGATGTTGATGATACTACACTAGTAGTGTTCTGTATCAGAGGCGTTACCTCCTCCCTGTTGCTGTTGTTCATTGTTGATGACATGAAAAAGAATCTTTAACGTGTTGTCTACAACTGTGAGAGTCTTTTTGCTTGTAGGTAACGTTTTTTTTTGGCTATTGATTTTTGTTGAAGGCGCCGATAAACGGTAATTTCATCTTCAAATGAAAGTTACAAATCAGGGTAATACCACAATTTCGCCTCAATAAAGGTAGGTTTTGAAGAGTGTTGTTTTTTGTAATGAATCATTACAAGAATTAAAACAAAATATATTAAAGCGTATTATGCTTTATTGTTTTTTAAATGCTTCCATTAGTGTATTCCATTCTTCCTTATCAAGATGAGTTGGGTCCTTAACTCCTTCATTGAGGATAAAACTCATGTTGGATGGATTATTTGTTTTTGGTTCTGCATTTTCGTCTGTGCTTCCTCTCTTATTAATTGGGAATGCCTTGTTGACTTTTCTTGGTGGTTCAAATGAGCCATCCATACTTCCTTGACTACTGAAACTGGAATGTCTTGGTAATTGAGATGAGTAACTGTCCTTCTCAAATTCCTTATTTTCAATTGTAGAAATATTTGGATAGGATCTTTTTCTTGAATTACTAGTTGTTGTCTCTTCAGAAAACATTTTAGCAATAAGAATTGGATCATGACCTTGCCCAAAAACATTGGTTCTTCTCTTTAAAGTGGTTGAAACTGGAAGGCACTTGTCAGAATCTTGGGCAATATCATCGAAAGATTTAGGAGCATACCTAGAAAGAAAATTGTCGAGACTATCATTGTTTGGAAGTTGGGGTTTTGAAGTTGGGTTAGAATAAGGGGAAGTAACTATTGGAGGAAGTGAAATATTTACAGCAGGGAGATTATTTGTTGATTGAGGTAAATACGAAGAATGATTATTTTGATTCATTATTGAGGAATTTCCATTATGTGGTGTTCCAATTTTTTGATAAGTAAACTCGTCTTGAGAAGTTACTGATGTTCTACGGGAGGAAGCATTGTTATATGGATCAATATGATAGGAGGAATGATTATCATTCAAATTCGTAAGAGGAGTTGTTGGAATATTCAAAGTTTGATCAGATTGAAGAGAATTCTTTCTAGACCCCTTATTATTTCTTGAAGTTGCATTGTTGTTACTCAAATTACTCGAAGATGAATTGGTTGGGCCAACAACACATGCACTAGTTTGTGTTGCTGGTATTGTTGTAGTACCATTTGCTGTAGTAGGCCACTTATCCATTCCTAAACTTTCTCTCATTTCATAGAATCGTCTTTTGAGTGTAGATAAACTAACTCCTAAAAAAGCAGCTGCTTGTCTCTGAGTAAGATGGAATACTTTTCGTATCTGTTCCTCATCAATTCTTACAAAATTGCTTCTATGCTCATCTTGTTTAAGATTTGGATCATCAAGGAGATGAAACTTAATATTAGTTGTTTGGTGAGGTTTGATTGAATTATTATTGGAGAGAGGATTAGTTGGTTGTTGAGGAGCGTTCAAAGATGATTGAGGAATATTAGTACTCGCAGTTATTGTTGAAGTCATTCTTTGCTTTTTGCCCAGTAAAGAAGAGGAAGAGTGTGGAATGGATGAATAATGCAAGGATGATTGGGTTGTAGGGATTCTCTCACTAGTACAGCCCTGGGCAACAGGAACAGCAGCAACAGCTTCTAAACTTCTAGCGGAATCATTAGCTATCAAACCACCACCAATATAAGATGGTTGTTTTTGTTCTGATAGGAGTAGTAGGGAAGAGGCTGAACTTTGTATCACTGTATCATGATCTCTGAGTGTTGATCCTGTTGCTGTTGAAGCACGTGATATTGTTGAAGGAAGATTTCTGTAGGAATTATGGTGTGGTTGTGATACCATGAGCAAATTATTATTGCTGTAAGGAGGATTATGAGCTGATGAATTAGCAGGTGGTGGGCAAGTGTTATTAAGAGATGCGGATTGTTGATGATTATATGAATAGAGAGGATTTGAAGAAGCAATTGGAGTACAACTACTCTGACTCATCATACTATGAGTACTTGTATTGTTGTTGTTGTTACGAGTAGGAGGAGTACTAAGCTGCTTAGTTGCAAAAGATCCACCACTAGCGACAGGATTCATCTCTACCAGAGGTGGTTGTTTTTGCATTTGTTGAAATGAATATTTGGTGGTTCTGTTTGTGTCGTTGACTACTTGCTGATCATCCCGAGTTCCCAAAGAATGATTTTGCTCTTGGTGCTGGTCTTGTTGTTGTTGGCGTTGGGGAGGCGACCTTAGAGAATTGAGCGTTGTATCATTGTTAGTCGTGATACCTAAATCAGGTGGTGACAGATTTGTTTTTCCTCCTCTGTAAATGTTATGTTTGGTTGTTAGCGGTTCTGATTTAAGGCTTGACTGTACAGATGGAACATATTCGTAAGGTAGGGGTCTGTAGTTTGAACTTTCCATATTTAAAGATGCAAGGTCAGAGTTTGCATTTGGTTCTCTATTATTCCTAGTTATGCATGATGATGCACCTTGTGAGGTTGGTGGTGATCTTCTTGATTCATCTTTCAACTTTTGACTTGTGAAGGATACTTCAATTTTTTGCTGTAGGCTGCATCTCGACAAATGTGGTGAATTTGATTCATTAAGGTCAGTTATGTTAAATCGTAATGGAGGAAGAGCAGTGTCCATTGTGTTGTCATGCATCTCCATTTCCTTCGAGATTATTGATTGTCTTATTTGGGTCTCTGTACATGTGTTTGGTCTATTGAACATATTGTTACAAGTAATTTCTTTGGCACCATCATCAAATTGATTATGACAGTAAAGAAAATTACTATTGGCATGTATGCCAAACAAGGACTTTGGATGTTGTTGTAGGAACTCTTCACTTAAATGTTTGTTTGAATTTTTACTGTTGTCTATGATAGAAATTTGGCCACATGTTCTTGTTCCCTGTTGAAGAACATGATTGAAATTTGGAACAATATCATTCCTATTACAAATCATACCATCACCAGCTTTGTGTTGATGAGATGACGGCAATACACTTTGGAGAGCATCAGGAACGCAAGAAGTCATTGGTTCCTTTAGAGACATATTTTTTTACCTGTTGTTTTGTTGGTTCAGAGGCTTCGGTTTATTTTGAAATGGTAACAACGAAGCCTATCGCACAGTATTAAAGTGTTAATTGCTTCTTGAAGATGGTTCATTAACTACTTAATGATTATTGAAGGATGACAGCTTGGCCTTTCTCAAAGCTAAAAAAATTACCCTGTGCTCAGAATTTACAAATGGTAAAAATATTGCTCTTTATGAGGCATTTGTATTCAGTTAACTGACAACAAATATCAATCTCTGTAAATTACGCCAATTTTCTTACAAGCAGATTTGCATTGAGAAGTCTTTCTATAGAAATTAAGGGGCCGAAAATTATCATCTCAATCTACAGATTTCAAAAATGACAGCTTCAGGAACGAGTCAAATCGTTAATTTCGCCCAATATAGGGCGTTGTTTCACTAATTGATTAGTTTTGTCTTGTACCTTTTTTAAAAGAAGACTTTTTGTGGTTTCATTTAGCCTTGCTCAGTTTTTCCTCTGTAGATTTTCTTTGCCATTCTATTCGAGATTCGAATCTAATTTCGCTTTAGACAATTCTAACAGTAAAAAGGGAAACGACTGTTATTGAGGAAAGGTTGTTTTCTTTGGATCTTTAATGAATCTGTAAAAGATTATTGTTTCCTTACCAATTATTCGCCAATTAACTCTTTTCTCAGTTGGAGATGTAAAAATGCCAGTTCTATTCACATAGAAATGTTGCTTTTTAGTCTACAGATTTGCAAATGGTGAATAGCTCCAATGATTCGGTTTGTGTATTTTAGGGGGTCATTGTTTCTTTAACATTTTGATGTTTTTTGATGCTATTTTGTTATATAATTTGAATTTGGCATTTTCTGGGTACATTTCAAAGGGTGCAGTCTACTGTTTGAAAATTTGTTTTTATGTCTCTGCTTAACAGCACTCCTCGCCAATGTGTCAAAGTTTTGAGATTGAACCCAAGATTTTCACCTGCATCTAACTCCACAAATTCTAATGTTGCATTCTAGGTGAAATCTTAATCAATCTCAGCTTTAATTACCAACAAGTCGAAACAACAACATTCAGGTCTCACATTTGCATAACGTCGTCGACTACATGCGGAGAGCAAAGGTACACATCACCGATCTTGAACAAACAACACCAAGCATACACATAAAATCATCCGTAGGTATTGCATTGGACTTTTCTCTCGGATTGTCTTGTTGTTTGGATTCAAAACCAGTCCGTTTTTTCCAAAATCTAGCTTTCATTACGAGAAAACGTTCATCTCTCAAAAAAAAACAAACAAGGAACAGAACTCTAATTGGACATTATTACAAGGTAGTATCAGGTTCAGGAAATGAGATTTTCTTCCGAAGATGATTAAACAGTTGTTTATGAAATCTTGTTGGGTGATGAAAAATAAGACAAGCCAGAGCAACTTGTGTGCTTCTGATACAAATGCAATTTAATTTTTAATATTAATATTTTAAAAAAAACGGCCAAGCAAAAAATAATCTTCCCTCCAATTTTTTGTCAAAGAGAATAGCCATCATCATTATTATTTGGCAGCAAGGAAGTTTTTAAAAACATCATCAGAAAATAATAATTGGAATTGGTTTTATAGATCTTTTTTTCTCTGATTTTTTTACATAGTGAACAAGTTTATTATCTTGAGTCAGAAAAGAGTGGTTACCAATTTAAAAAGTTGATTGATAACTGTTATTAATCTGGCGGTTTATGTTGAGTGTTACTAGATAGTACTTCTCGGCACCTTTTCCTTCAATCTATTTAAACCTAAGTTTTATTTCGCGTACAAGGGTGAAAGTAATATTCCTATTTTTAGAGAATATCGGCACTAAAGTACAAGAGTTTGAACATTAACACCAATTGAACCAGTCCTCAACTCTCCTAAAGAGTGTTTTTGTTACACCTATTCTATATACAATAACTATTTTTATTACTAGTTTTTTATTCCAACAATAACCATTATTTACTTTGATCATCATCTTTAATTTCCAACAATAACAACAACAATACGAGCTACTACTAATATCCAATGAAAAATGAATCCAAACGGTAATGGTAACAACAATAATCTAAGTCAATTACAAATACAACAAATTCTTCAACAACAACAACAAATGGGAGGTATGATAAATCCTTTCATGTTGTTGAATCAACAAGGAGGTAATAGTAGTGGAGGTATGGGCAATGGAATGATGGGAATTAATCCATCAAATTTAGCTGGATTTCAAGGAGGACAAAATAATATGACAGGAAACTTTAACACACCCTCTACATCTGCTAATAACAACAGTAATAATGGCGTGATGGGACTTGTTAGAGCTTCTACTCCTACTTCCACATCAACAACAACAACAACATCTAATGTTATTCCTTCTGTTAACAATACCCCCAATACTAATACCAATCCACAATCAGGAAATCCAAATAGTATGCTGATGGCTTTAATGCAAGCAAGTCAAGGTAATCCTACACTCATGCCTTTACTCTTCCAATTACAGAACAATCCTCAAATTTTTCAATTACTTCAAGCATTGCACAGTAGTGGAGTGAATATTACACCACAAATGTTGCAAGCTATAATCATGAATCCAAACTTGATTCAAACTTTATTACAAGGATCAAATACAGGTGCTATGAATATGAATGTTACACCAAACAATAATAATACTACAACTACTCATGTAAATATTCATCAACCTTCAGCATCTTCAATTCAACGATCTACTCCAACATCTAGTGCCTCTACACCTCCTCCAAATCTAATACATCAAAATGGTAACTCAACTATAACGCCAAATGGTATGCTAAATTTAAATAATCCTGTAACCAATAATCAAATAATATCCTCCCAACCAAATACTATGAATATGTCTTCAAATATTAATATATTAGCAAACAACCCTGTAAATAACCCTGTACGTCATCCTCCTTTTAAAACTGAACCTGTTGTGGGCACTAAGATTGAGGGTTTTAATCCAAACCAACCAGGAAATTCATTTGTTACTATGAACAATGCTAATCAAAATCATGATATGTATTCCCAAAAGGATAAAAAGAAATTAGCTCTCGATCCTGATTACAAGACACCTTTCCGTTCGATAGACGATTCGATTAAAAGATTAGAACCATTCAAAGAAGCATTTTACTATTCCATTAAGAAAGATCCAAATTGGGATGAAAAAATTAAGAGTGTAGCAGAAAAGTTTTCAAAACAAGCAAAAATTGCTGAAAAACATGTTAATGATGTTATCTTTAGAGAACTAGATAGGTACATACCGATTGAGCAGGACATTTTCGTACAAAGAAAAATTTTTGAACTTGAAAAGCAAGCTTGGGAAAAGGAAAAAGAGGAACTAATGAGAAGAAAAGAAGAGGATAACAAGAAACCATCTAATGTTGGAGGTGATCAATCTGTCATTATTTCATCTGGAGAAGTTGAAGATCCTTCATTAGAAGCTCTGTTCCGAGAAATTACTCCACAAAATTTAAATCAATCCCTCAATACTACAATCCAACAAACTCAATCCCAGTATAATTCAGACGAACTAGATTTTGACAAGATCTTTTCAGATGAGGATAACAACAATAATAGTTCTCTGTACCAAAACTTTTCCTTACAGAATGAAGATGAATTTTTCGAATAAAACATCTTTGTAAAATATACATTGTATCAAAAATCCAGATTCAAAACAATTCGTACACTACATAATGCTGGAATCTACAAATTCACTGTAGATGCAACTCACACACTATCAAACATAACTAGATATCCAAAGTCTATTTGGACCAAAACACATTCAGAATCTTGTAAAAAATACAAAATTCCGGATTGGTCGGTTTTTTTGTTGTAAAGCTCCAACCAATCCGGTGATTTGTTTTTTATTTTGGTCTTTGTTCAGAGCACTTCAAAACGCGTCTTACATCACTCAAGATCTTCACCAACAACAAAAAAACAACAACAACACATCAACTAACAATGTCTGCCCCAACTATTGAACAAGTCCTTTTGAAACTCAAGACTCACCTCTCATTAACAGAAGAAGAACAAGCTAAGGAATGCCCATTCACTGCTGATGAAAAGAAGGTCTTTATTGAAAACCATGGTCAAATTGTCTCTGGCTGTCCTGCATTCTCTAATCACGGTTGTCCATTCACTCAAATCCATACCCTCAAGACTTTGAAGGAAAAGGTTGGTCACATTCAAGGTTTGGAAAATAGATGTCCAGCTATGGCTAACTCATCCTCCACTCACGATGTCATTGCTCAATTGTTGAAGGATTAAATTTTGGTTCCATTGTTGCAATCAATACAACCAAGGCTTTGATCATTTTGTGATTATTGTATGATAATCCGTTTAGAATTCGCTTCCGAGTGTAAATAAACAATTTTCAATAATAATAATAATAATAACTTGAATGTTTTTGGTTGTTTGCTTTGATAGATGAATAATCATCTTCATTGCAACAATCAAAAAAATGTCTAACGAATTGATTGTAGGAATTGAAGGAGGGTTTGTTGTCTTTTGATCATTTTTAAATATTTACAGTAAACTTGATCATCATCAATTAATTTACTTTGAATACTAATGTTATATAAAGAGGTACTTCATATAAGGTTGCTATTGGATTAAATATTGAACATGCAATGGAAAATGTTTTTATTACGGAAACTAAAACTGTAGACGAGACAATGGAACCAATTAAACAATTTCTCATTAAAAAGGAATCAGAATTGGGTGGAATTATCAAGAGAATTGGAATTGCAAATTTCGGACCTATTGATGTGAATGTTGGATGTATTTTACCTTCCACTCCAAAAGTTTCATGGAGAAGTTTTAATATTGTCGAGTATTTCAAGAGAGAATTTCCACAAGTTAAACATGTTCAATTTGATACTGATGTTAATGGACCAGCTATGGCTGAATATCAACTTGTTAAAGGTTCTGGAATTAAATCATTGGCATATGTTACAATTGGTACTGGAATTGGAGTTGGATTGGTAATTAATGGATCAACAGTGAGTGGTTTGATGCATCCAGAGGCAGGACATATTTATACACCACTTCATCCAAGAGATATGGAAACTGGTTTTAAGGGATTTTGTACATTCCACACTGAAGGATGCTTGGAAGGAATGGTAAGTTAGTGATATTAGAATTTGGAATATTGAATTATGATAAAACTCTAACAGGCAGCTTCACCTTCAATTGTAAAGAGAAGAAATATTTCCATTCATGATGTAAAGAGCATATCTGATGATGATGAAATTTGGGACATTGAAGCTCACTATCTTGCACACTTGTGTGTCAATTTAATTTTAATTTCCTCATGTCAAGTTATTGTCATGGGTGGTGGTATCATGAATAGAAGCATCCTCTTTGATAAGATTAGAGAAAAGACAGTTCAACTATTGAATGGATATCACGTTATGATAAATAATGAAAGTATCAAGAATATTATTAAGCCTTCTGTTTATGGTGAACATGCAGGAATCAAAGGAGCTCTCCATCTCTCACAGCTATAAATTTATTGTACTCTATCGTATATTGACAATCTTATTAGTTCAGAATTAAATTGCAAAACCAAATATTCGAATTAAATCTCCAATTTACAGTAATTCAAAAGATAATTAAAATATTGAAAATATTTTATGGGAATTGTAATCTGTGGGGAGCTTTAACAATTACCAAAAACTGAAAGTTTGGGAGAATCTTCAAAAAAAATATTAACAAGAGGATTCTCACACTATTGCATTTTCATTCACACAAGAAATAATTTAAATAATATCAAAGGATGGAAGTAATTAAAATTGTTGCGTTAGAGGAAAAACATTTTCCAAAAGTTGATGAATTATTTAAAATTGGTTTCGGATTTGAAGAGGATTTACCTGATAAATTGGCTCATTCAACAACACCATCGGGAATTGTCACATCGTGTGTTGCTGTTTATCATTGGAATGAAAATGAAACAGAGGAATTGAAGGAATTTGATGGACAAGCTGTTGGATTTCACATTTTCTATGCACCTAAAATGTGGCAACCAAGGTAAGGATTTGAATTTTCCACAATATTCCTGACAATATGAATGGAAAAATAGTGACATTTATTATTTGGAATTTTTACCTCATGAATATTCATATCCTCTTGATGAGCTGGGTTTTTGTGAAGCTATAACAGTTCATCCAAAATTCCAAAGAAAGGGTATTGGAAAAAAGATGCATTCATGGTCGGAATCTCAAGTTTTGAAAGCTGATTCAAATACTAAGGGGTTCATTACTCAGGTTTGGACTGAAAGTGGAGGAGCTTTACCCCTTTCTCAATCGAATGGTCCAAATCATCGTGTTATTAAGGTCAGACCAAATGCTTGGAGAAATTACTATATTGAATGTGGATTAGTTTGTAATTATTGTAATGCTCTGTGTTGTTGTACTGCTGCTGAGTGTGAAACACTATTCGAAAAGAAGTAAATTGTCAAAGTTTTATCCGTTTCAAAATTTATTCTCTGCAAAATTGTAATTACATATTACACACTCTCATGGCATCTTCCGGATTAACAATCAACTCACATGAAAGTTTCAAGAACCATGAACAAAATAGAGATAGTGTCAATGGTGTGATAAGGTAGCTCCATAACAATATTTCGCAAGTTTCTCCTTGACCATAATTATCATTTACACTACTAAGAGCTGTAATAGCAATAGCTGGTGGTGTTGCAAATTGCAACAATGTAACTAAAAAGAATAATGGGTCATCAATATTGGCAAATGCATCTGTGAATAAGCTTCTGGTCAAGTACATTAAACCAACCCCAAGCAATGGGAAAACTATAAGTTTGATAATAATTGAGAAAAAGAGAGCAACAGGATTCAACTTTCTAATCTTGAAAGTATTCAATACTCCATAAAAGAATCCTAAACATAATCTTCTAAGTTTACGACCAATTTGATAAACCTTTCTCTTAATACGTTCACCTACTGGGATGACTTCAACTTCTTGTAAATCCAAAGATTCAGTACTGGTTGTGCTTGAAATATCGTCATCTTTCTTTTCGTCATCAAACACATGAGGAGATGCCTGAGCGGCAATATTTGCACCTAAAATTAATAGAGATGTAGGAGCAACAGATTGACCAAATACAGAACAAAGATGTTTGATGGTAGAAACAAAAGGTGGAGGATTAATAATAAGGAAATCTTTCACATCAGTACTAATTACTGAAATAAGGCAAGCAAGGAAGATGGCAGTGAGTGGTGGATTCAAAATAATATTAAACCACAGGAAGAGTAGTACATTCTTTGAAATGGTTTTGAATTTGTGTAATTTGGATTGATTTCCTGTTGTGGATGATTCAACAATTGGAGAATTCTCTTGATTAATTGATGATTCATTATTGTTGGCAGGTTCCATTTCTTCAATAGATGGAGTTTCTTCCTCTTGGAGATGCAAGGTTTCCTCACTAAATTCTGGTTTGTAAGATTGAGGATGTTCCTCACTGGCAACTACAACAGATTCATTTCCTTCATGTAAATTTACAAAATTTGAAACCATTTCTGTAGTGGTTGGTTCTGGATTTTCCAATTGTTCATTCATTTGTTTTCTCATTTGTTCAGCTCCATGGCTATATACATAACTTCCCAAAGTGTAAAACATAATTTCAACAGGAACAATGAAAATACTCAAAGCTGTTATAGACCTTTCATAAGCCTCCGAATATGTTAATTTGTAAAATGCAGGAGTATTATCCACAACAGTTCCATTGGTACTAGTAATCATCATTGAATCGGTTGCTAAATTCATAAAATCGAGAGAATGAGATGAATTTCCTCCTCCACTAGAAGTTGTCGACAAGTAACACAATGCACTCAAATAAACCAAAGGCAATGATACTGAATTATGGCAAAAGAAACTCACAGTATACATATCAGTTTCACACTTGGACATCTTATCCATATTTTCAACAAATTGACTCCTCTTTCCGAACAAGCTCAAAACCTTCATCAACACAAAACGAATAGGTCCGAATAGAATCCTAAATGTCCACTTATTAAACACTAATTTCCCAACCACAACTGCTAAAATTTGATTCACCACTCCAAACAATAAAATTAAATATAATTTCTGAAGTAAATCCAGAGAAAAGGAAGTGGACATATCCTTGAAAAACAAACAAGGAATAAATAAATTAAACCACATCTTGGATAGGAATCTAACATTATCGGCACTGATGAATCCCAATTTGGTCAATATAAAACCTATCGAACATTCGACAATGACTTCAAAGGTCGATGAAAAACTAGTAATGAAAAGTGTTGAGGAGAATGTGGACATTTTTTTTACGCGTTTTAGGGGAGTTTTAGAGAAATTGTATTAAAGATAACATTACTCGATGGATTAGTGTTTCCTTATTGAGAACCAATACTGTATTTAAGCAATATATTTAACACTGTAAAATATTTAAATAGTGATGAGAAAAAGAAGAAAAAAATGCATCGATGTTTGAATAATTGTTGTACTGCTGCTAAAAAATCATTGATTTCCACTCCGATTGGAAAAAAGCAAAATAATTTAGTAATCCAATCCATCATTCCGAATTTTAATAAGAAGAATTGTTTTCATTCTAATTTATTGAATAGAAATTCTCCATCATCATCAACAACAGCAGCATCTAACGGAAGTAATAATACTAGTTTGGATAGGGCAGCAAACTATGGAAATTCACCAGGAAGAGGAGGAGTATTATTAAAAGGAACAGGAGTTGGAGCTACTCCAACAAAGCCTATGAAATTTAAGGCTTCAGATTCACAGAAAAAGAAGGAGGAAAATTCATCATCATCATCATCGGATTCTAATGAAAAAGCAGAGCCAAGACCAAAATCAAAAGTAATGTTGAATGTTGCTATTTGCTTTGCTGTGGCAACTGGATTTTTATTACAATATACCAAATATCATGAAATGATTGATGAAAGTGCTAATGATGGTGCTTTGAAATTATTAACAAGCTCGGAAGGAAGTAATGATGAAGAGTATGCTCTCTATACAAATAGACATCACTTTTGCATGTCTGATTTGGTGGCAATTTCCAGTAATAGTTTTATTGCAAAGGTTGAAGAAAAGGATGCTAACTTAATAGTTGTTTATAATCCAACTCATTTGAATGAAAGTACAAAGAAGAATGTGGATGGATTGCTCAGTCAATCAAAATCAAATACTATGGTTGTTATCCTTCCAAATCATGAACATCACAAATTCTTTGGAGATTACTTTTATGAATATGTTTTCAAACCTTCACGTGATAATCTTCCAGCACCAAGAGTTTTATTCATTTGTCAAAAGGATGCAAGGGAAAGATTCCAAGAGGAGGCAAGAAAGAATGTGATTGTTAGAAAGGAAATTTCAGTAGATACTGTTGTAAATATTGATCCAGAATTATTTATGGAATTTGGAAGATTTGCTGGAGTTTCAAAGAAGGAACAGGCCAAGGATTTGAGAAAGCCAGTTGTGGATTTAGTTTCTCGTCATTTTGATATTATTAGATTTAGAGGATTGGATACTAGTGTTGAAGAGGCATTACTTTATCATAGAAAATCTGGATTTATTGTTTCTTGTGATTTAATGATGAATCTCAAAGGAAATCAAAGAATAGATGAAAATAATCGTGAAAAGGCAATTATCAGATTGAGGCAACCAGAATTAGAGCCTTACGTCATCAAATATTCACGTTTCTTTAATTTTGCAGACACAATGAATATTCCGTTTGTGGATGATAAATTATTCACAGAACGTGACAAGATTCAAAAAAGCTTGGAATTTATTACAAATCTGAAGTGGAATGGTGTAGTTATGGCTCATGGTGATCCAATTTTGATAACGAATGAAGAACAAGAAAAGGATTTAAAGCAAATGTGGCTTAATACTTGGAAAAGCAAAATGGAAGGTAAATAAATGATTTTTATTTCCATTCAAGTCAATTGGTTGGAGGTTAATGTTCACACAACGAGAAAGGTCTTTCCACTTCTTCATTATCCTTAGATCTTTTAAATTTTCTATGATCCATTAGTTTGACACGTTCCTCTTCAGCTTGTTTTCTAGTCATCAATGGTAGGAATGGAATTACATGTTCAATTAAAACAGGGAAAGTAATCTTCTTAGCAAGTGGAAGAGCACTTGAAATGGCTACATCTCTTCTCTGATTATCAATGTTAGATGTAGAAACTATTGGCTTTTTTGGATCAACAAAGAAAAAGACGAGGATTTTTCTAACAGCATTCTTAGTTGCATCCTTTGGGAAGAAATGCTTCACTCTGTGTTGATGTTGATTTGGGAAAACAATGCATTTACCTTCAGTTGTTTTTACACCACCCAAATGTTTAAGCAAAAGATCACCGTCATGAATCTATAGAAATACTTGTTATTATCCAAAGAAATAATAATACTTACACCATATTCATTCCAGGCCTGTTCAACACCATCCTGTTCAATATCATAGAAATTCTCTTCATCCAATGAAGCTCTGAATTCCAATACACTTTCCTTCACATTTTCACATTCGTAATAGTAAATACCAGTGGCAAGAATATTCTCACTGTCACCTTCAGTGTGCCATGTACCACCTGGATAGAAACCTTGTTCAGGTGTAACAATTACATTAGCAGCCTTAATGATAACTTGAACCTTCTTTTCATTAAGTTTTGGAATAAATTGTTTGACAGGTTCAATGAAACGTGACAATACATCACAAATGGTTTCTTGTAATTCTTTCTGACTTTTTGGATCAACATTGTTAATATATGATAATGGTTTGACTTTTCCATTTTCTTGGATCTCAAAATCAGTTGGTAACCATTGTGTTTCAACTTTCGCTGTTTCCATTTGTTTCTCCAATTGTTTTGCATCCTCAAACTTTCCATTGAATTTGCTATGCTTTTTAGAGTAGCAATAGAGAGATGGATGAATAATATCCAAAACCTGTTGGTTTGATCCAGGATGCCAATCATATTTATCCTCTGGAATATTCTCAACCAATTCACTAAATTGTTTCTTGACTCTTTCTGCTAATTCTTTTGGAATGAGATCTTCTTGTTGGTGACAAATGTTCAAACCAACTTGTTTCTCTTCAAATGCACAATGAGCACATGGACACAAACAGAATTTGGTACTTCTCCAATAATATGCCTCATCATCTTCATCATCTTCGTCATTTTCGTCATCATCTTCAGATTTCTTTTTCTTTTTTGGTTCTTCAAGATCAGAAGCAGGTTTATCCCTCTTCTTGGCTGTTTCGAATAGAGTTTCATTCTCATCCACATCATTATCACTATTGTGATCTGTGTATGCTCTCTTTTTAGGAGTGGCACCACAGTGTCCACAACATGATTTTTGAGTGTGTGAAAGCTCCTTGATATCTTTCAAAATATCCATAGCCACAAGAAAACTAGATTTGGAAATGCCAGAGTCCATACTCTCCTTCTCCCACTTCTTCACAATATCCATTCTATCAATTTTACCATGCCAATTGTGTTTGGCAATAATTTGTCGAACAATCTTGTCGGCATGAATTGGATTCACTTGGATTGGCTTGGCTTTTTCAACAGCAGCAGGTTTTTTCCTTTGTCCCCACATTTTCTTCGTCAAATGTTTGATGTGCACAGATCAAGAGTGTGGCAATATTTTTTTGTGGTTTCTAACACATGTCCCAGAAGATGTTTTTTACAAAAATACTTGCCTAATTCTATTGTACAGTAAATAGTGGAAAAAAATCACTTTTACAAAGATTTTATTTTGGAAATCGTTGAGGTTATACTACAAATTGTAATGCTGTTAAACTACACTTTATTACATATTGATAATGCACTTATCATGTTCATTACTTTTGATGTTTCAATTTCATCAATCAAAAAAAATGGTCAATTTAATATTAATTGATTTTCATCATTCCGAATCAACAATGAATCCATTATCAACAGGATTAAAAGAAAAGCTATCTAAAAAACATAGTGAAATGAATTTTTGGTTTCAATCATTACTAACTGATGTGAATAGTTCAGATTTTAATTTATTTATTGATTCTCCTAAACATTCCAATAATAGTCTATTACATGAATATCCAAAATCATTAAAATATCACACAACAGATCAACAACGAATTGATTACAGATCCTATATTTATCAAAATGAAGAATTTATTCATCCAGAAATTGGTTCAATACTTGATGGAGAATATTCAACTTATCGACCTAAAGTTGGACCCATAGTTGCACCTGAACATTTATTTAATTATACTGGATTTACAATATTATTAAGATTATTTATTGAAAGAGGAAGTGGTCAATGTATTCTATGTTTTGGAAGAGGAAGTAAATGGTTTAAACTTGATATAGATTCAATTACATTAAATAATTCAAAAGATTATTTTTCATTTAATAATAATATATCATTTAATCATGCAATTAATAATTTAAATGATGATAATAATTTAAATAATAATAATTTAATTAATTCATTTAATAATAATAATACTTCATTTAATCCATTAAAAGAAGGTGAATGGAATGATATTTGGATATCCTATAATAATAATCCAAAATCCATCATTGAATCTATTGAACCTCGGAGATTTATTTATAAACATTTAATAATTAATAATAATAATAATAATAATAGAGAAATATTGTGTCTATTAAATGGAGTTGAATATTATTTTGATTTATCTTTTATTGATAATGAATTACTTTTATGTAATGATGATAGTTATTTACAAACTGAGATGGATATTTATTTTGGTCATGATTCATTTATGGAACAACAATTTATTGGTTTATTTTCTTCTATTATTATTTTTAATCAAAGTTGTAAAAGTTTTAATGAATTAAAATTACTAGCTCATGAATTTTTAAAAAATCATAAAATCAAGAGGCTATTAAAACTCTTAATATTTAATTAATAAAAAATTCTTAATTCTTAATTTCAAAATACAAAATTGTAAATTCTTTTACTAAATAATTTAAAAAAAAATATGAGCAATGTGATAACACTCCAAATTGGCCAATGTGGTAATCAAGTTGGGCTTTCGTTTTTTCAGAATTTATCATCCCAACTCATACAAAATAGATTGAATAGAGTTGTTGCTGGGGACAAGTTTGTAGTGAATGAGGAACGTTATTTACCTTTCGGAGACTCTGCTATGGATTGTTTCTTTAGACCCAATACAAAAAATCCTTCCGATCCAATGATTGCAAGAGCCTTATTGATTGATATGGAACCGAAAGTAATACACAATACATTGAATACAGCAAATCGGAAGCATGAAAATCAATTATTTGAATATGATACAAATAATGTTTATCATCAACAATCAGGAAGTGCTAATAATTGGGCATATGGATTTAATGTACATGGACCTAATTGTGGAGATTCAATTTTGGAAAAAGTGAGAAAGGAAGCAGAGTTGTGTGATTGTTTATCAGGATTTGTTCTTCTGCAAAGTATGGCTGGTGGAACTGGTTCTGGAATGGGTTGTCATATTTCTCAAACTTTGAGAGATGAATTTCCTCATTCATTACTCATGAACCAAGTTGTTTGGCCTCACGAGGCAGGAGAAGTCATTGTACAGAATTATAATACTCTGCTCACACTACAGAAATTATATGAAATTTCTGATAGTATTTACTGTTTCAAAAATGACCAATTGTTTTTAACTTGTAAAAGATTGATGGGAATAGAAAGTCCTTCATTCAATGACATGAATACTGTCATTGCTGACCATATGAGTTGCTTAGCTTTACCTAGCTCTCCAATTACTTGTGCTGATAATGCATGCCAACTATTGTATGATCCAATCCAACACCTTTGCTCGCATCCAGCTTACAAGATTATAAATTCGAGAATAATACCACACATGTCAGCAAAAAGCAAAGATTATAGTGTTTTTAGATGGGAAGGATTAATGAAGCATTTACATCAAATGCTTATTGCGGATGCTCCTATTGAGGAATGTATTAATTGGAAAGTGAATTTATCTGATAGAAGATGGGACTCAATGATCAACAAATCAATAACCAATTTAATGATTTTGAGAGGAAAAGAAGTTGGAGGAATCCAAGCAGAACTTGTCAATCCATTTTTCAACAGTAAAATTTACTCATCCTACATCAATCCAAGGGAAGCTATGAAAATTAATATTAATGAGAATCCAGCAGGATTTAATGGATTTGAGAAAACTGCATTCTTAATGAGTAATTGTCAGTCAATTGTGCCTCAATTAGATAAGGTAATTTCCAAAGCATTCCAAATGTTTAATGCAAAGGCGTACACTCACCACTACGAGAAACACCATGTTGGAAAGGTAGAAATGGAAGAGATGTTTATGAGAACAGAGCAAATATTGTACGATTATCAACATATGTAATATTAATTGCGGATATTTTAGAAAGTTGGAACAAAGAGATAGCTAGCCATTCTATTGATATGGTATTAATCCTGAAATGGACTAGCTATCGCCCTGATATGATTTAGAATGAATTTACCCTTTTTATCAATGATTATCATCCTTTATATCATTACTCATTTCATTCAGTTACAGGTAATGAAATAAATCTCATTTGGCAATTGGATTATTAATAACTGTCACACGAAAACAGATGACAACAACTGCTCACCGTTGTTCAAAAAGATGCATTCGAATCCCATTCTTCTTTCTCCAAGTAAAAAAGAATATCAAAAGAATATCAACTGACTGATCTTTGTATCATCACTAACACTCACTCCAACAATAACACAGATTTCGAAACCAAATCTGTCCATTAGAATTTTGTGCATTTTACTGTAAATCCAAATCCTCTCCAATTCTCCTAGAAGTGCATTCACACTCACACCACACCAGCACAACATTCATTTAGAAAAAACCAAATGACCATCTTCTCTGATAACAATACAGCATCGTACACATCACCTCTGTGTGGTGAATTTAGCAGAAGTAGTACTACTGAATCATCTACAACTCTAATGATGGTTGCCTCACCGACACCATTAGCATCATCCATACAGATTGAACAAGCTGCATTGTATTATTCCCCTCGGCTGACTGCAGCCACTACTAGCCATCATTCAACAGTTCTGGTCGAACCACAAAATTATGAAGATAATATGATAGCACTCGATGAAGGTTCAAATATTTCAGCTCAAACACTCCATAATAATAATCATAAGGAAGATTCAATGCAATTAGATGAATACCCAGATGAATACACACAACATCCGAATAATAATAATGATTATCATCACAGACAACAAACCTTCTCCACCAAAGATATTGCTGCAATTTGCTCATCATTCAAATCCTCAAAGCAATCTTCCGTTAACATGCAAAATGGCGCCACAAATTTGATTGAGGAGGAAAAACACTGTAAATCGCACTTAAAATCCCTTAATCAATTTTTGTGCTGCACTCCTGTTTACAATGATGATTCTACTACTGCCAGTTCTCAACAACAAGTCAAAGAACATACCGAGTCCTTTAACAAGCTTTGTATTCTAAGTGATTTGACAAGTGTCTCTACTAAAATCGAGAAATCCAACCAAATTAATACTCTGTCAAAAACTAACCACCATCATGGTTTTTATTCAGCCACTACAACAGTTCTTTATGATCAACAAGGTAACAAGATCAATTATTCTGAAGAGACATTATCATCTCCAAACAGCGAGGAACCATTATCGTATCAACCTTTCCAAAAACACCAATTTTCACTACCTGATCAAAATCTAAACGACGAACAACAACAAGAGAATCCTGATAAGAGGTTTGACTGTTGTGGTGCTGATGTTATTAATATTAACATCAATAAGAAAAAACAAGACCATTCCTCCTTCGCTATTGCTGTCAAAGAAGATTCAACTTTAACTCCTAGTGCTTCTTTGGGAGAAGATTCTATTGCTCCTGCCAATTTTGCCTACAAGAATAGTAGTTATTGCACTTTTAAAAGTAATCATCAGGAAGAGGATCCAAGTAGAATCATTGATTCTCAACTAACAACCTGTACAATAACTGATACCAATAGTACTATCTTTGAAACAAACACAACAACAACAAGTATGGGTAATACAATTATTAATCACTACTTCCCCAATGAGGTACATCCTCTTGGATTCATTGAAATGCTTCCTCAGAACAAGCAACAACAACAAAATACCAATAATAATAATAGGTTATCATCAACTTTCCATCAACACCAATATGCTGTAAATTATGATCATCAAATGATGGTCAACAGTCCAACCATCAATATGAAAGAGATGATGGTATTGGACGAGAAAAATATGACAACGACATTAACTCATAGTTCTAGTCATTCTTCACTGACACACTTGTCGAGGTTTAATGGAGACGTCAAACAATTTGTTGGTTATTCTACTACTTCTACTGCTAATAATGATGAACCATCACTGATTGACTTGCCTTTTGAAATGATTCTTCATATCATTACTTTCATTCCTCATCAAGATGAGTTGTGTCATGAATATAATACCTATTGGAATATTAGAGAAAAGTATTTGAAAAAGTTACATACCGAAGCTAAACAATCTGTACATAATCAATTTTTGAAAAAGAGATTCGTCAAGAATTTGATGGAATCTTCTAAACCTAATCCAAGCAGAATTTCCATTTCTTCCAAAGATAGTATGGATGATGAATATCAATATATGAGTCAGACAAGATATGGAATTTTCTCAATTTGTTTTGTAAATAATTACATGTATCATAACTATTTCAAGAATGTTCATTTTTGGAAATTAATATGTGAATCCTATTTCAATATTCCAAGAACTGATTGTCTTGAACCACCTGTAGATAAGAAATTACTGAATGCCATCTATTCTAAACAATTGAATGGTGGTTCTGATTGTCCAACTTCTAAAATTGCCAAACTTGGTGATTGGTTGCAAGGAATGCTCAACATTTCAAATGCTTCTGAATTCTCCAATCTTGCAATCGATGAAAATATGGGATCCTTCCAAGCCACTGGAGCTGTACAAAATTCTGGAAGTAATGCAAACTTTTTCATTTCCAACCCTCCAGTTCAGGAAGAATTAGTGTGGTGGCAATATTCATACCACTACTTGCATTCAATTCCTGCAAGATTTGATTTAAATCCTAACTATTTACTCCCAATTTTCCAAGTCAGTCCAAAGAATGCCTGCAGTGAGGACTCTAACATGTTAAATATTTCTGGTCTTGCCAAAGAGAATGACATTACCAAGAATTCTGTACTTTATAATACTTGTATCAGTAGACTAATGGAAACTGATAATAAGAAATCACCTAATGATTACAGATGGAGAAATGCCACAAGTGAACAAATCTTTACTCCAAATAATTTATACTACTTTGAATTCTATGTAGAAAAGATTGGAGGAATCAATCTTGGTGTTGGAATTGTTCCAAATATTCACTTTACTGGATCTGATAATTCAGATGCACCAAAAGATTTCAATCCTTCTCATTATGATAATTTCATTTGGCCAAGTGGCAGCTGTCATCACTGTTTTGAAATTAACAATCAACGTTACTATTCAGGTGATGTCGTTGGAATGTTGGTGGACTATAGTTATTCTGAGAAGAATGTTCTCAAGATTCACTTTTGTCACAATTGGCATACTAAGGAGAAACGTAATGTACTTCAAAATCAACTCAAGAAAGTTTCTGATCTTGAATCTCTCTGCCAAACTACTGGCAATTTCGAACAGAATGTCTTTTCTTCCCTTTTAGAAGATGAGATTAATAATATGAGAAATGGTGTCAAGAGTAAGGATAATGAAGATGAAGATGATATTAATTATCCATTCAAAGATAATCAAATTCGTCTCATCTACTTTACTGATGATACACAAACTCAATTCCCAGAATGTGTAATCTCAGAAGGAAGAAATGAACTCATCTCTTTCATGAAGGTCAACTCTGCCAATGGTACTTCCTCTACAATGGACAGAAAGAAGAAGGAACCACCAAAGAAATGGGATCTTCAAAAGGAAAGACCACAACCTTCTCAAAGAGAGCTAGTTCTTCCAGATTTCAAACTCTGTGTCACTACCTATGATAAGGAAGATTCTGTGAGAATTATCAAACCAAGTTATCCACATCCACCACTCTACTATCACCTCCTCAGAAATGGCAGACATACCCAACAAAAAGCACCAACCAAACCACTACTTTCAACCACAGAAGAAAAGGAATTGAGAAAAATCATCATGGATTCACTTGGAGATTATCAGTACTCTTCAAAGAATCATGCCAATTCTTCTTCTTCCTCATCATCCAATTCATCATCCAATTCCTCAAATCATGAAGAGAGAAATAATAAGGGCTGTTCCATAATGTAAATAAACAATTTCACTCTCTTTTAAAAATTCATGTTGAGATTTTAAATATATTTGTATATTATTTTAAAAAAATGGAGAAAGTTGAATCAATGATGATCGATGTACATACACACCTCTATGATGATAAGTTCTTTCCAAATGGTCATTCAGACTTTTCTGAATTGGAACAAATTTTGCAAAAATCATCACAAGCCTCCGTACACAAGATAATTCTTGTGAGTGAGGAAGAGGAGACTGCCAAACGAATTTTAAATCTATGTAAAAAGTACCCAAAGCAATTAGCAGCTGGCATTGGACTTCATCCGTGTTGTGTTCAGAGTGAAGAGCAAATATCAAGAATTTCGGAATTAATTTTGGAAAATCAGGAATTTATTTGTTGTATTGGAGAGGGTTAGTACTAGATTTAATTTACAATATAGGAATATAGGAAATATTGAAAATAGTGGGACTTGATTTTACACCTGGAGTTTTGAAGAATATTAAGGAAACGAATCCACAACTTGAAAATATTGATCAAGTTAAAAATTTACAACGAAAAGCTTTGGAACAATTTGTAGAATTGAGTAAGCAGACAGGTCTACCATTAAATGTGCATTCAAGAAGTGCTGGAAGACCTACCATTCAGTTATTGGCAGAAAAGGGAGCTACCAATGTCTTGATGCATTGTTTTGATGGAAGTGCAAAGGTTGTCAGGGAAGGTCTTCAACATGGTTACTTCTTTTCAATTCCATCGAATGTCATTCGTTCAAAACAATTACAGGATTTAATTAATGTTGTACCTATGGATAGAATTTTATTGGAAACGTAAGTTTCGAATATGTTTAATATATTGTATTGAAATACTCTGGTAGTGATTCACCAGCCCTTGTTCCAAATCTTCCAAAAAGAGAAGATTTTGAAAGTGAAGAAGTTTTTGAATTGGCCATCAAAAATTCAAGGAATGACCCTTCTAATATTCCACTTTCCGCACAAATGATTTCAAAAATTAAGAAATGTAGTTTGGAGGAAGTAATTTCAAAAACACTCCTGAATACTCTCAAGTTGTTCCCAAAATTGAAATAAGTCTCAAGATCTCTAAAGATCACCAAGCAATAATAATATTAGTTTTAAATAATAATATTGAGACAATTTTATTGTGTAACCATGTTCATTAATGCATTCAACAAAACAAATGTAGCAATGAGAAGGAAAATGTTTGAGGTGGAAAATTGAACAATTTGTGCACTGCTTCCCCAACAGATTCCTAAGAAGCAAACCTTACCAGATGAAGTACCATCTGAGCTTTCATTTCCAGCTTCATCAGATGAGATTGCAGTTTTACCTGTACCATCATCAGTGGATGGAGTAATTTCATAGGAATCACACAAAATGGTATAACCATTCTTTGGACATGTAACAGATCCCTTGAATCCAGTTGGAGCTGTGAATACTTGATTGGATTGATCTGAAGGACAAGTAATGTAATTGGAGGTGGTGTGAAGTCTAATTTTGAGTACCTTATTGGTTCTATCACAACTATACACGAGACATCTACTGGCCGAATCCTCACTTTCCATAGTTCCACTAAAACCAGTCAATTCTAAATTACCTACAAAACAGGCACTATTGGTATTGAAAACTTCTGAAGATCTCTTTGGCATTGTTTTGTCAGCACAATTCATATAACGACGTTGAATTGGACAATAATCGAACCATGAAACTCTACCACCTTGTTTGGAATTTGTAAAATATTGATATTGAGCAGGCAATGCAGAAGTGTAAGTGGCCATATCACAAATACCCTTATCACGCATATGGTAAACACAAGAGAACTTCTTTTGAGTGGTATCAGTACAGAAATAACCCAACTTGTCAGTATCCCAAGTAGAACATCTCTGATTAGCAAAATTACATCCCATATTTCTACCGTAGGCAGGAATTATTGGATTGGCAACACTTGATTTGTACCAACCAGTAGTTTCTAATAAGGCCAAAGTAGCAGTTGTAGTTACACAACTTCTACCAAAAGTTCCACAACCATCCAAAGAAGGAGCCATCAATTCATTTACAAAAACTCTTGCATCAAAATGACTACCTGCAGATCCAGAGCTTCCATATTCCTCAATTGGTACTCCATCAACACTTGAGCATCCAGTTAAATTCTTATACATGTTAGTCATCTTTGAATGAATAAAGTATTGTCTTGTTACAGAGGCTCCATTTTCAGTTTTGGTCTTTGAGGCAACAACTGCAGATGATGACATTAAAAAACCATTATCATCACGATATTGTCCATAAAATGATGAACTAAATCCCAAAATGTGAGTTGTTTCATGTTCAATTGTTGAAAGAAGAACAGTGTCATCACTTGGATAGGTGTCCAAAATTGATGGATTAATATTCAATTGACCAGCAACAGGTCTTCCATATGTTGATTCTGTACTGCAAGCAGTAGCCCAAGCAGCAACTCCAGTATCAGCAGGTCTATATCAATAATTAATATCATCATTATTATTGAAATTATTCAGAAACATACCTCATCGTGACATAAATATATAAATCAACGTTTGTCAATGTATTTGGAGCAATTACATTACTAGTCCATGGAACACCTCCCTCTGCACCACAATTAATGGCAAGTTTTGAAACAGTGAATGAAGCTAATGGTCTAGTACTAATCTGAGATGCAATCTTTGCCTTGACTTGTTGAACAAGATTTAGCACACGAGATGATTTGGTAGATGTAATTACGTCTGCACTTTTACATGTTCCACTAAATTATTTCATGAACCAAAAATTCATTCCAACAGTTCAATTTCCAAACAAATAATTGACCTATTACTTACTAGCAATTAGTTGTTACTGAAGAACCATCACAAACTACACTTGTAGAAGATGGATTTCCTCTCTTATAGGTTGCACCAGTTGAATAACATGATCTACTCTCTACATCACTTGACAAGTAAGTTGTATCGAGAATTATTCTAATGGATGAAAAGACATCAAACACCTTTTCAATAGAACGTTTTCCATTGGCACCCATTTTCCTAACAAGACGATGAGTAGTTTGTAGAGGTATTGGGTTATCTAAACCAATGAAAAGTGGTGATTTTGAACGATCTCCATCAAATCGTTTTAATTCATTATCGTAGAGAGAGTCGTGAATACATTTGTGATGATGATTTGGTTGATTTTCAACATGTTGACTTTGAGTAAACATATGGAAAGTTGGTTGATGAGCAAAGCAACAACCAACAAGACAAACTAATAATAAAATTATTATATCCAGGCGTACTTGATAGACCGGCAAACCTGACATTTTTTTGTTTAATGGGATTGTTGACAACCGAACTGTTGAACTGAACATTCGGATTCTTTAAATTAGATTCTAACAATTTGGGTATCGTTGTTTCTAATTACTGGGATGCAATTGAAAATGAAATGTTTATAGACCAAACAATTCCTTAAACTCATCCTTCTCTTCGTTTTGTTTTGTTTCCTCGCTCTTTGATTTCTTTGTGTCTGTATTTGGTGGAGCCGACCTAAACACAAGAGGTTTACCTGCTCTCTTTCTAGGTGCTGTTTGCTGCACAACAGACTTATTCTTCTTCTCTTTTTGAGATTTAATTTTGTTGGTCTCCTCTCTTTGCTGCTTTCTACGTTCTTTCTCTCTTTGCTTTTCGTACTTGGCAACAAAATCGTCATCGTATTCATCAAGTACTGTTAATAAACTTTCAAGCTTATTTTCAATTTTGGATAACATGAAGAGTGGGTCAATATTTTCCATAATATCTGCATTTTGGTCTGATTCAGTTTCCACACCAGATTGAAGATATATTTCTTTAATCTTTTCAGTTAACATCTTTAATCTCTCTTCTCCATCCTGATCGATATTTGAAGAGTGTCTATCTGAAATGGTTTTCAATCTATCTTGTTCTATTTCAAGTTGTTCATTAAGTACATCAATTTGAGCTTGCAAATTCTCAGCTTCCATACTCCTGATAATCGTTAAGAATTACTTATTATAATTAAAAACTTACATTTTCTTCTTTGTTTCTTTGTACATTTTTTGGACATCTTCAAGTTGCTCTTGAATGTCTTCAGTGTTTTGGATTAAAATTAAATTACTTTCTTCCAATTCTGAATAAATATTAAGAAGTTGCTCTGGCTTTTTAAAATACATATCAATAACTTCTTCATTGTTTTCTGTCTGCTCCTCTTCTTTAGAATCCAGAGAGGCAATTGGTGTCATCTTTGTTTCTCTTTCCTCTTTTTCACTGGTCGAAGTTCCTGATCTTCCTGAGCTTGCTCTTGATCCTGGTCTTGATTTGGATGTCTTTTTCTTCTTGTCATTCATCTTTGCCAATTCTTCCTTTGGTGTGAGTGAATCCAAAAAGTCTTTATATCTTCTGCAATTGTCTAACTGGTAATCAAGTTTTGAAATTTCTGATGTGATTGCAGCAATTCTCGCATTCAATTTCTTAATCTCGTTTTGTTTAGATTGTTTTGCTTTCGTTTCTTCTTCAGCTTTTTTGATAGCTTCCACTGCTCTAATATCGTTAAGGGCAAGAAAATCGTCAAAAGCTTGTGTCTGTTGTTTTAGTTCCTGTTCCATTTGGAACAGTTTTTGATCTCTCTTTTGAGCTTTCTTTTCTAATTTCTTAATTTCAAACTTTTTAGTATCAATACTCATCTGCAAGAGAAACATTTGTTTTTTCTTTTCAATAAAATCTGAAACATTTTCCTTCTTTTTATACGAGCTATTTACATCAACAGGTTGATCACCAGAAGGAGCACTCTTTGACTTTTTATCTCTAATAAGAGGTAAAACAGGGTCTCTCCTTGACATTTTTGTTTTTCTTGGTGATTTGAAGGTTAACCCGGAACCTGTATTTATCGATTTTAATTTTTCCTTACTCTCAAATATTTGTTCATCAGTTGGAATTTTAAAAGGATTTTCCTCTATTTCCTCTTCCTCTTCCGATGTAAATGATTCATACTCTTGATCTACAGTCACTCCTACTCTTCTACCACTTGACTTCATTTTTTTTAATATTTTAAAATCAGTTGTGCCGTAAATAAATTTGGCGCGTGTTGTGATTCAAAATAAAGAGACAACAGCCAAAATAGCATAATTCCAAAGTGGAAAAGAATTAATTTATCAAAGAGTGATTTCTTGTGAAGTTTCGGTAGAATAGTTTGTCAAACCATGACCATTGAGTGATGGTCTATTCGGTTGACATTCTTTAATGTACTCTTTGACAATTGTAAATTAATGTCGTTAACAGACAATCCTTCGTTATAAATCTCATTTCCCGCTAATTCAAAAATATTAACGTTAATGATGTTTAATGTTGTAACTTTTAAATTTGCCGCCACTTTTTGATAACAATTTATTAAACAATCCAAGAAAAAAGTTCTTGACAACAATACCCTTGCCGCGAGTAGAATGGTATGTACAAGCATAAATGATGAACTTACTCAACAATCAACACAGACCGAGAGTTTAGGTACATCATCTTCACCAAACAAATGTACATCCAACAATAATACACAATACAGAAATTCTCCTGGAACATTTAATAGAAAGCCTAAAAAGCTTCATATTTTGAACAAAATGGAACGTGAGAGACGAGAACAACTTGAAAGAATGAAACAAAGTCAGCAGCCAACACCAAAGACTTCACTCTCTGAGTCTATGAATAGGTTGTCTCTAAATTCGGATCAAATTCAATCCATAAGTGATAGTACCTTCAGTCATTCCGAAAGAATTGCTTTGCAACCTGACAAATCAAGTCCTCAACATATCAAGACAATTGATTTAAACAACTTGACAGCAAATACTGAGGCTAACAAGGAAAATCCAGTGCACCATCCTATAACTTTAACCAACCTAAGCTCCTCCATTGTAATTAATACTACCTCTATCCTTTCTACCCAATCCAATTCTTCCTTTAACTGTAATTACGAACAATCAACAAAAACAATTCCAAAAACTCCCCAATCCCAAAAAACTAAGCAACTCTTTAAACGAAAGATGATTTCACCAATGCAAAATCTATCTCTTGTCAAGGAAGAAGCTGATGAAGATTTAACAACTGTCTCAAAGAGACTCACATTCGAGAATACCACTACTGTGCGACAAACTGCAATCCCAACACGATTAATTAATGAAAGTAAGGTAAAGTTGTCAACACCTGAAAAGACTTTAACTAAGAGAATTACCCTTCACAAAACATCAAATGTTAGAAAGGCTCCAGATGTGCCTTGTTCCTTAAAATTTGTTTTTTAAAACAAGTAATTCTTCACTTTTGTTATCATGAGTAAACCATTTTCCATAATTGGAATTTTGATTAATTAATAATTTGGGTTTTGTTGTTTTAATATTAAATTGCTAAAAAATGATTCAAAATGTTTTAAAGAAGGCCGTCATTCCCAGTGCTAACTCGAACGCATTTCTATCTTTTCTTGGAAACATTCAAACCATAAAAACACTTGTACTCTTCTTGGATTATGACGGCACTTTGACTCCAATTGTTGGTATGTTTATTATGCAATTCTATTGATTTATTGATTCAGAGTATTCGCAACAGAAAGGCCTGATCAAGCAATTCTCTCAAATGATGCCAGACAGGCAATTAAATGTTTATCAGAAGATTTAAAAATTGCTATTGTCTCAGGTAGAACTAAAAAGGATGTTAAATCACGAGTTGACATTCCAGATTTATTCTATGCTGGTTCTCATGGTTTTGATATTTCAGGTCCAATTAAAAGTGACGAACCTCTCACAATAACAAGTGGAGGAACCGAACAAAAGGTATCTAAAGCAGTTAAGGAAAATATTGAATGGACGTTGGAAACTGACACTTCATTAGGAGGTAAACAATATATTACCTTTCAAGTTGCTAATAATTTTGTACCAATTCTCAATCAAATGTTTGAAAAACTCAGTCAAGAATTAGGAAAAATCAAAGGTTGCATATTGGAAAATAACATATTTTCCCTTTCTGTTCATTACAGACTAATCGAATCAGAATTAATGGTTTCAAAGATTGAAGAAATTATTCAGAGTATTGCGAACGAGCAAAAAGGAATGGTAAAAGTCACTCACGGAAAGAAGGTTTTTGAGATAAGAATCAATCTTGATTGGCACAAAGGAAAGGCAATTATGAAACTATTGGAATATTGGAATTTAACATCTCCAGATAAAGTGTTTGCCATCTTTGTTGGAGATGACAAGACTGATGAGGATGGTTTCAAGTACTTGTTGGATAATTCTCTTGGTGTTGGCATCCTTGTCTCCCCTCAAAGTGAAGAAAGGCCACAAATAGGTACAACTGAAAATACCAACATGCAAGATGTTCAAATCATCTCACAACCAAATTCCACAGAAATACTTTCCACAACATTCGCCAAATATTCACTCAAAGATCCCTCTGATGTTCTTTCCTTCCTCAAAAACCTCTCTAAAATTCAACCCACACGCAACGACTCTTCCCAAAATACAGTCAACCATTAATTTATGTTTTTCATGCAAATAAAATTCATTGTAATTAAAACCAATCCCGGTGCCGAATTTGCAAGTTCATTAAAAAAATCGGAATCCAAAAATAACATAAAAAAAATAACAGGACACATCTGGGAGCCGACTAATCATGAACATTTTCGATGACTTGCCTAATGATTGTTGGATACATATATTTGGATATTTGAGTATCAGTGAAGTGAAAAAATATTCCCTTTCTATTAGTCAAAATCTTGCCTTACGATTGTTGGAAACGGAAGATGATCATAATTCTATTTACAGATATTTATGTGAAGTTAAAATGAGATCAGATTTGGACAATGCTCTTGAATCAATTGAGAATAGAAAGGAAATGTCAGAGAGATATTATTATCGACACAACAATAGAAGAACTGGACTTCCTGCTATTGCTAGAAACAATAATAGCCCTGCAGGTTTATCTTCTAAACAAATGAGAGAAAATCTCAAACACTGCACTATTAGAGCAAAGTATTTGTTTTCACGTTGGTTCAAAGAAGATCCATCTCTATATGAAAGAATTAAAAAGGCTATCACTCGCTCCTTCTCATCAAATACAGTCTTTATTCCAGACCTCGGTAATCATGACACAACACTAGATGATATAGAGAGATTAAAATTGATTAGTGAAAAAGAAAATGCACAATTAGAGAAAACAACAAATGATTTTATTCTCGATATGGAAAAACAAGTTGAAAAGCAAAGGAAAAAACACCCAAAATGGAAACAGATTTGGAATGGATATCACGTCCAGAGTTCATACTCATCCCTCAAGAGTTCTACCAAGCATATGGCAGTAAGAGTTTCCAAAATTCCGTCAAATAACAGAAGGTATCGTGGCACTCCTCTAACAAATCAAGAATTTGAACAATATCTTACAGACATTTATGAAGGGTTTAAAAGCTTAGAACCAGAATTAAGAAGAGAGGCCATGTTCAAAAATTTCAAGTTTCAATTCAAGTATTACTCAAACGGAAAATATCACACTTCCAAATCCTCAGTATTTTCTCAAATTACTACTGGAGTTTACAAACTTTCAAAAAAAATACCTGATATGAAAAACATTGAAAAAATATATGGCAAATTGTTAGAATTTTTCATTGAGGAATCAATTGCTTACAAAGTAGAAACCCCTATCCTAACCGACTGTATGTAGAAATTATTGTTTGATTCCAATAACCGTTCAAGGTTTTATTCCAAATAACTCTCCAATTCACATGTTGTTAAGAACAACATGTTTTCCTGATCTAGGATTGAATATTGTGAGAAAATATGCAAGACACCTCAGGTCTGCATCACTTGATTTTAAATTCTTCTTGCTTGTCAAATGTTTTTCATCCTTTGTTGATTTGAGAATAATTAATGAGCTCTTTTACAATGGAACATTTAGTAGTTTAGTATTGGACCATACTTTTAGAAAGCGTAAAATTTGCATATACTTTTTAGCTGCAATAGGTAGAAGATGTTATACAGATGTAGCAAACTTTTACTTTGGTGATATTTACAATATCTTTGTAAAATGCTTCCAAAACACTATTGGACCATCTTTTACTGCCACACCAGCAGTTGAAAAAAGCATGCCATCATTATCTTGGGTTCAAAATCAAAGTTTCAAGCAATTTTTAGAGCCAGCTGTTTCCTATTCAGTGACCTACCATGGTGATACTCTTAAATTCTTTGTTAGAACTATGAATTATCATTACATGAGATTCAATGATAAAAAAGTTGGTAAGGTGCTTGGAGATGAAACACCAATACATGACTTTGTACACTTTGAGAAACCAAAATATGATGATTTGAATGATTTCAGAAGAAGAAAATATTGAGCTAGATAAATAATTATTTTCCAATTTATTTACTTTTTCAGTTCCATAACTTCATCATCTCTCAAAACCATGTTCGGTATTCTATCCTTGATTGGATATCTTCTTCCACATTGTGGATTAGTACAAACCAAATCTCCATTCTTAACTTGCAATTCCAAAAGAAGTTTATGCAATGATTTCATAGCAGCTTCATTTTCTCCAACATTTTCTGGTAAAATATCAGGTAAACCTTCAATAGAAAGCTAATCAAAACATAATCGGAATTAATTAATTTTTCTTTTTTTCAAAATACATACATCCTTTGCGGCACCTTTTAATGCTTCATAATCAACTCTTTGCAACATATTTAAAATAAATTCCTTATTGTCTTCTTGTTCTTCATTTTCAACTTCGGTTGCTTCAATTTTAAGTGGGAATGTGTCACACTTTAAACAACACATCATGTTATGAACAAGGAGTCTCATTTTTTAACGGCAAGTAAAAATTTGAAATTGCATAAAAACCATTCCGATATTGAATTTTAATTCATCTTGAATCTTTGTTGATGATGTTAAAGAACATTCTCTTCTTGCCCTGATTGTTGCATGAAATCGTTTGTGAATCACAATAATTAATCGAATTGTTTAATTAAAAAATACTATTGGAAATTTTAAATAAAAAATACAAAAATGAGACATAAATTCGTATCCAAGCTCGGCATCTTCCGTGATTTGACTTATTATGATAACGGATGGAGAGGATTTGAAAAGTCTGAACCAAGTGCCTTCTACTCACTTGCTTACTTTATTGCTGGTAGGTTTATTGGAAAATAATATTTGGAATTTTAATTGATGTGATGAATAATTTTAGCTCCTTTCCTCCCTTTGGTTACTTACTTCGGATACAAGGCCTTCAATGTTGATGCTGCCAATGCCTATCCATTTGTTGATTCTAGACTTAAACATTTATATTTCAATGAAAAACAAACTGGTAATGATGATGTTGGTGCTGTTTTCGAATATCACTATGATGACGGATCAAAGGAAGTTGCTTTCACAAAGAAATAATTCAATAGTATAAATAATTATTTTATTTATTAGATTGATGAGTATTTATATTGTATTTTGATGATGAGGGAATAAATAAATAGGATGAGAAATGATTTTTCATTCTCCATAAATTAGGAAATCTATATAGATTACAAAATTCCAATAAATTAAGTTAGATCAATTGTGGGGATATTGCTTACTGATTTACAGCTTCATTTGTAAACAAGAATGCAGAGGTAAGTTGGGGTGTTGGTTTTAAATCTTGAAAAACTGGTAATCGTGAAGTTTGGTGAATTGGAACCATATCGATATTTTGACTAAGAGCTCTTCCAATCACACATCTATCAATGGAATGGATAAAACAACATCTTATACCATACATACAAGTTCCTTCGTAATGGTAATTATTGCAAAGCTCACTTTTGTACTATTTAAGGTTACAAAAAAACATTCAATTACAACTTACTTTGTGATGTCTTGTCACCAACCTTAATTCATGTCTACCATGAGCAAACTGGCATTTATCTCCATATCTACAATATCCAGTTTCCTCCCATGATCGACATAACTCTGTCTTGTATCTGTCCTTTCCATTATAAGATGCTTGATTATCATTAGTTTGTTGTTGGTTGGTAGATTGTTGGACGACGATATCATTAAAGTCAGTTGTGCTAAAGTATTGTTCTAAATTGCTTTTTGGAGGGTCTGATAATTTGGAAGTTGTTGAAGGTGGAGGTTTAGATTGCTTTGGTTGATTAAGGTTAGTTTGTTTTAAGGGCGGTTGATTTTCATTAAGAGGAGCAAATTCAGAAATGCTAATAAATCCATTGGCTGTATTCGCGTTTCTAATGTTTTGGTAGTTTGTTTTTAATTGTTGATTTATATCCTCATGGTTGTTGTAATAATAATTATGTTGTTGAGGTATATTCTCAGAATAGTGATGATCATAGGAATGAGAAGAGATGTTCATCTGTCCATATTGATTTTGAATATAGTGTATATGGTCGGGTTGTTGGTTGAAACATGATTCCGTTGAGGTTTGAATGCCTCCACGAGCATTATGAATTTGATAGAGTTGATTTTTCATCATTACATCCACCGAAGATGGGGAAATATATCTGTGTTCAAAGAGCATAATTACTAAGTTATAAATTAAAAGGGAAGATATAATACAACAACAAGATTTGTACAAATAATAAATAAGGTTAAGTTGGAATTAGAGGTTCCTTAGGTTTGTATGATCACTTAGAAAATTCTGCAGCAATCTATTAGGAGCCCAAAAGGCTATTGATTCATACGATACGATTTATGAGAACCTTCAATAACAACCAGCAGAGCAGATCAATGTAGTTGTAGTTTTTTTGCCTAAAACACAAAATAGTAGTTGTAAAAAGGAGGGATTGAAGAGAGGTCTTTCCCGCCTTTTGCATCAAGCAAAAATGCCGCCAGAAAATCATAAATTTATGTTTGTTAATTAAAGAAAAAATGCCTGCTAAAGACAAGAAGGAAAAGAAGAAAGAAACTTCATCTTCTTCGACTGTTAAAAAGAAGTCAACATCGTCTTCTTCCGAGCCAGCAAAAAAGAAGAAAAAGACAACAGATAAAGATCCAACTTTTGTGGCGATCGCAAAACAATTCAACAAGGCTCAAAAATCACATGCTTCACATGATAAATGTATAGAAGTTCTGGCGAAATTACATGAAGAAAACTATTCGGCATTTCTCCAAAAGTTTTTTGAAGTATTACATCCTGTATTATTAGTTTCTAAAAACGAGAAGCCTGTTGAACTGATAATTAAATTTATCGGAAAGTTTTGTGAATATACTAACAAGAAACTTCGTGATTCAACAGAAAATTTTGATGTTGATCTCATGTACAGTTTATTGGGTTACGCCAATGCAACAGATAAAACTATTAGAATGAGAACTGCCCAAATAATTGCCGAAATTATGGACAAGATCACACCAGAGGATGATGTTGATGTTGACTTTATTAATGAACTCAAGGAAAAATATGTGGGTAGATTACGTGATAAGGTTCCTGGCATTAGACTTTTGGCAATACTTGTATTATACAAGTTTCAAGAACCAATTACGGAGCCTGAAATAACAAATGAGTTTATCAGATTGATGAAAACAGACACTAACAAAGATGTAAGAAAGGAGGCTGTAAAAAGAATCTATCTTTTGAAACAAACTCTTTCTTCAGTTTTAGAAAAAATTAAGGATGTAAAAGAGGATGTTAGAGCTGCTGCGTATGAGAAGATTTTCTCTGCAGTCAAGATTAAGAACTTTAGTATTCAACAAAGAGAAAGTATTATTTCTTTTGGTTTGAAGGAAAGAAATACTTCTGTAAGAGAACAAGTTGAAAAGTTTTTAATTGAGAAATGGTTTCAAGAAAATGACAACAATATTGAAAAGTTTTTAAATTTACTCGATGTTACGGAATATGAGGAGACTTGTGAAAAGATAATCAAACTTATATTAACAAAAAAAGACAAATCAGACAAATTGGTTTTAAATGGAGACCATGTAGACAGTACAAAGTTAACACCTGAGATGGCTTTATTTTGGAGATGTAAATGTGAATATTTAATTAATCAAAAACAATCCATTGAAGAGATCTTACCAAGCTCAATAACTGATTTTGTGCATCTGATTATTAATTATATTAAGAGTAGTGAGGATTTCATTGTGAAACAATTGTTAATGCTTTCTAAATATCTAGATTATAGTGATGAGGTTGGACGAACCAACATTCATTCACTTTTGAGCGAGCTTTTATCTGTATTCCAAGCACCTGAGACTCATGTAAAGGAAATCATTGAAGCACTCAAGAGTATTCTCCCTAATCAAGAAGATTTCCAAACAACTGTACTTACAAAGATTGACTTGGTTAGAACTGTTGCTTCTGGTATTTCGTCTGAACAAAGCAGAGAGGAGAGGCAAAGAAGAGAAATTGAAAAGAAGGAAAAAATTCGATCCCTAGAGGAAAGAAAACAAGAAATTTTCTCAAAAATAACAATATTGACTAAAGAAAAGGATCAACTTGCTAAAAAAGAGGAATACTTGGAGGCAAAAAAGAAAAGAGATGAAATACAAGAACTTAAATCTGAACAAGAAAAATTACAAGATGAATTATGTATTCTAAAAGAAGAAGACCTTCCTAATGATATTGAAGAGATATGTATGTGGCTTAGAGCTCTTCATATAACCTCTCAGTTCATACTGCAATCTGACTATCCAATTGATATATCCCAATTTATTTATTTGCTTGACGATCTTGTGTTACAAACCCTTTCTCATACATATCCATATCTACGAATGATGTCCATAACAGTATTGGGACAATTCTGTGCATTAGGAATTGATATTGCAAAAGAACATATAGACAAATTATTTAACATGCTTTCAGTTGAAACTGATACCTCATGCATCAATGCTATTTTAGAGGCCATTTTTGATATACTTCTCATTCACTCAGCACCAAAAATTTTCAGCAAAACAGAGATGAAAGGAAAGATGGATAAGGTAAAGAATATTTTCTCGAATGTCGAAAGACAAATTAGAGCTACTACTGTGGAAGGCTTTGCCAAACTTCTTCTTTCTAGTAAGTTAGACGAAGAGTACTCAAAGGAAGTTCTATCTGATATGATTCTCCTCCTATTCAGTAATGTAACATCAAAAGATAATAGATTAAGACAATGTCTTACTGTTTTCCTCCCTGCCTATTCCTATAGCCTTGCCAAGAATATGAAATTGGTCGGATCAATAGTTATGGATTCCTTGAGAAGAGTTGTTCACTCTAAGAAGAATTCATATCTAAGCCAGGTTAATGTTGCCCAGCTGTTATCTTATCTTGCTGAACTCACTAACCCAGACAAGTTGATAGAAAGTCAGCAATTAATCACCAAACCAGACACACTACTTTTACATGAAAATTTAGCACTTAACATACTTTTTGAAATTCTTATCAATCCACAAGCAAAGGAGAGCGAATACTATTGTAAACAACTTTCTTCGCTCAAAATCTTTGACTCTAACAAGAGACATTTAAGAAAGATTAAACTCCTTCTTGAGAAAGCAATCAAAAAGATCGACCACAAACCATCCATCAAGAATTTAGAGAAATTCCTTGCAATTATAGAACAAACAGAAAAGAATGATGAAAATCCAGAAGTAATTGATGATGAGGCAATAGAGGAGGAAATCAATAATCAACTTGCTGAGAAGGAAGTTGATTTAGAACTCTTCTTAGATGAATTGGATGAAAAAGAAATTCAAGAATCAACAACACCAGAAGGTACTAAGAGGTTTGAAAGAACCAAAAATACTAACCCTTCAGAGCTCAAGGTAAATTTGATCGAAATTGGAGAAGAGAAATCTCTATTTTCAACACCAAAAAAGAAAAGCAACACAAGTAATATTGATCCTAGCTCATCCATGATGATTGACGCATCTCCAATTCCAACAATGCAAGATCCACCAACACCATTAAGTCCACTTATTCCTGACATTGATGAAGTAGATGTTAGAAAATCAAATGCTAAGAAAAAGTCAGTTTCTGGATCTTCTTCAGCCCACCAATACGAAAGTGAGGGTACAGATGATGAAGAACTTGGATTGCTGTCAAGCTCTGATGATGAAGAATCAGAAAAGCCACTAGTCAAGGAAAAGCCAAAGAAGAAGATTTCATTTGCCTCACCAGAATCTTCACCTAAGAAGTCAACCACAACTACATCAAAGGTTCCCCAAAGAAAATCCTCTGTTAAAGATTTGAAAGATGAAATATCGAAACTTTTGGAATTGTCGGACGATGATATCATGTAAATAAATTTCCCTCCAAAACTTTGTACAAAACATCTGGTGGCGGGAAGGACTACAAAATTAACGCAAAAAAAAATGCAAAAACCAACAGAAGTTAGACCTCTCTATGAGTCTGTCCTTCCTGTCTATGTATTCAAGGACCCTTCAGTATGCAGCAACAGTAACCAGATCGGTGAAACATACAACGAGGGAAAGTTATTTACAATTAAAATAACAATCTCTTGCAACTCGTCTTGCCTTCCAACAACAGTCCTTCCAGCCTCTTCTTCAACCCTTTCATCAATGAAAAAACAACAACCAGCAAATTATTCTAGTCTTATATTTACATTAACCGATGATTCCGATCTTTACTTCCTTTTTACAGCTCAAATAGATGAGAGTGCGTATAGAAATATGAAAACCTCACAAAGAATTAAGACAGACTTTTCCCAATTTACAAGTCACCTCGAAAATATGTTTGAAATGTGTCGTGGATCTCATTCTGACAATAATCAAGAGTATGTATACTACAAAATATAATTTCCTAATGCTTTCATAGTTGGTTTATTAAATTAAGTATTCATCAAGGAAAAGGAAAAGCGGTCTTGGAAATAATTAATTCTGATCCCTTCAGTGAAAGCTCGAAATTCCATTTGGAATTAGTTGAAGGCTCTAATGAACAAAAAAAAGAATACCTTGCCAATCAACTTAAATATTGGAAGCAAATAGCATTGGAGAGCACACAAAAATTCGAGAATTCTGATTCGGATTACAGACACAAAATCGAACAATTGGAAAATGTTGTGGATGAGCTAAAGGAAGAAAGAAATGCTTTATTAATGAGTAAAGAGAAGGAGATAACAACATCCACCTATAAATTAAAAGAAGAAATTACAAGAATGAAAGAAAAGCACATGGAAGAAATTCGTTCATTTCAAACGAAGCTCGAAACAGAGAAAAAGGAGACAGAAGAAAGAAAAGATATTGAAACCAAAACACTAAGCCAAAAATTAGAAGAATACCGAACACAGAACAATGAATTAATTTCTCAAAAATTCAGACTTGAGAATGATTTAAGGCAAATAACTAGCCGATCCTCTCAGCTTGAAAATGAGAAAAAATCTTACCTTGATGAAATTACCAAACTCAGAGATCAAAATAGAGAGTTGGATTCACTTCGATTTGAAAATGAAAAGAAGATTAGAGAATTGGAGACAAGGGTCACACTAAATGAAGAATTAATGAAAGAAAAAGGAATGTCTCTCAAAACACTTGGAGATCACTTGAAAGAGAAAGAACAGCAAGAGCTCTCAAAGTCAGAAATAATTGCAGAGCTTAAATCAAAATTGGAATACTTGGAAAGAGAAGTTAAAGAGAAATCAGATGATGTTGAGAAGTGTCATGCCATCATCAAAAAGTATGCCCAAAGAGAAAGTCACAACCAAGAAAAAGAACAAGAAAGAAAGCTTAAAATGCAAAGTTTCCAACACGCACTCAAGAAGAAGGAAATGGAAAAACAACAATTAGCCAAAACTGTAGAAAAGAGAAATTTAGCACTTCAAGAATATGAAGCCAATTTGCGATCAATCCAGAAAAAACTTGAAGAAAAAGATACTGATTTGAAAGAGGCCCACAAAAAGATAGAGCAAAACCAATTTACGATTGATACTCTAATGTCAAAGCAAAGTAGATCTATAACTCAAGGATACACTGAAAGTCTAGGATATAGTGGTTTAAGCTCAGGGCTAAACATTAGCTCTGGTACTTATAATACAGATTATTCCTCAAGTGATAGAACGTTATCTGTACAACCAGAACAAGCATCAAAATTAGATAGCTTTACCAATTATTACAAATCATCTAGGGAGAGTGCAAGCACAGAATCTGTATCAACACCAGAAAAATCAACAAATTTCACATTTTCACTCGGTGGAAATATTTCTCCAACAACCAACAAACCTAAATCATCATCACCCACTTCATTTAAGAAGAATATAGTTTCGTTTGATACTAGTAATAAAGATTGGATTCAAAATTTATAAATCATAAACGAAAATTAACTTTCTTCTTTCTGTTCTAAGTTCTTCACCAAATACATCAAAACCAATTGAAAAAGAGTTTGTTGTTCTAGTTGTCATCATATGTCCTATTTTCAATTAAGTAATTATTTTGAACATTTCTTGAGTGGAACTGCCAATTTCCTATTAATTTTCATATTCTCGAATAATTTGTCATCAATTTCGGAAATAAAAACACTATTATTAAATATTAACATTGTAAATTCAATAATTATTTTACATACATGTTATTTCCTCTTAGAATTTGAAGTCCTAAACTTTCTTGAATAACTCCTTGTTCAGGATCATACTTATTTTCTGTGCAATCTTTTATAATCAAATTTGTATGTTGATCATATCCTTCCAATACTCCCATAATATATCTACCATCACAAGTTACAACAGCAACAGTATCTTTAAAGATCCGATGATTATAGTGGTAGGAATTTAAAAAACAATCACACCTTTTTCTACTTACTGTTCAAGTATTTGTCCATTTTTTTTAAAATTTAAAACATTAAAATAATTTATTATTTAACTTGGTGTTGGTTCAATAAATACTTTTGAAATCTTAATCATGATCTTGATTACTTTTTATAATTTTTGTAATTATTTGCAAAATCTTGAACAAATGATAAAATCTTATTTTGATCCTCTTCTGTCATTCCAACATCACTCAAATCCATCTTTTCAATATTTGCAATTGATTCAGTATTGAACCAACCAAGATTTATCAGTGAACGAGCATATCTAGTATCAACTCCAATAAACCTTAAGAGATTTTCCATATCATTTTCCTTCTTTTGTAAAAATTCGTTGGTAATCTCAAATGATTGTGATGAAATTTGAGTTGACATATCTTTAGTCACTCCATGAATATCTCCGTATTTATAAGCAACAGTAATGTGGAAACTATAAGGTTCCAATCCCAAAACTCCTCTCAATTTCTGTGCACTAGGCCAATCAACAATTACAAAGTAAGCTTCGTTCACATCATCTGTCTTCTTTCCTTCAAAATGAGATAATTTTTCAGTAATTTTACCCAATCCTAATGTTTGATAGTCATTTACAACAACTCTTGAAATGATATTCATTAAAATTTCAATTTTTTCCTCTTCTGTTCCATTTTTCATCTTTTGCTTTTGATCATTGGTAAATAAGTGATCCAATTCCTTAGCATCCATATTTTTGATAGCTGTATTAATTTCTGGACGTGTCATTATGGTAATATGATGAATTGGTCCATCACGTTTAATTCTCTTTTGTAAAAGTGGTTGATTGGATGATAATTCAGGATTAAGTGTGAATTTTCTAACAAATTCATCAATTGAGTGTCCAAACAATCCAATATATCCAAAATACTGCAATAAATTCCTTCATCTATCTATTTAACCTATTTAAAACATACCTGGAATTCATCTTTAATTTTCATATCACGTTTAGAAACACAAATATAACGGAAAGGATTTGATCCTCTTGAAAAGTGATCCAATTTAAATTCCTCTGCTAAATTATGAACTTTCTTTCTTTGATTTAAATTTAAAGTATTTGGAAAGTCATAAACATGGGCATTCCTATCTTCAATAAAACTCTTTAATGAATTATAGAATGATCTTCCCATTTCATCTTGAGGTTCCTTTGGAATTATTGGTTTTAAAGATGAATTTTCATAGTGAAATTCTCCTTGATTCATTGGTTTTCTAATAATAAAGAATTGAGGAATTGGTTTAACTTTACGAACAACCATTTGGGGTTGTTTCTTTTCAATTTTCTTATTTGATTGTTGTTTTCTATTACTCTTTTCATTGGGTTTGTTTTTAAGAGAAGTGGAATCCTTCTTATTCTTTGATTGATGATTATTTCTCAAATTATTGTCATGATCATGAGGAATGGAATAAAAGTTTGAAGATGGTGTAATTGTTGTGTTCTTATTCAAAATTACTGCTGCTGAATAGGAGGAAACTACATTTGTTGGAGTGGCAGCAGGAGTGGATGATACTTGATTTTGTTTAATAATAACAGGTAATGTTGATGATTCCGAATGTTGTTGTGCAGTGGGAGTGGTAGTGGAAGTAATTGATTGTTTTCCAATTGTTGCTGCTGATGATGATTTTTCACTCTTTTGATGTTTAACATCGTGATGGTGTTTGTTGTTTGTTAATCTCTTATTGGTTTTATGTGGTCTTCCACTTGTCTTTTTCTTGGAAACGAGTTGAAAATCGTCAGAGTTTTCGGCTGATTGTTCCTTCTTATTGTTTTGCATTTTTCTTTTAATATCAACAATAATTAGTGTTGCTGTTGTTTATTGTTTGAGTTTGTCGAATTCGAATCATTGGGGGTTGTTCTCACACTATTATTCCCACTACTACTCATTGTACCACTACTGCCACTGCTTGTATGATGTGTCTTTTTCTTTTTAGATCTTGAAGGTCTTTCAATTTCTAATTCTTCCTCTTCACTTACATCCTCATCATCGTCATAGACAAAGTATTTAGTTCTGTCATATTCTTCCTGTTCTTTCTCTTGTCCCAACTTCCATGTGAAAGTCTTATTTCTCGAAGTTAATTGTCTACCAAGGGCTGGCATTGATTTTTGTACATCTTCTACCTTAGAAGCTAACTCTGAAATATTATACGAATATGACTGAATACGGCCACCAAAGTTACTGTTTTGGAATTTGAGGTTATTAATCATTTGTCTTACAGAGGTATGAGTCAGATTAAGTCCATCATTATTATTATTGCTACTGCTATTGTTATTATTACCATTATTAGGGAATGATGGAGAACCAAATGATTGTGAGCTTGACTGACCAGTATTTCTCATAATAGGTCTATTGTTTTGAGGAGGTGGTTCGTTGTAGTTATTATTATTCATGTTATTGTTATTTGGGAAGTTATTTCTATTATAGTTCATGTTTGGCATTGAAGGCATGGCTGGAAGTGAATGAGGGTTTTGAGGATTATTTGCTTGGCTATTATAATTATTGGAATGTGAGTAGTTTTGAGGAAGGGATGGTATGAATGGCATGTTGTGTGAGTTTCTTGTACTCTGAGCTAGGTAGTCTTGGTTACTTCCTGATAGTATTCTTTGTGTAACGAAAGAAGGTATTCCAAATATCTTTCTATCGTTTGGCATGTTTGGCATATTAGATGGTGGTCCTTGTTGTTGCGGATTTGAGAATGAAGGAGGTATTTGGTTATTAGAGGAATTGTTTCTAACAGGAGGTTCAGCCAAGTTGGGAGCATGTGGTAATTCAGGTTGCCCATATATTCTGATCAACTTGAATACAAAGGAGGTTGCACCTGGTTCATAAAAGTATTCGCCAACAAAGTAAATACCATCATATCTGTATCCTTGTGTTGGACAATGTCCATTTCTAAACTTCTTTCCATCATCAACCGATGATTCATAACTACCTCTAATAACTCTAACAGGAATCTTGTAGATAGAATTTTGAGCGAGAGCCTCACAAGGTGTACCCTTAATAGATGGAGCTGTATAAAGGTCTGAGTGAACACCATTGAATGGAATAGAGTAAAGTACAACAGTTCCTCTATCCTCATGTCTCTCTTGTGTATCATAAATTATGAGAGCAGGGACTGGTTTGATATAATTCCCATTTGTACAAATATCTGACTGGAGGTCTGTGTGAATCTTTGCATCCAACAAGTCCATTCTGGATGAGTATTTCATACCAACAATAATCTCTGGTATGTTACCATAGATTTCTCCTGACTCACTATCAATCTTACTGACCATAGCATCTATAAAAGTAAATCAATCATAAATTCAAGTATAGAATAACAAACCTTGAACGTCTTTTCTTGAAAAGTTGGATATTTCTGCCAAATACTGCAATGAAATCTTTCTTTTCTGATCTGAACTCACTACACCTACTACACCAGGACTAGAAAGGATTGGAAGAGTTTTTTCTATGGAGGAAGATGTGGCACTATTACTTAGAGTAGATGAGCTATTTAAAATTGTTGAAGGAATTGATGGAAGTGTAGGCAATCTAGATTCTGTTGAAGGAATGCTGCTATTATTATTATTATAACTATTCATTGGTGTTGATAATGGTACATTTCTAGTGGTTGAATTACTATTGCTGCTCATCATCAAAGGGGTTGGTACGGTATTACTATTATTACTAACAATATTTGTATTATTGCTATTATTCATGGTTCTTATTGGAGTAGTGATGGCAGCAATTGGTGGTTGTTGATATTGTTGTTGTTGTTGCTGTTGTATTGGTTGCTGTATTGGTTGTTGTTGTTGTTGTTGTTGCTTATTCAATTGCTTTTGAAGATTAATATCGTCCTGATTATTGGAGGAAGACTTTCCAAGAAGATTATCTTTCAATCTTTGGGAAGGTGCATATTGTTCAGCATAGTTGGCAACTCTTCCAGCATTGAAAAACATGTCCTCTTCTTGTTCTTCGGCAACGTAGTCTTGTCGTTGTTCCATGTTTGATTGTTGTGAAGTAGAGCAAAAAGCGAACTAGTAAAACACAAAGGTTGCGTCTCCTTTTCTCTTTATTTTTATTCAAACTGCTTTTCAAGTTTCTGAAAAGGTACCTGATTTTTACTTCAAATTGTCAGTGTTTGGCTGAGAAGAGAGAGGATCTTTTTTCATCCAAGCAAAGTGCGGGGATACAAATCTCGACACTTCAGATATTAGTAGAGACAATAAAAAAATGAGCTTATTACTCATCACTATCTGATGAAGATGCACTTTCTGAAGATGAATCTGATGAGGAATTACGATCATGTCTCCTCTTCTTTTTTCTTTGTTTCTTTTCGAGAGATGCTGGTTTTTCCTTTCTTTTTAGCATTTCATTTAACTTGGAATCAAATGCTACAAGTTCTGCGTCTTCATTTGATTTAATTCCCTTCTTTTCAAATTCTTTATCTAATGAAAGAGCTTTTTTGAACTTTTCATTTCTTTCATTGTTTTCCTCTGTTTTTGAATCTCCCTTGTTGTTAATGTTATTGTATTTGTTTTCAATAAGTTTCATTCTTTCCTTTCTTTTATCAGAAATTTGTTGATCAATTTCTTCTGGAGTTAATTTACCTTGTTTTGTCAACTCAGATTTTAATTTATACAATTCAATTTCAACCTTCTTCTTTTCCTCATGAATTAAAAGATCAACATTTGGAGATTTAATTTTTAATAAATCTTTCCTTTCCTTTTGTTGATAATTATTATTTGGTTTCTTATTTTTGACAGAACTATAATTTGTTTGAACATATCCATTAGTACCACTTCCACGAGGTGTTGTTAAACCAATTCCGTTATACATTTCGGTTACCAATCTTTAAAATTGTGTTATTGTTGTTTGTATTTTTTAATTTAAAATTAAATTTTATTTTAAATTGAATAGGATGTTTTTTTATTGTTGTAAATTTTTTGACTGCCCTAAAAAATGAGAAACATTAAACTTTTGCGCCAGCTCCCTTCTTCAACTAAGAAGTTGGCCACCAAGCAATCACCTCTTTGTTTTTCTTCAATTCACAACTCTCCTTCATATATTCAAAGCCGATGCTTTTCATCAAGTAAAATCATTAAAAATTCTTTTGAAAGAATTAGTGATAGCGAACTTAAACAAATGGAAGAAAAAGAAAGAAATAGAGAAATTCCTGCCGAAGAATTAAATTTCCCAACAACAGATAATGATAAAGACGTATGTAATATTATCGCTCTCAAAATAATGTTAAACAACAACAATAATAATTTTATAACTAGTTTATCAATATTATAGAAGCAAAACAACAAGGTACTAAATTCACTGAAGAAATGTTTGAAACTCTTGTCTTCTACCTCAAGAATTTGCGTAAGGAAAAGAGACATAAAGTTGTTTATTGGCTCGCTACCGAAAAGAAGGAAACAAAACTTGTAAGAAAAATCAAGGAAGCCTTTATTAGTTTGAGTCTCTTACAAGCCAACGTTAACCTTCAATTACCAAGAGCTGTACAAAAGGAAAGAATTTGGGCTAAATATACTAACTTTGGAATGTTCCCTGGTACTTTTTCTCAACCTGCCGAAACTGAATATAACAGATTCAAAGTTAAAAGTTTATATGATTTGAGTAAATTAAAGACTCAAGCCGATTTGGATGACTTAGATGAAATGGTTGATGAAGATAACATCTCAAGAAGAGATCAAGACGAGGATAATGAAAATGAACAAATGGAAGAAATTGAAGATGAAGAAGAAGTTGGGTCAAATGAAATTGATACTATAGATATTGAGGATGTCGATGAAAACATACCAATTAATGAATTACAAGAAGCTTTAAGAGTTAGAAAAGATTACTCTAGATTCCATGAATTAATTGAAGAAAAGAATGAAGCTGATCCTGAAAGAATTCAAGTTCCAAAGTCATTTGAACGTGTTTCTCAAGATGTTGAAAATTTAGGTAAATTGCAAGGAAAGAGATTCAAAGTTTCAAAGGTTGATCAATCCGATATGATTAAATCATTGAACACTAAGCTGTTAAGACAAGAAAGAGATGAAACATCAGCTCCTTTCTATTTATATCAATTTGATGAAACACAACTTGGACAACAAATCCAAAATTTAGAATCAATCATAGAGGGAAAGTCATCCAAGACTAATGTTAGTGTTAATCCAATTTATAATGCTAGTGTTGGTGTTGAAAAGGGTTACTTTGGAGATGTTGATCTTGATGCTGATTGGGATGAATCACTTTATGAATATGAAGGTGAACCAGCAATTACTCACCCACTTGCTGATGATGTTGAAGATCCAGAAATTTATCACGGTCAAAAGGATGCTATTACAGATGTTTCATTCGAAGAAAAGGTTCTCAAGCTTTCAAGAAATTGTAAAATGACCACTGGTGGTAGAGTTGAATCATACAATTGTTTGTACTTGGTAGGAAGTTACAGTGGATTGTGTGGTGTTGGTTTTGGTACAGCTGCCAGTCCAGCAGTTGCTCAATCAAAGGCAAGAAAGGCTGCTTATAAGAATATTAGAAGTATTGATCCTTCTGCTTGCATTCCACGTTCTCATATGCTCGAAGCCAAGTTTGGTGCTTGTAAAGTCAGAATTCACCCTAGTACTAAGGAACAACCAACTGCCAATCCAATTTTAAGAAAGTTGTGTGCTTATTTGGGTCTTAAATACTGTTCTGTCAGACTCTATGGTAGTAGAAATATTTTGAACGTCATTCCTGCTTTCTTCAAGTGTGTTGATCAACTTAGATCTGTTGATAGAGATGCTGCTATGCGTGGTGTTATGCCTATTTATTTGAAGAAGGATTTTGAAGATTATTTAGAAAAGGTTCGTGTTGGTAAGGGACTTTACGGATGGTAAATTAAGTTTTGAAAAATTGTTAAAATTGAAAATAAAATAATTAAAATTAATCAACTTTGCCAGATTATCTCTGTTAACGTCAATGCAATCAATAGAATTGAAATAAATCTTTTCAAAGATCGATAAATTCGATCGAATTAAAAAAATGAAAAGACTGTTGCCTTAAAAATATTGATGTCAGTATCGTTAATATTATTGTTTTGTGAAATTCTTCACAATTAAATGCATCATCCATATCATTGGAATTTGCAAACATTATATATCCTTGAATAACCATTGCGTATATAAATATCAGTATTAATTTTATTTAATATTTTCGCCAAGTTCAACACTACAATCAAAATATAAATTGTCATTACCAATTGACATTAACCAATTTAATCGATACTTGAAGAAATCCTCTCTATTATTAATGTTATTGGAGCTTGGAAAATTATTGACACATTCTCTCAATTCATCGGCAGCTCTTACCCAGCTCTTAACTTCAAATTGGCTATCTTACGATAATCACTTTTTTTCATTGTTTTTCATTTAAAGAAATACTGAGATTTTTCGATACTAATTTCCAGCTCATAAAAACCAGATAAATATGTTGACTGATTTTCACTCAAAAATTTACGAATTGCTTCAAATTCCTTTGGAAAAAGTGTTCATCGTTTCTTGATAAAGACATGCATTCGGATTGTTTCATTTTTTTAAATAAAATTAAGAAAATGAACCAACACTTTTAACCTTAATGAAAAAGGCATTAACAATCACAAATCCAAACACTCCTTACTTTCTCTCCCAATGGAATCATCTCTAGAAACAATTTCAAAAAATGGAAACACAATAAAATAGTTAAATGGAATTTAATATCTGGAGAGATTAGTTCAACACTTACTGGATTAAAATTAATTGATAAAAAGTATTTCTCTGTAAGCCAAGCTCTGATGAGGAGTAGTTTTTTAGTTAATGTAATAAGACAATAAATGATTGAGACAATACGTGGTGAATTGAGACATGTTAATGGAACTTACCATTCAATCTATCCCATTTCCCTTAATTGGATTATTAGAATTTAGCAATTCGTATTGTTCATATTAATCCTCACAGTCAGCAATCACAATAACAGTCAACAATTCATAGCAAAACAAGATATTTAAAAATCAATGACTTGCTCCAATCTGAAAAGAATAATGACTGTTTGTTGAAACAGGGTATTGAAAATTGACTTGAGTAGATGGCTCCTACAAATTTTGTTAGCAATCTCGATGGGAATACAGTGGCTTCCAGCAATTTTTGTCACCATTTGTGCCGGCAGCAATTCGAAATGATTATTTGATTTTTAAATATGGTTTTTTTATTTAAATCGTATGGATTATTGGGTTTATCCTCTCTGTTAAAAATGGAATTAAAAATAATATCATAAATATTAGATGAAAATAAAGACTTGCACACCATGATACATTCTGAAAGGTGTTATTTTACAAAAAATGAAAGTTGAGAAGGAGATTTTTCAATATTGATTGCAACGTTATAAAATTCCAATTATCTGTAGTTTATTGACATTTATGGAATTAAATAAAAATTAAAAAAATAAAAAATGGTAAAATTTATGAAATTGCTTTTTTATTCGTGTTTTAATTAGGGGACTCACATATATTAGATGAAATTATCATCTTCCACATCGTTAATGCAGATACAATCCTTCATGATTGTATTTTTCATAATGACCTTTCTAATGACTTGTTCATAATTGCATCGAATAGAGAGGAAGGAAATGGGATAAAAACCATTTTCATATTCAAGACATGCACTTGGAAAATCAAAGCGCAAATACTTGCCAAAACCTTTGGGATGAACAATTCTATTCATTATTCCAAAACATTTTGGCAAGTATTCCTCCTTGTACAACTCATCATTGTCATACAATAAATTATTCAATCCTTGATACTTGATTGAGGCAATGTTAAAGGCATTCAACAATTTTTGAGGAGCATGAGGAAAGTAGTGTTTGAATTTCTCTCTTTCCAACATGAATATAAATGGTTTTCTCAATACTACTTGATTATTACTTTCAATCACATAATTTCCCTTCTCAATATGAATGGTATTATTAGCATCAGAATCAAGATGTAAAAGTTTGAGAGAAGTGTTAAAACTTGAATAATTCAATCTATCCAATGTTGAGAAATTAATTTTACCATCAAAAATGGAATGTAAGCGATTGACACTATCAGGATCACTAAAATTGCTATTGAGAGGATGAAATGCTTGTTCCAACAATTGACAAATATAAAAGGTTTCTTTCAATTTACGTATGGGTGTATCAGCTTGAATCTCTAGAGGACAACTAAAAATTAATGTGGCCTTACTAAAGGCTCTATTGATCAATCGATCTGAACTGTCATATTTGTAACCATTCATTCTCTTTTGATAATTTTCACTTTCACCAATTTGAATCATTGGTTCCATTTGATAATCCTTTTTGAAAATAAATATCATGACATAAATAATTGGATCTGTTGCATTAAAATTATCAAGAGTTTTCAATTTGAAATTCTTCTCAATCAATTCAATCCATTGAGAATATTGTTTCTTTTCAGAACCATTTTGAATCCAAATAAAATTGTAATTCTCCTCAAGAGGTAATAGTTTCAACAAGTTTCGATTTCTGACCATAGCTTGATTCATTAATTGATGAGCAGTATGGGGTGGTTCATAATTTTGAAATTTTGGTTTCCACTCTTGAAAACCATTAAATTCTTCTTGAAAAATATTACAATAATCATGACAGGAAGTGTAAAATGTTTGAATTCGTTCTTGAATGGATTGATTACTTTCTTTTGATTGAGTTACATTAGTTTCATCCATCATTTCATCTTCCTCATAATTGTCACAGCCGTTTTCATCACTTTGAATTGACATTTCATCTTGTTTATCACTTTGAATTGACAGGTCGTTACTTTGAATATCATCAACTGGGTATTTCAAATTAAAAAGACTAGTATAATTCAAATTATTACAGTTGGAAAGTGTAAAGGTCCATTCTATTTTTTTGGGATTAGCTGTTTTTTGAATCCAAATAACTGGATCATGATCAATTAATTTCAAATAGGTACATCCTTTACAAAGAATGGAATAATTAAAGCAAGCAAATCCCATACACTGAGAACACTTTTCCTTCTTGTGATAGAGTTTGCTATGAACTTTGAACGATTGTTTGACACTCTCATACGATTTTCCATTCAATGAACAAAGTTGAGCAGCAATGACAGGTTCACTATTTGTAGTGTTTTTACTCTTGTAATGAGCAAAACCAATTTCAGCCCAAATTGCATTGATTTCTTTGAGTGAAACCTTCTTGACATGAGTTTGATTATGTAACAAGTTTTGGAAATATTGTTTGATAGTTTCAGAGTCGGGATGAATTTCAAAGGTAGAGACACCCTTTCTATTATATGGAGTTTGTTGAATGGGTGGTGGATTGATAGCAATTTCTTTTCGAGTTGATTCAATAATTTTCTCCTCATCATTTAAAGTAATTGAAAAGAGAATGGTCTTTTTCAGATTAGGATAAAGGAGAGAAATTTTGTGCAGTGTTGTATTGGTAGAAGGATTGGATTGAATGACTCTATTTGTAAAACATTCCTTCATTCTTCTCCATCTCTGTTTCGATTGAGAGTTAGTAAAATGATAGTCGGCATTACTTTGATTGATATTCAAATAATTTCCATGAATTAAATAATATTCCAAGAGAATTTGATCCGTTTCAAGGCTAGTTTTACCATTCCTTTGTGATGAACAAGGTTGTTTAGGCATTGAATATTTGAATAATTTTTAAAGACAATTCGAAACCCTCCCTTCAGTATTTATAGTCTTTCCGAAATGCTGAAAAAGTCTTTAAAAATACATTATTCTGAAATGGTCCGAAAGTTGAAGAGTAGAATGATAATTCATAGTTGTTGATTAGACTGATAATTCATAGTTTTTGAGCATTTTTTTTTAAAATTTATTTTAGGTTGTCGTGCACGACAAGGTAAACAACAATGTAAAATATTGTAAAAGAAGATCATTTGCACCCGACAACAAGGGCAAGTTTTCAAAGCTGTCGACAGTACAAAAGAAGCTGATATGCAAAACAAGGAGCAAACTTGTTCGTTTGTCCATTGTTTAAATTTGGTAGTATCCAATATTTGTTTGTTTTCCAATACACCCCATTACCCATTAAATTTCAAAATAGCGAAAAGTTGTAGTTCCGATATTCTGTCTCTATGACATTTTGTAAGAGGTTGTTGAGACGGTCTCATAAACCAGAGGAACTACGGTAATACTGTTCAAACACTAGGGCTATTTTGACCGTGGGGGTGTATTGAGTAACCAACTATTCTCGTTGCAACGTTATAAAATTCCAATTCATTCTCAATGCTCTTTGAATCATGTAGAAGGCTTTTATTGTTGGCCAACCAAAACAGTAAATCAGATCGCTTTGGATTAACAGTTGGAAATTAAAGATGGATGGTCCATTTTGAAAAGCCATCATGTTGTGAAAACCTAGAAATGACTCGTTTGAAACTCTTTCTACGGTACTCAATTCGCCAATGGATTGGTTCAGAAACTAATGCCTTACACCACTATAGTTTATTGACATTAATGGAATTTAAAAATGTTCAAATTTATGAAATTGCTTTTTAGTGTTTTAATTAGGGGACCTATCCACTTTTCAGTAAATTATTACATTGGCAAATTGAGTACCGTAGAACTAGTAAATTTAAAAATGTTTTTTTATTTGTGTTTTTTTATTTGTGTTTAAATTAGGGGACCTTTCCACGTTTCTTACAGCTCGTACAGTGCCAATTTTAAGAAACCAAATACCAATAGTTTATTGACATTTTTGGAATTAAAACAACATAAATTTCATAAATAATTTTAAAAAAATGTTAAAATTTATGAAATAATGTTTTTTTATTTGTGTTTAAATTAGGGGACCTATCCACGTTTCTTATGGCTGACACCAACAGTCTTACCTCTTCTACCAGTAGTCTTGGTGTGTTGACCTCTGACTCTAAGACCCCACATGTGTCTCAAACCTCTTTCAGACTTGATCTTCTTAAGTCTTTCCAAATCTTCTCTCAAGTACATATCGACAGCGTTGGCAACCAAGTGTTCAGTGGCACCACTCTTCCAGTCTCTTCTTCTGTTCAAGAACCAAGATGGAATCTTGTACTTTTCTGGAGCAAGAATGATATCTTGAATCTTGTTGATTTGTTCTTCGCTCAATTCACCAGATCTCTTGGTAAGTTCGATTTCAGCCTTCTTCAAGACAATACCAGCGAAACGTCTACCAATACCCTTAACAGAGGTCAAGGCATAGAGTGCGGATCTTCTACCTTCAATGTTAGTGTTGAACAAACGCAACAATTCCTTGAAGTTTTCTTCTTGAACGACAACCAAGCTCATTCTTCTTATATTGAAGGGAACAATAAGTTATTGTTGTTGAAAAACAAAGAGGTTAAAAAAAAAGCATGATAGTAGCAATACTCACTTGTGTTATTTTTTTTCGGAAACAATTTTAAAAAATTTGGGTGACCAGTATTTTTACAATGAATATTTTTGTCATCATTTGGAAACACTGCAGCAAAATTTCAAGCAACAAACCGTCAGAGGCATTCAAATTACTCAGTACATGTTATTTACTCAATTGACACGTCGAAGGAATACACGTAGAGTAAAAACTGCTATACATTGAATCAAGCAGGGCCGTAACACATTGTGACCAACATGTCCATTCAACTAATTAACTATTTAAAAAATGTTTAAAAGCCTCTCTCAAAATCTTGGCTTTGGGGATTTGGTAGCCGACAATTCTACTGAATCAAAATCGACATTATCATCATCAACAACATCATCTCCAAACATGCCTAGAATTGAAAGCACACAACAAATTACACTCTCACCACTCATCAATTCGGAGGAGGAACATCCCGATATTCAAGACGAACAAATTATGAAAAATAGTAAATTTAAATCCTATCGAGAGGATATCATTTCCGTATTAAAATCATTTGATAATACTAGGGAATGGGCTGATTTGATCAAGTGTCTTCAAAAGATGAAAAAAGTCTTGACCAAGAACGCTCAACTTCACATTCTTCCTGAAAAAATTACAGTTTGTAAAAGATTGGCTCAATGTTTAAATCCTGCTCTACCTGGAGGAGTTCATTTGAAAACATTGGAAACATATGAGGAAATTTTAAAATTAATTACTGTAAGTGTATTGAATTTTGGAGCAAGTATCATATGGAAATTTATATTCTATTCAGGGAAAACGTTTGGCAAGAGATATTCACTTGTATAGTTCTGGAATTTTTACACTCTTTCCAAGTGCTTCTTCTCAAATCAAGGTATGGAATTTAATTTAATTTTTTAAATAATTGACAAAACACAAAGCCTGTAATTTTAGATTTAATCGAGACTTATTATTTGCCTTTAGGAAAATCTCTTTTACCATGCTTGTCTGGTTTAATTCTTGTACTATTATCGGCATTGGAAGAGGAAGGAAGTGATATTTACAAACGAGTAGGTTTTCATTTCGAATACTATAAGTGCTTAACATTATAGACACTGAAAATCATGAACACATTGAGAAATATTAGTGATCAGGAACTATTTTTCAAATCTCTTTGGAAAGGCATACTTTCGACACCATTTTTTAGAGTTTCAGGACTTAATTATATAATTTATTGTTTAAAAAGTGAGTAGATTTTTTATATTCTCAACAGTTCGATAATTGGCAAAAATAGAAAATGAACAAACTCTTAATGCTCATTCACCAATATTTGGAGAATCTATTGAAATTGTATCACAAGCAATTATAACAAGTTTAAATGATAATAATGTCATGGCACAACGGGCATCTTTAGAAATTCTTTCATCATTTATTACGTTGGATAAAGTTGTAGAGGAATCGTCAACTATTTTTACAATGGAACAATTGACAAGTATTTGTAGTATTGCATTATTATTAATTGAAAAGGGAGATGTCTCTATCAATAGAAGAATATTTTCTTGGATTTTTGGATCAAGTGATATTGATTTGGATTTCTTTTCTAAGCATTCTATTCAAATTGTATCTCGTTCTTTTAATTTAATTTTACAAAAATCTTCATCTCAACCTTCCAATAAGAAGATATTTGATGTTATTTATTTGATATTAGAAAAGATTGGAGAAAATATCTCCATGAAGGAAAAGTTAATTTCTTTAATATTATTGGAATTAATTCATGTTTTAAATAGTGAAAAGGAATCATTTAGAAAAGAAACTATTAATTTTATTTCATCTACTTGTTCATTTCCCTTGTTATGGGAAAGAATCAATCAACTATTTGAAGAGGCAAACGAGAATGAAGCTCAGGAATTGGAAAATTATACTCTTGTAAAGGGCACTTTGGAAGTTATTTTCACTTTGAAAAAGGACCAAATTCCAAGTGAATACTTGTTTAAAATTTGTTCAGTATTTTTAAACTTGTTCAATTTGAAAGTTGACAAAGTTTTTTATAAGGATTATACTTCTATTGAGAGAAATATTTCCATTCTCTTATTTTTAATTGAAAAGATGGAAGAAAATCTTCCAAGTGAAAGTTTAATGTTGAATTATATTAATCAAATTCATGTTGAATGTGAACAATTATTTACCAATATTGTGAATACTTATATAATTTCAAACAAATTTAATTTAGAAGATACATCTATTTTATGTACAATTTATGTAATTGCATGCGATTTACTTTACACGTCATTCAAAAAGAGAAGGTCATTTATTAAGTTAGTAGAAAATATACCGCCAAAATCAGTAGAAATACCTCTAGGTATAAAATCTATTTATTCTTGTTGTTTTTTAGAGGACTACAACATTTCACTGGCTGCTATTGAGTCATTCTTAAAATTATTATCTAATGATTCAGGGGTAGACTCTCATCAACAACGTGCAATCATTAAGGATGTCAACTATTTAAAACTAATAACTTCCAGATTGTGGGATATGTTAACACCTTCCTATTCACAAGTTCATCATGAAGTTACAAAATTACTAGTGGATATTTATAATTTAAATAGAACAATATGTAATGCTGTTGTTTCAGATTCTTTACTCAGTAATACTATTGAATCAAAACTCGAGGGAAATAGAAGATTTGCTCTTTGTTGGAGATTGACAGACGATTTAAATATTAGACAAAGAATATTTGAAGATGGATTTTATTTAATGCTTGATTTAATTTCAAGTGATCAAGCCTCTATGAGGTTAGTTGGCCGCTCATGGTTACTGTCATCATTTTCAAATATTAACAGAATTTTGGATCCACTTCTTTTAACATTGTTGGATAAACAATCCATGAGAAGTCTTTTCTCTAGACATAATAGAGTAAAGTCGTCAGATTCAACTACTTCAGATTGTTGGTCAGAATCTAGTCCTTTGGATCGTTTCCAAGAAACAAATGACACTTTACAAGAGAGAAAGACTCTATTCGATGAAAGTAGATGTAAATATGTATTATCATTATTGAGAAATATTTTAAATGTTTCTCCTCAATTATTTGTTGAAAAAACTGGAAGAATGATTGCCAGTGAGGAAGTTTTAAACATTTATGACAAATTTATTGTAAATAGACCATATTATTTAAATGAAGAAAATTTACCATCCAAATTAGTGAATCTACAAGATAGGGATTACTTTTCTATCATTTCAGTTATTTGTATCAAGATGATGGAATGTGGAATTTATATTAATAAGAATAATGGAACGACAACCTCTTCAAGTGATATTTCACTTGAGGAATGTATTAGAACAAGTGCAGCTTCTCTATTGAAAGATATTCTAATCTATGGAAGACAATCCTCAAAAGCAACAGAATTGAGCAAATCTTTGTGTGAATGTATTTTATATCATTTAAAGATTGCTATTGATGATAATGATACTGTATTCCAAGTTGAATTACTTGAAATACTCAAGACAATTATTGAACAATTAGACTCCAATACTCCAATGAAACCTCTCCAAAATCTGTTTCCAATCACGGCTAGTCCTACAAAATCAAACAATGATACCTCAAAGGAGTCTCTACCAATAAGTAGTTTACTCAACTCGCCAAACTTTCTCATAACACTTATTGAAGGAGTTAGACATTCAAGTAGAGTTGAACTTTCTGATTCTTTCCATTCTTATTCATTATTAAGTTATTGGATAGATAGTATTTCTTCATTCCTTCCTCATTTCCATAATCAATTACCAAAATTTGTAAACATGTTGGTTCCACTCATTTGTGACATTATTCGTGAATATTCATCCTTGGGTATAGATAGCTTTAGAGGACAAGCTATTCGAACTCTTATTGGAGGGTTGAGGGAAGTTTCAAGTTATTGTGTTTTAAGAGAAATTGAAGAACCAAAACCAAATGAGGAGACACCATCAGGTATTGTAATGCCATTCAAGGCATTCACAGATTTTATGAAGGATGTCTTTACACAAGATGATCATAACTCTGGTTTTATTTCTCCTGACTATGAAGCAAGAAAATACATGCTTTCTGAACTTCCAAACATTATAGAGTCCATGGCCATAACATGGCAAGCTTTAAGAATTTCTAGTGGTATACCAAAAGAAACAACCAATAAGCAAACTACAAAAATTCATTCTATTTCTCAATCAGGCTCTCTTCATTCTAAATTATCTATTGAAAAAAGTATTCTTCAATTTATTGATCCATTAATTGTTAGATTCCCATTACAATTAATTGCTTCTATACTTGTGTTGTGGTCAAAGACTCATACCGATTCAAACATTTCAATTTATTCTGATGAACATTCTTTGGATAGTCATCTTATTGATATTTTAAATAATTGCGATAACACAACACCTGATATTGTAGTTACAAGTCTTATTGATTTGATATTATCCCATGACAACCCTCAAGAAGAGATTGCTATGAAAAAGATGAAGGACAATTACTCTCTTCACCTTCTCTTCTTTTACTTGAAAAAGTGTATTAAGAGTGAAATTTATTCTCAAATAGCAAACAAGCTTGTAACTCTGATCTCTTCACTAACATCTGATAAGAACTCTGATCTATTAACATTATCATTATTATTAAGAGTTGTACATCAATTTTTATCTAGTTGGGGATCATATCTACAAAATGATAAAAAATTGAAATCTACATTGAAAGATAATACTCAAAAGTTGATAGAATGTTGCTTTACTCTAACAAATAAGGATATCAATGAAAAACGTAATGAAATCATCAAGGAAATCAAGAAAATCTCGTCAACTAATAATTTACAGAATTTAGATAATGTAAAAGATTCCATCTTTAGAAAATCCTTACACGATCACAGTGATCCATCTTTTAACTTTTTAAGACTTTTATCATCCACTTTAAATGATATAATAACTTATTTGTATGGAGAAAAAGATTTAGGACAGCCATTAATTATTGCCATTATTTATCCACTATTTTTAATTATTAAGAATAGAGAAACAACAAATTTAAGAAGAGTTAAACAAGCTGTTAAATTAATTTCTACTTTCAGTACAGCAATTTTAAATATGAGACCTCTCAAAAAAGAAATATTTGATACAATTGCAGATAATTGTTTCTTCTATTGTGGAGCTAGTACATTCAAGTATTGGTTTAAAATTTTCAAAAATATGGAAATTACTGATACATCACTTGTTCAAGATTTATTGACTCGATTTGCATCAACTTCAAGTATTTTAACATCAAGTAGTACAGAAGTATTTTCTAGAGCTAGATTATTGAAGAGAATTGCTTTCATGTTATATGTTGGTAATATTAATGATTACAATAATTTTGTACCAGCCATTGTAGAAAAAATTGTTGAATCATTGAAGGTTTCTGGTTCTCCTCAAAGTAATAATGCTCTTATTACAAGCGTTTTGTTATTCTATCGTGTTTTAATTACTAGAATTTCGACAGATAATTTAAGAAAATGGTGGCCAATGATTATTACTGAAATTATGAGAGTATTTAGCGACAAGATTGTTGATGATGAAGATTCAACTGTTATTATGGATGCTATGAAATTCTTGGATGTTGCTACTGTTAAACTACCAGAAGAGTTCCAAATTTACAAATGGATCTTTTTGAGCGACTATACCACAAGACTCAAAATAATAGATGTTCAAGTATTCTTTTCACCATACTTGGATCAATTTTTAGACAATAATAATAACATAGAACAAATGACTGATGATTCGAATAATACTTCTAACGCTATTAGAAAACCAATTAATTATGAAATCTTGAAATCTGATTTGAAATCTGCTAAAAGCTTTGCTTCAGAACTTTCTTCAAAAAGAAGACAAGAACAATTATTTATGGCTACCAGCAACAATGCAAATGTATGTGATGACTATGAAATTAACAGACTTGTTCAATTGGATTTAATTGAATTAACAAAGGAAGACAATTATAGACTTAATAATCAAGTAATTGAAGAAGACAAAAATGAATGGGTCGAAGTCGATTCATTAAACAAATAAATTAAATATTTATATTGAAGGACATCTATACATATATGGAAGATTTTGTACATTATTTTTGTCTTTTCTCAATTTTACAATAACTCTTTCAGTATTACCTCTATCATCACTTGAAACAATTTCACCTACATGATGAACGGTTGGGATTGATTGATGCTTATCTGAATGAGTTACGATGGGCAAGCTGTATGTTGGGGTTACCTTCAAAATTACTTGACCTATTGAAGTCTTAGAGTGGATTTTGGACATGTTATTCATTACGTCTGAATCTGTGGTGATTGTTAATGTTTTAGTTCGGTTAGTTTCATCAAGCTTAGTTGAGGAATTCCAATCTTTATCATGATCAATCGATGAAGATAATTCAAGAAGCTTTTTCTTTCTTGACTCAGACCTTACACTAGAAGTAACAGATACAACAGATACAGCATCATCATCACCCTTAATGCTTTGGGGAGGACTTGGTTGCTTGGTAATAGTGTCTTGTTGGCTACTACTTGAAGTTTGTACATTGACATCCTTATCCTTCTTCATCTCTGTAACTCTATCCTGAATGACAGATAGAGCTTCCTTAATCTCAAAATCGTTAATAACTTGATTAAAAATGTAAATAATATTTACAATCATTGAAACATACATTCTTCAAAATCAAGATCATTTACAAAGTCCAATACATCTTGAATCTCCTTTTCCTCCTTCTTCTCAAGTTCATCTGTTGTCATTGCCCATTCAGGTTTTTCCACTTTCTTTTTCTGAAACAAAATTTAATTCTAAATTATTTGAAAAGAAACAAACCTTTTCCTTCTTCTTTTGTTCTACAAGTATTTGATCCAGTTGTTTTGTTTTTCCTTCCATTAATTCTTCAACCTTTTCTTTTGGCATATCAAGTTCGCTCATCAATGCCTGTCTAATTTTTGCTTGTGTTTCAGAGAATGAAGTTTTCTTTCTCTCTGAATTAAGCTCACTTTCAATCTTTTCATGTCTTTTAGCCTCCTGTTGTTGTTGGAGTTGTTTAATATATTTCTTATGTTTAACCAATACATTCGAGTCATCATAATGAATTTTAGGATCGGTTCTTGCTCTCGTAACTATATTATCATCATCTCTTGCTGGTGGCAATCCTAAATACCTTTCCTCAAAGAAGGCTCCTGAGGGAAGAAAAGGATCCAGATGAAGAGCTTTTTTATAATTTGATTGTGGATCATTACTAACTCCCGCCTTATCTACTGATGAGGAAGGTCGATGAGACATCATCACAGTCGTCACTTGATTAGGGCTAGGTGTAACGCTTGCCCTGTACTGGTCTATGCTTGAACCATCATCCATTTTTTATATGATTGATTTTCTGTAAATTTAAAATTTACTCTCATGTAACGTTCATTTGTTTCAGTTAGTATTTTGGAGGGTAAATTTTTAAAAAGGATTTTGCCTAGTATCTCTCCTTTCTACTATTATTAATAGGTTGTTTTAAAGAATGATTGTAATTGCAATTACAATATATAAATTAATTTAAATAATATTAAGGTCAATGGTATTGAATGATTATTATAATTATTTTAGAAATAAAAGAGCTATTGAAACATCTCATGTATTAAAATTAAAGAATTTTGTAAAATACCAATACATCAATTAGGTTATAAATAAATTTCATAAATATTCAAATATCATAATAGTATTAAGGTTCTAATTGGAAATCTCCAACGATCACATTCCCTATTATGAATGAAGTTGTTTGTAACGGTAAATACCACATGGCTGATCATAGTTCTCATCACTCTGCTATTTATCTAGATTACACCACCGTAATCCAGTATGGATAACAAGTAGATAACAACTCAATATTATTGAGCACATGGTAAACAGATAATGAAAGAACATGGAGTTCTCTGCCAACTCATTCGTGCGTGTATCGTCCAATAGAATCAAGTTGACTCGTCATTAAATTTATTTTTAATATCTCGGAACCTGTTGGCTTTTATGACAGTTTAAAAGGCAAAGCAACTTTATTTATTTTGGCGCCGTTGCGTAGGACAAGCCAATGACTGCAGGGTGCCAACTCATTTTCATTACAATTTTTTTTTCGCAATTTAAAAAATCGCAACAAGCTGCTATCGGTTTGACCAACGAAAAAATTGTACATTAACATTTTACTGAGACGCGCAAAAAATGGGTCAATCTATTGCTAAACTCTTCGAAAACCTCTTCAAGAACAAGGAAGCCAGAATCCTCTTGGTTGGTTTGGATGCTGCTGGTAAGACAACAATTCTCTACAAACTCAAGTTGGATGAAAACGTTACTACCATCCCAACTATTGGTTTCAACGTTGAAACTGTTCAATATAAGAAGATTAACTTTACTATGGTACGTACAACTGTTTTTAATACTGTTGTAGCTAATCTTTAAATCTATTACTTTACTCCAACATTATTAATATTTAAATATCTTATTATTATTACATGTTAATATTGATGATGATGAATTTAAAAATTAAAAATCTTGATGATCATTAAAAACAGTGGGACGTCGGTGGCCAAGATAAGATTCGTCCATTGTGGAGACACTACTATGCTAATACCAACGCTGTTATTTTCGTTGTTGACTCTAACGATAGAGACCGTATTGGTGAAGCTAGAGATGAATTACAAAAGATGTTGAGTGATGACCAATTGCGTGAATGTGTTGTTTTGATTTTGGCTAACAAGCAAGATCTTCCAAACGCAATGAGTGCTGCTGAAATGACTGACAAGCTTTCCCTCCACAATTTGAAACAAAGAAACTGGTTCATTCAACCATGTTGTGCTATCAGTGGTCAAGGTCTCTTTGAAGGTCTCGATTGGTTGTCTAACCAACTTTAAATTAAATAATTTTGAATTTAGTTAATTTAATTTTTTGATAAATATCGATAATAGTAAATTATTTGATGACATCTTTCATCGATTGTAAATAGTATTGTATAATCTCTTGTATGAATTAAAATTATTAATATTCGATTTACAATTTATTAATCCACATTCCTTCTTTCGTTAGGTTTTGTTCAACTCAATGTGAATTAAAAACATTGCGCCAAAAAATGTATAAAATACCGTTAAGAAAATCAAATGACTTGAAATGTTTTAATCTGATGGATATTCAAGGGTCTCTAGAAACACGTCCCGAGAAGGATAAACCTCTTGATTCTATTACTCTTGGATCATTAACATGGAATTCATCTCAACCAAATAGTGATAGATGTACACTGGTCATTGAAAGACAAAAGTGTGAAGGTAAAAAACTATCAATGAAGAAACCACTTTTAATTTGCAAGAAGGTCATCAATCCACAAACAAATCAAACCGAATACATGATTGTTGGAATTGCTAAAGATAAGATTCAATTCAGAACAAGACCAACTCCACTCTCACCTCAACAACAAAAATCAAAACAAATTGAAACCATTTCCGAATCATCAAATAATAATACCACAACAACAACAACATCACAAAAATCGTCATCAATGGAGAGTGTTGCAAGAACTCTCTTCTTCCCTTCTGCAAAAAAACAATAATTTGTGTAAATAGATAATCCAATTAATTTGACTTTTTTAATTAAAATGTCATTGAAATTATAATAACTCCTTCTTATTTTCTTCTTCGAATCAACTTCAAATCTTGTGGAAGTTTTGTTTCAATAACATATGGTGAAATCATTTTAGGAACCAACTTTTGATTCTGTTCAATATGTGTTCATCCTCAAATGATTCATACTATTTCGGTCAACTAATCTCACACTACTGAACTCATCTGTTAAAAAAAAATAGTAACAAGATGAAGAGATCTGCCTCCGAAATTTCCTCTCCTGAACAGCAGATATCGAGTAGTAACGAAGAAGAGCAAGCAAACAAGAAGAGACATCTCTCTCCATTATCACCATCACTTTCCACATTAGATGCTTTGCCACTTCACACAATTTTCACATTCCTGAACAATGATTTATCATCACAATTGGCACTCTATGGAACGTGTTCCAATGTCATGACATTTGTCAGAAATGAAAAGCTTGTTCCTTTGCATTGTGTGTTACAACTCAAGAAATTCACACATGAAAATCCAAACATTTCCTTGATTACTTTACATTATAGAATGTGTGGATTGCTTCACCAATATGTATGGCTACATGATTATGATCTCATTGATTATTCAAAATTGCCTCAACACTTGTTGGGATATTGTAAGAATGGATTGATTCAAGTTGTTTATTCATACCATGACGAATTTTATGGAGGAGGATTTACCTATACGGAAGTTGCTGTGAAGAAGGTTAATTCTGGTGAGAAGATTCGTTTGATACTTACAGAATTGGAAACTATTCATGGAAGAGGTTTTGAAGAGGTTGGTTCTGTGGATGTTTCTATTGATAACACAAGGGTTTACAATGGAAGTAGCATTACAGATCTAGAGACGTTGAATGAATTTACTCAAAATGCTGAAATTTGTAAAGAGATGAATGGCATTGAATTACTGAACTCATTGTTTAGACTTTCCATGAATGAAAAGGAAATTCATAAGGAAGATTCTTGGTATGATTCATTTTCATTCTCTCCAACTAGATTTGAAAGGGTTCACGAGTCTATCATTGACAAATTTATAAGTGAAGTAGTTGATGTAAATAATGAACATTCTTTCCAATCCATTCATGCATTGGTTTCAATTACTGAAAATTTATGTAGTGTGAAATGCAAAAAAGAAGATAAAGAAGAAGCAATAGATGATGATGAACAAACAACCGAAAAGGAAGAAGAAGAACTCGACTTGTTTGAATTTGTGTCACTTGTTAAACACAATATCAATCATTTGTACTATGATGAGTACAGCTCCTATTCTAGACAATATATTGATTGCATATTGAAAAGAAAGGACAATGGAGAGATTGTCCCTTTCTCTGTAACCTCAATTGTTGGGCCAAGCTATACTGGAACATATGTAGAATTGGAAATGATGATCAACGGTGAAGTGGCTTTAACATTCGAAATGACAGAAGGAAGTGTCGATTCAAATATTGTTCAAGACAGTTTTGAAACTTTTGTTGAGAGTTTTAAAACTTCCAAAAATCCACACGAATTTGCTTCTGACATGTTGGACTTTATTGTTACCCAGCCAAAATGGGCTGTTTATTCTCTTTATGAAATGGACAAGGATAAAACTGGAATCACAATTGAGGATGGTTATCCTCCAGAGAATATTTCTGAAGTATTAGACCACTTCTGTGAACATACTGATGAATAAATAAGGATAATTGGTCTTGTTATCTTTTAAGGTTCTGAATGTTCTATTAATTGAACCATTTTTACTTTGCTTCAAGTCAACCATGAAGCTCTTTTAAACATCAAGCTTGTTATCATTAATTTTTCCACAATTAGCCTTCATCATACTAAATATCCATTAATATTAATTAACAATTTTAAAAAAAAAGAAAGTAATTAAAAAAATGAATGTTGGAGAATTGTTCAAAACACCAGAGTTTAGAAGGTTCTTTTTCTTTTGTTCTTTTGTAGCAGTGGGAGCAGCAGCACCAATTGTTTATAAAGTTAAATCGGAATTTGAAAACATTCCTGGAAAGAGTTTTTTCCTCTACAGAAGAAAATGTTTAGAAGCCAATTTGGATGACAATGAAAATCCTTTGGATCCTAATCAATGTTTAGAACAAAAGAAACAATCAACCTTTTCAATAATGATGAGAGATTTAAATTTTGATTATTCGAGTAGGTTTTTTCTAATCAAATGATTGTGACACACAATTATCAATTTTAGAAATGGTTCTTCCTGCACTTGCTGGATGTGCTGTGGGATTTTCATTATACAAGTTTTACTTTTTGAGAAGAGTTAAAAGTTCACAACATGGAAAAGTTTTAGTAATTTATAGAAAACAAGAAGGTCCGAAACAAGGAGACAATGATATCATTAGAACTTTATATACAATACCTGATAATCAACCATTTCCAGTTGGTAGATTCATTTATCCTTGGCAAGAAGTTGGATACATCACTGAGGAACCAATTAATTTGAAATTTGACAAATTTAAAGTTTATTCAAAAGATGGTGTTGAAATTCAAATTACTTTGGATTTAGTTGTTGGAGTTTCAGAGAAGGATGTGACACTTTCATTGTATAGAGCATCTGCATATTTACTTGATTTGACAGCAGATGAAATTAAAGAAAGAGCAACTGAATGTTTGATGAATGGATTACTGGATAATATTAAGGACTTTAAATATAATGAAATTTCAGGACATATTGTGGATTTTAATTTCTATTTAACACAAATAATTACATGGTATCTGAAATATTTAGGTTTAGTTGTTAGAAAGGCTCCAATGGTTCATATTACAACAGCAGATGGTGAAATTGACATTCCTCTCATTAATTTGAAATAATTCTGAACATCAAATTTAATACACAACAAGAATTTGTTGTATTTCTTTAGAAATTTATTGCCATTTGATCCTCATATTGTTTCGGATCAAGTAGCAATATACACAACAAGAATACGTTACTATCGGTGGTACATTTGAAGAATATTACTTTTTGGTTTGCATACTTCTCTTTAATAAAATTGCAACATTTTCGCTGCACTAATCCAAGCTTGCTTGAAGGTTTATTGTTAGAAGAGAAAAAACTTGCAATTTAAAAAATTTAAAAAAAAATACATCAACAACAAGAGTCATCATGAGCAGCAAGGGTAAGTATTATTTGATGAAGAGGAGTGTATAATTAGCGGATAATGATGATTGGTTGTTATTTTTGTTGTTTACAATGAAAAGATTACATTGAAGAGGAAGCCGAGTTGGATGATGAGGAAGTTGCTGAACAACCAACCCGAGATGATGATGAAGATAGTGAGGAAGAGGAAGAAAATGAAGATCTTGATAAATTTGAAAAGGATGGTTTTATCGTAGATGATGATGAGGAAGATGATAATGTACCTCCACCATATATTGATCCTTTTGATCAAGGAGAACAAACATTAAAGAGAAAAGCTAATCCTTCTAAAAAGAAAAGAAAGTTTAAAAGACTTAAAAAAGGAGATCTTTTATCAAAAGAAGTTGATGATCTTCGTGTAAGTAGAATAGTACTAGTAATTTGGATTGACAAAAAAATAGAGACAAGTAGAACAAGTAAAAGAACCATCAAAGGAACCTGAACATTTTGATGATGATGATGATGGAGATGAATCCGATTTTATTGATAGAGACGATGATGATGTAGATATCTTCGGTTCGGGAGATGAGGATGACATGTATGATGATATGTATCCTGAAGAAGATGATTATGAAAGAAAAGTTACTTTGAAGGATATTTATGGTCCTGATTTGCTAGTCGAAAAGTTCTTGACTGATGAAGACGAAAGAATTAGAAATGAAGATGTCCCTGAAAGAATTTTATTAAGACAAGGAATTAGACAAATTGAACAAGAAGAATTATATAATGAAGCTTGTTGGATTTATACTCAAGTTTTTCAATCTGAAGCCGAACTTAGTATTGACAAATATTCTGGATTAGAAGGAGATAGATATAATTCTCTTAAAAATTTATTTGTTGAAACTATTATTAAGGTCTTAAGATTTATTTTGCAACTAAGATATGATATTCCATATATTGCACAATATAAGAAAGAGGACTTTGAACATATTTTATATAAGGATAGTTTTGGAAATGATAGAGATTTATGGAAAATATTTGAATGGGACGAGAAGTGGTGTATTCTTCAATCAAAGAAGAGTAAACTCAAGCTCTTGTATGATAATGCAAAGTCAGTCATACCTACCGAATATTTGGCATATTTTGAAGGAAGTGAAACTTTGGATGAGATTAACGACTATCATCTTCATTTTACTACTGTTCTCAATGAAGAATCAGAAAATCAACTTACTACCCTAAAGAGACCTACTAAGAGAGATTTATATACTATGGCTAAGAAAGAGGGTTTGGCAATTTTAGCATCACAAATGTCTCTTTCATCATATCAATATGCTGAAAATTTAGAAAGTACTTTCCAAATTGTTGAAACCCAAGATCATGCACTTGATCCTGCTTCTGCTGCTGAAGTTTTTAAAACTAGAACTTTTGAAAGTATTGAAAGTGTTTTGGGGGGTGCAAGACATATTTGTGCATTCCAAATTGCTCATGAACCTAAGATCAGACAGCTAGTTCGTCGTTGCTTTGAAAATAATTCTACTATCAAAGTGAAATTGACCAAGAAGGGTAAATCTGTTGAAGGCTCGGATATTATTTCTCTCTTAGAAGATGGTAGAACCATGTTTACCAAGTTCAGAGATGAATGGGCTGCTCACGTCAGATATGCTCATGACAATAAGGAAAGCTTCCTTAAATTATTGAAGTACGAAAATCTAGGTCTTATCAAGGTATCTTTATTCTTAGAAGATAGACACTTTGATGGGTTGTTAAAAGCAGATGTGCTTTATTTGAGCCAAAAGCACTCTCAAATTGCAACTTTATGGAATGAACAAAGAATTAAGATTATTGAAGAAGCAAAGGGTATTTTGAACAAAACTATTCAACATTCTGTAAAAACTATTCTTAGAAATAAGGCTGCAGACTTTGTTTCTGATTTGTGTGAATCCAATTTAACAAAGATGTTGTTTGAAGAGAGTCCTTATGGTAATAACCCAAGAGCTAAGTTTGATTATGACGAATTCTTTGAAGATGAAAAGCCAAGACCAACCAAATACAAAATCCTCAGTTGTGTTCCTGGTGGTGAAGAAGGCGAAAAGACAACTTGGGTTATGCTTGATGAAAATGGTACTATGATTGATAAGAAAGTTTGGCCAATTGGCCATCCTCACACAACTGGTAATACTAGCGATTCTGACAGGCAACTGATCGACTCTATGGTCAAGAGTGTAAATGATATGATCGCATCTCATCAACCATCTGTTGTTGCTTTGGCTGCATGTGGAGGTTTGATTTTCAAGAAAATGAAAGAAGCCTTTGAACGTACAAAACAAGGAGGTACAATCTTCAACATTAACTATGAAATCGTTCCTGATGATATTGCAAGAATCTATGAAAATTCATCAAGAGCTACAAATGAATATCCACAAGAAAATAACGTAGTTAGAAGAGCTATTTCTGTTGGTAGAAGATTGAGAGATCCATTGACAGAAATTTGTGGACTTTTTAATAACGAAGAACTCCTTTGTTACAAGTTCCATGAGCTTCAAGATATGGTTCCAAAAGAACAACTTGTAAAGTCACTTGAAAAGTCTCTTGTTAGAGTTGTTAACCGTGTTGGTGTAGAAATTAATAGAATTGTCTTGTTCCCTCAATTACAACCAACTTTGAGATTCCTCAGTGGTTTGGGTCCAAGAAAGGCAGAACTCTTAATTAATAAGATCAAACAAGAAGATAGCGTCTCTGACAGAGAATCTATTAACAATATCCTGAACGAACAACGAAATGTTGCTTTGAACAGTATTGGTTTCTTGATTGTAAGAAGACCACCAACTATTGCTGCCAGAGACTCTATGGCCAGAGCTTTCAAGGTTATCGATGCTACCAGAGTTCACTTATTGTCTTATCCTCTTGCTAAGAAAATGGCTGAAGATGGTCTGGAAACTGAAAATTTAAAGACTGAAAAGATTCACAAAATCTTCAAAAAGCCTCAAGCATTGGACGAATTAGATTTGGATGCCTATGCTGACGAACTCGAAAAGAGAAATTATGGTAAGACTCATATTACTTTGAAGGATATCAAGGAAGAACTTAAATATCCATTCAAAGACCCTAGATATGAATTCAAGAGTATCAACAATGATGACGAGAAGGTATTCGAACTTGTGACTCATGAAACTAAAAAGTCTTTGGCACCTGGTCAACAAGTGTTTGCTACAGTTGTAACCGTTGGCGAAAGAATCATATTTTGTAAATTAGATAATGGTCTTTATGGTGTTATTGCATTGTATAACCGAAATGTCTCTCTAAGGGAAGGAGAAGAAAGATACTTTGAAATTGAAAGAGTTGAATACAAGCAATTCAAAGTACATCTTGTACCTCCAAAAGAAGATATCTATGCACCAAAGGCAGAATCTATTATGGATCAACACCGTAAATCAGCCCCTTCAAAGAAGAGATTCCACAGACAAATTGACCATCCACAATTTAAAGACTTTGATTATTCTCAAGCTGTTGCCTTCTTAGCTGATAAGGGTCCTGGTGAATTAGTCATTCGACCAAGTAGTAAGGGATATGACCATTTAGCTATCACATTTAAATTTAGCACTAATCTTTATATCAACTATGATATTGAAGAAGAAAAGAAAGGAAAGGATATCAATTCACTTGGTAGTACCCTTAAAGTTAATGGAAAGATATTTAGTGACTTGGATGAAGTTATCTTTTATTGTGTTGAAAGTTTAATGGAATATTCAAATCAATTAATGTCCAGTAGCAAGTATTTTAATGGTAACAGAGATGAATTGAAGGTTCATTTGAGAGAAGAAAAGAAAAAGAATCCAAGTGTTATCCCATATAAGATTGTCATGAGTACTTCCAAAGCAGCAAGGTTCTATTTCTTCTATCTTCCTGGAAGACATACACTCCAAGAAAAATCATTCACCGTTACACCTGATGGTTATTACTTTGCTGGAAGACAATTCAAAGATACTGTAAAGTTAATTAATGCATTCAAGAAATTATGTCAATCTGATGCATCTAACCGAGTTCAACCAAGTCACCAAGGTGGACAATGGGAATAAACTATATAATTTATTATTTGTAATTAATACTAGGGTTGATAGTTTTATGGAAACAATGTCTTGTAGCATGTACTCTTTATTCTAATACAAATGTGTGAAAGGTTAATACTGGAAAATTCATTTGCATGGAATTTTGAATTGGATTATTATGATTATTGGAATTCTTTCTAATGTATAAACTTCTTCTCTTTGAATGTTGTTCAATGTAAAGACTGTGATTGGTAAATTGTTTTTTTGGTTTTTTCAAACATGCACTGCTGTGGTTTGATGACGAATATTTCTGTTGCTTTTTAGAGTTTGTACAAACTCTACTGTTTTGAAGTAGTTTTTCGTTTTGTGAAGATGAAACATTGAGATTGTTTGCTGTTTGACATGCTTGTTCATTGACACATGTATTAAAGCAACCATCACCTAATATTGATGATGAACTAAACTCATTTGAAATCCGACCAGACAAGCTAACACGGTTCAAACAGTTGTTAGAGAAAGATTGTTGATTTTGTAAATGGAGATAACAATAATAAAAATCAACAATGTCCAACTTTAAAAGTGGTGGATCTAATAAACTAGTAGGAGAAGAAGTACAATCCAACAGAAAACAATCAGCATGCGGTTTACTCATTGTGTTGTTTTGGTGTTTTTTTCATGATTGAGCAAATAAACAGTTAATTCGAAAGACAATGACACTCAGTATGATGATGATGGTTGGTGTAGGGCAACTCTTCCATAAACAAAAGATGACAACTAGCGAGAAAAGTTACATTTAGGTCTACTGAAATGAGTGGGCGACTGAATTGCCAAACAAGTGTCATCATATCTTTCCTTATTAGGTGAATTTGTTGGACTTGTGAAAATGGTGTTTAATAACAAGTTGATGGTTTAATATTTGGATTCGCATTTATCTCAATAAGAAAAGAGTTGGATTCTACCCACCGAATCAAGGATATTTGGTTCTTCATTTCCCTTTTTTAAATGGTCATATACCATACTCCAATCTACATCAAGCACATTCTGGATTATAATTATAGTGAATCTCTCAATGCAGCTTAAGAATCTTTAAACTACCGTGAAAGTGAACCATTCTCTTCATTATATTTAGATAATTCAAATTAAAGTTTAAATTCATGGCTGAAGATAACATTGAGCCTTGCTTTTTGATGACCTCAACAATCTAAACAATATAGAAATCATGCCTCTATGGGGAATGAGGTAAATTTACCTTCCTATTCCTCCATTATACCTCAATTATTCCAATAATTATTCCCAGAACTCATACAATTTCACTGTAATGATAAACAATTCATTAAAAATGTTCAAAGAAGTTATTGTCACTCTTTTTTTCATGTGCAATTATTAAGTAAGCTATCGCCTACTGTCATTGATAGAGATGGTTTGAGTATTGGCAGATTGTTTAAATATTCAACTTACACATAAGCGAAAGCTCAATGTTTTTTTTTATCATGCCAACTTTCTTAAATTGTTTATCTCAAGTCAATTCACAGATTAACTCTATCATTCGTAAGAATATGATTTCAATAACAATTAGAATAGACAATACAATCAAACAATTCGCCAACAGAATCTGGATATTAACATCAATTCTACCATTTATAAAATTATCTCTTAAAATGTTATAAATTTTAATATATTTATAACTCTCTCATTGTTAAAAATTATTTACAATCTATTTGAAGCATTTCTATTAATAATATCAAAAAATTCCTTTCTAGTTTCCTTTTTTAAAAATTGTCCTTTTAAAGAAGAAGTAATTGTAGTTGACTGAGTAGTTTTAACACCTCTCATTTCCATACATAAATGTCTAGCTTCAATAACCACACCAACTCCTTCAGGTTGAATTGTCTCAACAATTGCTTGAGCTATTTGTTCAGTTAATTCTTCTTGAATTTGTAATCTTCTAGCATAGACATCGACAAGTCGTGGAATTTTTGAAAGTCCAACAACTTTACCATTTGGAATATATGCAACATGACATTTTCCTATAACTGGTAATAAATGATGTTCACATAAACTATATGTTTCAATATCTCTAATAACTACCATTTGTGAATTATCTGAACTATTTTAATTATATATATTAAAAAATTATTTTTAAAATTATTGTAAAATTATTAAATAAAAAAATTACCTAAATAAGGCTTTTCCTAAAATTTCTTTTGGATCTTTAACATTATAACCTTCACATAATGATTCAAAACTGTGAAATACTCTTGATGGTGTTTTTACTAAACCCTCTCTTTCATAATCTTCACCCATTAATGTTATCATATTCTTTACACAATTTTCGAATATCTTTTTCTTTTCTTCATTCGAAAGTGAGGAAACTTTATCCTTTTCAATGAGTGGAACTTCAAAATGATTTTTACCATTTGTTTCCAGAATCAAATTATGTTCTCCATTATCATCGTGATGATGATTTGGATGAGCATCGGAAGAAGGATTGCAACACTGATGTTTCATATTTTTTTAATATTCGAAATGATGTTTCAAATTATTATTATATTCAATCAGAATGAAAACTACCAATTAATAAATTGGATAACAATATTATTGGGTTATAAGTTGTTTTTTTTTGTATTCTTCCGTTTGTTGATTTCTCTTGTAATTTCTCATTAAAAACGTTGATAAAATTTTATCTCCTTGAAAAACATTTGAATTCTCAATAATAAAATTTTCATTATTAATTGAAGATTCTTATTGTTTATTCTATTTTGATTGAATAATGCACTCCAATGATGATATTAATGAATGCAAGTATTATTATGAAAGAGATTGGAATTTAAATTGCGGACTAGTGAAACACATTTGAAATCAATTGTGGATAATGAATTTCAATGAGTATGATGGCTAAATTGAATTACAACGTGTTTACTATTTGAAATTTACTTTTTGTAAAGATGACAACTATTCGTTCTAGTCAACTTAATTTCCATTTCTGGTGAAAATAAGTAACTTTAAACTCTTTACAATAAAACAACTCTTAAAAAAAATGGTCAAAATCTTGGAAGGATCTGTTACAGTACTAGAATTTAATGGAAAAGATCAAATTCCAACATCGGAGGAATTTTATAATCAATACATTAAATTTAGAAAACCAGTAATTATTAAAAATTATATTTCACTCTTTGGAAGTGAAGATTCGGAATGGAAAAAGGTAAAAGAAGAATGGCAATTGGGAATTTCTTCATCAAATCAAGAAGAAATGGTAAAGGAAATGAAAGAACGAGAATTGGAAATGTTAAATTATTGGAAGAATAGATTTAATAATCTTGATGTATTTGTTAGTGAATTGAGAGAGAATGGATTATCACATCCACCCAATTATGAAAAGGTAATTAAATTGAGTGCTAAAATTATTTAATGATGAAAATTAAAGAAAATGAAATTTGATCAAGTGATTGATCATTTAAAAATTCAAGAAGAAACAAGAAAATGTGTTAATTCTCATTGGTTATATTTACAACAAGTTCCAACAAGAGATTTGCTTGGATTGAGTAATGATTTCACAATTCCAAATTTATTTAATTCTTCACCTTATTCAATTTTGGGAGCTAATTCATTCTTTTTAGGAACAACAAGAACAAGAACAACATTACATTATGATAGACCACTTGTAGATAATTTATTCATTCAAATTTATGGTGAAAAGTTATGGAAATTATATGAACCACAAGAAGTAAGTTCACATGTTAAACTATATATATTTAAAATATGTTTAAAATATATTTATCGTCAAATATAATCCAATTTGAAAAGGGAGTTAACTTTTATCCATTTGGAATGGAAAGTAAATATGCGCAGTAAGTAGCAATTTTAAAAGAAATTCTAAAGAATTTAGTGTTTCCAAAATTCAAGAATTGAATCAAGTTGAAGATTTTCCACTCTTCAACAATGCAAAATTATTATGCGAATTTGTTTTACAACCTGGTGATTTAATTTATCTACCAAAAGGGTATTGGCACTATGTCGAACATTTAAGCCTCAGTACATCATTAAATTTCTGGTATTATTAACGAGTATTATGATATTGTCTTGCACTAGTATTATTTCCAATGTTATTTTCCTTCCTTAATGAGTTATCTTCCCAATTTGGTGAATTTGAAGAATGTCGTGGAGTATAGTAATGAGGAGGAGGTTGGTGTGTAGAAGATGATGAATAAACATGAGGAGGAGGAAGAGGTTCATATTGATGGTCACTTTGATGTGTTGGACCTGGATGATAATATTTTCCTTCCCCACTTGGATATCCACCATTTCCACCAGAAAATGAGGAATAATGATGATGATGTTGTGGTAGTTGTGGTGTTGCTGTGGATGGTGAAGGAGGAGGAGGTTCATGTCTTGAAGAATAAACATTCACTGGTTGTGGTTCTGGAGAGATAGGTCTATAATAATTAACATTTCCTGTTTGTTTTTGATAGGGATGATATAAATAAGACTTTGAAATTAATCTTCTATTAAAGTCTTCGTGAGAGGTTTCAGAGGTTTCAGAAGGAGATTTTTGTCTGGTTGTTTCTGGTGGACCGGGATCTAATAAGGATGACTTCCTTATTTGCATATTCGAAGCTATAGGAATTGGTTGGTTTTTTGGCCTTTCTAGTGGCTGTGAACCTTGCACTACAGTTTGATTGGAGGCATGTTGTGCGTTTCGTTCTCTGTTTGGAGAAGTTGGTGAGCTTGGAGGATAGTAATGGTAGCTATTGCTTCTAGAGTGTTGATATGAATGTGATGATGGTGGAGGTGGTGGATATGGTCTTCGAGTACCATCCATAACATGGTGATACGGCATTGAGGATGATATTGGTGGAGGTGGTGGATGATGTGAATACCTACTGCTTGAGGATGGAGGATAAATGTATTCATTATAAGGTTGTTGATAAATGTGATAATGGTGGTGATGAATGTGAACTTCCTGTGGTGTTTGTGTCTTTTGTTGATAATGATTTATAATAGATTCATCATGTTCTTCATACATGTTAGAGCTTTGTGGGCGTTCATTTGGTGGAGTTGAAGGTGAATGTCTGACATATTGATGTTCATGGGTAAATACTCTAGTGTTTGGAGTTGTTGATACCTTAGCAGGATTCATTGTAGGATTCATTGATGGATAAGATGACGAAGAGGTTGAACTCGATTTGGATGGAGTATGTATTATTGAAGAAGGTAGTTGGGGTTGTGTTGTTTGAGGTTGCAACAATGGGGTGGAATAATGATGCTCATCTGGAGAAACATGTTTAGGTACATTTGAAGACATGTTAGATGATGCAGATGTAAGAACATGCAATGTATTTGGATGTGAAACATTATTTGTCGATATTGCATTAGAAGGTACATGAGTGGATGCACTTGTTCCATTACCAGGTGATACAATATTTAACATATTATTTTGAGTAGGCATACCACCACCACTCATATTATTGAGATTTGGATTGGATTGATTGGATAGAGATGATAATAATACAGTGGACACACCATTATTTTCATAACTTGGCCATCTTCCTATTCCAAATGAATAAAACCTCCTTTTTAAAGTACCTTAATAATTATTGATTAATTATTGAACAATATTAATAGCAATACTCACTTAAACTAACTCCTAACAATTCAGCTGCCTAAATAATGTAATAATTATTCCAAAACAATTCAACATGTAATTATATATTCCAAATATTAGAACTTCAAATCCATTAATAAACATACCTGTGTTTGAGGAAGGCTTATTGAGTTAATTATTAAGAGTATAATTAATACTTACTGAAAATACTTGCTCATGTCCTCAAGTGATATATCCTTATAATTTGATTTCTGAGTTACACTTTTATAATTTGGATCAGATGGATTTTCCATTTGAAATTTAATGGATTTTCCCCCTTTTGATGATGTTATTTTACCTGATGTTGATGCATGTGTTACAAACATGTTATTATTGTTTGATGAATTAGATGTGGTATTTTGATGATTTACACTACTCGCATTAGACATTGATGATGTATCGTTATTATTACCACTATCATGTGTAAATGTAATGGATGGTATTAATGCTGATGTGGATGTTGCATTAGATGGGATGTCGTTGATGTTCATCATTGTTGCATGTGTATTATTGTCATCATCTTGCATGTGATTAAGTGAACCCCCATCGGAAAGAGGACGCATACTAGGTTCTTGTTGTTGATAATCAATGTTATTAGTATTAATATTATTATGAATTGGCTTAACACCTGATGCTGGCTTCATTTCAAAGAGCGAAGACCCATATTCGTGATGACTTTCATCATCTTCATCATCTTCAGGTGAGGCTGATACATCAGTTTGTTCATGTCTTCTCATCTTGATGTTCATATCAGAAGTGGTGTTGGTGATAGTAGTGGATGCATGTAATTGTGGTATCGGTTGGTTTGAGAGCATCAAGGCTGCACTGTTTTTTGTTGTTTTCTTATTATCGTTGAGTAAGTTGGTGGTAACTTGAATTGGTGAATCAGCAATTGCTTCCACACCACCACCAACAGATGGATTATTTTGATCCGTAGATGCACAAGTGAAGGCATCCATTAATGCAATGCTTTTTTCAGGGTCAATGAGAGGAAGGCGTTGTGTGTTGACTTTTCGAATCCTTTGTGGATCTCTATATTCTTTCAGTAGTAAGTTTAACCTTTTTTTTATTGTTGATTTTGTTTGTGGGACGATCCCATTTTTGTCTTTTTGTACTGCGTGATTGGCGAGAATTATTGGGTAATAAACATACTATTCTATTCGGCCGATCCTTTTTTGTGTTCTTCTAACGAGTTTGTATAACGTTATGTTCACTGTCTCGCTCAAACATTTTGTTTTGGTGTCAAATTGAAGAAATGTAATCTAATTACGAATGCAGAATTTATTTAACCGTTGAGATTTATGAAAAAATGCTTTGTTGTGTGGTGCGCAGTTTGCTGCTCAGCCCTGAGCGAGGACCTTCAAGTGTGGAATAATCTGATGTTCATCAACAGCACTAAAATAATTAAGGATCCATTGTTTGTTAATATTATTATTCAAACGTTCACTTGTTGAGGAATTTATACATGGTGGAATTTCATTTATTATGACTTGTTGGGTGCGGACAAGCAAACAATAGTTCTTGACGTTCTTTGAGTGCTCTTTTGTAGTGTTACCAAATAAATTATGAGTTTAGAATACAACCATAAAGAGAAATGCAATTAAGGGAAAGATCTGGAAATACAATTTACTGTATTGGTAATTTTAATTTCATTTTCAAAGAGAAAGTTTATTCTTGTTGATATCTTTGTTGTTTCAAAATGAACCAAATATTTAAAAGTGTTTTATCAATTACTTTCTTTTGTTTACAATAAACTCTGATAAAAACACCTGCAAATACCAACATGATTGAAATGACATGAAATAAATTAAATGGTTTTGGAAATATGAAATGGCTCAGAATTATACTTAAAATTTTTCTACATGAAGTTGTTGTTAATGCAACAAGAATACCATATTGTTTTATCATTTTACTTGTATAGTACGATCCAATATAACTAATAAAACTGT